GGTTACAGGTATAAGTTCAAAAAGTGAGTAGGCCCACTTTATAATAGGCTAATCTGAGCTCACATCCAGTGACCTCAGGTGGAGGAAAGACGGGACGAGGAGGTGGAGGAAATGTTACAATAGTAGAGGATTCGGCTCGCAAGCCAGTAGAACGGATTCCGTGCTCTCAAGAAACCAAGACCATCTCCCAGATGTACAGGTTGCAATTGGAGAGATGGTCTTGGCAGATTTGCAGGTGAGGAGCCTGCCAGCTAGCCGAGCGGATCGCAGGAGAAAGACCTCGGGACGCTTAGGGAGGTTACAGTGAAGTTGTTGGAGATGGTGCGACTGCCACACTAGAAGATTTAGGGCCAGATAGACACAAGTCTCAGAGACTATTCACTAGGAAACCAGCACTGATTGTTCTCTCTCGGAGGCCATGTTGAATAAAAAAAAAAAAAAAAAATTCCCTATTTGCAAGAACCATGTAAACGGGAGCTGCCCTGGCCCCGTGAATTGCGGACCATGCGTCGCGTGCTCATGGGGATTTATGTTAATAAAAAAAAAAAAAAAAAAGCTGCCCTGGCCCCGTGAGGAAGGTAGACGGACCGCGGATTATAGGGTGCTACAGCATTGCTTGGGGCGAGGGAAGTTGGACATAATGGAGGGTTTATTCGGTTTAAAAACAACTTTATTAACATTGGATCTGGATTAGGAGACGTGTATCGCGCAACAGGTCACGCAGGAGTTAGGTTAGGCTAGCTATGCGACATGGGTTATGAATTTGACGCCTCAAGCCAACATAGTTGATAGAGGATGCGGCTCTGCCGTGCATGGAAGGCATCTATGGCTTCAAGGCCTTTGCGGACCATGCGTCTCGTGCTCATGGGGATTTATGTTAATAAAAAAAAAAAAAAAAAAAAATAGATTGTTAAAAAATCCCTATTTGCAAAGCTCGTTCCAGCTCTCTCGCAACTGGAGCTTCCGTCGAACTGCGCTCAGCACGAGCGGTACCCTAGTTCCTCTCCATCGCTCTCCATCTCGGCAAGGATTAGTAAGTACGACGCCGCTCTGGGCCCCATCGAGTATATAAATGCGTTTAAAGTCATGTATAATAGTAAATCGGTTACGAAGACCCAAAGACCAGTTCGTTTACTCCCGCGTACCCCGTTTCCACTTATCTCGCTTGCTCCGTTACCTACCTATCTCACACTTACCCTGTTCTTTTTCACCCGTAACAGAAATCGAGATCTTGACTGCGTGATATCACCAATAATTAAAAGAATACCCACTCGTCTCCCTGGCTCCCTTTTCACCCCGGGGCCCCTGAGGCCTAAAAATTAGCTCCCAGATGTTCTATAATAATGTCTTGAGCATTTTTGCAGCGAATATTGACGATTAGTGTTTATTCCACCGGTTTTTTTTTTTACTATTGTTAGTAAGTGTTGATGATTAATTTACTATTGTTAGTAAGTGTTGATGATTAATTTACTATTGTAGTCGATAATCATCTACCTATACCAAGAGGTTAATGCGATGCGTTCTTTGAAGGAGGGAAGGACGGCATGATCCATGACACCGCTCAGGAACAGGACACAACGTCCAGCCTTGGGTGCAACATCGATCTGCTTCTCCTCCTCATCGCTCATACCCTTGTCAAAAATCCTGAGCTCACCGCCATCGCCCTCAGTCCAGTCCGGGTTGAAGTACACAATTGCCTGTGAAAGGAGAAAGGTTAAAAAAAAAGGCAAAGGCGTGTTTGGTCAATGGAATTCAATGAACACAACGACTTACAGTAACACGACGCTGGTCTCGATCATCACGATCGTTTGTAGGGAAGGAATCCCTGTGTCGCTCATAATGACTTGAGTCTGGAGGATAATATGCCAACTGATATTCCGCCTGTCCATGCAAATGCACCAGCTTGGCCAGATCCACATGCAACTGTTTCGAGAACCAATCTACACACTGGTTTAATGCCGGAGACTGCTCCAAGAACTTGGAGCCAGGCGATACCCAGATTGTGTAGTCGCCACGGGCACTCCCTTCACGAAACGGATCCTCTTCGATGTTGTGTTTGCCGCTCGCCTTGTCCATCTGTCCTGCCTTGAACATGTGTGTGCCCCAATCCCGGACAGACTGGATCACGGATTGATCGATCACATTGTCGAGAACTGTGTATCCCTTGTGAAAGAGTTCGTTGCCGTTGTTTGCAGTCAGGACCTGGAAGGACTCGGAGCTGACTTCTTCGTTGAAAAGCTCCTGAGCCAGAATGATAGGCGGCATAGACGAATCCAAATGCTGCAGTAAATCCATTTCGGAAATTTCCTCGACCTCTTCTACCTCCTCCTCATCGCCCTCGTTGTATTCGTAATCGGATGGTAATGATTCGACATCGTCTCCAGGAAACGCAGGGAGCTCCATGCCCTTTGAGGCCGCGTATTTCATAATGCGGCTCGCAAGTGCATCGTCGTGTGAATCGTTCGAGTCCATTGTTGATGCGAAAGGTTTGCACCGAGTGCGAGAAGAGTGAGAGGAGTGAGAGGAATGATTGTCCAAATCATTTTTTTGACTGCAAAGCTGTCACGATTGATGAATAAAAAACATCTTTGTCTCATTTTGACAGAAAGAGCAGTGAGCTAGAGTGAAAACATAACCACATCTGTAGGCGTGAAATAATATGCGCGATATTGCAGCTGAAATCGAAGCAGCCAGATGTTCATGGTAATCAGATACTGGTGAGCGAACTCGTATTGGTGTGCCATCCGTGCTCAGCTAATCCAGCCCTCTCGCGGCCTTTGTGTGCAGTTGTGTTGCCTCCCTCTGAAGGCCTAGCACCTGCTCTCGGACATGTTGGCCACGTTCGTCAAGGCAGCTCTGCTGCTTCATAAGTGCATCCTTGACAACACCTAGCAGAGAGTCGACACCCCTACCATTACCATCCAAAAAAAGCCTGAGTGGTAATATTCAATAAAGAAACTATTGCATGGAAAACTTGGCCATGAGTACCTACTGAACTGCCTCCATCATGCTCTCCAACGATAAGTGGAACTTGATCCGGATCTCTATTAGTCGCAAATATAAAAACAACGCAAGATATTAAAGTGGTTAAATCGCTCTAGTTGCCGAGCTTGATGGTCCTTTTGATGGCAGCTCCTTACCATTTAGTCGCGACTTGAACTCATCAGTCGTTGTAGGCACCTCAAACACTGGAGCAGCTTCAGAACTTTGGTCCTTGTCCTGATTCGGACCCTGACCCTGACTCTGACTTTGATCTTGGCCCGTATCGTAACCAGGCATCGGATCCTCGTAATCTGCTGGAGCCTCCGGCAACTTCGTATGCTCCATCTTGGGGCTATGGGCATCCTCCAGATGTATGTCGTCATCAAGGTCATCACCCTCATCGATGCTCAACTTTGATGCTTCACGAACGTCTTTGGTGGCGCTCTGGATCTCAGAGTGTAGCCCGCTCTTTAGGACAGGCGTCTTAGGAGAAGCCCCTTGACTAATGCCATCCTCGTGCTCTGCAGATGACTGAGGTTCGAGAATTGGACTCAATGGTGCAAAGTTCTCCTGGAACAGTTCATCAATCTCGTTCAAGGCGTGTTGGGTATCCGAGACAGTAATGTGTGTCGATGGCGCAGCCTTCTTGACCCGTGTTATCGGACTGTGCTTATCTAGTGATGCTGTATCGGGTCCGAGACTGAGGTCCATGGATTCTTGCGAGGAGAACCATGCTTCTTCCGAGATAAATCGTTCATCTGTCTGAGGTTCGCCACGATGGCGTTTCAGTGCTGATGAATCCAAACTGTGGGTGGTATCATTGGCATCTCCTTTCCCTGCGGAGGATCGGTGGCGCCTGTATTCACTCGAGCCTTCTTGGTCCTCAGTTCGACGAGGAATTCGTATAGAGACCTGAAAATCGTCGCCTGATTCCATTGGTAACATGTCGTCGTCGTCGTCGTTGAAGCCGATCGAGTCGCTGAAGCTACTTTTCCCTGATTGCTTATTCAGGCTATGATATTTGGAAGGGAGTCGGGTGTCTAGATCTGTAGTGTTGTCTGGGTATCCAGAGTTGGTGGTGAAACCGGTGCGATCGTTTCTGCTGTATCGTGCATGATTGTTCCTGTGGATGTCAGAAATGGTCATCCATGATTTATTACGGTCGCTTTGAGCGGCCTTGGAATGAAGTACAGGGCCCTGACGATGTGCCGCAGCAGGTCTTTGCCGTTGAGGATGCACGCGTCGCATATTTACTCTGCAGAATGGATGGAGAGAGAGGCTGCAGGAAGAATAAAGGCAACGGCGCGACCTCGCGACCTTGCCTTTTTTCACTAAATCCTAGATATCGTTTTCGCACGTGACATAGCTTCCCAACCGGGCATACACATAACTTTGTGTGCGGCGCTTTTTGTGTTTGCTTCTCTACTGCTTTTTGTTGCTTTCGATCAAGGTATTGCTTGTGCCATGAAGATGAACCTGAATCAAGAATGTGATGTTTGGGAAAGGAGATGGGGCTCAAGGGAACAACACGGGCGATCCCTATAGAAAGGAAAAAAGGGGGAAAAAAGCATACCCATACCGTTTATTGATATGCAGGAGAGGTCTGAGCCGTCTGTTAGACCAAGTTCCTTTCGAATGGGAATCTAACGAGCATCGTTTGACCATTCCCTTTGCTTTCCCCCCCCCCCCCTCCAAATAGGAAACGGAAACGAGAATACCCCACCGAAATCGTCAAGCTAGAAGCAAACAACATGTCAACCAACTCCAAGGCGATCCCTCTTCCAAGCAGACGTGCTGAACCTGGCACGCCTATCCCCTTGGATTATGGCACCACCCCCGGCGGCACCATCTATTCGAGCACTCCGGGAGGTAAGCAACCGTTTTATCAGCGCAGTGTTAATTGTCATTTGCCCCTTCTTTGCATTGCCTTTTTTCGAGCAAGGACAGAGGAACAATATATCACCATCACTCTCAGGACCTTGTCAGAAGCCAGGATGATTCTTTTTTTTTTTCATGACACTGACTGAGACCAACCCAACCTCGGGCCCCTGTCAGGCCTCTTCCCATGAGGAACAGGTCAGGTGGGAAATACAGCAACTGTGGTCAAATCTGAAGCCAGAAGGAAGCAATTGAGGAAATTCTCCGTACTCAGGAGCAACAGAACATCGGAGCGCCAGAGCACCATGAACACATGGACATCCGACAATGGCTTCCGACTTACCCTTGTAACGAACGAAGCCTAACTATTGAGGGCCCATATCAACATATCAACGCAGAGTCTGTTCAATGAGGAGCCGGAGCGCAATGCTATGGAACAGAATAGGCTTTTCAGCGGGGCAAAAAGCAAGGACTATGCGAGAACTCTTGTACTTTTCTTGCACTTCATCCTCTTGCTCTCTGTACATTTTTGTGCATTTCGCATTTAGCGCTTATTCCTGCTTTGCTTTCTTTGTCGCACCACTTAAAATTTTTTTTCCGCGCCGACCATTTATTTCTCAATCTGAAAGAAAACCTAATACAAGGCATCATTATATTATCTGTCAATGGTCGATAGGAACTCGAATCATTTACGATCGTAACACGCTGTTGAGCCTGCGCAACTCGCCCCTGTCGCGCACCCCTCCTGCAAAGCTCGCCTATGTTGCAGGAGTGACCGGAGCCAGCCTGCCTCACCAGGCTGGCAGCCACCACAACCGATCGCACCTCAATGTTGAGACTCATGATTCGGGCTCGGATTCAGACTCGGATTCGGACGAGGAGAAGCGCAAGGCCATTGCCAAGGCTCAGGAGGATGAGGACGCCAAAGGTATGTTGCCATCATCATTTCGCCGCATTTTTTTTTTTTTTTTTAGAATTGTCTGCTGACTTGGTCACGCTTTATTGTAATTTGCTAGCTCATGCCGTCGCTTCAAAGGACATCAAGGACGGGCAACTGTTCGACATGGATATGGAGTAGAGAGGACTATGTTCTTCTAGGTTAGAAGGCATAAAAAACACAAAAAAAAAAATACAGAGCGTGGTTGCCCTGTAAAAAATCACACATGATATCATTCATGTTTGCTGCTGGACATTCAGTTAGATCTTTTAATATGAACAGAAAAAAATCAAAATGGACAAAAAAAAAAAAAAAAAAAAGATAAAAAAGGCATAGAACAGCGCGTGGTGGATGTGAAGGGTCATTATCTGTGCAAAGGAATGCTCTATGGTACAAGGATACATGGTAAAGACAAAGTCGAAATAGACCCGCGAGAAATTAGATACAGGGGACTAAACAAAAAAAGCAAATAAGAATCAGAATCATTGCATCCTAGGATCAAGGGTCCATCGGATGGTCCTTCGCCATGTGGCGTGAATACGTCCATTCATCCTGACGTCGAGAAGGTTGTTGACTTGAGTTTTCGGTAGAGGGACCGGAAGACTCGTCGCGAGCCATGAGCTTTCGGACCTTGAAGTCTCGAGCTGCAGCCTGCTCTGCTTTCATCGCATCTGATTCGTTTGTAAGGGCAACAGATGATGGACCGACAGAAGGATCGGTAGAGGTGCGGCCCTCCATCAGAGAGGTTGACAGTGGACCAGAAAGCTCAGTGGACTCAAGAGACATGGTTGTCGACAGGTCTTGGGTCAACATGGGCACAGAAAGGCCTGTAGTCGAGTGAGGGCCAGATTGAAGGGTTGACGTATCTTCGTCATCAGAATCAAGATCCGATCTCCGTCTGGGTTTTCCTTGCTTGGAGGCATCCGAGTCAGGCTCCAGTCTTGATGCACTTGCCACACTCGAACCAGCAGAGAGCCGATAGGTAGTAGAGGTCGTCATAAGAGGGGCTGATTGGATACCACTAGCGGCAGCTCGACCAGTCGGATTGTATAAAGACGACCCCATGCCATTGTTGCGGAGGAGCTCTTGTTGTCTTTGGTAACGCGCAAAATGTTCCCTAGCATGGAAGGAGAATAGCCGCTTGGCCTCGGCCTGGTGATGGGGCGGAAAATATTGTTGGAACTGGGCATGCAGATGTTGTGCCAACTCATTGTGCTGGCCAGGATGCAATGCGACTTGCTGCACGAAACGTTGCGCGAGCTGCTCCGGCGTTGGTGAATCTGGAGAGATACCAAGGTGGGGCATGAGCTCAGTTCGGGAAGACGTCCTGATAGGTGCGGTTGAAGGGTGTGGGTGGGTCATGGATCTTTGAGGAACTTGAGGGATGGGGCCTACAGTCGAGGGCGACGTAGGAATAGACCGCGCCTCAGGACACCGATGATGCTGTTGCGGGATATGAGAAAAACGATGCTGTTGACGTTGGTGCTGGTGTTGAGAGAGATGCATTGGCCGCGAATCCTGGATAACAGGCTCTGGCGAGGATTGGTAGCGCATTTGTGATTGCTGCTGAAGCATGGGATGTTGCGAAGGCTGAGTTACTGGCGGCTGTTGAGGTAGGACAAGCTGTTGTCGTTGAAGAGGTTGCTGTGGCTGGCAGGGGACATGAGATGATGTCGCTGCTGACATCGATATAGGTGTGAGTGCCCGACCTATCGGAGCTGCTGCTACGGCGGTTCGTACCGGCAATTGCATTTGCGGATTCGAGACTGATGAAGACGATACTCGTTGAAAAGACTGATGATTGTGCTGTTGATGCTGTTGATGCTGGCGCTCATACTGATGCCGACTTTGATGCTGCTGCTGCTGCTGCTGCTGAGGTAGAGATTGAGGCTGAAGTTGAGGCTGAGGCTGTCGCTGGAGCTGCGGCTGATACTGAGTTCTATGGATATGGTGCCCTGTTGAGCTGCTGCCCTCACCGCCCCCAATCATCCTTGCGCCGGTTGTGCCTGAGGCCATTGAGGATATGCCGCCATTTTCCATCAGACTATGGCCTGCTTCGGGCTGGTCCTGAAGATCAGATGGCGGCGGTGGTGGTGGGGGAGCAGGAGGAAGGTCGGCTCCAAACGAGGATGACACTCCCATAGACTCTGGTTTCTTTTCGATGCACCACCAACGGTGTCCCTCATTCCAGGCTTTGCTCTGACACTGCTTGCTGCAGTACTTGGCTTTACGGCACCTGCGGCACTTTGCAAACTCTCTTGGCTTTGTCTCCCACTTGCCACAGCCTGTATAGGCACACTGACGGATGCCCTTCCTTGTATCGTCCTTGCGGCAAGCATTTCGCATGATAACGCCTGCCCAGTACTGAATCTCTAAAGGATGCATCGTCCGGTGAGTGAACTTTTCGACAATAGCAAAGACGTTGGATCCAGAGTCCGTATGGAATGAGGACCGAAGAGATGGGTATTTGGAGAGATACGCGAGAAGTTGGAGGGAATGAAGAATGTCATCCTCGCGGTAGAAAAACTGGTGCTGCGGTCGTGCCTCTCCGTTCTCCATGGGTATTGACCGGGCGTTGCCTTCAATTGCATGGGCCTGTGGCTGCTCACGCATCGACGGCATGGTAGAGGGGTTTTCCTGGGCATTATCGAGCGATGTATGGTTGTAAAGTGCTGAATTCTGAGAGGTGGGCTCCGTCGTCAAGGTGTCAGTTAGAGGGGCCACGGGCCCGGTTGCAATAGTCGAAGTTGTTGTCAGGGCAGGGGCGGTGATGGATGTAGAGGAGTATGAGGAGGAGGATGTGTTAGTGGAGGTGCCCTGCCTCGACTCTTGCGGCCGCTGGTCGTGCTCATCTGATGTAGGTGCGGTGTATGGGTGTGAGTCGTTAATGGCGTCTCCGTCTGTGACCATCGGTTGGGAGTTTTGCTGCGCTGCCTCAACTCTCCAGAGCAGCCTCTTTCTCTCGTTCTCATCGCTGACGGACTTGAGGACTGTGAAGAAGCTCTCCAGGACGTTGACGATGACGGGTATCATGCCTGCCTGTACAACTCTCTTGCGGATATGTTCTGTGCCACGGACCCCGATGTTGACTACACATTGGAAGGCAAGTGTCCACTTGAGACCATTCTTCTTGTCGTTCACCTTGGTGTTTTTGAGAATAGTGACCAGTCGCTCGAGGCCACCGTCTTTGGTGATGAATTCGCGGATGGTAGGGGTTGAGCCGGTGAGGTAGGCCAGGTTGGTGAGGGTGTTGATGATAGGGACATAGTCTGTGCAGTCCAGGGCACGCCGGTCGTATATGGAGCTGGTGATGCAGATGGCTGCCCTGTTCTGGTTCGGAAAGGAAAAGTTGGGCTCCCTCATGATCTGGAAGGGGGCGATGCGATGCGAGGAAGCGGATGGGGAGACGGGCGAATGAGCGAGGGCGAGGAGCAGAAGAGGCGTAGGGAAGAGAACAGAGAGAAGGGTGGTTAGAGAGTCGAGTCGTTGGGTTGGGAGACAAGGCCCTGTCTAGGAAAAGGGCTGATGTGGCAATCGTACAGCTAGGGATGGGCAGCACAGCAGCAACGGCTCTTTGTTGCAGAGACGGGAGTGGGGGGAGGAGAGCGCGAGAAAACAAAGGGGATCGGGATGAAGAATGGCGAGTGGGATGAACAAAGGTCGGTGGGGACACCGCAAGAAGAAGAGCGAGGACGAAGAAGGGGACGAGGCCAGAGAATGGGGGCAGAAAGGGGTGGACTGGTTGAATGGGTGGGGTGGGGTGTGATTGGATGGATGAGGTGAGTGTGTGTGTGTATGTGTATGTGTGGGTGTGGGTGGGTGTATGAGTGGATTAGTGTGCGTGTGAGGGAATGGGATGAAAGAAGAAGGAAGAAGGAGAAGAGAAGAAGAGGAGGGTTCAGACTAATAATAAGATTAATGAGAATAAGTAAATATATATGACGTATGCACAGCCGAATGAATAGACTGGACATATTCGAATCAATCATTCAATGGGGCTGTCCCATTCGTACGCAGAAGACGAGGGGGGTGAAGTAAGATGCACATTCATTCACTTTGGCCACTGGGCGAGGGCAGAAAAATATAACTCCAACCAAAAAAAAAGATGTCATAATCAGCAGTGACAAGGGCAGAAGGAGGGGAGGGGTGCATCTGCCATGCCGTGCCATGCCATGCCATGCCGCGCCACGCCGTAAAGAAACACAGACGCGCCAAAGAAGAAGGAGAAGAAGGAGGAGCAGGAGAGGGAAAAGGGCAAGAATAGGCAGGGATAGAGGGAGCTGCATTCCTTACATCCACTCCATCAGATTGAAAAACACCGCTCACAGGCCACCACCAGATGGACTGCCTGACTGGACCTTCTTCACTCGGTCGAGAAACCCCTTTCCCTCCAATTTTTCATAGAATAACGCGAAACCGACGCGATGGAAACACGAAGGGGACGCAGGGAACGAGAAGGAGCAAAAGGTGGACGTCGAGGGCCAAGGCAAAGTTTAGGATGCATTCGCACATTTAGGAATAGAGCGAAAATGAGCAGGAGAGCAGAGGACTCTAGTCAAGCACCGCCCAACCAGACTTGTAACCGAACGCAATGCAATAAATCCAAGACATCAAGAAACCAACAGAGACAGGGGGCGAAGAGGGAGGGCGCGTACGCGAGCGGAACATCCAGGCAAGCCTTTGCAGTCTCTGTCTGCGGATTTGACAAAAAGGATAAGCACCATCGACAACCCAACGTCGCACCTCTGTGTGCATTTACCTCTCTCAGACTAGCCATGTCAATGGATGCTGGGTTATAAAAAAAAAATCCGGGCTATCGTATTGCACCGCCCATTCAACTGTGTCATCGCGATATTTCGTGCTCTGTTATTGTTGCATTGGCCTCTTTTCTTTATTGCACCCTACCCATCTCTCCAGGTTCACAGCAGCACCCTGTCCAGTTGTAAGAGGAGCACTATGCGCGGTCGACACGGAAGAGGCGATGTGCTGTAGGGAGGTGGGGTGGTAAAGGGGAAGAATAAAAGAGAGGGGAGGGAGGGGAGGGAAAGATACTGACGAATTTTCTTTGCGTGCCAGAAAACCACTTTACCTTGGTTAGAGACGATCAGTCACTCCTGCAGGCGGTTTGTTTCCAAGTTAAATTGCGCGTATGGCCAGTGGTAGAAACGGCAGAGGTGGACGCACCTCCAAAAATAAAAGGGGGATAGCGAGGGGTTGCTGAATAGAGCTGTAACGACGCGTTGAACTACGGCGAGTCTGAGTCCCGGTTGGAGGTAAACTGGGGTATGGTTGAGGGATCGAATGGGTAGATGAGGATTACGAAGTAGGTGGAATCGAATGAGGCTAGGGAGGAGAGAAGGTTCCTCTGGAGCCACCAAACAAACTGGACGGCGGGAGTGTTCGACAGAGGACAAACAGGGTTCAAAAGAGCGGCGGAGAAGATTGGCCGGAGGGGGAGAGGAGGGGGGGGAGACGCCGGGGGAAGAGGCGGCGGTATATAAACAAAAAAAAACTTTTGAGTGCATGCATGTAGTTTAGAATGATTCAGTCCTATCCTGTGGAGACTACTGGCAGTCGACAAAAAAGGCTCAAAAACAAGATAGAAACCCCTATCGAGATATTCGCGAACAAATTTCAGTCCTACATCGGGACATCGGGGCATCGGGGCGAGGAGGGCTCCATCGAGACGCGTCTCCTTACCAACGCGGAGATGATTAGTCCGATGAATGACTGTTCCATGGCCTTTTTTTTTTTTCTTTTTATTTATCTGAGAATCCTTCGGATCCAGACATCCACGCGTCTCTGTTTTTCAGGAACCCACTATCCCTCCTGTCCTTTGTATGAATGTCCACAACCAAGTGCTCGATGAACACACACGGCGGCATATGGCGTCTGATGCCTGTCGCGTTTCAATTGTTAGAAGATCATCGTAAATAAATGTTTCCAGCAAAGATTAAATATGGACACAAAACATTGCCTCCTGCTCTGCTCACATACTTCAAAGATACACAAGCACCTCACTCCTGCGCACCCACGCCGCATTTTTGTTCAAGCGAGGGGGCTTTTTTTTTTTCAAGTCTAGGTAGGGTTCTATAGTTCTCGTTAGTCTAATGTCCTCCGGTGCAGCATGTGGCGATGCCAATAATACCAGAATTGCGTAGGGTACACAATCGAAGGAGAGTTGGGCCCTTCTACAGACATCACGAAGATTGCCTCACGCTCAACAAAAAAATCACCTGTTACAGCCTTATTGCTGTGGCTCATGAGACACCCGGCTCCAGTCGTCCATGCGCTGCGGTTCATTTTGGTACCGGACTGGCCATAAAAGTATCATTAAAGCAAAGACATCCAGTCGCTTTGCTTCGCTATCCAAGCCGACACAAATTACGGGAAATCAATCTGGAGCCGACAGAGTACATTGAGTCTTTGAATCAATAATTAAGAATGGAGGCAGCAGGCTTTGCCAGGGTTAGAAGGCCTAGAATACCGTTCGCACGTACTGCAAAGCAGTTCGCCTTCCATTTGTCGCGCCCATTATCTTTTGAAGCGCCGAGCCCTTTCTGAGGACCAAATCAACATTGAAAGAAGAATAGGGTTCAAAAGAGAGGACAGCCAGATTCTATATGGTTCAAGCATCAGAGGAAGGAAGAAAGGGAGGAAAGAGAGAGCAGAAATTCGCCCCTTCTAAAGAGAATGCCGATGCTTGCACGAACACCATGCTCCGTAGAGCGAAAGGCATTTATTGGGTTCTGACCACAAACGTGTGGAAAGTCGACTTTTACAGTTGACCATGCTTTTCCCGATAATCTTTCGAAAGGTAGTACCATTAAGTACCATTGTGTATCTGACATCATGTTCATCGCACACCCCTTTGTCCGCAGACTACTAATGAGGTCCATCCCTTCTTGGATACCTCGCCTGAAAATGCATGGCAAGACAGTAAAGAATAGAGTACTTAATGTAGAGGATGGAAATGGATGGCAAGCTGAATACAGCACGAAGGTTACTGAGCCCATTGATGTCAACCTCATTGCCGAACGCGCGAAAGAGGCGGTGCAAGTTGTTGAAAGTACGTTGCCAGAGCATTCCAAGCCGTCAGACTGGAGGTTGGTCTTCATGACCACTCCCGCGTGGGAAGTTCGGCAAGGGAGCCTGAACAATCGGTGTTTATCCAGCGCCTCGAGAGATTTAGTTCATTCCTTCAAGGGAGATGGGTACTGGGTCTTTGTTCTTTCAGCAAAATTCATATGGAGATGAGCGTACGTCTGTTATTACTATCCCTAGCATGAAATGTAGCCTTGAACTGAAGCAGAGTGAAGGAGAACAGAGGAGCGAGGACAAAAAAATTCCTCCGCTCAAGGCTGTATTTGCCAATGCCCCCCTTGTCAAACGAACCTGACCCTGGCATGACCCATTACACGTTCCAAAGACCAGAATGGTTGGCGGCGGGCGAACAAACACTGCTGCGCGAGATCTTTCCATTTTTTTTTATGATGAACACTGACCAGGCACGAGATGCAGCTCGAAATAAACAAAGAGAAAAATAACCCGCAGCACATTCAGCTGGATTTTTAGAATTAAGAAAGCGCCTATACCATGCGGAGATAATTTATGGCAGCTCACCACGTTTTTTTGACAAGTTCGGCAGCCAAGGACCGACACAGCGAGGTATTGAGATTAAGTATCAAACGCTAAAACTGCGAGAATCAAGGCAGATCAACGGATTCCTGCGGATGTTTTACGCAGCCTCCCATGTTCACCCTGATTCACGATGGAGACAACAACAGCAGAACTATTAATAATTAAAATAAAACGCTGCTCCATTGGCATCGGCAGGTCCATTCCAACTACCCGCTGTTTACCTTGAATATCTCATAAAGCAGGGTATAGGGTGAGGAAAGGAGCCGCTGAGGCAGAGAACAGGGGAGCGGATCTTCAGTGTCTCAAGAACATGTCCAATGTGGATGCGACCTAGTGTTACTCAGCATGTTCGTTTGGATGTTGTTGCTGGCCACCGTTATCGCCCTGCTCCCGTTTCCTTTTCTTTCTAGCTGGCCCGGCTGTGTTGTTGAGGTTGATGGTGATGCATCCATATACGGTAGACAACACATTGGAGGGAGGGGTGGTACAGGTACAAAAATAGTGCCATGTCATACGCAGGCTGCACGCGTAAAGGATGATGCGACAGCGACTTTTCTTTGCAGCCGCGCAAAAGAATTCTCCGTCGAAAACTCAATCTCGACCCTCGTCTTGCCGTGCTCATATGCCAGGCGCACACTGGCCAGCCAGCTCCGAAGAGGGGCGCTCTCAATTGATTCAGTCCACAATCCGCAATTGGCAGATGGTCCTTCCGTATCCGTCATGATCACCAGTCCGCAGTCCTCAACTGAGATCTCGCCGACTCCTTGAAGGGCCTATATAAGCTACACATCATCTCCCTCTTCCGTCTCTCTTCCGCATCCCTGCATCTTCTTCACCCGTGTTCTATTAGCATCCAGCATTTCTTTGCATTCTGTCTACAGCGTCGCATCTTCGTACCCCAAAGCACTCCCGCACTCTCGTCTCTCTGCATTCACCGCGCCTAACATTGATAAACTTTCTCCACGCCAAGCATCGAAAACAACAAATCACTCTTGCCAGCAATACCTCTTGGCATTGACATATCAACAACACTTTGCTACCCCAATCCTCCCCTCGTTCCTTTCTGTTTCACGACCCCACACTCGCCACTTACAGCAGCCCTCGTTTAAAACATCAAGGAACAGTCTCAAGCACGCGTCCAGCGACACCTCAAATTCATATTACACAGCACACAAATACCCTCACAATGGGACGCAAAGCATCAGACGGCTGGTTCTCGGTCAGCCTAGACGAGCCCTATATTCTCACCCCAGACCCTTCACCATCATCATTAGAGCCAGTATCCGTTCCCCATCAGGTTCGCCTCAATGGCGCCATCATCCTTCGCCTCACTAAACCAACAAAAGTAAAGTCGTTATCTCTGACCTTCTCTGGGCATGCAAGGACCACGTTCTTCTTTGATTCATCCAACATCCCAGGTGCAAAGCCATGTGTTTCCATTGGTAAGTACCCTACCTTCCTAGGAATTCTATATTACCACCTCAATCCACAGCGTCCTTTTCTGTTGGGAGAACCACAGTCTGCCTCGCTATTTCATCTCTTGGTCCTCGGGACACTTACCACGACTGAATATCCCCTACGGCCTATGCTGGCACGCAGTTACCCGGACCTCCATACCTCAAACTCAGATGCCACAAGTTTGTTCTTTCAAGCCGCGAAACGGGCCTATCTGCCGAATGAATAGATGTGTATAGTGCATTTCGATAGACCAACCAGTAGTGTTAGGGTTCAATTGTGTTCGTTGATGTCATGTCGTATCATTTATTAGCACCGCGCGAGGAGGGGCCCTCCAGCGGGGTTAATCCAGCGGGGTTAATCCAGCGGGGTTTATCCATGAACGGACGGCGGTGGTTGTGCTCCCTTGGTCCAATGCAGCATGGCGTTTTTTAATGTGTGGCGCACACTGCAATTTGCCTGAGCGCAGATGAAGGAAAAAAAATCATTATTATGCACTTTTTTGGAAGACATTTACGTGCATGGGACACTCGAACCCTGCCCGATCGAGAGACAACATCCCAAAACCTGGGGAATTGATTAATGCCACCATCGCTGACCTGGTCTGTTCGCTCAACTGTATGATATTTAGACAAACACCACTACGGATGCACCCTGACCGAGCAGAAGGAGACCCTCTTGTCCTGCATGGCCTCGGATATGCATCTTCTTCCAGTAGGAACCCACAGGCTCCCGTTCTCCTTCGCCATCAATGAGCGTCTCCCTGCCGTAGTCTCCTCGGTCCCCATCGCCGTACATTACCAAGTGATAGCCTCGCTCCAGTTGGGTTCCTTGTTGCCTTTCGTGTCGCCCCACCATATTATTAAGCCTGTGATCTTGCTCCAACGCGACGAGCTCCCTTCAGATGACATGTTTAGCACGACGGTCATACGCGTCAAGTCCAAGGATACGGAGCGTCTGTCCAGCCACATCAGCATCCCATGCTCGGTCTTCCCCCAAGGTGGCATCATCCCGTTGACGCTGAATCTTTCCCTCAGAGGCAACGCGACGACGGCCACCAAGGTCACAATCGAGTTGATAGAGTCCATCTATGCGCGTCCACATGGGGCTTCCGGTCCGCAGTCTGATATCCTCATCGACGAACGCTTGGTCACCAGGCAGAACTGTCCCGTCCACGACTGGCCCTCCTCTACAACGGAGGAACCAGTCTTGGTCCCCAAACGGCTCATGTTCAAGGTCCCTCAACTGCCTCTCTCGGCTTGGTCAAAAGACGACGCCATTGCTATGTCGAACGTACGACCAAGCCTCGACAAGGGGTTCTGTCATGCCTCGGGCATGTACACGAACTCGAATGTCAGGATTGCACACTTTCTTCGCGTCCTTGTCCAAGTCCGCGGATTGAGCAGTGATGCCGGGTCGACGATCGAACACGACTCTGGAGAGAACGAGGCTCGGGTGTGGATCGTCGGTAACCAAGAATACAAGGACGATGAGATGAACCCGCCAAGTTATTACCGATCCTTCTCAACCAAGCTTGTCGAGGGCGACAAGATCCACGAGATTGACCAGCTAGCCATCGAGGCCCTCCAAGATGAGCTGCCGGAGTCAGTGGTGCCACCCTGTTACGAGGACAGCTGTGTTGGATCCTCTGCCAGAACTTCGCCCATGCTGACCTCGTGGCCGAATCACAGCCAAACCAGCCTGGACCAGTTCAGTTTGATTGAGAGTCTCGGAGAGAGTGCCACTAGTGCAGTCAGTCATGATGCCTATGCGCATGATCTTGCTGCGTACACTCAGCGATACTCCTATGCTAATGCTGCAGTTCTTGCAATATAATAAACCCATCGCATAAAATAAAAAAAAAATAAAAAAAAGCTTTTCACCGATAATTATCTTGGCTCTGATACGGCATACTGCTATCACGCACGTACGAATTTTATCCGCATCACCGAAAGATGTCCTTTCCCCTTATCGTTGAGCAAGCAGCAGCATCTCTAGTCCATGCATCTTTGCCCTCATATTTCTCATTTATATTGATTCGATTCAACAAGTGTTCATACAATAATGATGAGCAAAAGCAGTTTGAAGTTTTCAAAAAGAAATATCAACAGAAAGATGTTGCGTTTTATTTCTTTAAGCGCGGTCGGGACGGGGGCCACGGGGCTTGCGGGTCTCGATAGGAGCCTGCTTGACCTCAATGGCGGTGACACCAGCCAAATCCTCGAAGTTCAAGGACTTGAGCAAGTTCTATTGAAATTGAAAAGATAAAAGACGTGATCAGTCTGTGCTGCTGCTGAGGGAGCCATTTGCTACAGTTGTCATCAGGAGAAATCATTGTCGGCTGTCCGAGCTAGGTATCATCCAGGTTCCAATTATCCCCATAAGACACATCGCAACCCTTGCACAGCTAGTGATCTCGCTGAACCAAAACAAGCTAAGCAAGGAAACTACAGAGGTTTCATACCTGGGTCTCAGTGTCAATCTCAATAGCAGAGGTATCCAAGGCAGAGACCTCGGGGATGTAGTTGTCCTTGCGCTCTCTCTCCTCCTCCTGAAGCTTGAAGGAGATACCACGGACGGGGCCGCGTTGGATACGCTTCATCAAGTGGGTGGTGAAACCAGCAATCTTGTTGCGGAGACGCTTGGAGGGGATGATGGCGACCTCGGAAGCAATCTTCTTGTTGGTCTGGAAGTCCAGAGTCAAGCGAGGATAGTACTTCTCGATGAGAACCTTGGAGGCCCTCTTGACAGTCTTAGTTCTGAGAGTTGTTGAAGGGTGAGAAGAAATAGAAAGAATATATTGTCAGTCGAAGGTTGCTGATTCCTGGGCTGATCCTCTTCTCCTGCGAGGTCCACGAATGTTCTGTTCCACTCTGTCCGTATGATATTTACCTAACGCGACCCTAGAGAATGCAAGAAAACAAGGATATTGGGGGGGGGGGAGTTAGTGTCCAGACTTTTGATAAGCAGCAGGTTTTTTGGGGCCAAAGAAAGCGCAGGCTGATCGATATAGTGCTGGATGAAGATTGGATGTTCTGATCCCGTGGCTGCCAACCATGCTGCCTTCCCTGTTCTATTGAAAGTGTCGAGTACAAGCCGTCTAAAACTCTCATCCTCGCTTTCTTTTAATCATCATCTCCCTGCGTGTTGAATCTGTATGATCCTTTGTATGTAATCCAATCCGTTTGGGTAAAATGCCGCTCAAACTGACGAATTCTGGTTTTGCGTGAGTTCAGCATGGATGAGATGACGCCAATAGTGAGGGTCTCTGATTCCAGACTGGATTGATTGTCGAGTGCGATGGATGCATGTTGTCCGACTCCGTTGTATCCATCGTGCTTGGATGTCTGAGACAAGGGATGGCAGCATGTGACTAACCATTTTGGATAAGAATTGTAGAGGAGGAAAACACGCTGGCTGCAGAAGAAGACTGTACTTTATTTTGCACACAGTTTGAGCGCCGTGGGCCATTAAGGAGCACGGCAAACACGCTTTCAAATCCAGCGCGTGCAGGAATCAGAGATATTATCTTGCAATGCTCGGACCAATTTCGGCCATGATTCGCTCTTCCTACAGAGCAGAAGGAGTGCCGAGGGCAATTATGCCATATTGCATGTCGCCGCAAAGGAACTTATCCCATCAAACGGCGTTTGATTTGAATCCATTGCGCCGCCTTGCCGTGCCCTGCAAACACCATAGCGCTATCTTTTGACCCCATGCACCATTTGTGTCTCATTCCTGCGGTCATTATCGTGCCTTGGCAAGCTCCAGCAGCCTTTGACGTAAAACAGATCTGTCTTACGTCTTTCTCCATGGCAACAGCCCCCACATCCCGCCGCACTGCAACAGCCAGAGAGAAGAGTAGCCAAGCAGGAATAAAAATAGTAAATTCAGGCACACGACATGAGGAAGTATATTGAAGTATATTTAAAATAAAATGCAGAACAGCAGGGCTCTCGTGAACACAAGCGAACCAAAGATGGAAAACCTGGGTGGTGTGGACCGCCAGACGAGACTCTCCAATTGCTATCGTCCCCTAGCCCACTCTTCCGCCCTCGTCCCTGAGTCCGTTCTTTTTTTATCACCTCCACCACATCCGTCTCGCACACACTCTCTCACTCTTTAACCTGGTCTCTCTCGCCTCCTCCTCCTTCTTCCTCTCGTACAGCTGCCGACCCCTTCCTGCTTCCTTCAATATCCTCCCTTTATTTCCGTTCTCCTGCAGACAGCGAGGACTTGTAGTGCCCGATAGCTTCCTTCTGAGGTTCGTCCAGTACTGCCTATATCACTGTGTTGTCCCCCCAAAACTGACTCGTCCTCGACCTCCGTCGCCGCAACCCTTCCATCTTAAACAGCTCCCGTTCACAAACAGGCGAGCGATGGATCTCACTGCCTTAGCCTATCCATTATAAAGTACAATCCCCGATTCCATCCCAAAAAAGCATCCCCAGTCCTTTGGCAGGCAGCATTCTCCGTCTCTCACATATTATATACCAAAATAGCATGCATGTACTCTCCGTTAAGCTGATCGTTATAATTTCTTTCCCAGACCTCAAGCCTATCTCTCCTCCCTTTCTCTTATGTCGCAAAGACAACCTCGATTGCAGCTGCAGCATCAGCAGAGCGAGAACCAGATCAAAGCTGTGCCATACGTTCAGTCGTACGACGCCGTGGACTCGAGCCATCTGTCCATCGCTCACTCTCCTTTCTCAAACAATCCTTCAACAGCCAACTGGGCTTATCAGACGCCCCCACTTTCGTCGTCTTCGTCTGAACCGAACATTGCGGGAATACAAAGAATAACCTTAGCAACACGACCGAACCCATACCGCGTCATAGAACAACAGCCTTACCCTTGGAACCTCCCCTCTGCAGCATCGTCGAGTGCTACGTTGAATCCATTATCGAGTCAAGTCTACCAAGGCTCTGTTTCGGACAGACATAAGCTGATCAATTCCTCTTACTCCAACAGAAGTCGCCTCCAGAGCAGCACGATAGATTCGCACGACATCGAGCACTTCAAAGCCGTTGAGCTCCACAACACAAAAAGTCGCCCATTCACTCCTTCCACCATGCGTCATCGAGAACAAGACAGCGCCAATGACCTGGCATCAATCAATTCATCGGCTCGGCCCTCGCTATCGCAGCAGATGACGAAGAAGAAGCGTAACTTCTGGCCTTCCTTCCCCCGCAAGTTTCGTTTCCGTCCTGATGGTGTCGAGCGCCATCGCAAGGCAGATTCGGTTGGAAACAAGAAGGCTAAGTTCAGCAACGAGCGTACGATGATCCACTGGATCAAGGCAGCGATGTTGATGGGCAGTCTGGCCATGACCCTGCTCTCGTTTGGCAAGAACAATATTACACCGTACATTGGATTGGCTCTTTTGATGACCTGTCTAATGACATTGATCTACACGACGACAACGTTTCATGTCCGGATGGAATGGCTGAATATGCGCCGGGACGATGTCAATTACTATGACCGCTTTGCGCCAACCATCTTGACCATCATTTTAATGATGACATTTGCATTCAACGCAATAGGTAGGAGTATAAGTTGGCAATGAAGATTGGAACGCATGGAGAGGGGAAGGGGGGAAGGAAGATATTGTGTAGCAAGCATGGCAGATGAACGACGAGCAATTGACTTTTATTTATTTATTTCACAATATGTTTTTGTTGATATTAGTTGTCTACACAGGCGACTTTAAGACAAACAAGGATTTCTTGAAACACAAGTAATCGATCTCTGTAGCGGCATATAGCAGTATCTCTTAAAAATGAAATTGGGCATCATTGCAGTTGAATCACGTCCCAAGGCCATGTACTCGGCCAGGATTTTTTAATATCCTCGATCTTTGCGTGTGTGCGTGTGTGCGTGCGTGCTTTTCTTCTCTTCTCTTCTCTCTTCTATTTTTTCCGGCAAGGCGTACGCGTCGGATGTTCCACAAGAGATCGGCGGCAGGCGAAAATGCCCAGCAGCGCATGTTGGTTACCCTTGGTACGCGATTTTAAGATGAGCGGCGATATACCGCATTAGGTTTACAGTGATCGGTCCAATAGATCAAAGCTTGTCCAGGGATGGAGCCCGACAATGGCGTTTGCTAAAGAGCTGCCATCAACAAGGTTAGCCAAGAACTAGTTGGATTGATACTTCATCGTGACATGCTTGGATAACGTGGATACCTCACCGTTCGGCTTGTGTCCCTCAAGGTGATCGCCGGACCGACTCTTTTATAGCAGCGACGAATTTTCTTGATTGCTGCTCACCAATCGGTCTGGTTGTAGTGGCAACCTTATCTTTGGCACCTGAACATATATAGTGAGCGAAGCACTCGGTTCTTTCTTTAACTCCTCCTCCCTTCCGTCTCATCCAGCACCAGAGACTCCTTTCACCTCTCTACCCAGCTGACTCATTCCATTAGTTGTCTCTCAGCATGCCTTCCTGTGCCGCAAAACGATTCGGAACCGAGACACTCTCGAAGGAGGAACGAGCACTCCTCAGCCAGCCGCTCACTTTGCCCTTCTCCGGAAAGGTGGTCAAGAACCGATTCTGCAAAGCTGCATTGAGCGAATCCCTTGCTCGCTCAGATGGGCAGATCGACAAACAACACATGGACCGGCTCGTCAACGTCTACAGTGCCTGGGCCAAGGGCGGTTCAGGACTTATCCTGACAGGAAACGTGATGGTCGATAGGACGATGCGGGAGATGGAACACAATGTCGCTGTTGAGGATGAACGAGACCTGGGACGACTTAAGGCATGGGCTGAGGCGGTTCAGTCTGAGGGTAAGTTAAGTTAAGAGAAGGATCTAGCGGGAAAGGGCAATATGAAATCCGTTGGGGGAGGGAACGGGGCGAGATGCGCACTATTCACTTTGTGCTGACGGTTGTTTTTTTTCCCTTCTTCTCACAGGTGCGGCTCTTTATGCCCAAGTTAGCCATCCTGGTCGACAGACCCATGCTCATCTCACAAAGGAGCCTGTTGCTCCAAGCGCCGTTCCCATGGCGAATTTCCACCCGCTCATGACATTTAGTAAGCGACCGAGCCAATACTTTGAGCGCATACTGTATGTTAATCACACAGAGTCGAGAGCGCCAAACTCACCGTTCGCCCTTCTCATCCCACTCAATAGACCCTCCGCGAGCTCTCACGACCGCAGAAGTTCAGGGTCTGGTGCAATCCTACGTTAAGACCTCAGTCGTTCTTCACAAAGCAGGATTCGATGGCATCGAACTCCATGCTGCACACGGCTACCTCATTAGCCAGTTCCTCAACCCACGGACGAACGAACGTACAGACGACTATGGCGGTAGTCTCGAAAACCGTGCCAGGTTCTTATCCGAGATCATCCAAGGGATCAAAGCAACAACGCCCAAGGAATTCTCCATCGGTGTGAAACTCAATAGTGTCGATTTTGGGCGAAGGCGTAGCTCTTCCGAAACCGTTACTGCTTCGACCGCAACCCCCTCGTCCGTCGAAGGAAAAGGCTCTGATAGGATCGACCGCGATCTGGAGGAAGCTGTTCAGGTCTCGATCATGCTCCAGGATTTGGGAGTCGATTTCATCGAGATCTCTGGGGGGAGCTACGAGAGCTTTGCTGCAGGATTGATGGATGGAAAAGCAACAGGAGATGACAAGACCTCCGCTGCATCTGGTGCTACGGAAAGGACCCGAAAGCGCGAGGCACATTTCGCAGTGTTTGCAGAACGTATCTCCAGCGCCCTCACGACCACGAAGGTGATCCTCACGGGCGGATTCGTCAGCGCCTCGGCCATGGCAGAATCATTGAAGACGACCGCCGACAGCGGGAAGGCCCATATCGACATGGTTGGCTTGGGCCGCACTATCTGCACAGAACCTGATCTACCAAACTTGATCATGTCTGGTGCTGTGACGGGAGCGATCAAATTACCAAAGACACCTGGCGGGTTCTTTGACGATGTCTTTGTGTGTGGCGGTAACATCCGGAGGATGGCGTTTAAGAAGCAGCCGCTGTGGTCCTTATCAAAGATGCTCTTCAGTGCTGAGCATGTTGGTTATGCGATGGATTATGCAAAGGTTGGGATTCAGAGGATCAAGCACCTCTTTTCATGAACAAGTAAAAAAACGAAGTAGAGGGTTATCTCGATTCGATCGTTAAATACGTTGGTGCTGAATACCTTTTTTCTTGGTCCTGCTCTGGTTCGTCACCCCTCTCCTCTCTTGATGCAACTTAATAAAAACCATATCTAGTGCTCTGCTACTCTGCTGTTCATCGCCCTCTCGATATGGAATAGGAATCCTCCCCGTCAAGGAAGAGATTCACGTGAGGCAACCGCTTAGGCTGCCCTTCTCTTGCAAAAGTGATCAAGAATCGGGTCTGTAGAGGCCATCCTGAGCGAAAACCTTGAGCAGATAGCCAAATCGGTAAGGAACATCTCAACGGCCCCATCAACCTGTACGATACATGGACTTCGAGATGATCTTAACATGAAATATCATGACCAACGAGCGATGCGGGAGATGGGAACATAGTATCGCGCTCGAGGTTGAACGCGACGCAAACTTTGTTCGCAAGCGCGGTAAAAGGGCTGACCGTTACTGTTGTAACGTCGTCGATATCTGGGACGCATGGACTTGCGGCACAGCGTCGTCAGCCATCGCGGCCACCAGACTCTGAAAAAAAGAACCTGTCGCCCGAGTATCATCCTAGCCTCAAATTTCTCATCAGTTCATGACCTTCGGCAAGCATGCACTTTTCCCTCAAGGAACTCTCTTGAGTAAAGCTGCAAATAGCCAGGTTTCGATCCATTTGACTGTTCTGCGCGGCATCATATTTGCAATACTGTTATAGAGCGCTGAGCTGCCCGGGCAACAATAACATAAGCTTCGTTCCTTGCGGTCCACCATTTCAGCAGAGGGAGGGGGGACAATTGGGACAAATTTCCATATATTTGCGGCTTACAGCACAAAAAGAGAATAGAAGAGAAAAAAAAGGACTAGAAAACAGTAGCAAGAAATGAAACGCGTCTACAGAATTGGCGTGAGGAAGGCAATGAATGCTGTCGAGGGGATATTTTGGTAGTGAAAAAGAAATTATCCATGGCTTCCCATCTCCTCTGGTATTATGGTGATGATGATAATGATGAAGGGAATGATGATACGATCAGAGTAGGTAACAAAAACACAAACTTCCGCCCAGGACTTATGAAGATCCTGTCGTGTCGGTGGTCTTGGAGGCGCTAATGAATTTTACTATTGAATAAAAAATAAAATGAAAAAATGATTAGGTCAAAGGTTCTCACGATCGATGCACTCGTGTATAACACGGAAAATGCAACAGATATTAACGAGACGTACCGTAGAAGTTCAGGAAGTAAGCACCGAACAAGAACACGCACAGAACCGTGGGTCCCCAGCGGTCGTGGAACTGGCGGTTGGGCTTGGTCGACAAAATGTTCGACAGACGAACATGGAAAATTCCGAGTGCGTACAACATCGCCAACAGCGTAATGACTGTCAATACGGCACCGCATACACGAGTCATGTAGTTACCGAAGTTGAGCAGCGTCAACGAGATCTGTAAGGAGATAATAGATAAGTCTGTATGTTAGGAAAACCGATCTGGCACTGTCTATTTTTTTTATCCCCTGTAACGACAAGATGCCATTGTGTCTCTCAAAGGACTTACCGATCCAAGAAGGACAGAGAACTGCAGCCAATTCAGGAAAGTACGCTCATTGGCAAAGAAGACCTTGGGCTCCATCCTGACGGGCGCAGAGGCACGCTTGGGCACAGTCGAAGAACGCTTCTCCCTGAATCCAAAGCGCTTGCGGCGGATGGTCGATTTCTTGCGCAAAAGACCGTCCTCGTTATTGTTATCGTTGTTGTTATTACCACCGCCTTGGGCGGTCGCATGGTTCTTCTCTGTCAAGAACGATTCAGAACCCACCGAAAGTCTCGAATCTCTGTTGTTGTTGATGCGGTCGATCCATGGACGAGCTGGTGGAGCCATGAGCGCCTGGTTCGAGACCGTCGATCCATTGTCTACAAGAGGATGCGAGCCCGTCACGCTTGTCTTCGAGCCCGCCATGACCATAGGCTGGTTGTAAAAGTTGTTTTCGGTGTTGCCGGGACGACGGTTCGCAGCAGCCTTCTCCGCCATCTTTTGCTGGTACGTGGCCTTGTCCATTGTCTTGGGCTTCTTGGGCTCGAACTCTGAGAGCGACTTGGCGCCCTTTATCGTGATCTCCGAGCTACCCTCGATCATAGGACGGGGCGCAAGTGGTGGGCGCAATCCGATCTGGGGTGTTCCCACAGGCCAGGCGTTGGGCAAGAAGGTAGTCAAGCCAAAGTCAGTATTGGGAGGCTTGCGGATATCCTGATCCATCTGAGGCAGCCAGAAGGGAAGGATCTGAATCTTGTCCTCCAAAAGGGTGGCAACACCGTGAATATACTTGGAGAAGCGGGGGCAGGACTCGACCAAATGAGAGTTGATCAACTCGACAATCCAGGCTGGAGGCTCCTGGCCATGGTGAGTCTGTAGCTTGACCTCCAGGACAGCGTAGGGGAAACGGGTGATATCCTCGGCAGGGAGCTGCTTGAAGGGCCAGTCAATGCCAATGTCGTCACGCTTCCAGTTAGTGCCAGCACGGGCCCTGCCGCCAAAGTCGTCCTCACGAATAAGGGCCAGCTCTGTATCAAGAGAGATGCGCACACGGGCATCGTTATGGAGCTGGAAGGCAGTGCGGCGGTAGAAGGCGCGAATAGTGGGACGCATCGACTTGCCGACGATGCTCGTCTGAACCTCGTTGGCGAGCTTCTGCATCAGTTCGACATCCTTGACAGACTTTTGGCCACGGGCACGGAGCTTTGCGAACTTGACGTCCATGGTGTAGTCTCCGGTGAGGTATGGGTTGATGTACTTTGTCTTGATAGGGAAGCGCTCCTTGACACTCTGCTCGCCAGTCCACTTCTCGCGATGGACCTTCCTCTCCAGGAAGCACTGGCCATTGTCGGTGGGGGTCGGTCCATACCAACTATTGTCGAGTTTACAAGATGGATAAGATGGTGAGCACGCGCACGTGATAGCAGAATATTGGAAGCATGGCAATGGTAATGGTGGCGTAACCTCACGCGACCACCCCTCTGGCACAAAATGGGAAATTGGATTCAGGGAGACAAACAAAAAAGGGGGAAAGGGGCGAAAACAAGGGGCGAGATACAGGTACAGGCGCAAAAAAAAAATAGGGTTACATGGGCTATTGTTTGTGTGTAAAAATAGATAGCCTCCGCCCAGATGAAAGGAGCAGCGGGCCTTTTCTATTTTTCGCACAAACTCACACCAAATAACCGAGAACCGGGGATGTATTTGACATTTTGCTGAAGACTTACCGAATGCGGATAGCCTGGGCCATGTCAGTCTTCTCGAGACGCCCCTGATAACACTCGAAACTCTCGTTGTCGACATAAACGGAGGAGATGGCCGAGTCGTTTTCCTCATACTCCTTCTTGGTGTTGAAGACCAGCACGGGCAGGTGCTTCATGATCACCAGCTTGACCTCCGTGATGTTGTCGGGGTGAACCCAGTACTTGGTCGTATCACGCACGAACGCGCTCGAGTCCCAGTTGGAGAACTGATTGTCGCCCTTCAACTTTTGACCTCTGGCGGTGACAATGTGGTAAATTGCCGACAGGCGCACAATGACCGCATCATAGTTCTCCTTGTGAAACGGCTTGGTGTTGAGGCGGACATGGAAGATGGACTTGAGCATCCATCCAGTTTGTTTCTATGGGAGAAATAGCACATGAGAGTTAGAGATGATGAGAATACGTTTAAGAGTGATACAGATACAAGCTCTCCTTGATGATATTGGTAATGGAGGATGAAAGTTTAGCGCAATCGCAGTATCGCTGCTGGGCTGAGAAACACCGTCAAACAATGCTAACGGAGGTTAGGATGGATGGGATTCCTGTTATGCCGATCGCCAGCCAACGGTAGATTCAGTTCAGTTCAATCTAGTTCAGCCCAGACATGCGACTAGTGCCATTGATGCATACGCATCCACATGAGACGATATCAACGACTGCAGTCTATCGATCTGCAAACACTCTAGTTCCAATGCACCGTCCAGTTCCTTTTGACAATAACTGTGCACAGGGTGTGTGTAAGGTGTGAGCAGCCGGGGCATATTTGCCTTTAAGTCATGATGATGTGGGCTGGCCCTCAATCGTCCCCCTTTTTTTTGTCGTGTGATGGGACATTGTCGTGGCAAGATTGCTCTCAATGCTTTGGAGTGGACGGTACAAATAGCCAGGGCCCGCGGCAGAAAATGAAAAAAGGAACAGAGCCCGCGCGGTGTGCGATAATAATAACACTAATATCTGACCAACCCGCTGTCTAGGTCTGTTTATGATCCATTACTTACATCGTGCTTCTTGACGATCTTGAGGAAGCCAGTGTAGTTAAGACGGGTGTACTTGGCCATAACATCGACTTCGGCCACAAGGCGGTAGAGCTCGATCTCGAGTGCCCGCCAGGTCTCTTCTTGGGCTCCGTTCTTCTTGAAGTCCTGGGCCTGGGTATTGTAGTACGACAGCTTGCGCTGGATCTCTCCGATCTTGACATTCTGGAAGCTGTAGACCTTCTCCAGCTCACGCTCGAGCAGCTCCACGAAATAGCCCTCATCGGTCTCTGTCCAGAGCTGTGTGGCGGTTCGTGACTTGACGACGTTCTTCAGCTCGTCGTACGAGATATAGTTGAAGGACCATTCCGGCTGAATGGACTGGGCAAGGTGCTGTCCAAACTTCATAGTGAGATTACTGCGTTATGTGTGAACGTCTGGATCTAGAGTTTGGAGAGGGGCAGACAGGGAAGGATGTCAGTGATTGGCTGTGTTGACTGTAGGTAGTGGTAGGTGTTCAACGAAGAATGTGCAGGGGGAGGAGAGGGGTAAGTGAGTAGACAAAGGATATTATGGACGTGCAGAGGGCAGGGAGGACGACGAGTTGCGTGCAGTGCAAATTGGTCGTGTGTGTTCACTTTGTGGTTGCGAGGGTTGCGGAGAACGTTGGCTGTTGTGTGTCGTGCGAGTGGTGAAGGCATTCAGGGCACTATGCTTGGTAACATTATTTTGTTGTTGCTGAACACAAGTGTACACTAACATAATGAGGAGGGAGGGAAGGAGGGAGGGAAGGTACCTGGTATTGGGGATGCAGAAAGAAGCGGGAGATGACCAATGGATGGCTATGAGAGGGAGAGGGGGAGTGTGAGTAAGGATGGGAAAGAAGGAGGAGGAGGAGGAGGAGGAGGAGGAGGTGGTGGTGGTGGGAAGAGAAGAAGAGAAGAAAGGAAGAGCGAGATGGAGTGAAGTGGGAGGAAGAAAGAAGGAACGGTCGTGGTTGAAATATATGAAATGGCACTCCTTCACCACTCAGGCCTTTCCGATATGTACGGGGTGCAATGACGAACCACAGAAATACACAGAAAAGACGCTGTCGGTCGGGGCCGTTGTATATACAACGCACATGGTAAAATGACAAAAAAAGAACAACATGCGAGAGGCGCAGAAGACACGGACCTGCCTTCACCAATGGAGGGACTCCTTTTCATAGATAACACATAGCCCATAACCCATATCACACAACCCATCCCATTGCAACCATCCCTCCCTTCCAGGTGCCATCTGCTTCCTATCTACCGCATGTGGTCTGCAATGGCCCGTAGACAGATGGAGCGATTGTGATGGGGAGGGAAGGAGGGAAGGGATCGCCATCACGATTTGGAATCGCTCACACGACCAGCAGAAGTGGACCCAACACCAACCTGCCCGTCGTGTGTAAATTAAGTTGGAATTTCGCATCCGTACGATTTCTGGGTAACAAATAAAAATGCAACACCAGACGAGACAAGACACTATAGTTTCTGCAGCCGAGACCCAGTTATGGGCGGTGCCTGAGATGTTTGTCGCTCATCCATTATGTCAATCCATGGAGTAAACTCCAAGGGGTGCTGTTTATGTATCAGTCTGAGCGTGGTGCTTGTACGCTGCGGTGCAGGAACGAGCATGTCCAGACATGCAGTCTAGGATAGAACTGCGCTTTGCAGAAACGCTTGTTGCAGAGTGGAACACACAAAGGCTTCGCTGGGGACAGTGGAGGGCACAGACGGTTCAACTGGAGGGTTGGTCCATGTGGACCTGAACATTGCTTTGGCCCCAAAAAGAAGGCTGGGACATTAACTATATGGGGCGGATAAACTGGAGACAGCTGAGGAATACGTACTCGAACAGGGAAAATAAACGCGTAGACGACAGGGCCAGGCAGAGAGGGAGTCGAAGGAAGCGCAACTGACAGCGATGGAAAAAAAGGAAAAGGTGTTCAGTAGGCGAGCGGGCGACGGTAGCGTAGGGAGGACAAGGGACTAGGAAGGAGGGAGGAGCGGAGTGCGAGAGGAGAGGAAAGAAGAACAAGCACTACACCAGTAGAGCACAGATAAGAAATAGGAAGGGGTGCGTGAATCCAGTTGCAGATGCGGGTACAGGTGCGAAGAAACACTAGACAATTGACTCTGGAAGAATTGAATCAATGGAGATTAAAGAATGCATCCGTGCGGTCTTCCTGCTCTACTACTTCCTTACTTAGTCTGCGATGATCTGTGCCCTTCCCTCTGGGGAGAGGAAATCCATATCTATCGTCCCGGGCTATCATATGTGCAGTAGACAGCCTTTTTCGTTCCGGTCCTTCTTTCTGCCTCCACACAACCAAGCAATTGCCGGGCCAAGGTCGTTTTTTTTTTTTTTTGGTCTGGTTGGCAAATGCTCTGTGACACCTTGAATCTATTTCCAGGAACAAGTAGAATAGGTTTATATGCTTCATTTTATTTTTATCAGCTCCCCCCGCCTCTCTGCCTGCAAGACAAAAGTGCGGGCGTTGTCTTGTCTGGGCCTCCAGTTTTCTCTCTCCCTCCTCTTTCTCGCTTGGTTATAAACTAAAATGTGTAATGCCGGCCTGTGAGAATATGCGTCAGGCGTTTGGGCGTTTTGCTGTAGGATGGACACACGACCTGAAATGAATAAATAGAAAAAACTAAGCACAGAAAAAAGCTTTCCTAGACCTCTATCGTCCTGTTCAGCTAACTCCTGACTCCTCCCATAATTGGTCTTTTTTGCTCGTCGGCTTAATCCTTCCCCTTGTTTGTCCCGCCCGTCCCTTACACTGAGTCTCGTTTTACGATCCAAGACTTTTTGTTTTTCAGGCAATGGTCAGTTCGAGTGCAGATCTGGTATAGACCTGCAGGTATAGACCCCCCTACTTAGTTAATAAGCCAATAATGTTCTTGTTGTGTGGCCTGTGCGGAGAGGTACCCATCATCTAACCATTGCATCATAATCCGATGATTGGCTGCTCAGGGACCATGTCCTTTTGGGAGTTAAGCTGGATTCATTTCTCACACTATATGCCGTGGCACCATTGAAACCAGGGGAATTGATAAGTGAACCAAAGAGACCCCTCATGTTTTAGTCAGCTCGATACAGCCCAGGCAGCCCTTCAGAGTCAATGGTTTTTTTTGGCGGTAGTCGTGTGAGCGAGGAGTGGTCGTGTGTGTTGCGGAACGGCATGCATACCAGGCGCAAGATAAGGAGCGAGACCCTCCCTCCTTGTCGCGTAAAATAAATCCATTCAGCAGGAGCAACACGGACAAAGGGGAGTGTGACATGTCCAAATCGAGACTGCTGCAGTTGCCTTGGTCCTAGAGCCAGAACAGCTGGCAAAAAATAGTCCAGAGGGCTTGTCGCACGAAGTGACGCAAGGGTATGAATGTATCGACAAGGCCTTGATTTCGTTCTACATCTGTTCTGTACATTAAAGGGTGTTGAAATATGTAATCGTTCGGCCTTTCATAAATAGCTGATATTGAATACTACTGAGCAGTTTTTTATATCTATAGCCGTAGTGGAGACTGAATTCTCAGCTAAGAGAAAGAGAGAGAGAGGGAGAGAGGAAAAAAAAAAACCTAGATCAGAGCCGGGGGACACATGTACCTTTGTCATATTTATACGGCAATGGGCTGGGACTTTCTTTAGAGGGCCTGAGGGCCTATATGAAACTTGCGGATAAGGTGTCCACGCATGCGGACAATGGCTGGATCCGTCGTGGTGGAATTGCGCTCTCATATCTAATGCACAGAAAAAAAAGAAAGTTAGGTGTGAGCCTAGAAGAACTGCAAAAAATTGGTATTTCTCATCATTTACCCTTGTTAGTCTATTTGGATGGTTTGCCATTTTCTCAAAAGGCTCACAGATTTTATCTGCTTGTGTTCATTTTTGTTTCCACTCTGCCATCTGGTTGGCACATATTATTATGTCTGTCGCACGACAAGTGTAATGAAACGGCGAGCTAAGAAGAGAAAGAGCGGCAGCAGATGGTTGGTTAGATAGTTCAGATGGAATGGGCGATGAGACGGATAAAGGGTTGCAAACGCATAGGCACGGTCCGGGCAAGCATGCTGCTGCTGCTACTGGTAGCCTGTCGTTGGGGTTTCGATGAACGGGTGTGCATATCGCTCAGAGTGAAAGAAAGGGAGACCAGTATTCTGGCTTGTGGACATTGCGGACAATAAAAGCAACAAACACAGCAGCAATTTGGGAACCTCTCATTTTTGGTGCTCAGGATATTGATGTACGGCTGATATCTGCTGAGTAAGGATAGGGATGAGGTTGCCGTGGTCGAGTACAGGGCTGCTACTGCTGCTGCTGCTGTCGCTGCTGCATGGATCTGTTCCATGATGGAGCAGCAGACCCATGGGGGCACGGGTTTACAAGTGCTCGTGGTGGATGAGAGTATGGAATATAATGGCCAATATAAGTTGTATTCCCGCCCTGGGGAGATGAGTCCTATTTGAAGTGCTCCTTCTTCTTTCCTTCCGCCTTCCCTCTTCTTCCCTCGTTGACCTTCCCATCCACCTTCCTCCCTAGCTCATTCGCATCCTCATTCGAAACTCCATTCCCCCCATCACCATCCTCCTCTCTCCTCTCCTCTTAGTCTTTCTATCACTCCGCCTCCACGGTGTGACATATCATCTTTCCAGCAGTCGAATCTCAGTCATCCCCTCGCTTTCCTGCTGCTTCTACCCGTCTCCTTCTCTCGCCATGACCGACTCCACCACCGTGGGCCAACAGACCTATCTCACCTACAAGAGCCGCTATATCGGCCTCTTTGCCATCGTTCTCCTCAACATCTCCACAGGATTCGTCTGGCTGACCTACTCCTCAGTCTCAGACGCTGCTCAGGGCTACCTCAACTGCGACGACACCGTCGTCAATGTCACCTCGATCCTTTACTTTGTCGCCTATCTCATCATGGGCCCCGTCTCGGGTTGGATGTTCGAGAAGAAGGGCATCAAGAAGAGTTTGTTCTTTGGAGCCGCCATCCAGGTCATCGGTGCCCTCCTCCGCTACCTCGCCAACTTCGTCGAGTCCACCCCCGCCAGTCCTGGTGGTCGTCTTGCATTGACGTTGATCGGCCAGATCATCGCTGCCTCGGCTCAACCCTTCTTCTTGAATGTGCCCCCCAAGTACGCTGCTGTCTGGTTCTCCGAGAACGGCCGCACGACGGCCACCATGATCGGTTCCGTCTCCAATGCTTTCGCTGCTGCTCTCGCCCAATTGATCATCCCAGAGATCACCAAAGATAAGGATTCCATGTCGACCTCGGTACTCATCTGCCTCATCCTCTCGGCTGTCGCCATTATTCCCGTTATCTTCATGTCTGAGCGTCCTCCTACGCCTCCCTCGCCCTCTGCTGCTGAGGCTCTCCTGGAGACTGCAGAGGAGCCCTTCTGGGTCAGTCTCAGGAAGGTCGGCAGCAACAAACAGTTCTTGATCCTCATGTTCCTGTTCGGCACCTTTGTCGGCTTCTTCAACGCCTTCTCGTCGCTCATCTCCCAGTTCGCGAAGCCTTACGATTACAATGCGAATGAGGCCGGGTATTTTGGTGCCGCTATGATTGTTGCTGGTCTGGTCGGTGCAGGCATCGCTGGCCCAGTGATCGATCGCAACAAGCAGTTTAAGACCTTGTTGAAGACTATGGTTCCTCTTGCGACATTGCTCTACATTGTCTTTATCTTTGTCGTCCGCAAGGATTTCTTCATCGGTATCATTGTCGTCTCGGCCCTTCTGGGTCTGTTCTCATTTGCATTGCTGCCCATTGTCTTGGAGCTCGGAATCGAGTGCACGTATCCAGTTACGCCTGCCTCCTCGACCTCGCTCCTCTGGGGCTCTGGTCAGTTCTTTGCTGTCATTTTCTTGCTCGTCCTGGGCGCCCTTCAGGACGAGCAAAAGTCGAGGGACACAGGCATCAACCCTCCCCTGATCTTCATTGGTGTCTGGTGTCTGTTGGCTACATTCCCCGTATACCTCTACAAGAGCCCATATCTTCGTCTGGAGTCCGAGTCCCGTTCGCGCGCCGAGTACGCTATCAGCAAGCAAGAATATGGCATGGAGGAGGTCCCACTTGAGGACACCAAGTAGGAGCACGGTGAAAACGTCAAGGGCGTTGCATAAGAAGACGATCCACGGCAACGCCACATGAAATGTATATTCAGTTCTTTATATTTCTTGATACATAATAATATACCCGCCTCCGTCCATTTCCTCTATACCATCCATGTCTCCTTTACTGCAGATAGACATTATGGCAATATGCAATATACTGCTTTATCGTATTCAGCATCAAATACATAATATTTTGCAAAAGAACGTGTGCGCACGGATACGCACAGCACAGCCAATTGACGCGTTCAAATGTATCACTTCCAGAGAACCTATGACCCGAGCGGGTGATATTTTATAATAAGGGCCCGGGCGAATATATTGTCTTGCCCTATATCCTGACCCATTCCTTCCTATATAATCTTAGGACCTTGCCAACATTCATTTCCTGCTCTTTTCTGCTTCATGGCGTAAACAACAAGCAAGCCCCTACACGAAGCCAGTCCTGCTTAGTCCTTTCTTGATCTGTCTGACATCGTACCAGTCCATGTGGATGTTCTTTGGCAGCCTGGTTTTCAAGAGTGAATGTTTGGTTTGAGTACGGATGGCATGAGCTTTGAAAGGGTAGTGGTTGTGTTCAAAATCGCAGTACCAAACAGACCTGTTACAAATGCCTTGTAGCTGAAGAAGTTTTCCATCGTTCCAATCTAGTTGGCAAGGCGTCGATACTGAAGAATAGGTATAAATGGCTCTTGAGCAGAAAATGAGCCGGACAACAACGTGTCCGAAGGTGAGAGGTCGGAGGACGGAGAGAGCAGAGACAACGGAGATGGAAATCTCGGTTCGAAGCGGGGTTTGCCAAACAGCGGTAGGACGTGTATGTTCGGTTCTCTGCCCATCTATGGGATTTAGGAACTGACGGAGGAACGGGGAAGATTATAGAGGAGATGTACTCGTACTTGAGAGTGTGAGCAGAAGAACTAGAAAGCGATATCTACGGAGGGCTGCTGCGCTTCCACTCCATTGGAAACAGGAAAGAGACCAAGTAGAGACAGGGACAAAGGACAGTAATATGGCAAGAGATTGATGACCGTACCGAAGATGGCCTAGGAGACATCGAAGACCTATGGTACGGAAGCGCTATAAGGTTATACAAAGACGCTCTTCTCCCATCTGCAGCAGCCTCAAGACGCCGTTGAAGCAGGACGAGTGCCACCGGGTCGGCTAAAGCTCCCCAGCAATCATAAAGTCTGTGGTGATCGGCGTGGAGCCTGGCGAGGCGATAGCTACCTCCTTTTGCGCAATTGGTCCTCGACGAGTGAATGGAGTGCAGACACTGAAGATAAGTTGTGTTAGCCACGTTCTGTACTCGTCAACAATGTCGCACCTGTTTGCAGCGGGCAACTAGAAAGGCTGCTGGCTGATTGTCTCGAAGAACGGTACATTTGGTGCGCCGCTGTAGACCAAGGTCTCCGCCCAGTCCGAGAGTTAAGCGAATTGACCTCCAATCGAGCTCCCGTGTATCTCGAAGGTAGAGCAATCCGTACCCAACAAGTCATTCTCGACCTTGCCATCATATAAGAAATGTCTGAGAAGCTGATGATATTTATTCGACCTTCTGAGCGGCTTTTACGATCCCAAACTGCCCAAGGGATGAGATCAGGAGAGAACCAAAGGAGCAAAGAATAGAAGACTTTGGCGCTTCTTTGAGTGTTGAGGTGGCGGCATTTTGCCGTTGCAACACACGTCCTTCAAGCTGCTCTTTTTTTTTTTTTTAATACGAGTACCTCACCCCTGCAAAGGATTCGACATGTGCGGCTTTAGGCCAGGATGTTCTTATGCCAAAGCCCGAAGCAAGATACTTTATTTACGTGGAATTAAGATACCCCCGCTACGTGGATTGGGACATGTTCTCTGTGACGGATCAGACCCGCCCAGAGGCCGCTCCGCCGGCTAACTCGTTCCGAAATTGAGTTCGGATTTAGATTATTTATTTCCTGGCTGGCTTTGGTTCTCTATTCCCCCCCTCACACAGTTTGCCATACATCCATCATCCTCCTGTACTCCATTCCCTTCACTCCCTCCACTCCCTCCACTCCCTACTCCATCCCATCGCCATCGTTCTGTGGTCTGCTTAATCCTGCAGCTTCCATCCGCTTACCTCAACTATTCTTAATTACACAGCCCAATGTCGACTGAGGCCAAGAGCAGGAAGCCCGCTAGTAGGTGACCCCCCTCCCTGCGGTCGACAGCAACGTCTGCCTCGGCATGAAGCCTGGCCACTGTCGAATCGAAATCAACCAACAGTTAATCCAGCCAAGGAGCACGAAGTTTGCTCGGCCTCTATGACTCGTCAGCAATATTCGACCTGATATTGACCCCTCTTCTTTGTGCGATATGACTAGACACCGCCTTCAAGCAACAGCGGTTGAAAGCATGGCAGCCCATTTTGACGCCCAAGACTGTGCTGCCCACGTTCATCCTTGTCGGCATTTTGTTTGCGCCTATCGGCGGTCTGCTGCTTTGGGCGAGTGACACTGTAAGCCTTATGTGCCATCCCCCTACTTGCAGTCGCGGATGATTTCAGAGGACCTGGCCAACAGCGATAAACGGGGCATCATTATTATCAGAAGACATTACTCAGAATGATCAGGGGTAAAAATCAACACTGCGTTTGCAACTATTGGCAGCATTCAGCAAAATAGAGCTGAAGCATTGGACGCCGCTACATTTGGAGAATTGTTTGGCTGTGGCAAAGGAGCACAATCGCTGGCTGAACATATTAGAAGAATCAAGGAAGCCAAGAACTCAGGAATTGAGCTGGATTGCGATCATGGATATACGGCTATCCATGGGCTGTTTTTTTTTTCTTGGTGAAACAGGAAAGACAAAAAGTGCGTAGTGCTCACATTCATTACTGACAAACTCGCATCCGCGTGCTGAACATAGGTCGCAGAGGTCGTCATTGATTACACCAAATGTGACAAAGCCGGCCCAACGTTTGTCCCGATCCCGCAGGACTTGTACTCCGTCAATTTCCCTGGTTCCGCTGGCAATGGAGAGCCTCCAGAGTACAGGTCGATGCAGGGTGTGACCTCCGCCAACAATGCGACCTGGACCACCATGAAATGCACTGTCAAGTTCAACCTGCCCGTCACCCTGAAGAAGCCCGTCTTTATCTACTATCGTCTCACCAAGTTCTACCAGAACCACCGTCGTTATGTCAAAAGTCTGGATGCGAAGCAATTGTCCGGTGTTGCTCGCGATGCGGCGGAGCTCAAGGGAGGCTCGTGCGACCCCTTAGCAGTCATAACTGAGAACGAAGTTCAATACCCCATCTTTCCATGCGGCCTCATTGCTAATTCGATATTCAATGGTGCGTTATTCTGGGTTCTGCATGGTTTAGTATGTACAGTCGAAGAAATCTTGCACTGACCTCTTTACTAAACCTATGCAATTGACCTACAGACACGCTTGGATTGTTCTTGAACCCATTCGACGCAACGACCAACAATAACAAGTCCTACATCCTCACCGATACGGGGATCTCTTGGAAGGCCGATATGAGGAAGTATGGCAGTACGGGATATACTGACTTGAGCAAGATTCGACCACCACCAAATTGGAGGAACTTCCCCAATGGCTATTCCGCATCGTCTCCACCAATCGATCTCAGCAAGGACGAGCATTTTCAAGTCTGGATGCGTACAGCTGGTCTGCCCAATTTCAGGAAGCTGTACTCAAAGAACGAGCAGGACGACTTGACGAGTGGAACCTATACCATTGACATTGACATGAGTAAGTTGCCCGTCCAGCTACTACCACTTAATGATCAGTTAGAGTAATCTTGTTTATTATTTGTTGGACATGCACTAACTGATTCTCGCTCAACACTCATCCTTACAGACTATAATGTTACATCGTACGGAGGAACAAAGTCGATCGTTATCTCGACAGTGTCCTTCATGGGCGGTCGCAATCCATTCTTAGGCATTGCGTACGTGGTCGTCGGCGTTCTCTGCGTAGTGTTGGGACTCTTGTTCACAGCCCGTCATCTGTACAAGCCTCGTCGACTGGGAGACCACACATATCTTTCCTGGAACCAGAATGCTGCCTCAAATGCAGCTATGACAAACCCGGAGACATCTGCGACTGCCACTGGCGCGAGTGCTCGTTATTAGGCTCCAGTCCAAAAATGCTGAAGGCACCTCTTCGTTCATCTACACGCGTATTTTTATATTCGTCGGTGCATTCAATAAAATAAAATATCCAAGCAGTATTCTTCTTTCTACATACTCTGCACGTGACGTGGCTACTATGGGAAATTTGGGGTCCGTCGAGTTGGTCAGGGGATTCGCTGGGCGAGGGAAGATGACATTCAGTCTGGAAAGCTTGGTCGTGTTGCCCTTCCATGCTGCAAAGAGTAGTGGATAATTTTTGATATTTGCTGCTGGGATAATTGTAAAAGGGTCGCCTCAATAAACCGGAAGAAACGAACGATCAAACTATAATGGATATTCGAACCAAAAAAAGAGGCAAGGTTCGAACCCTACAGGCAACCTCTTCTTTTAAATCTAAATCGCGCTCTATTAAGGGCTACCCAAGCCCTTATGCCACACTACTCATCCGCACTTGTCGTGGGTAAAACTTCCATGTTCTTCTTTTGTTTCATCACTCAAACCTCCTTTTTTCATACTACCTTTCAACATTCCTACCATTCAGCGACTCCAACAAATCACTCGCCACATCATGTCCAACAAACTCTCTGAGAAGCTCGTCATCGACCAGGTCGATGTCAACGGCAAAAGGGTCTTGATGCGGTAGGCCACTTGTACGCGTTCTTTCTGTTCTTGTTTTTCAGTATATGACGCGATAACTTATCTTGTCTCTCGATTACGGTACGACAGCGTCGACTTTAACGTTCCCTTCGCTGACGGCAAGATCTCGAACAATGCCCGTATCGTTGCTGCCCTCCCTACTATCAAGTACGCCTTGGACAACGGTAAGCACGCACGAAAGAAGAGGATCATAGTTTAAAGTTACTTTGTCATATGAGAGCGCGATTTGATCCGATGTTATTCTTTAGCAAACCCGCTCTCGTTGTGTTTCCGCCCCCCACCAAATAACATTTCGTATCCTTTTACTATTGAAATGAAATGGGACCTTAGGTGCTGCTTCCGTTGTCTTGATGAGCCATCTTGGTCGCCCCGATGGCAAGAAGGTCGAGAAGTACAGCTTGGCCCCCGTTGCCAAGGAGCTCTCGCATCTCCTCAGCAAGGACGTCGAGTTCTTGGACGACTGTGTCGGCGAGAAGGTCGAGGGTGTCTGTGCCTCTGCCAAGGATGGCAAGGTCATCCTTCTCGAAAACTTGCGCTTCCATATTGAGGAAGAGGGCAAGGTCAAGGACAAGGAGGGCAACGTCACCAAGGCCACCGAGGCCGATGTCCAAAAGTTCCGCGCTTCGCTCTCAAAACTCGGTGATGTTTACGTCAACGACGCCTTCGGTACCGCCCACCGTGCTCACTCTTCCGTTGTCGGCATTGATCTCCCCATCCGCGCTGCTGGTCTCTTGATGAAGAAGGAGCTTCAGTTCTTTGCCCAGGTGCTCGAGGAGCCCAAGAAGCCCTTCTTGGCCATCTTGGGAGGCGCCAAGGTCTCGGATAAGATCCAGCTGATCGAGAACTTGCTCGACAAGGTTGATGCCATGATCATCGGAGGAGGCATGGCCTTCACCTTCAAGAAGGCCCTCGAGAATGTCAAGGTAAAGACTGGACACTTTCAGCACAAATCTGACGCATTGGGCAATGGATCAATTTTTTTATTCAGCATGAAACCTTGATTTGGTCTACCGCGTTGAGAATCCATCGTTATCGCTAGTGGACCCAACAATTGGGCCACGGCGCATTACTCTACATCATTGATTTTACTGTACCTAATCTTTCTTGTCTATTATACCGCTGACGCACATTAACGTATTCTATGCAATCTCATCATCCATTCAATTAGATCGGCAGCTCTCTCTTCGATAAGGATGGTGCTGAGATTGTTGGCAAGTTGGTCGAGAGTGCCAAGGCTAAGAACGTCAAGCTCTACCTCCCTGTGGACTACGTTACCGCCGACAGCTTCTCTGCCAAGGCCCAGACTGGCTATGCGACCGATGAGACCGGTATTCCCGATGGCTGGTTGGGACTCGACTGCGGTGCCAAGTCCAATGAGATCTTCAAGGAGGTTATCTTGGGCGCCAAGACCATTCTCTGGAACGGACCTGCTGGTGTCTTTGAGTTCGATGCCTTTGCCAACGGTACCAAGGCTGCCTTGGACGCTGTCGTCGAGGCCACTGCCAACGTAAGATATATCGGAATGGTTTAAGTATTCAGTCGATACGTGATATATGAGACGAAAAGTTTATTCTAATGTTGAATAATGGTTTATGCTGTATTTCCTTGATAGGGTGCTGTCTCGATTGTCGGAGGTGGAGACACTGCCACCGCTGTTGCCAAGTGGCACCAGGAGGACAAGATCTCGCACGTCTCAACCGGAGGTGGAGCTTCCTTGGAGCTCTTGGAGGGCAAAAACCTCCCCGGCGTTGCCGCCCTTTCCGTCAAGAACTAAGCATTTTCATCCACCTCAATATCGCCTTCTGTCCACCCGTAATGTGCAACTTGTAAATACGTATCGCAAAAAATAAAAATGAAAACCAACCGAGTTGGTTTGTATTCAATCGCGCAACAGTAAAACGTCCGATCGTCCTCTTTACTTGTGTTGGTTCGATAGAATGTGATCGACGGCGGCCGAAAAGTCTGCAAAGACTCCGTCCAGACCTCCGAAGGCATCGCGATCTTCATCCTTGGTACGGTATTTTCCAGTCTGAACGAGGTAGCGGATCAGACCAAGCTCTGCAGCACCACCGCCTAGATCCTGCTCAACATCATCTCCGATCATCACAATCCCAGAGGATCCTTTCGTGGGCGACTCCTTTTGTTCCGCTGGACTGGGTAGTCCCATGTTCTGGATCGCGAGCTCAAAGAATGCCTTTTGAGGCTGTTTGAAATGGCGTTGTGTTTAGTCGTCAACATGTAGATTTCCAGTCGAGTCGAAACAAAGCAGTTGATTGGATGGAGTACCTTGCCAACAACATGGGCCTTGATGTCTGAAGCATATTCGAGTGCCTCGACAAAACCTCCTAGACCGAGGGAGAGCTTGCCGTCATCTTTATCCGCAAAGTATTTGCCCTTGTGGACGGCTACCAAGGTCGCTGGTTGAGATGTTGACTTTGAATCGACGAGGAGCCGGAACGCCTTGTTCAGCTACCGAGTCATGAAAATCAATTTCCCACGTCAATACTCAAAATACAGAGGACGAAAACACAGACAAAGACGCCTACCCTGCGCGTCAAATGAAAGGAAAGACGCAAACCAGAACAATGGGTCATCCGGAGTGCGTACCATGTCATAATTGAAGCTGGACTGAGATAACCCAACAACGACAGAATCGTATGGTTCCGATTGTGGGATCCCTTCGAACTCTTGCTTCGCATCTGGTTCCAGAAGCAGGAGCGGTCTATTGTGATATGTAGCATGCGGAGGATATGATCAGTCGTTCCGTACTACTCGGTTGCTAGGACTTCCTGATGATCCTTCTTCCAGGGTGGTTCCCATTTTTCTGTTGAGGTGTTACCTCAGCCCGCGCGATGTTACGAGCTGTCGACAAGCGGACAGCGATGTAAAGACCTATTTAGATCATATTCCAACATTGCATGTCAGAGGACATACGAATCGAAATCTTTATGACGGTCCATATAGTGCCATTACCTCCTCACGATGGATGTCGAGTCCAAGCTTCTGTAACTTGGCGACCAACGTCTCCCCAGAGGATTGTGTCGTGTTTGTGCAGAAGCGGAACTAGTAGTAAAAAACCAAGGGAAGCACATCAACAACGTTATACAGTTGCGAGCGTAATGGAGCACCATCATCTCGATATTGTATGTATATGTGTGTGAGCGTCCTTACGGGGATTCCACTAGCACGCAGTCGATCCAGGGCTTTGGCGGCTCCTGGGATCGCATGGTCGCCGACGTGCACGGTACCTGAGCAGTCGATGAGGACGCCGCGAATGATGCTCTGCATCTCTGATCCGGAGCGTGTTGGGTGGTGTATTCCTTGAAGATGGAAATCAGGCCCAAACTGCGGTCGACGCGTGGATGTGCTGATCGGTAAAAGATGGGGATCGAGATGAACGAACGATTCGTTGCTGGGCTGAAGGATGAAGCGACCCGATCGGATCACGTCATTTGATTGGTCTGTGCACACAGACACCGACCTCGACATTGATAGGGTTGATATCGCCTACGGTCTATATCCATAGGACACGGTGCGTAATCAAACAAACGCGTTAATGGCCATTTCCACCAAAAAACAGATCCATGGTGAACCGTATTCCAAAGCGTAGGGTAACGCTCTGGCTACCGTGAGAGAACGGGCAGGATACACCACTACCGCAGATTCTAGTCGTCTTCTCATAGAGCGTGGTGCCCTTTCTCTCCCTTTCTCTGTTCATTGTATCTGTCTCCTACTTTCAGCAGGCTGTTCTTCCTCCTCAGAAATTATGAGTGGTGCATTAGCTACAAGTAGCGCCGTTGAGTCGACAAGTACTCGTCCGCGAACTTAGGAATGCATGCATATGCTTCCGTTTATAAGAGAGATCTCCTCAACAGAGGGCTGATAGTATTCATCCATAGGAGAAAGGAATTCCATGATAGCTAGGGTGCTTATGTCTCGTCTCTAAATAGACAAGGGCCTTGTACGGACCCTACCTGCATCCGAGATACATATTCAATTGTACAGAAGATACCAAATGTACAAATACAAGCGCGCATTACGATGGATAAAAGTCGCGTCCAGCACGTGTTGTCTGCTCATCGGCAAACCCACTTCATTTCTTTATTGAATATATACTCATTATCTCTGGTGGTTCCTTCAAAGAGTCCTACCAATAAGGGAGATCAAAGAGGGGACCACTGCTGAAGAACTATCTTTTTTTCCCTCCGTCAGCACGTAGGATCCCTGTCCTCCTCTCCCTGTTCCTCAAGAGGCCATAATCTAGGCGACGAAGGACAAGGGACCAGAGATGCAGAAGAGCTGGTTGGCGTCGGCGTTCTTGGCGACGGCCTTGAGGGTAAGCGAGATGCCAGTGGGGACGTTCGATGGGACGGTAATGCAGTTGGTCACGGAGTTGACAGTCGTGGCAATGGGGCAAGGAGTAGTGCTGTTAGCAAGACCGGCGCACAAGTCAGCAGTCTGATCGTAGACTTGGATACCCACTAAGTTAGAAAGAAAGAAAGAAAGCAGACATCGTACGCATGCGTGGAACCGTTAGTTGTCAGACAAATGAATAGGAGCGAGGGGTGACGAAGAAAGGGACACAGTATTGTAGCGCGCGGTGCACGAAAACAACTTACAGAAGGTGGCAGTGACGCGAATGGTCGCGCCCTGCGCGACAGGAGTGGCCAAGGTACCCTTGACAGTGATGCAGACGTCCTGGTTGACCTTAGGGGGGCTAGGTGTGTACGTGACGCCCGTGAGATGGAATTCATCTGATGACGAACCGCAGGACGAGAAAGCGGCGGAGGCAGAGCTGGCCAAAGCAAGGGCAGCGACGGCGGCGGTGAAGAATTTCATGGTTATTGAAGAGAGACTTGAGAGAAGGGGTAAGATGCTTGAAGCGGGCTGGGTTGTCAAGAGTAGATGGAGGATGATGAAAAAAAATAAAAAAAAAAACTGGAGAAAGTGGGAGGAGCAGGTCGTTTTATATACGCATTTCTAGGGCACACATATCGCATCGATGGAGCATCTGGGAGTGTAGGCCTGAACGACGCGGATGTGCGGGGTCCCCAAGAATTGGGATAGTGGGCGCTGTTTGTAGGCGAGATGAAGATGCGCTGTGGCATTTAGTGATTGTGTTTGAGCATTGTGCTCCTTTGCGAACTAAATAACCATGCCCTAGCACGCCCTCTTGTGTCATTCAAACATAGGCGATTGAATAGGCTATTATCTAGAAGCAAAACTGAAATGGGAGTTATTGTTCGGATAAAAAAAAAAGCTGAAGCGCGCCATTGGAGCGAGCCGTTAGAAGACAACGGCCTCGAAATCTCATGGAGGCGTGGATCAGCCTTGACGCCTTTTCTTCCATTGATCAGGGCAGCTGGAGCATGCATTGGTTGCCAAGGTACCAGTATAATTCACGTTGCATTTGATTAATCCATAGAAGCAGGCCCCTCTTTATCGTTGAGGGAGAGTGAATGAATAAAAATAACATACCAAGAACAGCCTTCTTTTCGCATGTTGAATGCCCTATTTCTCCATATTCATGGAGCAAGTACATGCATTATTTCTCAAAGGTAGTCGGAATCAAACCTTTTGAAATGTTTGTAGTAGAAAGTCGCGTTACGCATGCCAAAAAGTCATGAAGTGTATGTGCCCACATCCTCCCTATTCCCCATTCCCATGAGTGGGTCCGAGCCATTTTGCTCCACATAAGAGTATGCACCAAGTTGCCAGTGTTTTTGCCTGTGAAAATGTTTGCGCACGAAGTATGTGCACACACCCTCGCACGCGTCTTTACCCTACTTGGAATATGCGGGTCAAACAAATTGGTAAGAATCTTGCCGAAGTAGCTTTGTGGGTTACGCATTTCGTCTTTCTCCATCAACAGCTGTCAGAAGTCCAATAGAATGTTGCCTCCAGGGAACGCCGCCAACAAAGACTAACACAACTCAAACTGAATCGTTTACGCCGTGTGTACGAGCAGCGCCGTACACTTTGATAGTCGCCAGACTACTTGAGAGCTGCGTCGCAAGGGACCGACTGCAGTGCAGAGTCATGAGTGAGAGAGAAGGGAGAGGACGACCCCGTGTATCTTTTGTGCAATCATGTCCCATGTCACGGCGCATTCTTCTTTGTGTCTCAGTAGAATTGCAGCTCTCGAAATGAAGAAGATGTGCTCAAAGTAAAAGAAAGAAAAAGTCCAGGGTTCGCTGCCTTAAGAATCCGCACATCTATAATCGCCACGCACACCCATATGTTCAATCGCGTAGATGTTGTTCAAAGTGCTCCTCCTATTGACCATTCGAATCCTCCCACAACCGCCGCACGCGTGTGCACGTGCACCAGGCACTGTCCAATAGTGCGCCAGCTCTGAGTCCCAAGTGCGGTACCCTTCCTCATATACGTCTACATGTGCTAAAGCAGGCTGATCCTTCCTGGCGGAGGCTGAAGCCTGAGTGGAGGAATGTGCATTCCAACGCCGTGAAACAAGCACTGTCTGGACGTCCTTGCATGGTTGAGTTTCAAATTTATCCAGCTCCTGGTCGCTGTAGAACGCGGCGTCCGCGTTGTGGCCAGAAGACCCCGTGTCGCATCGTTTTTTTAGCGGCAATTTTCAGTTTTCATCACCCGCTCCGTCGAGGGAAGACACCTTGGAGTCATCGTTTCAATATGCCTCTGCCGGATCGGGAACACGAAGAAAAGCTGCCCTAGCCCTCTTCAGCTCCTGCACTCTGTCACTCAGTAGAATGCCGCTTACAACTGTTTATCCGATACCAACAGCTATAGTTTTTCCCACTCTCCTGGTCACTCTTCTATTTTATTTTATTCTGTTATGCTTGTTCGAGCTATTGAAATTCATATGATGACAGATAGCGCGCCAGAAAGTGAAGAGACGCAGACTAAGGAAGAAAGCAGAGGTGGACACAGGGGCTCAGACTAATCCAAGTCCCGAGCTCAGGGGGTTCACCGACATTTTATGTCCCATATTGCTTCTTCTTTGACCTCATCCATTGAGGGTAGTCGCGAGAATAATTGACGCGCCGAGGAACAGCGGAGTGCTTAACCAACGGCTATCTCCCACGCTCAGGTTCAAAAAGAACGGGCCTTGATGCTTCCGTAAGGTTGATTATGAGCTTGACCTTGGCTAGTCTACTAGAAAGTCTTCTGCCATAAGCTGTTGTTTAGTTGTCTGCATAAACAAATCGGGAACGCGTATCCATCGGCAAGCACATGAAAACAAAAAAAAAAAAAAAACATCGACGCTACGCAAGGTACTCGAAACATGTAAACCAAACGATTTGACTTTTTTCTTTCTCCACAATCATCCAACAAATAAGACGCCTGCATGCACCATGCTGCTTCGTGTCCATGCCCGCTCATTGGCGAGAACAACCCACCCTTTTCCTGAACGCCAGCCAATCCCGGCCCGAAGAAAGTGGCCTGATCTCTTCACAAACAGCCAGAAACGACGCGCCTTGACCCGCGTCATACCCTATCATCACTCGTATGTTCTCTATTTGTCATCCATCTTCCCAGAAGAGATGGGGCATAGAGAAGACACGTTCCTCTCGCTGATCCTCAGAGCTCAACTAGCTACCCTTCTAGAACTGGCTTGACGCCCTTGTGCCGCCTACCCTTTATTGTCTTTTCCTTTATTCACCCTACCCGAGGACAAAATGACGCGGAAAAGCAGGAAGCAGAATGCAATAGGACACCAACGGCAATATGTGCATTGCACACCAAAATCTACGCTCATATTTCAAACCCTCGCTCTCCGCTTCATCCATTATTTACAATGCAGATTTAAATTAACCTGCAGCGTCCGTGTCTGCACCACCGTGCGTAAACAATTCGCTTTGCCCCATCCACGAGTACTAGTCTATGCAGGTATTCATTTTATCTGATTCCAGTGTTCGCCTAATTAACTGTATCGGGGCCAAATGATGCACTCACACTCGCACTCGCTGCTTCCGCTGAGCGCGTACTACTTGGTTATACACCTACGACAATGCCGCATGCTCTCATCCGGCCCATTGATTGCAATCTGGCCCCTACACCGATCCTTACAAAACGATTGACTATTCTTACTATTCTTTTTTTTTTGTCTTTTATTAGTCTGTTACATGTATCCGTAAAGTCCTTCATCTTCAACACCTGCCCCACTCGAGTCTACGCCAGCCTTCAAATGATGCATCTTCGGCGGACGAGTCCTCACCCTCTGCGCACGGTGCGACAGCGGCCGCGTGGGCGGTGGAAGCGGTGGTGGACCAGGATTCATAAACACCTCCATTCCACTCGTCCGAATCCCTGTCGCCTTGCCCTTTCCATTCAAATCTTCTACTGAACTCCCTACAGCAGGCAGCCGATAGTTCTGCTGTTGAATCAATAGCTGTGCTGTATCTGCATCATCCGGCCCCCCACTTCTCCGCTTATACTCTAGCGCATGCTCGAACCTCATTTGACGCAATTGTTGTTCATGGTGTTCCGGTCGGATGGTTGTCACCAAAACTCCACTTTTATAACGACGTTCACGCGTGCCTCCCTGATGTACTCTGTGCGCGCTTTTAGGCGGCCGGATGAGCGCGTGTTCGCCTCTGAACGAAATCCCATCCTGTGGGAATTTCGGTCTCCTTCTCTGCTGCCCCTGTTCCTGTCCCCATCCCTGCTCGTTCCTATGCCCTGGTTGTAATTGTGTTGATCGGCGATGTAGCTTAAAGGACGCCGTGCTCATTGCCCGATGCAGCCTCGCGCCTTTATTTGTCACCGCTGCCACCCACGAATGCCTCGAAGATTTCGATACTGATCTCCTTAATGGCGCCTGCAGCAACTGTTGATTGATACCTGCATCGTCACTAGGTTCCTGCTCAAATCCACTTTGGATCTCATCGTTCTCATTCCCAAAATAATTGGCCCCGTTCCGCCTAGGCTCAAGCATTTCTGGGATATCGATCAATATCATTCCTTGCCCAGCATGTGAAAGCGGAGGTGGACGAGGCGTCCTGTTGCGCCTAGGCCCTGCAGATCGAGAACCACGCGTCCGTCCATCCACAAGGCCTCGCGCCGCGGCTTCTGCGGTCTGCATCGCCGCCGCTTTTTCATTCGATTCCGTCGATCTGCCACCAATGCTCTTCCTGCTCCCGCTTTCGAGCCCATGGACGTCGTAAATGCTACTCTCGCGTCCCCATGGACGCCTTGAACCCTTGCGACGAATCCCGCAACAAATCAAAGATCCCTTTTGCTTCCTGTTTCGTCGGAGCATGTAAAGACTGACGACTAGCGCCAGTAATGCCGCGAGTATCGCCAACCCTACGATCAGACCCACGTTTGACTTATCTGGACTCCTGTCCATTGCCTCTGTATTCCCACCACTATCAGGTGTCGGCGAAGGTGTTCTAAAAAATGTGAGGTAGGTCGACTGTGGTACAGGTGTAGTGGTGATGGTGGTGGCTGTCACTGTTGGATTCATGGCGGTGGAGCTCCACGATGGTATTGTTATCGCGACCGTGGTTACGGTCAGCACTGTTATCGTCGTTGGGAGAGGACACGAGGCCTGGAGACCACACTGTTCTCCATTTACGACCACATCCTCCAGTTTCGGAGTCCTACTCCCAGTGCCGTCAGTGATAATAATATTCACGAAATCCTTGACCAGTCGACTTGTTCCTGAGGATGTGCAGCTTACAGAGTTGGCGGTGATGGATATACAACCTGAAGGGATTGCGGTAAGGACGTAGCTGCTGGGGAAATGGATTGACGCGAGATATTTGGAGCCAGGGGAATTATATGCGAATTGAGAGGTGACTGTTAGAGAGAGGGCGATAGATCGCGAAGGATTGTCGTTGTTGTTATTGTTGGTGTTGCTGGTGCTCTCGATGGTACCGTGAGATGAGAATGATGAAGGCAAAGGTTGGCAGGCGAAGGTGTAGCAGCAGCCTAGATTATTCAAATGTATTATTGGTATTGTTGTTATTATTTTTGTTGTTGATGTCGTTGGGCAGGACTCAATAAAAAATGGCGGTTGGATGCATGTGTTAATTTGGTCATACAGCCTTTCCTGTAGTGCTATTTAACGCGTCAATGATAATAAAGACTCAAGGCTCCTTACTGGCAAGTACTGGTGTGGACAAGAGAGCAATGCTTGTGCATGCAATTAGGATGAAGACGTTGAAAACGGACATTTTCCAAGAGTATTGTGCGCCGGGATGCGTCTGTTTGGAGAGGAAGAGGCCGATGACACGCAGCAGCAGTAAGCAGTTTCTCGGTAGTCAAGGTGTGGAATGTGGAGTAGAGGGCAGATCAAGGACAAAGAGAGCACAGAAATAAGATGTTCTGGTACTGGGTACGAGGAAGCAGGTGCAGAAGTAGACAGGAATGAGGTCGAAGGGATTGGAGGCATAAAGGAAGCAAAAGAAAGGAGAGAGAATGGATCTACGAAGACGCTGGGGACCACATAAAGGTGCTGGGGATCGCAGGGAGATGCTGAGGATCGCAAGGGGATACTGAGGACCACACAGTGAGCGAAAGGGAATAGAATAAAAAAACAGGTTGCCCTTGGACAAGAGTTGAACAAAAAAGAAAGATGGGATGAGCTGAGGGAAAGGCCAGATGTGGATCCCATGCGTGGACGACCATGACGACAGGACGACTTGACGTTCAGAGGAAAGTTTAGCTCCATCAAGGGCACACGACGGGAAAGGACGTGCCTTCAGATCACTTTCGGGTATCTCCTCTTTTTTTTTTTTTTTTTTTTTTTTTTTTTAATACGTTGCCGCTGCTGTTGCCGCCATGTGCTCTGCAGCCAGCCCTTCTCCTTGGACTCCTTTTCGTAATTTCGCGTTCTCTCTTTTTTTTTTATGCCCTTCATCATCCTCCTCCTGATGGATTACCGAATCCATTCCTAGCCCGCACCGCATTGTGGTCCGCCTAGTCCTGTGGCACTCCACTCGACAGTGCACATATTGTGGTCGCTCCTAATCTGTGGTGTATTCGAGGATGAAGGTGTGGAGATAAAGTATGCGTCGCCTCGTCCATCTTCATTCATGCACATGCGCGGCATCTGTTGTAACCTTGCAAACATGCCCACCCGAGTAATTGCACCGACCTGAGGATTAATATTTACCGCCAGCATCGTGTAGATGGACGGATAGGCTGTATTACCAAACCTCCATTTTTCCTCCCCAGGGCTCAGTTTTCCCGTCAAGCCAGGTCTCCGGGGCTTGAGCATTCCCTCACCTATTTAATGACGGAGGAAGCGTATGCATAGGTCTATGTTGTCCTGAGTGGGCCGTAAATACGTCTGCGGCCAACAGAACTCACTCTTCACCTCCCCTCAGATCGGACATACTCGACCTCTCATCTTTTGACCGTTTCAAAATCTGCTAATAGGTCAAGGATATCTGACAGTGTGGTCCCTTTGTAGAACGGCGTAAGGGGGACCCAAAAGAGCGCCAACCAGCCTCCTCTTCCTCCCTTGGCGAGCCCCCTAAACACTTGAGGATGACGGTTGTACATGTCCAAGTATATGGATTGTGGATGATAGTGCTTTTAATGCTTGCATGAATCCTCTTGAAAACCTAACAGATCTCTCTTGTTGGCTCAAAAGGACGATCGAATTCGGACATTCAAAAAAGAAAAGGATGCATTGCGTCGCGTCGTTTCCTTCCCATACATGCTTTCTGATAGGTCCAGACGCGCTTTCTACTACCGCTTTTTGATTTCACCCACTACTGCTTCATGGCCTAAAACGCGTTTAAAATACCCAACACCAAGGGCATAGCCTCACTCCATAGAGTAATGGCTAGCACGGCCCCTTTCCTCCTGAAAGGATCCGTCGCCGGTCCTACTCTATGATCAATGGGATCCAGGTAACCCCATTGCAACACAGATGTCCTGATATCGCAAAAGTAGAAGTAACACTGCGTATGGTGATCGATTAAAATATATATGATGATATTAATATTTTCGGAGCTATGATGTGGGTATGTAGGATTGCCATAAAGTATCCGACCTCTCCCTCCTTTCCTCGTCCTCGTCCTCACTCCCCTGGTCCCCTGTCATTCTTGCTAACAACCCTCTATTATCGGTGCCTCTGATTCGCGCCCGCGTGGGTGAGGTAAAAATAAATTAAAAAATAAGGAAGGCGCGCTAGGCGTCAAGTGCGATGGATTTGATTCATTACTACATCCGATAAAAAAAAAATTAAAGCTCACTCCTGTTCCAACAGTTACTCCTCCCAAGGCCCGGCAATCACCCCTGAGGAACCAATCGGCTCGCCCTTGAGGTGTGATGGCACCTTTCCAGTGCCATTCTGGTGTTGCTGGTGTTGCTGTTGAAGCTGCTGCTGCTGCTGGTATGCAATATGCTGACTCTTGGTCCTCGCCAACAGCTTCTCTGTACGGTACTTCTCATAAAAGTATCCATACGTGATCTCCTTGAGCTCCTGACGATGAGACAGTAGCAATGCTGAACGAAGACTGCCCAGATCACAATGGTTGCTATCCAGGCAGCGCAACACGCCCCAGGGGAATTCACGTCCCTGGATGATCTTTCCTCTCTCATCTCGGATCTCGACTCCATCCTCCTCCTGTGCGATCACCGTAAATGGCACCAACGACTGCAAATGAGCCTTTTCCTCCAAGTACTCAGGATCCCAGTCATCTTCGTCGTCCTCATCCTCATCCTCATCCTCATCTTCGTCCTGACCCTGCTCATCTGCCTCCTCATCGTCGCCGGGGCCTTGTCTGCTAGATCTCTTCTTCCTGTGTTCATCGTCTTCTTGCTGCTGTGCCAGCTTCTTGGCCAGCTTGGGACTCAAGAACTGGAAAAACTGGATCTGGTGTTGAGCAGCGTCCTTGAGAATCGCCTGCTTCAGTCGCTTGGTCTGCGCACGTGTGAGGGTATCGGCGCGAGCAATGACTGGGATCAGGTTGACACGGGTGCCGAGACGCTTCAGGATCCGGACGTCCGCATCAGAGAGGCCCAAGCGTGGGGTGGCGTGGTCGATGAAATAAAGGCAGGCGTGGATCTGGTTGTCAACCGCCTTGGGATTTCTGCGGACTTTTCTCTCCTGTTGATGATTTAAAGCATATGCGAAATGCAGGTCGTACAAAATTTAAGAAGCAGCTCTATGATGCTTTGTACACATTCTGCATATAGTCTTTTCCTTACCTCGGCAAGAGTCAAATCGAACTGGTATTCAAGGTAGCGCAAGATCTCGTCACAATGCGCATCAATCACCTCGTCCGTGCCGACGAATCCAGGCGTGTCGACCAAAGTCAGGTTGATCTTTTCGTTACCCTCGTCAATCTCGTATAACGCCTCGAAAGAGTTCAAAGTGCGCTTCAGCTCTCCGGTAGCGTAGGCGATCGACTCCTTCGTTCCATTGGGCTTAATTCCCGTGCCGTTAGTAGGTGACGTAGGGGATGTGGGCGAGGTTGCTCTTTTGTCTGATGTAAGATCGCCACCCTGGAGATTGGCGGCCGAGGCCTTGTTCTTGAGTCCGCTAGCTGAGGTCCGGAGTTTGAGAGTTCCATGGAGTGTCCGAATGAAGCTGGTCTTTCCCAGACCACTGTATCCGGCGACCATCAGATTCAGCTCCGAGACTGCATTAGATAAATTTCGTCAGAAGGTGACGAGATTAATTGCGATGCATGCACATGAGAATTAACCATAAAGAAGCGCAAAGGGAAAGACGACCCATGGGAAGAAAATAAAGACGGTCGCGTTTTGATGACAAACCCCACCAGGACCATCGGGTAATTGCAGGTTGTGTTGTGAAGTTTGTAAACATGAACAAAGTCGAGAGCGATGGGCAACGTATAATGAAAAAAAAAAGGTTGTTCAGAGCATTTCCCAGAGGTCATCCAATCGAACGAGAGCGCCCACCAGTATATAGTAGGGAGACAATATGAGGAGTCAGCCCGACCCATCGAGGAGCAAAAAACAGTTGAATGGACAAGAAAGAGAGAGCAATTAATAGCCCCCAAGAGAAACCCACAACAACCCATGCACGCCCAATCCACATCGAGACGTCCAAACGTGAGGATACCCGAAAAAACGACAAAACGGCACCGTTTTTTTCAATGTTTCCAATCGCAATAAAAAAAAAGTTGGTTATTTCGTCCGTAATTTTGTTGCATGTGTTGAGGTCCAGATTGTTGTTTTTCCATCCATGCCGTAGAAGAAGAGTTCAGTTGATTGATTGTCCCCGAGGAGCATAGTAAGGAAAAAGAGGAGGAGGGGTTGAAGAAAGAGAGAGAGAAAGATAAATTGTTAGTTGCTATGGTTTCCTTGGGCTACCGCCACGCGTATGAGAGGTTCAGTATCTGCCGCGGTGTTGGCCCAGTCGCCCTGTTGACATGGCGGCTACTTACCGAGGTTCTTGCGGCGCATAGAGTACGACATGGTGGCGGGGCGTGTCTCCTTTTCAGTTGTTCGGTGGGGTGGATGGTTTGCGTCGGCTGGATGAGAGAGATGAGGAAGGGCGCGAGGTGTGCAGTTGTTTTTTTTTTTTTTTTTGGGGGGGGGGGTGATTGCCCGCGTGGAGTGTGAGGGGGGAAAGTGAAGAGATGGTTGGGTGGGAGCGAAGAAAGGGATGGGCGAGAAGAAAACGAGGAAGAAAAGGAATGGAGTGCTGGAGGAGGTGGGCGAGCGAGTGGTTGAGAGCACAGTGCGTTTTGTAGGCAGGCAGGTGCCTGCTCCTACCCTTCCTTGACCAGGGCAACACACTTCAATCGATGTTACACTGTCTAAATGCTCCTGTATACTCATGTACCTGGATCTTGCAGTCACCATCAGTTATGGATTTCGTGCTACACCCATGTCGACGGGCCATCGACCGAGAAACCCAAACATTGACACCAAACACCACCAGCTCCATCAATTGCCTTCCTTCTCTTCTTCTTCTCGACCAGCGGAAGAGATAACGAGGTAATACGCCCCTCCGCCCTCGTCTTTTGCTCTTGGAGCATGTCCCGTCCAGACAGCTTAGACCTGCTAGGCTAGACTGGACTTGCTTCCCTTTTGTTGGTCTATCTGCCAGTTAAGTTCAAAGGCCACAAACACCCTATTCATTCCGTCTCCACCTGTTGTTGCTAATACTCCAAGCGCTCCTGCTACTGATGGAGACATGCGTGAAGTATGTGGTTTCCCACCTGCGTCTCAAAGAGCTGGTTCGAGAGATGTTTAATCCAATTTAGGGCTCGCACCCTGTTAATTGCACTAATAAAACCATAAAGCCATGTTTCGTGATTTCCCCTGCCTTCCGGCTCTGGCATAGAGCACCTTTGTCTCTTTCATTTCTCTGCGCGTGCTGCTCAGCACTATCTTACATCTATCTAGTCTACATCGGGCTAATGAACCGATGAGATACTGTCTGTCATGTTGATGCTTAGACATAATTGCTCTTCAACAATTAACATCACCCGTCCAGGGATCAAAAACCTCTCCCCCTAAACGGCGCGCTCACACTCACGGCTCGCAAAAAAGAAATCCATGTCTGAAATCCACAGACTTCATTAGATTAAGGCCTGGGCGGAAAGGAGAACTCATGCTCCCAACTGTTTTCTGTCATCAAGCAGGGGGTGTCTGTGGCCTGGAGGCAGCCATGGCACATTCCTCCAAAAAAACTTTTTTTTTTTTTTTTTTTTTTTTTTTTTTTGGAGGGGTCACTCTCCACTTTTAAATATTTTATCTATTCTATCATGCATGGCATCATTTAGTCATCAAAAGGAGCATCAGTGGCCATGCACGCAAATCCCCCAAAGCAAAATTTGTCTCCCGCAGCATATGTCCATTGCTTCTGTAACAAAAATGCGTTCAGTAATTATATCTGATATATACAAGTTCTTGCTGTGTTCATTGTCGTAAGTTCAAAATAAAAGGAAAGAATGAGGGGTTGATGATGATACAATCTAAGTGGTGGTAGCGAAGGGACATGCAAAAGGGGACATGCCAAATGCAATTGCTTGTGTTCTGTTGTTACATCCAGATGGGTGCTCCTCCTCCAAACTGGTTCTGATTCTCTGACATGGTCGATATCCGGTGCCCATTCTGCTCCAGGCCTGCTGGATTGATGGTCCCAGAGAAGGAAGGCGTCATCTGCTGGTCTACAGCAGAGGGATCGGCCCAGAACTGTGTAAAGTCGTAAGTTGCCGTAGATGTAGCCATGTCGTCGCTCATTTGAAAGTCTTGATGATTCAACTTGCTCTGCGCCTCCATCGTCATCGTGGCCATGGTCATGGTCATAGGGATAGTAACATTGCCATGTCCTTGATTTGCCTGCTGATAGTGTTGTTGTTGCTGCAGCATTTGCATGGCATACCGGTGACTGGGGATGACCGGTACTGGCGCCGTTGCTGAAGGCGCGTGTGAACTGGCGCCGCTCTGCTCCTTCAACTCCAACTCGACCTGCTGCTTCTGCTGCTGGCGCTGAAGCTGCTGCTTCAACAATTGTTGTTGCTGTTGCTGTTGTTGCTGCTGCTGCTCCAAGTTTTGCACGTTGATCTCGGCAATGGACTCAGCCTTGACAGCGTCCGGGCCAAAGGTTTGCATTTGTTGATACATGCGCTGTTGCTGCTGGATCTTGAGTTGCTGCTGCTTCTGTTGCTCCTTCAGGTCTAAAGGACGCTGCTGCGGGGCACTGTACAAAGATTGTGCACCACCGTTGGTCAATTCCGGAGAGATCATCATGGACATCGTAGTCGGGGTCAACACAACGGACTGGGTCAAAGTCGTCGAAGAGGTCGTGATGAACGGAGTAGTATCCTGTGAAAATGAGCAGATGTTCGGTGGCGTTGAAAGGGCACCGAGCTGGCGTTTCTTGTGGTTGAGCTGACCTTCATTTTGCTCTGTCTCATTCGTTCCTGATGAACCTTGGCTTCCATTTTGTGCCTCATCCTCGGCTGCAGCCATGGATGTCGAAGCCAAGAACTGCTCAAGAATCTATCATTCAGGGGATGTTTATCAATATAATCGTAAGAGCCTTGATCGCTAATTTCGTGAAAATTAGGCGTGCAATTGATGGGCTGAAAGTTACCTTGATCCCCTCGGCAACACCGCCCGAGTACGTCGTGCAGACCAAAAAACCCTGGAGCACACTAAGCGTGCGCTTGTAATAGTCCATCGCTACTTCCGATCCCCGCTTATCATAAACTGCATTCATGGCGTGAATGACTCCGGCCTGCAACAGTGCATAGAGCGCAAAGCGATTTACGACATATGAGCACTGCTCGATGTCCAGACTTTGTGCAATGTCCGTGATGGCACGGCCTGAGCCCGTACAGATGGTATTGGACTGTGCTGCAGTAGGAGAGCCGGCGGCTCCGACGATGTATGGCCGATGCAGCAAGATCAGCGTGGTATTGTATACAATGTACAGATAGGCGGGGTATATTTCACTGCACTCTCTGGCCAGAGCGAGCGACTGTTGCCGCATTGAGCGCATGGATAAAGCAGGCGAGCCCCTCAAGATCCCAGGTAAGTTTGGATTCTGCCACCGCATGTCAGGGGAAAGGTTGCTTAGCCATGATGTGAGCGACCCTTCGATGAACGAGACCATAGAGTCATGACCGCCAAACTGTGGTGGCAGGGACTGCGTTGAATACGAATGCTGAAGCACAGTGCCCAAAATCTATCATGGGCGGGCACATTGATGACCACGAGAACGCGTTAATGATTTCGCCTAAGACAACATCCGTGTAACATTGGCTTAACAGATGAAGATCTTCCATTACCTTCACCAATCGAATCATGCACACAAATCCGCGGAGATCCTGCTGGGAGGAACTCACGCCCATGGGCAGCTCGACGTTGCTCTCCTTATCGTGCATCGAAAGGCCTAAGCCTAGCCACGCAGAGAATTGATGGTCCTACAAAGAATGAGAGGACGCGTGAGACTAGATATCCATCTGCGGAGCAAGTGCACATGGCGATAAGCTACATGAACGTGGCACTTACGAGAATGAACATGGACCACCAAAGGCAGCGCAAAGCATCTGCTTCACATTCACCAAACATCGCAGGATCGCGGTTGAGGCCGAGCTCGTTAGCCATGCGAATACCCATTGAGAGATATCCGCTGCTCCGAGTTGTCTTCCACTCGCCTTGGTGATGAAATTGCGACATTAAACATAGCGCCTGCACTGTAGACACACGAGGGACATCCAGAAAATCATCGAGCAAAAGCCTGGCGGCGTCAAAGAACTCCTGGCTCATCGATACCATCTCTGCGCCCTGCTTTGACTTGGTGGGTATCCTAGATGCAACTGCCAAGAGGGCATTGAGAAGCAGCGGCGAGAGTGGTGCAACAGCGTCTTCTATGTGCTCCGTATGTGCATCTGCATCCTTTGGTCGGTTCTTTGACGATGTTGAAGATGTAGAAGTTAGGGAACAGAGCTGGCAGAACTGTCGCTGCCATTGCTTCATGAAGGTAGACTTGTGGATGATGGGAAGGAAGGTGTTGAAGTGGTCGAAGAACACGTTTAAAAGATTGAGTGTGACATTGGGCGCAATTGATGGTGAAGAAGGGCACGATAGCAATGGCAAAGGTGGCTCCAGACTTTGGGCAGAAAACTGGAGGTGGTTGCGACCGTATTGACGTGATTGTTCCGGAGTAAGCCAAGGGAAAGGCACCGTTGTACGGACCGACGTTGTTCCCAGCTTATCAAACATATTAACCAGGGCTGCCATGTCAGCCTCAGACACGGGGCCAGGGTAGTCCTGCTGAGTAGCAAGTTGGTGTTGAATGCTGTCCTGCGAAAAGGGCAGCAGCGCCGTCAATGACCTGTTGCGTGACACGAGGGGCGAGTGGCGAGCAACGGATGCGACTGTAGCGGAACCAGAACGTGCACCACGAGCGACGGGGGTACTGGAGCGTGCAAGAATGGCTCGCATTGTTGGTGAGGCTGGTGGCTGCTTTTTGACCTCGACCAGGTCGGTTGAGTAGATGCTGGTGCGGTCGTCGTCATTGTCGTTGTCGTTGTCGATATCATTGTCCTCGGCCTCTGATTGGGATGCGGTTGCAGTGTCGGGAGTGTCCCGGGGCACGAGGACTTTCTTCTTGATGATGCCTGCAAGCATGCTCTCTATCTTGCCCAGTCTATCCTCGATCACCTCGACATAGCCCTTGGGAGGACCGCGTTTGGTGTTGCTGGTGGTGTAGACACATTGGGTCTTGGCCGCCTTGCAACCTCCGCAACCGTCAGGTACGCCGTCGCACTTGACTCTGCGTCGTCTGCAGTTGTCGCATGCCTTTGTGATTTTGGATCTCTTTGCGCCACTGCTCATGTCCAACATGATGGCGGGGTTGAACATGATGGGCTGGTGGGTGATGGTGCTGCTACTGAAGAGTAGTAGCAGTAGGGGATGGGGGTGGATATGGGGATGCAAGCGAGTGGTTCGAACAAAAGTGTATGGGAACGTGCTTTTACTTCCTTTTCAGACAGAAGTGTTTGGGTGTGTTGGTGATAGTGGGGAGCGCTTTGGCGAATCCGAGGAGGAGAAATGCAGGTGGTGGGAGATAGGCTGGAGGAGTGGAAGGAGCCGAGAATGGACAAGATTATGAACCAGGGTTGGCAGGGGTGCTCTTTTTTCAGGCAGCTCTCTTGAGAACAAAAAAAAAAGAGTATAAATAATTGAGATGGTCCAGATAATATTAATAAAACGTGTGGAGGAGTGCCGGGGATGGGATTGAAAGAAGATGGGGGATAAAGCTTGACAGAGTGAGACAAATAAGGGTGTGAGAAAAGAGACAAGAGGGAAGAAAGAAAGATGAGTGGGCGGGTGTGAGAAAATGAAAATGAAGGATGGAGCTTCTTTTTCTTGTGCGGGTGGACCACACTCTGGCCTGGGAGAGCATTTTCTCTGAAAGGCTGCTTGTTTGTTTGTTTGTTTGTTTGTGGTAAGTTGGTTCGTTCCTGGGGTTAACGCAAAATCCTATACAGCGCACCTCAATTGTCCATTCTCCTCTCTCGCAAGACCCGCATCTATCTCGTAGAGGTCTTCATATCCCCATCTATCGTCAATGGTATCATAGTGTATCTAATGCGAGTGGAAGTCTTCTCTTAGAGCCACACCCTAACAGCTTTTGCTTTGTGCAATTGCTCAGCTGGATACAGCCATCCATCTGTTCGTATTCCTGTGTTTGCTGTCATTTTTATGGTTTGATCAAAGTAGCGCAATACAGGAGACACTGAGAATGAAGGAGAGAGCACCATCCATGCCGATAAACAAAACAATTGTCAAAACCATTGGAGAACGATGCTCTGGTCTGGGAAACCTGTGCAATAAAGTTATCTGTGGCCCTCAGTGCGAGGCGAAAGAGTCGCATGATGACACAATTGCCATGTCTACAAAAACAAAGAATAAAAATGGCTAGGCAAACACCCTTTCCCCGCCATGCTTTCCACAGGCACAAGGAATACTATTCTGAGCAAAGGACGCATAAACAGCCAGCGCTAAAACTTAAGGATACAGCGTCATTCGCCCTGTTGATACAAATCCCGAGAGATGAGGTTGGACCTTGAGCAACTTGTATGAATTATTAATAATATCTAAGCACCGCTTACTTGAACGAAAAGCGCGATTTTTTTTTTTTTTTTTGCATCCAACGCCGAATCAGGATACAAAGAGGCCAGCTGGACTCTTTTTGACTGACTTGGAAAGAACCAAACTTGACACGGAGTAGGTACGTCTTTTTTGCTTTCAACGCATAATTCCAGTTATTCATAGGTCGATGACATCTCGGCGCAATACAAAAAAAAGGAGTTGTCAATTGAGTGCATAGTTTTCTTAGCGCTTCTACTGAGATACGTGCCGACTATTTCACATCTCGTTAATCCAACCTCCGACCAAGAGACCCATCGGCTCACCGTGGCCCAGCACGAATGCATGAACCATTCCCTGGTTGCAGAGATAGCTCTTGACCTTCGGGAACAACTCCATCATCTCGTAATAATTCTCAATCGGGCTCCAATCATCTGTCTTTCCATAGTAAAACACAAACTTCGATGCATGCTCCTCGATCAGCTCTTTGTCCATGATTTTGATCGCCTCCATTTCCTGGCCCGCCAGGAACAGACAGTTCTTGACCACGGAGCTGTAGAGCAGTTTCTGTGAGGTAACCTTGGCCATATCACTCTCTTGGCCTGTAGCCAGAGCCACGATCGATTGAAGAACTGGGGGTGCCGAAAAGATGAAACGAAGAGTGCTAACAGTTCCTCCCACGATGGATCGGATCATTGGCTTGAACAGATTCTGAGTAGCAGACATTCCAACGAGAAGCAATTAGATAAGAGCGACTATGAGTACAGTGTGGGCTTGTATATGCACAATGTAGGACATAAAGAGGGGTCTTACCTTCATTTTACGGCCATTTGGAGTGTCCGCGATTCGGTGAATGGTAGGAAACAGCTCGAAGATGCGTTCAATTCCATGGTTAGGGCGAGCCTTCAGCACCCGAAGTGCTAGCCAAGCGCCCATTGAATGTCCTGCAAGAATAAACCGAGTTCCAGCTGGATACATTTCCTGGAGTCGATCCATAATAGCAATCTTGCTCTCGACTTGCTCCTCCAGTGCGTACATTCTTGATGGGTCCGTGACATGCGCTCCTGCAGAGTGGCCAAGATGGGAAGCTGGTTTGTGTATGAAGGGATATATTAAAATAGGTTAGTGTGGCGAATGCAGCCGCCCACTTTATTCAATGCATGTCGGGGCATGTACCTCCAAAGATGTCGATCTTGCCCTGACAGGTGTCATGCACTGTTTGGAGGAATGGTGTATAGTAATCAATAAGACCAGGGTTGCCTAACATTCGCATTGTAGAAGTGTTAGCAGACTACAATTGATATAAACTAAACAGACAGGCGAATGGAATGGGTCTAGTTGGCATACCAGGAATCATGAAGAGAACGGTGCTGTGTTGTCCCCTCTTGGCATCCTGTGAGGACGTAAGGTGACCCCTTGCTGGCCACCATAGAGTAGGCACATTCTCTCCTTGGACATTCCAGATAGCGCGCACGGGACTCCTGAAGAGCGTGGCCGGGTTGGCCAAGGGGGTGGTGGCCGAGGAGGAAGGGGCTGCCGTGGTCATGAGAGATCGGACGAGGTGATGTCGCAAATGAGAAGTCGTAATCAGCTGTGGGGTGAGTATGAATCGCCAAGGGCTAAGTAGCATGCAAAAAAATAAAGGGGGGGGGGGAGTCCAAGGCGGTTGAAAGTAGAAGTGATGGAAGGAGGGGTGTGATCTCACCTTTCATTTTCAGGGGGATGTCAACGTGAACGGGTCATTGGCCTCGCCAGCACCCACAGCTGACATCCTACTGCGATGACAATCGCGTGTAGGCAGCGATTTCAATCACAACGCTCCATCTTCGTCGGCGGCTCTCATCCTTCCCATCATCCCCACCTTCACTTCCATCCTCAACTCCCAACAACACATGGAGACCTGGGTGTCTCCGATTTCCAAGTGGCTCCAGGGCAGCCATAGCCAACGCAGGGCGAGCGTAGAATTGACTGTCTCTGACCAAACGCCGATTAAGGAACCTGCCTATCTGCACCACACGCAGGCGCAAGAGATGCAACAGGCACAGGAGGAAAGAGAATATAGACAGCAACAACAACAGCACCCAACGAAATTACAGCTCGATACAGTAATAGCCCACGAATATGTTCGAGAACATAACGATCCTCAGTTGTCGGATCAGCAACTTCCGGAACAGCCTAGCAACCCCATTCATCCGCACAAGGTAAGCATTGAATATCAATGGATACATTCTGAATGACCAACCACAATTGCAACCCGTTCATGTCAAAGGCTCACACACGATTCATGGTGCTGATTATATCATCGTTCCGCTGTCCCCAAAGATTGCAACAACGATCAAAAGCGCATTAGTCGGCTCACCACCAGAGGAGATGCTTGATAATAGCAACCCAGTGATCGCCGATGCGCCAATCCCTAGCACCACCGCTCCTATCCAGCAGAACTATAATAGCACGTACAGCACGAATGGGACTGGACAAGATACCCAACAGCAGGAACAGTCGCATTTAGCAGATGATGAGGAAGCCAATATTTCGCCACATCAAAGGATCAGTTTGCGTTCGGTAGCCCGTGCTGTAGAATGGATGCTCAACATCAGGAATTCGCCCGCCGCGCCAAAGTCATCCGAGACAAATAGGGACCAGGACCAGCAGCAGGACCAGGATGGGTCTTCACCGGAACCAAACACCAAAAAGAAGCAGAGAAATCGCCGAAAGCCGCGACCGCCCAGACCTACCATCTCAAAGACGCGACTCAAGGTGTTTGTGGGCACCTGGAATATGATGGGGCAGATGCCTGATATCCACGACGGTCTCACCGGCTTCATAGATATTTCACAAAAGGATTCGAATCGGGCCTCTCATTTGAAGACTTCAGCTACGGATACGAGATCTTCTGGTCAGGAGCAGCGTCCCCACATGATCTCACCGTCAGCTTCAGCACCCCACATCTGTACGCCAGCGTCAACCGCTGCATCGAGCACCAGCACCGGCCTTCAATTGAATTTGGAGGTCAGCGCCGAGGCACCGCACCCAAAGAAAAGAGGCGGTCTGCTGGAACGGATACGGTGTACAGGACGTAGCCGTAAGGGAGAATTGCAGCCTTCAGTATCCGTCGGGCATCTTCCCATCCAACAGCAACCCAGCCCTTCTTCGCCCGCTGGTCATGCACCTGGAATTCTGAAGGAACCCTATCTGGAAATGAATACAGGCCCACCATATCACATTATTGCCATCAATACTCAGGAATGTGAACGCGAGATCAGAGAGGCTGTCTTGTTCCCGTCAAAGATAGTATGGGAAAAGCGTTTGCAGGCCTACCTTGGGCCAGACTACGTAATGATCAAGACAGAGACCATGGCGGCGTTGCATATTGCGGTCTTCATCTGGAGGCCCATCGAGGATCTTGTCAGCGGTAAGTCCATATAGCTGCGGTCTAGAGACCATTGATATGATGCAATCCGACAGTGAAGCATGCACCATAATACTAAATAAGCGCTGTCTGTGAACTTACTTCGATCATATAGCGGTCGATTCGTCTACTGTAGCAACTGGAATAGGCGGAATCGTTGGGAACAAGGGTGCTGTAGCTATCTCTATCTACCTTGGCAGTATGTCGCTCCTCTTCGTCAACGCACATCTGACAGGTAATAGCACAATCACCAGGGCTTCATACTGGGGTGCGCTACATGTTAGTCTTTGGTTTACTGATTACCCTATCTGCGACCTCAATTGGTATACCATAGCCCATCAAAGTAATACTCATGCTCGAAATAGTGACTACAAGAGGATCATCCATGAACTCCAGCTGAACGACGCTCCCAAGAGTTCACCCGGTCGATGGTACTTCAAGGGAGATATGCAACTTCGGCGCCACTACAACTCTCCTCCGGCACTGGCTCGACAAAAATCATCTCACTTTGGCAACAATGGCAAAGGTAGCGACGATAAGAAACCCATCGGCAAGTCAAGCAACGGAGATCTTGTTGAGAAAAAGCCCGGCAAAACAAGTCATTTGAAAATCAACACAGAATTGGCAGCAACTGAGCAGCATAGCCATAGACAAGAGGGTGCGGATGAAAACGGTCCAGCAAAAACCGAAATCAATGTCGACATAACTGAACAGTTTGACTATACGTTTTGGGCAGGCGATTTGAACTATCGTGTCGATCTATCGCGGGCTCAGGCGGAGAAATGCCTCGAGAAAGAAGACTTGGGGGTAATTTCATGCGGTATATCGTGTATCCAGTCATTCTGCCTGTGAGCTAGGATATATATTGATGTTTCTATTTTCTCATTTATACGCAACACTCTAACAGACACTATTGGCGCACGATCAGCTCAGCATTCAAAGGAATCTTGGTGTTGTGTTTGAAGGGTTCTCGGAGGCACCCATTCAGTTCAAACCGACCTACAAATTTGATCCTATCACACCCCTTTCTGACAGTCGCTTGCAAAAAGGCCGCCAAAAGACACTGCTCAGGCGACCCAGATCCATGACGAACTTTTTGTCCGAACGCTCGTTTCCGCCCCTCGCGTACAGCACATCGACGCTGTACCGATTGGAAAATAACAAGTCCTGTCCGACGCTTTTGCTTGGCGCAAATATGGGCAACGTGGGACCCACGCCCTTGAGGTTGTCTCAGGACTCTCATCCGTTATCGAGAGATAACCAGCAAAACAAATGGGCCCATAGCAGTGATAATAGCAGCAGCATTGGCGATCGCAGTGGCAATGGTAACGGTAGAGGCAACGATAAAGAAGACGAGGACATCAAGCACAACGACTCAGACCAGGAGCAAATATTTTCGGATGCTGAATCCACTGTCGAAAGTCATCGCAGAGTCCCAGCCCGCGGACTTTCTGTCTTGGAAGCGGTCAAGTCTATTCAGCGGCGTCAATCATCATTCCTCGGGTCGCCTAGCTCTCGTCAACATCATCAGCGTCGACATTCGAGCGAACACTTGACCCAGTCCGCCAATCTAAACGGCAAAATTGAAGACGCTATGTTCAGTCACGAACCGACAGATTCAATGAGGACGAGTTCAGTATCGCCGGACATGAACGGCAGGGAAAGCGAAAATAGCCGTTCAGCGAAATTCTCCAAGGATGACATGGAAGAGGATCTACGGCAGGAGAAGGAGCGCTTACTGAAACTGGTTCGATACGACACCAGTAGCAAGCAAAGGGTTCCATCCTGGACAGATCGCATTCTGTGGAAGTCGACCGGTGGGAATCATTATCTGCCTGCCGAGATTGGAGACGATACCAGGAGTAACCAAAATAGCAGCCATAGCTCTGGCAGAAGGAAAATTGGATGGGGTTTGTTGAAGAAGAGCCGGTCTAGGATTCTTGCCTCTGACGGACAAACCTTGTCGCCACACGATGAGCAAGACGACGATACATGCATAGAAAAGGAGGAGGAGGATGCGCGCACAGGTGCGCAGCCTCTAGGAGCCGAGTCAATTTTGAGGTTGAACAAGAAGAAATCTAAGGATTCAGGCTCGGATGGCAAGAAGAGGCTGCTGGATAGTCTTCGGACGGAGTTTCATCATGCAGGGTCCAAGGTCAAGCGGGACTCTACTGCGCGATCGACGATGATGTCGGAAGATGACGAGGATAGGAAGACTGTGATTGTAAAGCAGTATGCGGCCCACCATGACATTGGCTTGTTCTCGGATCATCGGCCGGTAACAGGAGTGTTTGCTGTTCGTTTCGACTGGAACCTGATGGACCGGGGAGTCATCGGTGGAGGCGCTCTCAATGGGGCTACAAGTGGCCCCAGTCGGTGGAGTCCTCTGGACAAGGTTCTTGAGAAAATGGCCAAATAGATATCGATCAATATGACCCTAATACATGTGCTGCACACATTCCAAACGCGACCTTGACGCGTTGTGAGCGGTGAGCATTGCCCTTAAGTGATTTTTTGGTGAAAGACTCTCTTGCCCCACTGAAAAAACTGCTGCTTTATATTCAGCGATCACTCAACTACACTTGCCACCGATCGAGCACAGCCAACTCGCATACAGGAAATCCGACCATGGCCAGCAATAGGTGATTTATCGCTCCATGGAAACAACGCCATCAACCTCCCGAGACTGAAGCTGGAATCAACAAGAGGTATTAACGATTCCTCCTTCATTTTGTTCATTGTACCTGGTTTCTTTAGGATTGTCACCTCTACCATCATACGTCCAGAGACCGACTCCAGGGACTCACGCAGGAAACGCTCCTTCCCAGATGCCCCCGAACCAGCTCGCCGTCGCTCTAATATCGCCTCCCGCCTCGGCGACCCATCCTCTTCGACCTTCACAACCACCACCGACTCTGCAGAACTACCACGCCGTCTTAGCACCAGCGGATCAACAGAACATGATATCACGACTGAGACGCCTGCGACTACAGGGACTCAGGATCCAACCTCCGACAACACACATGACTCCACCATGGATACCGATGTCAACTCCGAGGACCGCACAAAGCGTCCTCGGCCCTCGTTGCAACCTGTTGAGGATGCGAAGCGTGGCCGGCGGATGATGGGCATGATCCTCGGAACATTATCGCAATTCAAAAAACAGGAGTCTTCATCTGTGGGCGAAGGCAGGAGCTCCGGGATGGCCTCGCGCGAGGCACTACAAGAACGCGTGCGGGAGAAATTGAGACGGGAACAGGCCCTGAATGAGGAGTTGAGGAGGAAGGAGAGGGAGGAACGGGAGGAGCGGCTTAAGAAACAGCAGCAACAGCAGGCGATTCGATCTGTGGGTGGCGCGAGGGTATGTTACCTTCCCCCTTTCCTTTTTAATTGGTCTATGAAAGCATTGGTCATTGACGTTGTCTGAAAGTGGGAGGTTGGGACTGACATGTATATGCCTTTGACTATTCTTGCGCTTATTAGACGAATCAGAGGAGAGGAGATGCTAAGTGGGAGAACGGCTATATTTTGACGGACACAAGGCCCCGATTGCGATACATGCCCAAAGTCATGAACGATGCTACACGGGAAAAGTTTGCTTCCCAGAATCGAGGACAACGACAGGGCCATCCGGGATCATCATCACTACCAGCAACGGAATCCGCAATGGAGCCAGCACCAGAAGCAGACAGCACAGGCGTAGTTGTAGATACAGAAGATGTCTTCATGGATAGCGCAAAGGATGGGGAAGGCAACAAGGAGGATGAGAGTCCAGTTTCTTCTGCGATCGTAAAATCGTCTCCAACAGAAACGAGAGACAAGAGCTTCATGGATGTTGACTTGGCAGACGGAACAGATACAAAATCGAAAGTGGATGTTGCCGATAATGCGGAGAATACGGGCGATAAGACTAAGAAAGACGACCTGATCAACATCAGCCTTGTTTAGACGCTGCTTAATAAACTATCGCACACTGGCCTCCTCTGTCCAAATCGCACTCTTTGGACAATACTATACTATGTTTATTACTGTACTATACAAAAACGTTCCTTGTGTAGACTTCATATGCTTTGCTTAAGAATAGCGCCACGATGAGCAGGGTATATGGCATTTTGTTTATGCCAGGGCCCATCGACTGCCGTCGAAACCTGCGCTCTCTAGCACAAAGACCATCCACCATTGCACAATTGCCGCGATATACAGCAGCAACATCCATGCTACTTCAACATAGACATTCGACGTCCAAGACCCCACAGCGCTCGAAAAGTGCCCCTTCCCGGACCGCGCAATCTCCCGCTTCGCCTCATCACGAGTCTTCTCCTGCTCCTCCCAGATACTCTCATCCTCGAGCGTATCTTTCCACGCGGTCTTGAAGTACACAGCGCTCGCAGAGTTGTCGCCGGTCGGCTTCCGCTCCATCTCTTGCTTGCGACGTAGTCGACGTTCACGCATGGGCTCATCGCGCTTCAGGAACGACTCCTTTGCGGCTGAGATCGATGCAGCCAGATGATGGCGGGGCTCTGCGGCGACAATGCGCTCCATCACCTGGACCGCACTGACGACACATCCCTCCAAAAGCGGGATACCTGGGTAGGCGTAGCTTCCGACGAACCAGACGCGGTCAGAAATTGAGGCCGACTGAGTTCCCATCTTGGCGGCAGCAAGAAGACGTTCGACCTGATCCTCCATCTGCTGGTTCAGTTCGTCAACGGCCTTCATCGATTCTGGGTTGACAACGGCGCGCTCGAACCAAGCTGAAGAAATGACGGTCTCGGGCTTGGGCTGGAAGATCGGATTGGTGGTCTGGAGGAACTTGGTAGTTGTGCCGAGCGACGAAGCCGTGTTGTTCATGATATGCGTAGCCATTGCAGAATTGTAACTCTGAGAAGCAGTCGATGTGGGGGTAGTCGAGCCGCTCTGCCACTCTGGGCTCGAAATACCAGAGTCATGGCCCTTCTTCCTGTTCTTGAGTTCAGACTCACCACTAGTGATAAATGATTTGATCGAGAACCTAGTGGATCCTTCACGCTCCCGTTGTTGCTCCAATTCGGCGGTGACCATGTCAAAGGGCGAGGCAAGGATGTTAGCGGCAGTAGATTTGGCAATATTCAGCAACCTCCATGAACCAGGATCCTTGGGCAGGAACGACGTATCGGTATGGCAAACAACCTGCGTCCTCTCATACGGGAACTTCAGCAATGTCTGAATCTGGCTGTAGAACGGGTGACTCTTAGTAATCGTGTTCGCGGAAACATCCTTGGGCGTCTCTGGGTCCGTCAGGTCATGGTCCTCCATGCGTCCATAATTCGATTCGTCATCACCCTTCTCTCGCGCGGTGACATAGGGCTTCGGCAAGGGCTTGCTCGCCTTCTGACCCGCCAACATTGTCGCAGCCTGGTTCGCCTGGGTGGCAAAAATGACGTGATCAAACTCTCTGTGCACGCCCTTGGAGTCGATCAAAATAATGGGTCCAGTCGCCTTTCCATTCTCAGATTCTGACTCGATGATCTTCTCGACCATGCTGTTGTAGTGAATAGCGCCAATATTTTTGGAGAGGTTCTCGGTCACTTCCCTGACGCCCGAGGAGACGAACTGCATACGACCAAAGGGCATGCACCTTGCAACGTACTCGAGGACTACGCAGGCGGGGTACTCCATCATCCGATCAAAACTGCATGTGCAGACACAGGCAAAGAGTGGAACAAAGAATGCCGAAAAATCGTGACTGTATCCTCCATTAACCAGGAACTCCCGCAGATTGGCCTGGCGTCCATTGCCCCACTCGGATGGATCCTTGCCAATCTCCATCATACGTCCTTGGGTCATGAATTCTTTCGATACCGTTAACATCTTGACGTAGTCGCGAGCGATGCGGAAATAACCCAGGAGACGACGACCAAAGGGGTATGGGTTGAGGATCGAGAGCGGCGGTAGATCTGGCAGGGTGATGGTATGGTCTGAGCTGACTTTATAGGATCTGGAGGATAGGTATGGTGCCTTGATGTTGACATTTTGCTTCAGTCGACTGGATTCTGAAGAGGGCGTTGACGAGGATGTCCGGGAGTCAGAATCGAAGGTGACATCGAAGCATGCAAGAGTATTGTCTGCATCGTGAAACTTGACACCGATGGAGCGGTAAAGACGAACGAGGTTAGGGTAGTATTCTACGTATGCCAAGATAAGATATCAGTCAAATAAATAAAAAGAACAAGATCGTTAGTATGATGTCGATCAAGTATCACAAAAGGGGCATTATGAGAAATGCGACGAGCAATTGTTGTAATGTTGTAGCTGTGCAACACGGCCGTTGAGAGATGAGCGTCAATTGCCGAACGTTAAAGTCAATAAAGTTGTCGCTGTCAGTGCATGCGGGATGGATCCCCGGCATTCGGCAGCAACTTCCTGCCGGATGAACACGCAATCAAAGAAAAAAAGATACTGACATTCATTCCCGCCAAAATATATCATTACAAACAAACAAAAAAAAAAAAGAAAAAAAAAAGGTGAATCTGATCGGACTCCGTCGATCACATCCGTGTGTCCTTTTATCCGTGATGTCTCTTCTTCTTTACCTGCGAAAAAACTGCGCATGGGTACGTCCATTCGACCCTCGACATGCTCGTGGTTCGGGTCACCATTGTTGCGTCCGGCAGCCAGTGCACATTTCTGGCAGGGGCAGGTCACAGAGAGGGAAGCAGCGTCCATTCCTAATGCCAAAAATGAAGTTTTTTTTTCAGAAGTGAGCATTTCTTGGTTATTATTTAGGATTTGAAATCAATAAGCATTTCCTTCCCCAATCCATAATGTTGAGGCTGTACACAAACAGGCAGAGCAGTGCAGGCTTTGGATCGAATTGACAAACTCCCTCAACGCAACTCAATCCTTCGGTCCTCCTTACCTAATTTATGGGCCTTCTCAAACAGCTCGACCTCGATTTCTACGGCACCATGTCCATTGTCCGAGTGCAAAGACGAGAGCAAGTGGGCGACGGTCAGGCCAGCGAGTCCAGACCCAATAACAGCGACTCGCAGCTTGCCTGCTGGTGTTGGTGGCGAAACATCTTGTGATGTCTTGGTGTGATTGGTAGGGGCGGTGTGTGGGGCAAGGGAAACGAGGTCATTGGCGCTCGGAAGCCTTGAGACAGGGCTTGCATGGGGATCGTCCAAGTGCTTTGTAAAGATTGAATCCTCGACCAGGCTGGGGGGGGAGGGGTTTCGAGTCAGACTGGCGGGCATAGCGTACGGATAATGTTAAGTGTGTGGGATTTACAAAAAGGAGGCGAGTGTTGTTGGTCGACAGGTCAGCAGAGTGTTAGAGTGAATGAAGAAAGGGAAATGCAGAAAACGGGGTAGATGAACAATCTGAATGAGGAGTACTCAGGCAATCCTCGAATACAAGGGCGGTATTACTGCAGAAAATAAGGTGCGCACGCGAAAATGAATCTCACCCCGAGTTTTCCCCAAGCGCAGATTGCCTCCAGATTGCACCAGAAGGCCTGGTTCTTTATTTTTATTTTACAGCAGACTGTGGGACTATGTTACAATCGACAGCTCGACCTCTCTTTTACTGTGGAGTAAGCAATCGTAGTAGGAAGGCTACGAAACAGTCATGTCTTGCTGCAATTCCTTTCCCTCGGGAACGAGCACGTCCTGCTTCATAGCTGCATTCTTCTGTACCAGCTTCTTCGCCTGCTCAGTCGACAGCTCTTCCGTAAGCGGCGAATTCGCAGCAGACGGCTTCTCAGGCTCCCAGCGATCGTTCTCAATACCCCTCCCAGGCATGCAAAAGTACCGTCTAAAGGCCCCACATGCAGTACAGGTTACCACAGAGTGCAGCTGAGGTGTGGCTGTCATACAGGGGTTATCAAACACACACGAACACGCACATGTTAATAAACGATACTCTAGCCCTCAGCGGCTCTTGACATCATAAGCGCAGAAACGCAACACACACCTCGGATTCGCACTTCACAGCTGACAGACGGAATCAATAGGGCCTCGCATCGCAGGCAAATGGTTCTCTTAATAGCCGGCCCACTATCATGGAAACGTCGCAATTATTAATAATCGTCAACATGCATACGGAGACGACTTTCCTTGTTTCTTCTGATTCTTTCAAAGGATTGAGAGCCGCATGCGCTCATCGGTTTCTGCCCTACAGCGAAAAGATTAAACCACTTACACGCGAATAACATTCTTGCGACCGATCTCGCGCATAGTTGACGTATAGAAGCGAGCAGTTCCTGAGAGCGGATGCAGATCGTGGTCCCTATTCGAGAATGCCAAGCCGTGGTGTGCTTTATCCTTGCTGATTTGCTCCATTGCGATCTTGTTCTTGCGCTCCCGTAATAACTCGCGTCTCTTTCGTCGACTCAACTTGCGAGGAGGCGTACCAGGTGTTAAATTGGCTGCAGTTGTTGAGGTTGCAATGTCTGTGCGCCTGGCAATATCGGTCATATCCAGGTCCGTACCCTGTGCTAATTCTAGAGCAACTGTGGCTTCATGCTCCTCCACTGTTATGACATTGGAAAGTGTATTGTTTTTGGCAACAGTGCTCGAATCCGTGGTGTCATGCTCGTTGGCGCCAACTTGAGTTGATGCCGAAGGTGTAGTGATGGTCGCCATAAACATGGCGGCCTGGTATAAAAAATTCATTCGCTGAAAGATCTCACGGTTCTGTACCGCACACTCGCCCTTCTTGTCCTTTTTCGCCATTCTTATCGACTTTATGTGCTTCTGGCGGTTGGTTTGGGCAATACAGCGAAATCGAGAAAGTGGCTAGCCTTGGTTGCTTGCACAGAATAAAGCCTTGTCGTTGTGGGGTCTTTACAAGCCACGAAATCGTAAACATGCTGGACTGCAGGGAACTGATACCGCCTTGGTACTGATCTGGCGCCATCCTGGGGCCACTCGAATGCAAAGCGCCTGACAGGACAGTTGTTATTCCACAACTGTCTCATATGTCATTAGCCTTGAGTCTTGATCTCGTATTTTACGATAAGGCCTTTGAAACACGCCACCAATTTTTTTGCTATATATACACCGCCATATTGGGCCCATGGCCTGTAACACGACATGACCAGCCGACGTCCATTCACTAGGACAGCGACCGACATCTCGCTTCTGCCACCACAGGCACTGGGATTTACCGTCTCCGAGCAAGCGGTTGCCGGTGGATTCCTGAATGAGTATTTGCCAGGCTCCGAGGCATTGGGACGTAGCCTCGCGGATAGACCAGTGCATGTCGTCCCATACCTGACCCCGCACAAGGTTTCGGTCCTCATTTTGATCGAACACTATTGTCAGAACCAGTGCCCTCTGTCTTCAGCGCAAAACTTGTTACTCTTTCTTCTCAAATGCATTCAGGTACTGTATTGACATACCGAGACTTTTTTATTGCTGCAGGGTCAAATCGTCAGGATGCTGACATTTTTTCGACACGACACTTTGAGCATAGGACCCTTCGGAGTATCTTCAGGACAATGTGAACAAGTTTGGTGTTCAAGTAGAGGCGGAGGCAGGAGCCGATGCATGGAATCATCTTCGTGTCACTGTAGGTTGCACAACCACTCTGGATAGGTATGTGTATTCATTGGTGCATGTCCTCACTCTGGCTTCTTCTGTATTTCTTAGTTGAAACGGATCAAAAGCCCGCACCATCTTCGAGATTTTTTCTTGGAAAAGCTGGAACTGGATGTCACGGATCCCAAAGATGTCTGGCTTCGAAAAATTGGTCTGAAAGATCTTGTTGTTCCGCGCGAAAGAGTCATGGTATAACCTATAGGAAAATAGATTAAAGCCTTAAACAGTAGCATAAGGGTGTTACGGAAATTAATCTGACATTTATCTCGATATTCATAGGCTGAAAACCGGGAAATCACACTGGTATGAGGCGTGGGAATTGATCAAACGGAGTATACCGAGAGAGCAATACGGAGTCATGGCGAGTGCTGATGTACTGGACTTACCAACAACATCACTAGGATCCAGCAAGCATTATGGGCCTCTACGTTCGCAAGGCGCAAATCGAGTACAAAAAACTGGAGTTCGAGGAGATGTGCAAGTTTTATACCGCACTCGAAACTTACATCACAGCTCTCGACAAGAGCAATCACACTTCTCAGCTGAAGGATCAACCTCCAGCCTCATCTGAAGAGTCCACTGTCCTATCCGCCTTTGACATGGAAAAATACCTTGACCTTCAGACGCAGCAACTCTCAAGCAAGTGCTGCACTTGGAATTCAATTTGTCAATCGCTATTTCAGTTGCAATTATTAACGTCTTTCATATCATGAATTTGTAGACCCAGGCGAAGTTAATATACCCGAGGACTTGATGGCCCATGTCTTTAATATTCAATCGCGGATGCCGGCCCTTGCAAAGACTCACTACATCACGTAAGGGTAGTTTCATGCGCCCGCATCAAGAGAGGTCTAAATACAATGCAAAGCCCTTTAGTGTTAACCACTCACTGCATGCGGACGAAACTATTTCGCCTCTTAGATGCTTACATGCACAGCAAACCGGGAATTTTGAAGTCGCAATTCAAAGCTTGCACCGGTTCTTTGATTATTCTATGGTTATGCACGACCGCGTGCTCTATCAATATGCTCTTCTCAACCTCGCAATGCTTCACGCTCGCTTCTCGCACTATGAGCAAGCACTCATTGTACGTGTTCCCATTGTTCTCGAGTTGCGTCCCTGCTCTTGTTTTGGAAGTGATATCTGACTGGTTTGACTACAGGCACTCCGAGAAACGATAGAGGTGGCGCGTGACCATATGGATCAGGAATGCCTCAGCTATGCACTGAAGTAAGTGAGCACACGTATTATGCAAGCACGTACGAACAGGGGTATGCGTCGAATTAGCATAATGTAACATATCCTCCATTTTTCCAGCTGGCTATATCGGTTATCCGGAACTACTTCAGGGTCGAATTTAGAAGCCAACGAAGCCCAAATTCTCGCCAACCTTGATGGAAAGACGGATGGTCGGGCATTCCATTATCTGCAATCGCTGAGCGAATTGGCTGTCGCTAAGCAAATGGTTAGTGCAGGAGGCCTACTTTTGTCCTCCGAAGCGTTCTTTAGCAGGTCGTCCCTCGGCAGCGAATTTAAATACTATTCCATTTCTAATCCTTAGCAAGGAGAGTCAATGCCCAGGGCGCTCGAGGCGTTACTGAAGGCATCGTCCATTGACCAGCGGCACTCTTTGGAAGGTATCAGTGGCGTCGTTCAGTTGTACCAGTCCAGGATTTGGGGTGCATATGGTATGCGGTAACTGCTTGATAATGAACACCTAGGAGGTATATCGGAAGAAGTGCAATGTCTAACGCGTCCCTTAACTTCTTCTAGGCTCTTCCTCCCTATCATCCTTGTACTCCCAACTCCAGTTGCAGTACCATCTATCCGAGGCAGATATGAATGATGCCGCCCTCGGCTACTCCAAGGCTGCGAGTGATGTAAGCGCCGTTCCTTTTGTGTATGCTTCTGTGCATCAAATGAATGAATGAAGTCCTCTTAATAATACCGTGGGTTTACTATCATTTTCAGTTGGCACTGGAGGGTCGCTTTGATGAGGCCCTTCGCGTGATTGAACTGGCCAAAACCAAGTTCCCTTTGGAGACTATGAAAGCAACTCCTTGGGTGCAAACCCTAGTCCAGATTTTGCACAGAAGAGCCATGTCTAACAATCAAGTGCGGGATGCAGAGCTCTGGACACATCAACTCGGAACTACGCTGCTCAACACCTCAATACTGAGCTCATCAACGGAGTCGAATGTATCGAATATATCAAAGATCGATTCCACAAGCAAGTTATCATCCTATGAGAATCAGCCAGATGACGCGGGTCGGGATATTCAATTGGAAATCCGCTTGCAGCGAGCACTAGTCAGTGTTCTTGCTGGGAAGAGTCTTTCGGGAGTGCAGCAGTTGTCAGAGGGATTAGCAGTCGTACAGAAGAGCCAATGGCCAGGGACACGCAAGTTCTCCGTCATGTACCTTTTGGCATTGGCGGAAATATACATGGTATTGTATCTGAAATTACTTGTGATATTAACTGCTCGCCAAGTGCTCTTCTTGGCCGCTGCTGATACTAATACTTCCTCTTGTTATACTCTGCGCAGGAATCGGACAGCGCAATTTCTGCGATACAGCTGCTGCTGACTGCCCTGAGCCTGAGCGAGCATAATTTGCAACGCCCATTGCTACTCCTTGTGAGACTGCGACTATCTGAAGCTCTACTGTACTTGGACTCTGTCAAGCATGCAAGCGACCTCGTGAATGACATTATGACAATGGTAAGAAAAATGCTAATTTTCTGTTGGCACACCCTCGCTGCTTTATGCGTTATGTCAGAGGACAGGAATATGAAAACGGTATGGACTGACATGGAAACATGGATATCGTCGTTTACTTTTAGGCACTGAATCAAGGTGACATCTTTATTCGATCGGTTGCCTATTTCCAGAGAGCAAAATGCTTGCGGGCGCAGGCCAATAAAATGGTATCTCCATTAGCAGCGGACTCGATAGATACAGATTCATCGCAAAACTTTGTCTCCAGCCATCAACGCCTTCTCGAACGTATCTTGGAACATTTGGACCGCGCTTTTGAGGGTAAGTGTGCCAAACCTCTGTCGATTTGCTCTGACCTCGCCGCACTAGGATGGCGAATCTAACCAATTTCTTACGATACTTACTGCATAGGGTTCGAGTCAATAGAGTCCCTGAAGGATATGGCGCAGGTCCTTTATTTTAAAGTACGTGTGTATCGTCAGCTGAGTCAAACGGATGAAATTGAAAAGACGCTACGTCTGTTCAAGACTATCAGTCTGAAACTATCTTCTGCGCGGAACAAGCATGAGCCGAACTGGTATTCCTACTACTACGCGCTGGATGCATTCGATGGAATCTTGGGAGTCAACGATGACGGCGGCAGCGTGGCCAGTGATGCTACTGCACAGAGCAAAAAGGATGGAGGCGGCAGTTTGCAGAAACAATCACAGTTAACAAAAACCGGTTCTCCAGAGGGATTCAAGCGGGCAGGATCGAGCCACTGGGGCGGATTGAAGAGAACCCCCAGTCAGCTGTGGCAGTCAGCTATCACACCTCAGCAGGTAGCGGCCTTGTCACCACAGGCCGAGCAAGTCGAAGTGGGGAAGCCTGAATCGGACGAGGATAAGGAGGACCCGGAGGAGGATGACATGGAGGTTGATACAAATTTGGGATCAGGTAATGGTAGTTCGAGTAACATCACCATGTCTGGCTTTCAGGAGGATGATAGTGCTGGTCCAAGCCCGAGCAAGAAGAAGAAGCGGCGAGTCGCTGAATAAACGACATGCAAAATTGTCCTGTCGCGTCGCACAAGAAATGTCAAAGCAATTTCAGTCACACTCTTATTTGATTTGGAAGACTTCGCAACCACTTTTCCTTATTCCGCCGCTCGCTTCAAACCTCATTCATCTTTTGCTCCTTCACTCATCGAACCATGCTTGCTCATGACAAACGCGAGAAATCGTTAGTCGCCGTCATTGGTGCAGGCGTTGTAGGACTGACCACGGCTCTATTGCTGCAGTGCAATAATTATGGTATGCTTGGGCGGAGTTCTTCCTGTCCGGACTTTCTTTCAATATCATCCCCTAAACCTCCTATTTTTGTGCAATTGTCACTGTACATGTAGATGTAACAATCATCGCCTCGGAGTTCCCAAAGGATGAAAAGGCCCACCCAGATTATGCGTCGCCTAAAGCTGGTGCGCATTGGAGATCAATGTGCGACGAAGATGATTCCCGTGCCAAAGGTAAGGGCCAAGGATCTTTCGCTTGAGATCATATCATTAGAATGAGCATGTGAACAATTGACCCATTAAGATTGGACCCTCTTCCCAAATGAAATAGGATACGACACACTCTCATATAGGACTTTTCAAGAGCTCGCTAAGAATCCGGAATCAGGTGTCAGGATCCGGGACGCAATCGACTACTTCGATTTCAATCCCACAGGCCATGAGGGGCATGATCCATGGTGGTCGAAGATCGTTGAAGATGTATGTGTAATCTTGCCAAGGACGCACCCGTTTCAACGTGCATCTCATTGTATATGATCTGATCTCTCTCTCTCTCTCTCTCTCTCTCTTTGTATGATACTAGTTCAAACAAATCCCGTCGACCAATGCTGATTTCCCGATCGCATATTCCTACAAGACGCCCGTCATCACCCCCAGCATCTACTTGCACTTCCTCCTGCACCAGTTCAAGAAGGCCGGTGGTCACATTCAACACCGAAAGCTCTCACACGTCACTGAGGCAGCACTCTGGGTTGGCACCAAACCAAAGCCCGTGAAGATCATTATCAACTGCGCAGGATTCCAGGCCCGATATCTCGGAGGCGTACAGGACTTGAGATGCTACCAAACACGAGGACAGACCGCGGTCGTACGCGCATCTTGGATTCATGAAACCGTTACCTGGATCTGTAAGCTGTTGTGTTGAATCAAGGACAGCGGATTCGTTGCTTTACGACTGCTTCGAGATTATGCTGACACTTTACACGTACTTTCTTCTGTTTACTTAACGCGCATACAGCCAAAACTGGATCCATTATGTATGTGATCCCACGCACGAATGGAGACGTTGTCCTCGGCGGATCTCATGAAGCACATCAAAAGTAAGCAGACAAATCCCTTGGACTCATGGTACTTTTATCATATACTCGATACGGAACTCAAACCATATATATGTGATTTTTATTTATCATCGGACATAGCAACGAGTCCGTGAGCGGCACGAAGACAACCCATATCCTCCGGACCATCATCGACCGATATCCCAAGATCTTGACCCCAGGATCCTCGCCTGCATACGCTGCAAGCCTCGATCTGCTCTGCAAGTTTGATATTGTCGATCAGAAGGTTGGATTCCGGCCCTCCCGAATTGGAGGCGTACGTGTCGAAGTCGAGCATGGACGTAAGTTCAGAGGATCTTGTTAATCACATGGTGCATAGTCGACTCAAGTCAGAGCACTCAAAACATGCTTTGTATGGGCTGTTCGTCTCTTAGGTACAGGGACAGGTCAACACGTCCTGATCGCTCACAATTATGGACACGGTGGTGCAGGTACGAATCTCTACGAGAGGTTTCTATGCTCCATGACACTTACGCTCTCCCGTGGTGCTATAGAGTTGCTCATTATTTTATTTCCCTGGTCTGATATCTCGATAATCCCAATGATTATTGATAGGATACCAATCGAGCTGGGGTACTGCCTTTGACCTCCTCAAGATGATAGAGCAAGCCCAGAGAGAGGTTCCTGAGGACCTCCATGAGACTGCAAAATTGTAGATGAAAAATGATGGACTCGCAACAAAGAAGGACATGATAATAAACTACACCCTTGTATTGTCGCCGCGTTTGGGTTTATCCCTGGGAGACCAAAGGCAATATACTTTTTAGGATCTCGCTATCCGGCAAGGAGTATTACTATCCGGTGCAAGGTCGTATTGCGGGCTTCGGAACGCATAAGAAATCACAATGCCTTGCAAAACTTGAACGGCTCGACTTCTGCAAATCGTTTGATATGGTCAGTTCTGTAAAAGTGCCATGGGTTTACAGTAGTATTCCATGATATAAGAAAGTATATGATTGCTTGCCTGGGGTTTATTTGTTGTGGCATTTGTAAACCAACTCCTGCCACGACTACTTTTTTGAGGCCGCGTTCTGCTTTGTGAGATTTGGGCGTTGGATAGCGGGGGTAAAGGTGGCAAACATAAGATAGGAGGTATGGCCGCGCTGCTCCACAGGCAGCTTTGTCACCGTGATGTTCTTAGGGTCGATCCGCTCCCTAGGCTCTGCTTCTGATGGCTGCTGAGGTGCTGGTGTTACCGCTGCTTCTGAAGATGTTGCTGTTGTTGACGCTGGGGATGATGACGGAACAACAACTGCGACGGCGTCCTCCATGTCAGATCCTCCTGTGGATGTTGGTGTTGCAGCTGTGGATGAGACATTGCTGTTATCCATGGTGACCTCAACCTTGACGCTCTTGCTCTTGACGTTTCTCTCTTCATCCTCAACCTCCTGCTGTTGCTCTGTTCTACTGGCAGGTTGATTCTCGCGCAAAACACGGGGCACGGCACGCTTCCTCTTCTTCTCAATCGCCCTCTGTCTCTCCATCGCCTCGTCGATCGTCCACATGGGAATAACCCGGACCTCGTTGAACCGAATCAAACATTCGTACATCTGGATATCGACAAAGCCCTGCTCATTGAGTGCAGTGACAGTCCTGGAGATCTGTTCGATGCAGGGTGAGAACGTGCAGATCTTGCCAATCTTATCCTGGTTGAATGCCCTTTTCGCCGACGCAACAGCTTCCCATGGCGCAGGGAGATCCAAAAAGACTGAGCATGGAAAATACAGATATGTGAGTGATAGTTTTGCATCGTCTGTGGCATGCGAATTCCAAAAGAAAAATACTGAAGAAGGCACTCACTGGCGTCAACCTTGTTCTCCATGCCGAATCCATCCTTGCAGACGTCCCTGCACTGCAGAGTTACCATATCCGATAATCCATGCTGCTCAAACTCCTTCTTCGCAGCATTGACGCGCTCCTGGTGATATTCAAACGTGTACAAATGTCCCGTCGGTGCCAGAGTGCGCGCAATCGAGTGTGAGAACGATCCTGATCCTGTTCCTGACTCAATCATGGACATGCCCGGCTTGAGGTTCAGAAAGTTCATCACAAAGGAAATGTCAGCAATGTACAGAATCTGGGTGCGGTGAGGCAGAACTAAAGTCCAGAGCTCAGGCGTTGGGTGAAGGAGGTAAAGGAAGCCACGACCGGTGTTGGAGCCGAGTTTAGTGCCATATTGAAGTCCAATCATGTCTGCGTGCTTGTACGAGCCGAATTTGCAATTAAAGTATTCTCCTTCCTTGACGCGAATGATGCTCATGTTCTCTCTGCTCTATGTATGGAGACAACGGTAAACCGTACAGCTTATGAGTCAGTCAGCTTCGAGGTGGTTCTGGCACAGCAATTACGCTCCCGTTTCCTACGAGCATCGTACCAGATACACGACAACGAGGTCGCCATCCTCGATTGTGTTATTCGATTTGTATCTGACAAAGCTCTGTTTCTCTATGCTCGTGCTGCTCATTGTGAAGCGTTGTGGGGAGGGTGGTGGAGGGTGGATGAAGTTGAACAAAGGCGATCAGCTTAATAGCAAAAAAAAAAAAAAAATCGAAGAGCAGTCCTTTTGTTTGCGAACCAAAAATATGCCTTTCCATGCGTGGCTGCTGATTGTCTCCTTCCTGAACACCACCATTATCCCCACTTTCACCATACCCAACCTCGACAGGACGGTGACGATACACTATGGCCGACGCGAACGCACGACTGGAATTTCTCTGGAGGGCCTCCCATATGATGCTGAGCCAATGCCCCAGCGCCTCATCCCATTACATGTCCCAGTTCCTCAACCTGGCCAATACTCGCGAGCTACGACTGCACGAGGACATCCAGGCTAGATCCTGCGCTGCTTGCGGATCTATCTTCGTGCCCGGTGTCAACGCCAAAGTTCGAGTGGTACCTGTTAAGGAGACGAAGCTGGAGCGAGAGAAGCGAAAAAAGAAGGCGAAGAAGGTGAAGAACGACAAGAGCAAGGATGGCACGGCCTGGGAAGACGAGACGAGGCCGATAGGTCTTGGTATAGCCAATCCGATACAGGATACCGTGCCAGCTCTCTCACCCAACTCTATTGGACCCACAATTGCAAGACCCAACACCTCACCATCCAGCTCAACCTCACTGTCAACACCAAAGCGACAACCACAGCCGTCTCAGCAACCTGCCAAAAAGATCATCCGCATCACCCCATACGCTGAACTTGCACAACAGCAGCAGCAGCATCAACAGCACAGACGACAGCTTGGCGGAAATGCAGACGGAAAATCTCTCAAGAAAATTGACAAGCGAGCGAAGCAAATCCTGAACCATATCATCTATTCGTGCCGGCGGTGTAATCGGGACACAGAGCTGTCAGGAACTAAAGAAGGATACCTCACTTCGCGAGTCAAGGCCATCAAGCCCGTTTCTCAAAAGCGAAAGCTCCGAATGGAACAGCAAACAGCGACCAATATCGTAGCAGCCTCATCACCTGTACTCACAGGAACTGTACCGTCTCCCTCTTTCAAATCCGGCTCTGAAAAAAAGAATTTGGTTTCAACACTAACAAACGAAAGCACCAAGCGGCCAGCACTACCTCAATTGACATCTTCAGCCCTAAACGTCAAACGACCAAAGTACGTTTCGTCCACGCCAGCATCTCCTGTTGGCGGGCTATCTATGGCATCCTCAACAAAAACTTCAACTACGACATTCCCATCCTCATCGCCACGACCCTCCAGACCAGACATCAGTTTACCTGGCAGCGGTAACAAAAAGAAAAAGAAAGGTGGTCTTGCCAGCCTACTGGCTAGTCAAAAGGCGAAAGACTCATCTTCTGGTCCTGACAGCGGAGCATCTGGGTCCGGTGGAGACAGCGTGCTTGCCAACTTTTTGATGGGATTGTAAATCGCACGCACATGTAATAAAGGACGCCTGCATGGTGCTTTCAAATATTATTTATTATTAGTGACGCCCTGGTAAAAAAAAAAAAGAAAAAAAAAAAGAGAGAGAGGAGGTGGCATCCTAGCTGGTTTAAGGGAAGGCACGACCAGTGAATCTACCATTGAGAAAGCAGAGTATCATTAGCACAATACACAACAATAAAGAAATAGAAAGAGAGAGAGATCGCACACATGACTACTCACCTTGGGTAAAGACAGGCCTCACGGACAGTGTGAAGGTTCAACAACCAGGCAATGTAGCGCTCGACACCTAGACCGAATCCACCATGCTCCGAAGTTCCATACTTGCGCTGATCAGTGAACCAGTAGTAAGGAGAGGGATCGAGATCTTCACGCTTGTAGGCAGCCATCAGTTCGTCCAAATCAGAGATACGCATCGATCCTCCGACAATCTCACCGACACCAGGCATCAACACATCGACACTCTCTGTCAAGGCTGGGTTTTCGGGGCAGCGCTTCATGTAGAAGGACTTGATCTCCGCAGGGAAGCGGCACAAGAAAATGGGGCGGTTGATCTTGTCAGTCATGGCACGTTCAGGGGCCTCAGGAATATCCTCACCAAACTCATAGAAAGTGCCGTCCTCCTTCTTAATGTCGTTATCCTTCAAGTACTTGATAGCGTCGGTGTAGTCCATGCGCAAGAAGGGACGCTCGGGTTTCTTAAAGGTGGGGTTTAACTTGTAGACGATGTCGGCTGAGGGCTTGTGGGCCAAAGTGCGGTCAATGACATCACAGATCATGTCCTCCAACTGGTTCAACAGATCATCAAAGGAAATAAAAGCCATCTCGGCTTCACAGTGGGTGTACTCCGACAAGTGGCGACGAGTATGTGACTTTTCGGCACGGAATGACTCGGCTAAGCAGTACACATCTCCCAAGGAAGGCAAACATGTCTCCAAATACAGCTGAGAGGACTGGGTCAAGTAGGCCTACCAAACATTATAGACCAAAGACAAGAATAAAAATATGAATATATGAATATCTGGACGAATTGTCAATGTAAATCACATTGTGAAAACTGGCCATCGTCTCGAAACCATACCTTCTCGCTGTAATAGTTCAACTCAAACAAGGTCGAGCCACCCTCGACTGAAGTCTGGACCATGGCAGGAGGGGTGACCTCAGTGAATCCACGGGTATCGAAGTGGTCGCGGAACGCCTTCATGACCTGGGAGCGGACCTTCAAGATGCCGGAAGCCTTCTCCTCACGTAAAACCAAGTGACGGAGGTCATACTTGACGGATGGGTCAGAGTTCTCATTGACCTTGTTGGAGATGGCATCATCACCGCTTGGGGCCTTTCCGACGCATTCCCAGTAGTCAACAGTCAATTCGTGGTTATCAGGGGCCTATCAGTGACATCTCGTGTTAGTATGTTGTGTCAACTCAAACTGTATGATGCATTTGAACTTCAACTTCCTCTTTTCATGTCCCAACATACAGTCTTGCCAGCAGGAAGCTCGTTGATAACACCGTACACGGTGACGGTGGACTCGTTGGTAAGGGTCAGCGCATCATATGTTTGGCACTATTCGATCAGTGGAGTTAAGAATTCGTTAATCATCGCATTATCAAAATTTAATAGGCGCAAATGCAACTGAGGTCCGCATGTTCTTACGAGGTTGTCAGTGAGAACACATTGAAGATAGCCAGTTCCATCTCTCAGGATGACAAAGATCATGTTCTTTCCCTGTACGCGGAGACGATGGACCCATCCCGACACTTTGATGCGCTTGCCTCTGTTCTCAATACCGTTTCTGATCTTGATCTTGGTGGCGGCGGGCAACGAGGGATCCTCCTTCAAGACGACCTTCCTGGCAGCCTCCAAGACGCGCTCGCGCTCTTCGGCAGCAGCTTGGTCCTTAGCAGCCTGTTCAGCAGCCTGTTCGGCGAGCTTCTTGGCCTTCTTCTCCAACTCAGCAACCTTCTTAACAGCTTTCTTCAAGGCAGCTCCGGAGATGGGCACGTATCCAGAGGTCTCCTCCGAGTCGGCAGCAGCAGCCTTCCAGACCTGAACCTTGACAGACTCGCCATGGGCCTGAATGGCCTTAACAGCGGACTGATAAGGGGCTTCAACAGAGCCGTTTCCAGTCTCGTCCGAACCCTTGGTCTCGTCAACATGAGCCACGACTATCATATCGGGAAAGGTATACCATGTACGGTTAGATTTCTGTATCGCATGCGGTGCAAGTGGCGTAAGATGGCGTCATTCCTGCTGCAGGCGTCCGATGCTGGCTCTCAATGGCACCGATGGCTCTTCCGACGGTGTGTTCTTGGTATTGCCCCCGTGAGCAGCAAGCATTCTGTTCCTGAGCTCGTTTTGGTTTAGGTCGGTTCTGTCGAGCACTGCTCTTGCCGTGCCGCAATGGCTTTCAAATGCATTTTCTATGTCCCAATCGAAAAAAAAGGAAGGAGAATTACCGGCAGCGATGGAAAGTGAATCGACAGGTAAGGTGTCGGCCATGGTGGTGATGGGAGAGGAGTATGAATATGTGAGATAAGGAAGAGAAGCAAGGAAAGTGTTTTGTTTTTTATCTGCTTGTTGGAGCTTCGATCCCACACGTGATCACTGACTCACGACTAAACACTGACCACCTCCGTCGCGATATCCTTCACTCTTTATCCTACAACTACCGCGACAACGCACCGCTTGCAATCAACAACACGCTATGAACATCCCGGACGTGAACCAGTCAACCTCATCTCAGAGCCAGGTCGATGAGAACATGGATCAGACATTGGTAGCCCTCGCAGACGCCCTAGTAAGATGTGCAACACACGCAGCAGATAGCGGTTTGCCCTGTTCCGACTAGACACCTACATGTTTTTCTCGACAATTGCACATCCAGGTACAACGTTTGGCTGAAATTCACATGACTGACAAGGACGGCAATGTTACCTTGAGCCATGAACCCTTTGGTGAGGGCATACGTGACAACGAAGACCACGACCACGAAGTGGATTACGAAGACGACCTTGTCAGTATCGATGGAGATGAGGATGATGATGGCGGCACACCTACTCGCAACAACGCCCCTGAGGCCAGTCCTGCCGATATCGAAAGGATAGAAAAAAGAAGAGTGCACCTTGAGTCGAGCCTTCAAGAGCATGTTCGAGACGCCGTGAGAGATTCCCTGTTCTCTGATCCGTACATTATAGAAACTGCCCATGCGTGTGGGATCCCAGAGGATCGGGTATTTACGCAAGATAAGCGAAATCGACTGGTATTCTACCTCAGGGCTAGCTTTTTCGCAGACTGGAAGGCACGGCACCAGATCAGCATTGGAACCGCTTTCACCCAACATGAGCGCCCACACGCTTATACCACCAAGGTCTTCGCCAGCAGTTCCGAGGCCAAGAAGGAGAGGGCCAGTCAGATCAAGACACGCTATGACTGTCATCGCAGAGGTGTGAATACATGGTCAAGGGTAGGCAGCCAGGCGGAAAGTCTGGGAAGACCAGACTGAGACTTGCTTCGAATAAATGTGGATGCTCGTCCTATTTTACCATATATTGTCCACTACAAACACGCGATGGCATAGTAGGAGAAACTTACCGCATCGAATACAATTACCAGCACATACACACTCTGGGCGACAAAGGCAACATTGGCACTCAGCAAAAGTCCAAGGTCATGAGAGAAAGGATTAAAGATTTGCTTATGAGGGGAATGTCGATCTCCGTTATTATGAACCAGTTAACAATCGACTATGCAAGGTTTACTCGTTTAATGGAGGGTGGCGACAACCAACGACTCTCCAGGGACGACTTCATCACCTACGACGACGTCTATAACCTTCTGTATGCGTTGACTGCTAAACAAATGAGAAAGGATGACGACCCACTCATTTCTGCTCGGCTTTGGATGGAGGACCTTGAGAACCAAAATTACTTCACCTATTACGATCGGAACATGGCCTCTATCATGGATTTTCATCGCCATGGCAGCTGAATGAGCTGCGAAAGTGGGGGGATGTTTTCTGTTTTGACGGGATTCACCATGCTTGTGGGTAAGTCCCCTGTAATATTACCAATTACCTTTGTCACTAACATTTACAAATCTTATGGATAAAGAACGTGCCGCACCCAAGGGTGGAGGCTCTAGATGCTTTGACAAAGGACACATGGGCTACGCGACACCTTTATTGCAGTTGTATCTTCCCATGGCTGCAGTAACAAGCATGCACGGCAATGTTGAATGAAATAAAATACCTGTTATTGTCATTTCGATTGAGTCAAGTTGCTCACTCAACTCCAAACCCATAATGAGCCATTAGGGCATGTAACTAGTTATAATATCGACTGGAAAAGAATGAGGCGATTGCGAACGAGTTCAGGAGAGGTAGGCTCTCAATTGACCTACCATTGGCTTTTAACGCGTCGTCCAGTTGCAGGCAGTTCATAGCTGGGCCAATTGAGTTGGACTCGGATGTGATGTGCGGCAAGGAGAAGTGTGTGCCTGTGTGATGTGGATACGAGGATATGGCATGCGTGGGCGGTGTTAGTGGGCGAGCATGTACCATCCTGGATGTTTTTTCTCGTTGTCTCTTTCACCATCCCCCTCTTCCTCACTCTGTCTGTTACTCTCTGTATGCATGCAGGAGAGCTCAAGTGCAACTATGTCTAGGAGTTTACTTGTCTACTTAGACGCGTCGTTTTGCAACTTTTGGATCTTAAGCTATTAAGGTCAGCAGGGGCATGATAGTCGACAATTTCCATCCAATGAAAGAGAGGATGCCATTGATATTGATCAGGGCAATTTCCACAATATTGCTCTTGGCAGTTCAGGTCATGTTGTTTGCCTTACTGGTTTTGTTTGTGCGCACAGCGGGTTTTGTTTACCACACAACGCGTTTCCACATCGTCAGGGGGTTGGATGAACAAACAGACTCTTCCCTCTCTTCCACACGCACAGCACAACTTATACCCTCTCTCGCTCACTCACCCACTCTCTCTCTCTCACACACACACAACACATATATCCACCCCCAAATACACCTATACGCCTCGAGGAAAGCTATGTATGCAAATGTCCTAGAACTAGCATGCCAGAGCATATTTCCTACTTGCCAATACTAAAACTCTCCCGTACTAAAATCCTCCCCTACCACACCCCTACTTGTAGTAACCATGGGCGTAGTAGGGCTGTGGAGCGTCTTGGAAAAGAAAAAGTTCGAGCCTGGTATCGCGATAGCAGACTACAGCAAGCTAAAGGTTACATATCACCTGGATCTGTTCGCCTGTCTCTTTGTGCAAATTCGGTCGGCCTTTTGCACATACGAAGACACAGAGAAGGCGCATGAAGCCATCCAGCGAGCACTACTGAGGCTCTTCCCCGGTCTAAACAACATTACCATCTATCTGGATGGGCGTCAAGCCTTAGAGGAGAGGGCGACTCACCTCAAGCGTCTAAAGATTGCCAAAGATGCTTTGTTGAAAGCAAGAGAGTCCTACTCGTCCATCGAGAAACACATCGGCAGCAGGCAGGACAAGTGGCCATCCAAACAGAAGGAGGGCCTTTCAAAAGACAATGACTTTGACCTACGAGGGCAGGCAGGAGTTGCAACAATTCCTAGTTTCCAAGGGTTGGAGGGTGAAGGTTTTTCCATTCGAGGCAGACGTGGATATTGCAAATTGGTGCCGCACAGGTGACATTATTGTTTCAGGAGACAGCGACATGTTGATCTATCCAACTGTGGAAACTGTCTGGAGACCCATCTCTCGGGGCCGGTTCTTGGTCTACAATCTTTTCGAAGTTGGCAAGTACTTGGAAATTGGACGCTCTGGACTCACGGTGCTCGGTATCGTGTCCAACAATGACTACAGCAAGAATATCTTTGGTCTTGGAGCCATATCGAACCTGGCAGTAATAAGGGACATTCCTTGGTCTTGTAAGGATGAATGCCACGTCTAGTTATTGGAACTGAAGTGTGACAAGTCCTTCCAATCCCGCCTCTTTTTTTTTAAAAAAAATTGTAGATGATATTCGCGATATGGTCCAGAAGTACTTGGGCCATGATGATGTCGCGCGCTCAAACCAAAAAAACACGGACTTTGAAGCTCCACCCAGAGTCTTTGTTAATAGGAAGCAGACGCGATCTGACGACGTCCCGCGAGACGATAATTTGTACAAGGGTTTCAAGAGCTTGTGACAATCGTTCTTGGCCCTCAAATTCAATTACCGGCAATGGCAAAAGCAGCTGCGAGAATCGAAACAAGTTCTGAAAAGGTACATACATAGCAGCTTTTATTCCTACACCACTGTATCACAATGATACCGCGTTTGTGTGCATTTGTATTAACAAGTTGTCAATGTTCTTTGATTTTGCTAAACGCCAAAAGGACTATGGATGACCATCCCATCCGCTACAAGAAGCATCAAATGTTCAACAAGTTCCGAACAGTCGAACCTCCCAAGGCACAAGCGAAGGGCAAGGCGAAGAGCATTCTGGAAAGCCTGCGGTCAGTTGCTTGGACGCCAGATAAGCCCCATCAACCTCGATACCAGTACAAGACCGTGCCACAGAGCCCAAAACGTGTTACTCCTGCGGAGATAGGGGCCTTTGTTCAGTTGAGCCAAAGGACGTACAGGACGGTAACCAAGGAAAAGGCGAAAGGGCAGGAAATGGAAGAAACGAAAGAGGTTGCTAAGAATGCGGCTGCGGAGGATGAAAAGGAGACCACTGAGCAGAAAGAGGAAGCGACGCGGTCAGACCGAGATGTTGCTAAGCGAGCTCATATGAAGTTTCATCCGTTAAGGTCTCTCCATGTCGGTTCGCTAAGACGAAACATCATGCTCGCCCACGCGGCCAGTCCCCCTGCTCGAGGCGCCAGTATCACAACGAAGCCTCAAAGGATCACTAACATCATATGCAGAATTGCCGATTTTTGGAACAATGGGAAGCGGGATGCGCAATTTGCGTTACTGGATCTTCTATCTAAGAGTTCGAGCGATGACGATGGCAAGAATCTCAGAAAAAAGTTCATCAACCTATTCAAGGACAAGTGCGTACGCGGGAAGGCAGCCACCACGCTGGAGGGGTTTTTGAAAACTCTTCTGTCCCGATTCTGTAGCTCCCTCAAGAGGTTAGCATTTACTGTTGTGGCCAAACTAGCACGAGAGGCGCACGACATGTACATAGCCAAGCACGCTAAAGCCGTACGACCCGACAGTTGGATGGCCACTTCTTATTTTCTTGCACCACTGGCCCAGGAAATGGCAAAGGGCTTTACCATGCTCTGGGAACAAATGATCAAACAGGTAAGCCTTGCTTCCTCTTTTCTTCCTCCTCTCTTCCTCCTCTCTTCCTCCTCTCTTCCTCCTTGAACGCTTGTTAATCTACCTGTATTGTCATTTGCATCTTCATTGCAAAGCTTAAGAAGCGCTATGAAGGCGATGTACGTTTCTTCGATGAGAGGACACTTCCCAAGGAGAGTCTTCTTGTCCGATTTCTCCACCTTCGAGAACTGGTGGATGTAGCCAAACGTCCAGTTGCAGCCTTTATCTCGCCGATCCGCCATGGTTTCATAACTATAACGGAGCGAGAGTTGTTCCACTCTATCCACGATAGCTTCCGCGAGGACGTTTTAGGAGCTTTAACAATGGACTCAACCAAGAAGTACAAACTGAGCGAACTTGAGGCTACTTTTGGAAGAATGGTGCCCGGCGAGTTCTTTTGCAACGTAATATGTCCCCTCAATAGGAAAGAGGGCTACTTCTCCAAGATCGAGGTCATCAAGCCTGAACCCAAAGGCCACGTGTACCAATACACGAAGCGGTACGTGCTCACAGACACGTTCCAGACGGACGGACTCCAGCTGCGGTTGCTAGCCTGCGACACGCGTGTCACAAAGGAGTACAAGCCCTCAAATCCCGTTCCTGGCCGAGTTGACCCCAAGATGGGAACCGATCGGTGGTTGAAAGAGATTAGGAACGAGTTCTCTGGATCGACAAAGGAACTCCAGGACACGTTTGGCAGGCAAGTTTTTTTTTTTTTTTTTTTTTTTTTTTTTTTGGAAGGTAGTCTTTTCAAGGACTAGAATATCAAACACTCATTCTATATTTCCCTTTGTGTAGTGACGGTAAGGATGTCTGCATTGGTGGCATTGACCTGGGCCAGGTGGTCACAGCAGCCGTCAGTGTTTTATCCCTGATCCCCCCTTGTCGGATGGAACACTACCTTGGCCACCGACAGGGAAGTACCGAACTCTCAATATCAAGCAAAAGGCCTTGATGCAGCCTCAGTTCAAGTACCGCAGAGCTATCGAAGGGCGCAAGACCGACGAGATCCATGATGCCGAGAATTCACTATTGCCGAGAAGAGGTGTTCCTGATGAGGACGCTCGGTTGTCCTTGAACTCAATGGATAAAAACAGACAGGTGTTGAACGAGCACTACAACCAATCGTTCCGGCATCGTCGCGACACTTGGGATCTGAAAAAAGCGAGGGGTGCGGTGGACCGAATCGCTATCGAGGCTATTCTCAAATTGGTGAAGAAAGACAACCAGAAGGAAGCCATTCTAGCTAACAAGGTGCTGTGGATTGTGGGTCTCGGCAAGTTCGGCACCTCGTCCGGGTTGACTTCGCTGCACGGCACATTCAGCGCCAAGTTGATTTCAGCGGTAAGAGCATTGATATAACGCTATGTTTTGTGGCCCTATTGACAGGCAAACACAATCTAATCGAGTCGCAAATTATCCTGTCCTTACAGTTCAGGACCAGGGGTCATGCGGTGGTCGGTATCAACGAATACTACGCGTCGCAAAAGTGCCCGTTCAATAGCCCTGTTGGTCCAAGTAGAAAATGCGACCATGGGTTTGTTGGACGGGTGAATATGCGTAGCACGTATTGATTAGCCTGCCAGACGCCTTTCCTCCGCGACAGCATGGCTGCACAAAACATGGTGCGAGCTGCCCAGTATAGGCTTTTCAAGGGTATACGACCTGCTGAACTTCAGCCTTTGGACTCCAACGGCCAGCCGATATGGTCCTAGCGACTCAACAATCAGCGGGTTTAAACTTTGCTAACAAATTTTCGGGAACTGTTTTTATATGACGTATTGGTATTATTTTATTTGGGGAACATAAGGACACCCTTATTTTTTTGTTTTTACAGCTTGCTGTTAGTACTCTCCTCGGCAACCTTGACCAGCATCTTGCCGGTGTTATCGCCCTTGAACAGCTTGACAAGAGCATCAGGTGCGTTCTCGATACCGTGGACAACAGTCTCGCGGCTCTTTAGCTTTCCCTCCTTGATCCACTTGGACATATCCTCGGTTGCCTTGCCGTATTGTTTAGCGTAATCAAACACAATAAAGCCTTCCATTCTTGCACGCTGAGTGATCAATGCGCTGTAGTATGCTGTTTCCGATCGAAAAAGGGTCAGTGATAAGGTCAGTGATAAGGCCAGCTATATGATACGCCCATGACGTTCTTGTCTGGATCTTCAGTTGCTCAAACGCAAAGAAACGTGTCTTCACTAACCTGGTCCCTTGGGGGTGGCATCGTTGTACGTGCTGATCGCACCGCAGACGATGATACGGCCCTTGAATGCAATGCGTCTTAAGCAGGCGTCCAAGATGTCTCCACCAGTGTTGTCGAAAAAGATATCAATCAGCTTTGGTGTCGCAGCGCACAGCTCCTTGAAGAATGACTTGGACTTGTAGTTCAAGGCAACATCCAATCCCAGCTCCTTGACCAGGTAATCGCACTTATCATCTGAGCCAGCAATACCAATAACACGGCATCCAAAGACGTGCTTAGCGATCTGGGCAGCGACCGATCCAGTGGCACCAGCGGCACCAGAAACAACCACGGTGCAATTGGGTCCACCCTTCTTGGCAATCTCTCCCACCTCGAACAGTCCAAAATAGGCTGTCAAACCAGTCAGGCCCAAGACGCCAAGGTAGGTCGAGGGAGACACTCCAGGGAAGGCCTTGATCTTAACAAGATCCTCCGATGGCTTGAGGACGGCATACTCCTGCCAGCCGCAGGTGGCACGAACGAGCTCGCCGACCTTGTAATCAGCGTTGTTTGACTTGATGACCTGGGCAACATTGGCTGAGCGCATAACCTCATCGATCCTCACAGGGCGGATGTATCTATTGCCGGGCCATGGCGTGTCAGTCTTGGACGTTGAACTCAATTAAAGCACAGATACACGCAGGAGTATTCATTGCAACGTATGACACTTACGAGCGGACGTCGCGCATCCAACCGCGCATGGCGGGATCGAGGGAGACGTAGAGGACCTTGACCAGAATCTCGTTGGATCCCAGCTCGTCCGAGAGCGACACCTTTTGCATCCTGAAGGTCTTCTTGGGATCAATATCAGCGACAGGTCTGTCAGCCAAGACGATCTGTGTGTTCTGGATAGCGCCCATGATTTTTAATGTATGTACTTTGTTTGGTGGCGGATGGGAGAAATTGTCTGTTGGAAAGAGAGGAGAATAGAGAGAAGAATGGAGAGAAGAATGGAGAAATGGAAAGACATTTGTTGTCGGCGCGCAAGTTTTATGTTGACCATTTTTAAGTGCGACGCTGTGATCGAGCAAATGGGATTATGAGCCGGACAGTCCGCCCTTCTCCACATGTAATATCAGATCGCCGGAATTCATTTCTTAGGCTCCTCCCCCCAGTGGACCCCACGAATACCACCCGATCACTTTTTTTCTTCTAGAGCCGCTCCTTGCAGGGCATACATCGCTCAAAGTTGGTTATAGTCCAAGGCATAGAAGGGCACGGCAAATAAATGATCCACCACACGCAGCCTATTTTCCTGTTGTACGATGTCTTTATTAATGTTTTACAAGTAGGGAGAGGTGTTGTACATACAAGTGGAACGAAGAAACGACAGTAAGAAAGCAATGTAGCAAGGAAAAACAATTGAAGGCATCGAGTACTCCAGGAGTATGTAAAATAATAGTCTAGTCGAGATCCATGCCCATGATCTTTTCTTCCAGCTCTATCAACGGCGCATCATCCGGTAGCTCACATTCCTCGTCGTCTGCCATATTGCCGTCATCAAGTTCGTCGTCAAGTTCCTCGATGCATGCGATCGACAATAAATCATTCTCGCCACATGGATCCATCGCCGTTGATTGCTCTCCATCGTCTTCATTGCTGTTGTTGGCATTCGCGACTATTAATACGGCAACCGACCTCTGATACAACACCAATTCATTGCCCTGCAATTCGTTCAGTGGAATGATACGAACAGTCCCAAGACTGTTCCAGCAGCAGCCATGAAACACGTCAAGTCCGCCTGAAGGTGAAAGGTCCTTTGGTCCTTGATATCGAGTTAGCGCCTGGGATCCTGTCTCGAATGATTTATGGCAATGCTGATTGTGGGTCTTGCCGCTATCAATGGGCTGTTTTTCGTGCTGCTGTGGACCCCGATCGTCTCCAATGCCATCACTGCTACCGGTCTTCCGACTTTGGCGCATCTTGGAATCATCTTCATCTCCTTCTGCATCACTCTCTTCTTCGCTCAGGAACCTCAGAAAAGAATTGAGGCTGGCTTTTCCAAGGCGGACCTTCTTTGCCGGTGAAGGCTGTGCCGATGCACGATCCAGAATCGGTAAAAGAGTTCCGTCGTCCTGATATTCAAAGACCTCGCGCAGGGAATCCATGCAATCAGAGGGCAAGGACAGATCGTTTTCTCTCCTGCGCTTGTGTTCATTTTCGCCCAAGTGCAAGGCAACGAGCTCCTCTCCAGATGACAAATCAATAATGCTTGGCCCGTTTGAGTTCTGAAGATATCCGGAAGGCTTGAGTGACAAATTTTTGTGCGGCGTACGGGGTGTAGGCGTTGGAGCGGGTGAGGGCGAAGTCCTGATCTTTTTCGAGAGAGGGCAAAACGAGTATGACTCACTACGGAGAGATGGTCCTGGCACTGCGGATGTTTTGGTAGATGCTGGTGTCCTTGTTGCTGTCGGTACTGGTATCTGAGAGGGCCTGGGTAAAGCTGCATCTTGCTGAAGTTGGATGAAAGGCTCCTGGGCATCGGCCGCAGTCGTCCTCCTGGCCTTCTTGAAAGCTCTCGATGGCCATGGAGAGCCAGCTCTTTGCGGCAGAGAAGTTGAATGCTTGCTGCTACTGGTGATGCCGCTCGGCTCTTCATTCTGTTCCTTGAGGGAAGCATCTAGCACTGCAAAGAACTCGGGCTCGAACTGTAGAGGGTGCTTCCGCTTGTAGGGGTTCTCATTTGTGCTGCAAGTGCTGCTACTGGTGTTATGACTGGTGCTGCCGGCGCTTATGTTGAACCAATTGTCATGCTGGGATGCGAGTGGAGCAGCAAAGTCGCTGGCACCATGATTGAGCGCCTCTTGCTGAGCTTTGTGCTGTTGCTCAGCAGCATTAATGGCTGAACTATACTCCGCGAGAAGATCGACCTGTCGAGCAAACATGGGTGCGCCAGCGTCGTAGTGGTTCCTGAACTACGGCGCGCAATTGAAAAGTTGGACAGCTCTTTTTTTTCTGGAATTCGGATGGGAGCGTATGTGGTGGTAAAAGCGGAAGCAGAAGCGGGTGTAAAAGTGAAGATAAAAGTGAAGATAAAAGTGAATGTAAAAGTGGATGGAAAAGTGAACGGAAGGAGTATGAAGGATGATGCGCAGACGAGCTTTCGGTGAAAGGTATCCCACCCATTGTGACAACGATGGATTACGGTGGAATAGGCCTTGGTTCGATTCAGGGTTTGACCAATTTATTTCGCGTATTCTATCTCTGCAGGGGTTCAGCCGCTGATGTCTCTCTTTGTCGAGCATTCTAGGACTATCGGCGAGTGGTCTTGTTCAAGTCAATCTCATCCTCGAACCGTCCTAATCCACCAATGCCTGACCGACTACCCGCATATCCTGGCCCTTGCGTACCCGATACAGAGCCAACGGATCCTGCACCAGACACACCTGCAGCACGGACACCCACGTCTCCTGCATTTGCAGGACGCCTTCCTGGAACACTGACCACATGCGCTGAATTTGTCCAGCCCCAGCGGTAGGTCAGCTCGTGCGCACAAATCTCGCCAAAGCCTAGGAACACTCCATTGATAAAAGGAAGGATGAAATTGATTGCGGTCGCCTTGGATAGCGAGATGATAGTTTCACGGCTGATAATCGGGTAAAACAGTTTCCAGGGCATTGTCTGGTTCAGGTCCACCACGGCGAGCTCTTGTGATGTTGAGGCGGTCGTTGAGACAGGGACGGCACGAGCCACGGGTGCAACAGGCACAGGGACAGGGTTGGCGGCAGCATTAGGCCCTGATGTTGCTGCTGGCTGCTTCGCGCTATCTTCTCCGTGCTCGGATTTGCTCTCTTCAGGATGGTCGAAAATTATGGACGAATTGAGTGACGAAACCCCAGGAGAGGAATGTTCGTAATCGGCCTTCTCGAGTAGGAATCCGGACGAAGTGGTGCCATCATTATCATCGGAAGACTCCTCCAGGTGGGTCTCCGTTGCTGGGTCGTGCAGGTTTTGTGTAGACTCGGACATGGCTGTATGCTGATGCTAAAGAGGTACGGAGTTGGGTGAAAACGGCTCCTAAAGAAATAGCCTGCATCAGAGAAATGTTTAGGGGAAAAGCTTGACTTACTTATTTGTAAATCGAACACCTTCCATGTAAGGCGAAACGAGCCGCACGCGTTCAAACCTGAAAACGAACAGTTCGTTTCCACCCATGCAGAACCCTCATAGACTAATTACTTGGCCTACAGGGTTGTGAGGGTGATGGGAGTAGTGGGGTTAGATAGAGCTCGGTCAAGGCTTTCCTATTGTAGGATCGGATGGCGCCAGGTTAGATGCTGGCTGCCCAGTTGTAAGGAATAAAAAACGAACAGCCGTATCACCCTTATTTTCACTACAAATAAGAAAGCCAACAAGGCAAGAGAGGGATCTTTATTTTCAGGGCAGATGGTATCTTATAAAGCAGTTCCTGTCCGCACCACATGAAGTGTACTCTTCTCTGCTCGTACGTACTACATAGGTCAATATAGTGTAGACCCTACAACAGGAAAGCCATGACCAGTATCTATCTAACGCCATTATTCCCATCACCCTCACAACCCTGTAGGCCAAGTAATTAGTCTATGAGGGTTCTGCATGGGTGGAAACGAACTGTTCGTTTTCAGGTTTGAAGGTGTGCGGCTCGTTTCGCCTTACATGGAAGGTGTTCGATTTACAAATAAGTAAGTCAAGCTTTTGCACGTCACTGCTATCACGTAAAAAAAAAAAAAAAAAACGCGTCTGACACCCGGGACATGCTTTATGAAGATTACAAGCGTTTATATCGAGGTTTCCAAAGGCTTGATTCTCGGCGGCGATGTTGATGATGTAGGACAGGTAAAGATGACCTTGGTGCAGCCATTGAATCACCTATCTCACTCGGACCTGAAGGCTGGTCTATTGCTCGTGGCTCCTTCTCGTGGAAGCTTGCATAAAGTGGAGAAGGAACAAACATTCTCGGATACATTGCACCTTGTGGTTGAGGAGGTATGTATCCTAATGATGGCAGCTGGTATGTTTCTCTTTCCGTGCCTGGCAGTCTATCCGAATGGACAACTGACTCTGTTTCTGAAGGAATATTCACGATCCAGTTGCATGACGGATTAAGAGAACCAATACACCTTTCAAAAAGATTATTCTCATGCTCGCCGCACCACAGTGTATACTAGCGCTTATAGCACATGTTATATAAAAAACCGCAAACACGATGAAGGCCATAACAACTAGGGTATAGACAGTCGCGATAATAAAGGTACACGAGCACTTGACGTCCTACATGAAAAGAAGGGGCATCAAGTATTGAATGGGGCGTAGTTAAGAAAGAGGACAGACAGTAACAAAGAAGCTGGCCAGCATATCCTAGCCGACGAATATGTGTATGTGTATGCATTCAAATCGAAGGAACCCTAATAGCTATGGAAACAGAGGAAAGTTGGCATCTTTTCGGTATTGCTTAGTCCTTCTGTGTGGAACAAAAAAAAATGGATGTCAGCCATGAATAGGTGGCAGACCTCAAGCCAGACTCGTATTATCAAAATCATGCTCCGTGTTTCCATTGTAATTGGATATTCCTCATTAGGAGAGATATCTGCTCAAAGGTTTGGCAATAGTTGGCGCCAGCGATCCTCTAAAAGTCATACTGCATCTTGGTGAGTTATTGCTATGATTATAGAAGAGACGAAGGCGGATGGGAAGAGCGGCGATATGACGATGCTTCTTCCTCTTCTTCGTGTTCTAGTTCCTCTTTTTCATTTTAAAACATGGAATTACATAGCTTGTTTACTAGGAGGTATTGTGTGGGGGCAGGCGGTTTGCGTTATTGGATGTAGATAGTGAACTGTGAGGTGTGCCTGTTCTCTGCTTCTTGAGCTTTTTGATGAGGCATCGAGCGGAGATCCCGCAAGTCGATCACGACGGAACTCGTAATGGGCAGAGGTACTGCAGGCAACGGCTTGGAGAGAGCAGGATATAGTATACTCTCTTTTTCTTTTGAACCCGACGTTTGGTTCTTGATACTACGGTGACTTGGAGCTAACGCTGTACTTGTCTTCTTCGAGATTGATTCCATTCTGCTGCTGTGGATCGAGGCCATTTAATGGCGCTGCATCTGGAGGAGCAAGTTTATCCTGGGCCTCCATTTGCTCGTTCGCCTTTCTCTGCTTTAGTCAACTGAGTATGTAGACGATAACAATTAGTTTGATGATGAGGAAGGCGAGCAAGGCGATAGCGGCTGCGACGGGCGCATGAACCATGCTAGACGTATATATTTCCTTTGCAAGGCCTTTAAAGTGGAAAGTAAATGGCGGATCAAAAAGCGTATGTTGGTGCTGTCCAAGTAAAGGAAAGAGTTGGCAATCGCCGGGTATATATCAATCTTTCATGTGGCGAAGCAGTCTGGCATCAGAGTCGACATGAATATTTCTCTTCGTCCACTTCGCCCACCTCTTCCCCTCCCCCTCCCCTCCTCTGGGCTTTTGCATGAAAGGCCGTAATATTTCGTGAAGACCGAGAGACCGAGAAATCATTACATCTTTTCTTGAACAGATGAAGGGAAAATTGGTGGAACAAACAAGGTGAGAACCACCAAACAGCAATCGAAAGGTATTCGATATTATGGCCTATATGAAGCGCCGGGCCGCGTAAGCTCGGCAGGAGGTCGACTGGCAATAGGTTGTTTGGCGGCTGTAGCGTGAATACACGGTTGTTTGTAATCTTTCCTTGCAAACGGTTTATAATGGTGGTAAATATGCCTCCTTATCAAGGCCTAAATGGACCGTTGGGCTGCGCTTTGTTCACATTGCTGTCATGGTCGGTCATCATTGGTACACGGCACAGGACCGCTGACTTTGTTGCGTCCGTCGTCCTGCTCTCCTATGCGATATACTATTGAACATCCATGTAGGGACGCGTCGTGGTACAGGGACGCGTTATTTGACGTGGGACAACGAATATGCAACTCATCTCCGTCTTCCCGGGATGTGACTCTCCCCTTTTGGTCCCTGGCCAAGTTTATATTCAGCTTTTTTTTTTTTTTTTTTGCATCCACCTTCGCTGCATCCATTCACTTGACCCACATCCCGGCTCTTCTTCTGTCTGCCACTCATATACCATACAGCACAGCCATGGTACTCTTCGACCTACATTCTTTTTCTTTTCTTGTCCTTTCTTTATTTTCACATGTGCATTCCTTTTTTCGCAGCTGGCCTGCCTGAGAGTTATGCTTTCGTTGTTCTTGATGGCAACATTCCCCATGCTGGTACTAACCTGCTCCATTGTCGACGCTCCTAGACGACCTCTCCACCAGATCCTGTCTTCGAGGAATTGGCCACCATTCCAGGACACGTCGCCTCTTTCACTGCAGATCTTGCCACTGGCCAGCTCTTAAACGTAAGACCAGCCACAGCATGGAACACCTATCAGCCACGTTTTGCTGCAGGAGGAGGGATATCGCACTGCAGGATCGTTTTTGCTAACCGACCCTGTATTTTCTCACTTCAATTAGGTAAAAGGACCTGTCAATCAGGAACAGGCGACCGTCATTCAGAAGTTGATGCAGGATGTAGGACAGCTTGTATCTCGATATACTCATAATGCCTCTTCAGGACTCCTATCAGGAACCGGAGATGTAGAAGACAGCGCTGTCCGGAAAGTCTCAGGTACGCTTGGCAACGACACTGCTATGTTTCTTACTGTTATCGGCATATAAAAAGGGAGCACAGCGAAACAATCGCTCAGGATGTCTATCAGATGTTGTAACTGAACATTTTTTATCGTGTTGTGAATAATTCCATACGGGGATTTTCCACATTGGATAGTATTGACAGAAGGCTCAGCATGGGCATTGACAATGGCAGACAACAAGATCTATGGCATTGAGAAGAAGGAATAGTTGGACAGAAGACACTATGAAGAAGCAAGGACGGCTATCATATCAGGCGAAATAAAATACTGTTGCTTCATACAACTTTCTCTTGCCATACCAGCCAACAGACCACGACATTTACCCTAAACCAATTTTGTCAGAGCAGCACCGACTATGGCTTTCTATTATCTTTAATGGGACCGAGCATGTCCTTGATTCGAAGGAGAGATAGCTCTAATAGTCCCACGCCAGTTTAATATCCTTTGATAAGGCCTTCCACGAGCTCTTCACTCGCTGTTTAAATAACAAAGAAGCCTCCAAAGACTGGTGGCCACGGCCCCTGCTGTAACTATCGCCACATTCCATCTAGCAACAATTCGACTGCTATTATTCGTGCGTTGAGAAGCCTTAACATCCGGTCCATCGCTGACCGTCTGGCTTCCCAATGACATAGTAGTGAATCCACTGCTTGATCCTTGCGTACCTCCAACGGGCAAGATATTGGCACAGGCTACTCGCGTGCCATTGTTGTGAATCACAATCGATCGACCAGCGATTGTCGTTGCCTCTTCGGAAAACTGGAGATAGGGGTCCACGTACGAGATCGTGGGGACCGAACCGGATTCCGTAGCCTTTAACTCCCCATGTTTGCCTGCAAATAAAATTCACAAAGGGACTTTTTTAGACCCAGTGCGATGGCTGGATACGCATGATTGTTACAAGCAGATAATCCAGGTAAAGAATACTTCGAAGGTCCTTACCTGAAAGATCCCCTTCTTGGCACTTGTCTGCCTTGGCTGGGTTACACTTGGCAGTTCCAACGTCAGTGGGGTCCAAATGGCCGCCAGTGGTTGAGCAATTGTTGTTAAGCCCCACAGGGCTGACATGGATATGGTACTCAAAACCACCTGTTGGAGAAATTGCAAAGGACTGGGAAAGGCCTTTTTGGACATTAACAAGTACCTGAGCACCTCCGGCGGCCAGTGGCGCAAAGATGAAATTCGCCTGGATATTGTCTAGGTGAGGACGAGTGAAAATAGAATCGGTCAAAGACTCGAAGGTGATATATAAGAATGTGGTAATGAGAGCGCACAGTAGCATAGTAGAGAAGGACACATACTCATGTCGATAACGGCCGACAGAATCTGGGGGGTCATTAGCTGCGACTTGACTAAGTTGAAGTAGCCCATGGCGACCAGTACCGGAAGTAATATGGATGGTTTGCACACCATTTCTGAACCAAAGGATAAAGGGTGGAGGAAGTATTTGACCTACGATAGGGCGAATAGAGCAAAGGGGACGAGGTCGAATGACAAAGACGACTTGACAATAATGAGAACAACAAAGCGACAAAGAAGAGACAAAGCGATCAGCGGGTGAGGATACAGCTCCTGCTCTGTGTTCACAATCTGGAAAGGAACCGTATATGCCGAGACGCATCTCAATCTTCGATCTAAATAACCAAAAGGGAAAGGGAGAGCACGGAGAGAGTAACAAAATCAAAACGTGTATAGACTAGCAAACAGCATGAAAATAATGGAAGGAGAAAACAGCAGTAATTCGATGAATATGAGGAGTCATATCAGTTTTGAAGACTACTAGAGAGGAGGCAGGTTCTTTAGTATCTTTGGAAGGACATGATAGACACAGCAGCACCTCTTCGCGGCAACACTGCGTGGAAATAGTACGAAACGTGGTATGGACCTGAAAGAGCTGGATCAGCAACCATCTTCGGAGCCTTTGTGCCGAAAAAGAGCCCCTTGATGTTCTCTGGAATGTGCGACTCTATCATGTCTCGACCGAGTAGCCTTCTCATAACAAAAGCTACCTATGGAGCCAAGGAGTCCAGCAAGGTGGGTAGCCATCGATTCCTTCTGGTCCCGATCATAGCTGCTGGTATTTGTGGAGTTGGCTCGTCTGGTGTCAGTGCGTTTTGGTGGCAAAACGCGTTTAAAGTTGGTGGCGTTTGCCATGGCAAGAAGCGCCCTTAATGGGATGACTCTCCTTCGCCTTTGTGCAAGCATCAACAGATCCCTGAAGGTTACAACACCACGATCAATAGTCGCTAATGAGCCAGCAAAGACTCGCCAGATCCTTTTTTTCGCTAGCCGCGCTGCCTCGGCCACATCGGGTTTGCTTCCTCTCACAGGAATCGCAACTGCTCCAGCGGAGGCCTGCTCTGTCCCAATACTCTACCGATACCTCAGCACCGACGCCGCCAATCGTGCCTTCCGCTATCCTCAGCAAAATAAAGCCCGATACACGTAGGAGAGCCGACCGTTCTTCCCCACGTCGGTCATCAGAGCCGGCTCCTCCCACTTTCAGGGCACCTACCAACACGGCAACCAAAAGCAAATGGGACAAGGCTACGGACAATGAGATCATTCGACTCTTCAAAAAGGGCACCCCATGGAAGGAGATTGACGAAACCTTAGGTCGACCCTATTCCTCATGCTATGCCCGGTATTACACAGCTCTAGACCCGCGCCTAGAAGCGACCTGGAATTTATCCGATGGACGCCCTAACGAAGCCCTACTGAAGCGACTGGTCTATCTTGTCGACGTCGAAAAGCAGTCGTTTGGGAAGATCGAAAGGCGAGGACTAATGCATGAACCGTGGGAGACACCTACTTCTTATGCGCCCCAAGAGCTGCTGACTGCCATGTCTGAGGCTGGAATAGATGTTTCTGAGGCAGTTTTACGGAACCGTACAGATATGGCGGATCAAGTACAGAAACAGCAGCATGGGAAGAAAAAGGAAAGAGACAGCACTCCTCAGCCCTTCAACAAACTGGCACTTCAGCAAAAATATATGGAGCATAAGGCTTCTCTGCAGAAAACCGCTGTCACTCTGAACAAACATCTTCTTCATCGAGCCATTCGGCGGAGCGTTGAGCTGTATGGTGAGAACTGGAAAAAGGTTGCAGCGAATGCGGATTTACTCCTGGACCAGTGGACGCTATCGAAGGCATGGACGAACACCGAGACGCCAACCGAGACGCAGAAACCAAAACAGCAATCCGCAGACGGTGCCACAATCCCGGAGAGGATGGCACTGAGCCCATCCAAGGTAGCGAGCACGTACAGGATGTTGCAGCGCCATGGCGTCGACTGGGGGTTGGAGGACGATGTGGTCATGACCCGGAAAGTTCTAGAGCTGAGCCGGACGGAGCCCAGTATTTTGAAGATCCTTAGCATGCCTTTGCCACTCAGCGTTGAGGATTCACATACCAGATTGGGCCAGGACCAGAAACAGCAACAGCAGCAAAAGTACTGGGGCGAGATCTCGGTCGCCCTTGGGAATCATTCACCAGCGCAGTGTAAACGCCGGTGGGACGGACTCTGGAGATTGCAGGACGATGAGAAATCAGCCCAGTCAAAGATGTGGCATTGGCTCGAAAAGTTCCAGTTTTGGATGTTGTGGAAGCATTACTACCAAGTGCACAAACGTCAGAACCATCTCGGTAGCGTCAGCAGGATCGATACGCTTTTGGATTTAGAAAGGGCGTGCAACGAGCTGTCATTTGCAAAGGAGATCTCGAAGTGGATGCGCCATCGAAATGAAGCACTATGCGAAAAGTTTTTTACGACCTCCGCCAACCTGAGACTACACCTTGGCATTTCCAATGCAGATATTCGGGCGTACAAATCAGAGATCAGACAACGGAGACAACAGATGAAGACGGAAGGAGTAATGGATCTAGAGCAGGCAGTAATCGATGTACGGCATGAGCTGGCGCCAGTGTTCAGGAACAAGACCACCTTCATGGATTCTATTTTCTCGCAGGTTGCGGAGCCTTTCGTTCAAGAGATGTCTACCCTACCTATTGAGAAAGCTCAATCAACGCAGGATGACCCTCCTCTGAAAATTGTGCGGTCAGAATGGACTAAGGAGAGGATTCAAGCGCTACGCCAGATTGTTCTGGAGGAAAAGCAAGGAGTTCAGCGCGCGGATTTCGAGTTGGACTGGAACAGGATCGCTGAGCAACTGGAGGACATGTTTATTTTCCCTGCAGATGCGTCCTCTGACAATAGCGCTACTTTTACTGTGGCTGGCTCTTCTGTGGTGGTGGACACGCAGCACCAGCGCCAGTATCCCTACATCAGCGCCAAGCAGTGTGAGACCTGTTGGAAGTACATCTCCTCGCCCACCGGTCGTGCCTCATCAAACCGGCAAGCATTGACTGCGGCATCAGAAACAGATGAAGGAAAGAGCGTATCGGACGGCAAGGATGGCGATTTCCTTCAGAATTGGACTGACCACGAACTTGAGCTGCTGCTGCAGGGTGTTCGCAAGCGTGGGACTGCATGGACGGACATTCGAGCCCAGTTTTTACCCAACAAAAACGCGTCTGATATTCATCGGGCATGGCTTTCAATATCTGCGCCATTGGGGGATGAAGACAGGGAAGAGGGTGGACAACTGAGAGCCGATTCGTTGAACACCAAGGCGCGAAAAGTGGATCGGCTATCGGAGTGGGACTATGTGGGATTGTTATCGGCCCTTGACAAAGTGAGCGGAAAGAATCAAGATAGAGGATCTGACGGATCAAATAAAGCAGCCTAGGCCTCTGCAGGTTCTCCAAATAAAATACGATGGCACGACAGAAGCACAACCTATGGCAAACAATCTCTTCTCAGTGGACACCGTGATCTTTCGTACACAGGGCAATACCAACAACATGAATCCAGGGGCAACAGGCGCCCACTATTCCCCTCTTGTCTCAAGACCCGCTCTGCCCACGATATCGCATTAAATGTTAGCATTTGTTCCGCCTGCTTTATTATGAACTCTCCAAGAGTACTGTTGTCGTTTGATGTACCTTTGGCTTCTCCGAGTGATAAATAACCTGCACTTCTCACGACCTTAAAGGTTATGCAAGTCGAGCTGTTTATAGTGTGGCCGTTTGTCGTTACCGTCATTTGATTCTATATTTCATGCGGTGGTATTCTTGTTGTATTGAACTGAGGACGTTGCTTTCGGCGGCACTTGCTTGACCTGTATTAGTGCTAGTCTAGCTAACATTTATCTCAAATAAATACCAGTATAGAATGACCACGTCTGAGAGTAGGCTATTGCAATCTCATGCCTTTGCCCGATGTCTACTAAAAACTCATCTGTGCTGTAATATGCTAATTGGTTGGGAGCCTGTTTTTTCATGGCGATAATGATTTCACTGCATTTCGGAGCGTAAATCGGCTCAGACGTGCTAAACGCCAGCCAGAAGAATTATATTCGCTTGGATACATTTGGCAAGGCGTCCATGACCCTGACATTACTTCTGTAAAGGGCCACATTTCTGATACGCGTTGTATCTCATAGCGTCAATTTGACAAGGACAAGGATCTTTGGGAGGGCATGCAAAGTTCGTACGTGCAGGCGATAGCTTGTTAGTCTCCTGACATGGAAAGCGAGATGATACCTTGTAGTGGAGGCAGGCGCATGTATCGCTTTGTATCGTTCATTACTAATGCTTCGTTCAGACTTGTCCAGAACACGATAATCGAAAGTTGAATAGAGTAGAGCATACATGGAGAGGTTTACGTTCTTCGGCCCACAGAGGGTCATATCAATCGTAATGCGCGGATCTTATCGATGTGTATGGCATGCATCATCATGAAGGGTTGATCAGGCTGTGGTCTATTTTTGGTAGCATCGATCTTTGTGCATGAAGTACGAGACGAATGTTCATAAGCAATTGGTCTATAAAAAAAAACAATTTACTTGACTTGAACATCGATGACAGCGAATATACTCAGGGTCAAACCGCACTTGCTCATGTCATCATCCTGAATAAAAGGAAACCAAAAAGAAGAAGGATCTTGGTAGGGGCAGGGAGCTGTTGTGGACAACCGTAAAAACAATGATCCTCTCTGGATGATGCAGCCATAACCTACCGAAGATGAGAGCAGAGTGTCACAGGCCCAAGTCTTCCTTTTTGGAATTAGCGCTATTTTAGATTCAAAGAGAGACCGAGATTTTGAGTGTGTGCTGCTCACTGACATAAATTATCATATTGTCATTTCGCACGAAGGGCAAGGGGAGCAAAAGGCGAATGATGGACAACAAAACATGTTGTGGGAATGTAACAAACAACGTTCGTAGTCTTTTCTCGGTGGAGCCTTGGAAGAATGCTTTGTTCGATATACGGACGCAGGCAATTACTGGTTTATTCTTTTATGTAAATTGCAATCAAACCGGAAGCCGGCTCTGTCCTATGAGCCGGCGCCACAAGACTCGGCGCCGCCGTACATCTCCCGCACGTGGACACAGATACACATCCAGCAGTATATCGGCGTTACAGCAAATGAGAAAGTATACATGTACCTTGGGGCGCAAAGAAAAGCATTTATTGTTGGTCTGCGACTGCGTATCGTGCATCCCGGAGTGTGCTGAGAGGTTAGGGAGAAAGCTGACGAGCGAATGAGCTGCGAGGGAGGAGGAGGAGGAGGGGGGAGGGGAGGGGAGGGGGGGGAGGGGAGGGGGACAGCTGTTGGACAACAAACTAGCAAAGCTGCACTGCACTATAGTTCTCTCTTTTCAGGATTTTTCATGTCCATCCGGACCAATCTCAAACACCACCTCCCATGGTTCGACTAATTTTGGCGCAAGTGGGCAGCTGGACAGCTCCAGATGCTCTCATCATTAACATGTAACAACGTCTTCCTCCGAAGTAACTCTTTTACTAGAGAGAGCGAGATCGCCCTGTGGTATGACATCCCAAACAAATCATCTCGTTCCCACTCGCTCCCACTCGTCCAGCAACCACAGCCTTAGGCTGTCTGACCCAATAGCAAGGGGACTTGGGATCTCGACCTGCCGTTCAGCTCAGTGGATACGATGAAGACCGCAGTAACACCATTACTGGATACCCAAGCCAGGCATAAATGCTGACAGGATAATAAGCTAATCCCTCAATGGACTGCCCATTTTATCGTCATTTAGTTTAGTGTCGACAAGCGTAGCAAGCGTGCGGATGTAATTTATTTACTTATGAACTGCTGAACACTAGTGGCTAGGACCCTGTATTCTTTCGAATCAAAGGAATTCTCGCTTGAGACAGGTATCAAATAGCAGGAGGGTCCTCTGGCGCCCAGACGTGTGCAAATGCAGAGTTCACTGGGGGCCGTCCAGTTGGATATTTTTGTGGGGGCAGCTACGGCAGTTACAAGTCCTTTTCCGAAGGGCAGATGGACAGCGGACATAGCTTTTTTAGCATGAACAATTGATTATATGGTAAAATACGGACATAAACTCGCTGATGCATTCAATCATATGCACCTGAATGAGCACATTCATGCACACACGCACACACACCCGAAAGGAGGAGAGGGGGGGAAACCAAGGCCGATTTAATAATACAGAATATTTGGCTCATCCACATTGCAACAGCCTACAAATAGGCAAAAGAGGGGAACCCTGTAACGTTCTTTGGCTTTGAGGGTCTTTCACCGCCATATAAAGGGTCCACCGTGCCTCAGAAAGCCAGCAACTCTTTTTTTTTTTTTTTTTTTTTTTTTAATCCCACTCTGCTACCTTAAAGACAACCTCTACCGCCCTCTCCTTCCTCTCTCCTCCCCTCTCGTACTCTAATTCTTCATTTGTACCGCACGTTGTTTCCTCTGTATATACATATACGGCATTGCTCATATTCAACAACAACCAGGAGCACCAAAATAATCACAAGTCGTCAAACCAACGTCGCAGACAAACAATTCGGTCTGCCCTTCCTTTGCGCCACATCCAACCCCATTCTATATATTCCTCTACTCGACTCGACTGCACAGAAGACGGCAGGAACACGACCTGAGCAGCATCCCGTCATTCCTGCATTTCTTATCTCTCAGCGGAGTCATAAAATCTAACGGCCACATCGTAAAGTTCTGCACCGCGATCGTCGTCCATATCGTCAACGATCTATCTGGCTATCACTCTTCCTTACGACAACCACCAAAACCAGATTCCGACCTAAAATATAGCGTAGGGGAATCATCGACGCGGCTTCCCAGCAACGGCCACTCCAGCACAGTCTGAGCACGTCTTGTATAACAACACCTTAAAATAGGATCTGTTCCATCCCAACGCCTCTCAGCAATTGTTCTATTGGTCTTTTCCGATCTTCTTCTTATATAACGCCCTACATTCGCCCTGTACACTGTCACGTTCCCAGACCACCCATCCACTCTCGGATCCTGTATTCTTTAGTCAGCTCGCCGATCCATCCTACTGTGTTTGTTTGCCCCCCCCCCCCCCCCCCCCCTGCTCGTGGTGGATATAAATTCATTTCTCTAGAAATTTTGGAAGACAGTGATGGCCACAGCTCCCTTGCTTCAGCAAAAGTCTCACTCCCCTACCCTTCCACAGTTCATATCCCCCTCATATCATCATCAGCGGCCCCTTAGCACATCCTCTACATCCTCTACATCCTCTACATCCTCTACATCCTCTACATCCTCCAGTCTCTCTATCTCCATCATGAAAAAGAGCCACCTCTCATTTGCCAGGGTCATCATGCTGGTATGCATCTCCTTCATGGCGCTCGCCCTAATTCATATCCACTATATCAGTGTCTTTCGCCACGCTCGCGAACACCCCAACAGCAACGACATCGATACTGAGACCCTTATCTCAAAAGAACATGAGCTCCCACCATCTTACGAATCCGACTCAGCACCGCAATCAACACCACCTCCAGCGCCCTCCACAACTGAAACGAATTTGACGACGACGACTCACTACAGCAATGGCACGATCAAAACAGAATTCAAGCCAGCATTCTACAAGGACCCTAGTGCTGCCCGCAAGGAAATAGGGTCGTTTATGGATACCCTTGCCAAGCGCACCTGGTGGGACCACAAGAACACTCAGAACCCGAAGGAGGTTGTTGCACCACCACCAACGAATGTCTTCTTCGCGTACCTGCCCATGGGCGGCGGAAACAATCAGTTCACGTCGCTTCAGAAGGCAGCGATCCTCGCCAAGGACCTCAAACGCACCTTGCTCATTCCCCCTATCAGTCCCAATTCACATATCAAGGTAAACATCGGAATGAATGGGGGCCACCCGTTTGGGTGGATTGTTGCCAGGTCCTAAATAACGAGGCATAGCAACACACGAGTATTCCTTTTTTTTAATTGAATCTATTCTTTTGCATTCTATGTCTATTATCTATCTCGGTCTCAGGTCTGGTCTGGTCCTAGATATTCAGAATTCTACGACCTCGAGGCCTTCTCGGTAAAGAGTGGTATCCCAGTCCTAGAATGGCACGATATCAAGCACACGCCCGAGAACCCGCCATCGGAGTTCACCCACAACTGGCCGAGCTTTAGTGAGGAGTTTCCTTGCATCCCAAACGGCGGCATCGGTGTTAATGACAAGAACCTGTACGACCACTTCCGGACCCAGTTTTTGATGGACTTCAAAGCCACGGTCCCTGCCAGCGACAAGACGATGGGCAAATCCGGGGACTTCATCCATGCACGCGACGTCCTCCTCAAGGATGCGAACCCAGACAAGCCCGAGATGTGGAAATGCCTTTCGTGTCCATACTTCCTCGGTAGCGAGGAACTGAACGACCGCGCGTGGCACGAGGTTGGACTCCATCTGAAGTTCAACGACAAGATCGAGACCATGGTCGACGAGATCTTGGATCTGCTGCTCCCCCCTGTCAAAGAGGACTCCGGACGTCGCCACCCTGAGTTCATTATCATCCACTTGCGCCGTGGAGATATCGTGAACAAGTGCAAGCCGGGCCAAGATGAGAAGGAATGCTTGGTGCAGATCGAGGAGATCGCCGAGAAGGTTGACGAGATCGAGAAGCAGCGCCGGATCAAGGCTCTGGAATCTGTGAACGACACGAACGCTGAGGTCGTGCTCGAGCGGTTACCGGTGCTGGTCGCAACCAACGAGAAGCGGCCCAAGGAACTCGAGAAGCTCGAGAAGTTGGGTTGGATCATGCTCGACCACGGCGACTCCGTGAAGGACACAGAAGGCAACGAGGTGTCGTCAAAGACCAAGAAACTGGGTACCATGACGACGTTGGGACCATTCTACCCGCCGATGTTGGACGCCGTGCTGTTGACCAGAGGCGATTACTTGATCGGCATGTCGAATTCGAGGATGAGTCGGCTGGCAACCCAGCGTGGGTCTGCCTGGTATAGACACAAGGTTATGCTGATGTAGATCATCAGAGTTTATTATCTTTCCCCTCGCACTACCTCTTTCCGCCTACTGTATACTACAAAGCTTCTAGATTAACGTTTCATAAGAACATTATTAATAATAAAAAAGCTTTATCTTGATTGATGCGAAAGGACGATTTTCGATTAAAACTCTTCCGTGTAATAGGTCGGAAGGGGAGAGCAATAATGCTTGGCTCAGACTTTAGTGCAGGGACCCTGATTTTTGAGAGTACTACTAGTATCAATCGATCGGATGGAAACAACGAAAGCGTGCTGCTTTACCTTATTTGCCTTTTACCTTTTCTGCTTTTTGCCTTTTGTGTTCAGCGCCTATTCTTGGAGCTCTTACGCCGCGTTCAGCATGAGGGGAGAGAAGGTTGGGAGGACAAAACTCTGGTAATAAATCAACGGTGCTGCATGTTTTGTTTTTTGTTTCGTGTTTCGTCACCCCTTCCCCTTCGGTATTTTTCATGAATCCTTGGTAAACAACTGGGCGTAAGGCTATTTCGGACGCGTGCACAAAAAGTGCTCATCGTTTTCCTTTGAAACACCCATTCGCACGCACACTTTTTTTTTTTTTTTCTTTTCTTGAGCATGGATGCACGCATGTGGATAGATGAAAGAAGGTTGACACATTAATTTCTTTCCGCATATTGTTACCATCTTTTACAAGAAAAACATGACGTGCAAGGCAAAATACCCAAAAAGATAAATCGGGCGTAACAACAACTTCAACACCATCACGCGCGAAGGAGAATATGGATCATCACAGTACCCGATAACGATTGAAGTAAGTAAAAAAGATAATCTCGCCCACCCTTCCCTGCTTTCTTGTGGACAGCGTGGGATTAGGGGGGAGAGGGGGGAGGCTCAGACCTCGTGCGGAGGCGAATGAACTCTTTGTCCTACCAAGGACCCAACCACTCGATCCTAGAAGTCTGGAAAAGGGATGTGTGGAGCGAAAGAAACATCGAAAGAAGTGCGGAGTAAATTATTCTGGAAGTGGACTGGACGGAAATGGAGGATAAGTAATAGTGATAAAAAAATATACATCACGACCATGCGTTCGAATCGCCGCATCTCTTCGGTGTTGGAATGAAAACTGGCCCCAACGCCAGAAACAATGGAAACGGTTCACAAGCGCATGCGGCTGCGTAAGCATAAACAGACAACGATCACAACTGATTGACCCGGATATCTTAACGCCAATGAGCCGCATTCATGTTGAATATATTTTTTATTTGTCTTATTTGTTTTTTTCAGAGAGCCAACACACTGGTATTTCTCTGCAAGATAATATCGTTGACAGACGACATGATGTTCCTCAGCAGATTCGTGTCCGTCGCATCTGTGTAGTGCACGTACACCTCTTTGTGCTCACTCCGGTTCAGCCGCATGAATCGTGCTCGAAAGAACCCTGATGCCTCGATATAGTCGCCTTCCTTGCCTAAGGAAGTAGACAACAAACAGAGATATTATCAGGAATTTGTACAGATAACAAAAAGTGTCTGCATACTCTCTAACTTGCTCAGCAGGAAAAAGAAAGGAAAAAAAATATAATGATGGAATCCTAACCATTGTAGTCTGGGAAGTAGGTACTTATGTTCGAGTGCTTGATCTTTTCCTTAAAGATATCCGTCTTGTTCATAAACATGATCATGGCTGTGTCAATGAACCACTGCGAGTTGCAGATCTGGTCAAACAGCATCAGTGCTTCCTCGGTTTGATTCTAAAATAGCACAATAATGTTACACAATGGCTCGTTAAAATAAGGTATACGGTTATTCAAGAATAACATTTGACAATACAAATCCAAACACTTACAGCATCCTTGTCTTCGACTAGACATTGGTCGTACCCACTAATGGCCACCAAAAACAGCACCGCAGTTACGCCTTCAAAGCAATGGATCCATTTTTTGCGCTCGGATCGTTGCCCACCCACATCAAACATCCTGTAAGGGAGTTCAGGGACAAGTCACGGGGTTAGCAACGCTGCTCAACCATGCCAAATCTATGCGATTGCGATAGTACCATATCGCGCAATGACTTGCCTGTAGGTGAGACTGCCGAGATGAAATGTCGTTTCCGTAATACCAGTCGATTTCACGCGGCATCTAAGAATATCGGCGTCGACTGGGATATAGTCCGGTGCATAAATGCGGTCAACGGCATCGAAGAAGCTGTTGTCGCAACAGGAAAAACGAGATTGTTTAGAATATCTGTTTATATGAAGGATTCAAGCATAGAACGGGCTCTGATATTTCCAAATGTGGAACAGTGGAGTAATGCTTACTACTTCACGTTATCCGCTAGCGCATAAGTATGTCCCATTTCGTAAATTTGCTGTACAGATGCATCGCTCCATAGAGACTTGATCGCTTGTTGATATTGAGGTGGGTAGGATGCTCCGCTGGCGATCCGTGGGGTCTCTGTAAATATTGGAAGATAGATCTAACGACATTAAAAGAAAAACGACGCGTCAATCGTCTGCATACAAAGAAATGCGTCTTGCGGCTTCCTGGTAGAACCAAAGGGCCCTTAATGAAACGCGACTCGTTTGTATCTTTACCGCATTCTCAGAGTTGGCAAGGCTAATGTGGTGTTCCTCCATGGCTTGCAACATCGACTGCATAGCCCCGACCATGTTGCCAAACACAAAACCGCGAAAGGCTTCTCGTTCTGGCCCCGAGAATCCCGAAGCATGCATCAGCTTCATTTGTTTGATGATGGTCGTCTTGCCTGCCTCTCCCGCCCCTATAAGCGACAACAAAAATGCGTCATATACAAACGCCAGTTGAGGCTCGTCATTATCATCATCATCATTGGCAGCACCTACGAGTCCATACAAAAAGCTGCGTGCGTATCAAGAATGGATGACCGAGAAGGTTTTCGTCGCTCTCCAAAGTTTGTGAACACAAATTTGGAAAGACCGCCGTAAAAAGCGTCCGGTAGAGATTTTACGCCTCTTGTGCAACCAACTCAAATGCCGTTGAAGGTAGAAGGAGTAACTCCAGTAAGAACGCTCTGGGTTATATCTGGACTTTGTCTGTAGTCCATAGTTCATGTTCCCAAAATACCAGCATTAATAGTAACAGAGAAGCAACACAAATATGACAAACACGAACCGATGATGCGCAAGTGCATTGTATAGGTGTGCGTAGTAGACACGCATAAAATGAAGATAGAACATGTATGCGTTCAGTACTTACCAAGAAGCAGTAATTTGACTTCTGTTTTTCGTAACCTTCCATCGGCCTTGAGAGCGAGGTCAATCTTCCTGCTTTGCGAGTCCGCTGGATTTGACACACAGGCGCCCTACAACCAACATTTTTGTCGTAAGAGAAAGAAATGTTAGAACCAGCAAGAGAAGATGGCAAATCAAAGTTGAAATTGATTGTTCCTGGATCGCCCTCGGTTCTGCACACTCTACCACGCCTGTACGCTTTTGCGGTGCAATTGATATAAATGCCAGTAGTCCAGTTAATCCTCTAATGATATCATGAGTTGATCGTCGTGCTCAGTGAAACAAAAGTATGAAGGTAAGCCATCGTACCCTGCTCTCTTCCCTTCCCATGACACAACTTCATGTACCCCGGTTGTCTTTGTATACATTAAAGTACTAGCTAGGCTAGACGAATATTGGACTAGACAATGGTGTGCCTCCTGCTGAGCGTTTTTTTTTTTTTTTTTCGCGATACACAAATAAACTTTAAAATCGACGAAGATGGCGCATGTGTGCTGTGTTCCATTTCACGCAAACTGCTAATAGAGCAACCTCGTCAAGACGATATATGATGAAGAAGGAACAAAATAATAGGAGATATCTCAGAGTGATTGAACGATGTCGTGTTGATATCCCCCTGTCTTGCGTGCAGGTCCAAGCCCAGAGGAAAGCGCAGTAACGTAAAAAGACAAAAGGAGCGGATGTTCTGCTATGTCTTCCTCGTGCTCTGTTCGCAAGGATCACGAAGAGCAAATGAGGAAGGACGAGTAAGTGAGCGAGATGATATACTTGCCATTTTTTTCGTTCTTTTTCACGGATGTGATAGGAGAACACAGTGGATAGGCGAGAGAATAGTGGCGTGCGATATTATGGCCAAGTTGGTAGAGGTAATTAAACGACCCTGGTATTGATAAAGAGAAGGAGAGGGTCCAGATCGAGAATTGAATTTAGGGATAAATATTAAAAGCTATGGACGAGGGGTATCAAACAGGTGCAATGGTCGGTATTGGTGGCAAATAGTGCTGTGCTTCTTAAGGTGAAACCAGACGAATGAAAAAAAGAGGGCGGAAGGGATGTGAAATGCAGCGAGAAGGAATGCAAGGCGATTTCGAATGAAGATGGGTATAGGTATGGTATGAGAAGGGGAATGAGGATGAGGATGAGGATGTGAGCTGATGGGGAAGGGGGATGAAGGATGATCACGGGGAGGAAAGAAAGAAGAAGAGGGAGAGCAAAGAGAGCCGCGGTCGCAATGATAAAGAGACATACATACAAACTATTATATTATATCGAGCATACACTGCAAACGCAACGGTCGCACCCGAAGTAGGAATAGAGGGAGAAAGTCAGGTCAGATCGTACCCTTCATTGTCATCATCGCCACCACCATGCCATTGTCTATTGTTAATCCGCGCTCAAAAGGTGTATCGGGGAACCATACCATGCCATATCGTGTCATACATGTCTACATGCATGCTGAGCACGGCCAACCACCAATTCGCGACAGGGGGAGACGAGAGAGTGAGGCCTCCTCTCCCCATTGGATCAGCACTTTAAAAGTGGGCTAGGTTATACAGTGTCGCAGGTACTAAAAGTGGTACATGCGATGCGACATGGGGTTCCATTAGTACATATTCCTTTCCTCACTGTCATCGCGAGTATCCTTAGTCGTTCAGCCCCAATCGACCGCCCGATCTTATTATTCAACCATCCCTCTCTCGCTTTCCTTGATCAAAGCCTCTCGCCGTTTTCGTCCTGCTCGACTTCTTATATTAACAGTTAGGCTAAACATTGTATAGAGGATGAACCTATCTGGTGTGTACCTTGCTGTGTTCATTCTGCATTTGTGCTCAAGTGTTTTGTTTTTTGCTATTCGTCCTTGTGTTCCAATGTAGACCTAAACATCTGGTTACACTTGTTGCATCTTCAAATGATGGCGATAGTAAACAGATGCGAGGCACACTACAGAACCAAGGCAGTGTACTGCATCCCTTTGTTGCTCTTCCTCCTCCTTACCCCTGGGGTCAAAGATTATGAGCGATATGCTATCCCGCGCCATCAATCGTCCGTCCTGGATACTCAAGTAATGATGAAGAGGGCTCAAATCCCGAATAAATAAAATTCTTCAACAATAGTGTCGACTGAAGCTAAAAAAAAATAGGGTGAGAGTCCTTGCTCTCGTCCTCTTCGCCCTTCCCACCTCTTCTCTGTCGTCAAACTCATGGCCATGGATAATAATCGCTGTCTTTGATCAACCATCAAACAACTTGTATTACCCCACGACTTTTGTTCCTGTATGCATACAATCTGAGCCCTTGAGCAACCATCCCACTGGCTCTTTTACTGTTTTCTTCTTAGCGAATAGGCAAGGGCGTACACACCTTTCCTCAAGAACAAAGAACGCGATAAAAAAAAAGACGTTAGGCTTCATAAGTAGATTATGAGTGTACTACATTATACCTACCTTCTGCAAGGATCATCTTTTTAATTTTATCCCTTACATAGGGACCTAATGTAAGGGTCAAGAGTTAAGAACAGGAGCCCTCAGTGAAGACCAAGTGGTTAGCAATAGGTATAACGGCTAAGCTCATAAAGGTATGGAATGAGTCATGGTCATAATAGAAAACGTCCTTTTTCTTGTTAGCGTTCTTGAGAAGCAGCAACAGTAGTAACAACAGCAATTCGGCAGATTTATGCAGGCTGCTATGCAAATCCTGCAACTGTCCATATCTCCGTTCGTTGCTTTACGTGTGTTACAACGCATATGTTTACACGCCTATACTTTGTCCCCCAGTGCGAGTGGGACAAGAATTATGACCAAGGGACGTTCCAATGCATGCATTTCGCATAACTCTGTTGATAATTTGATATTGTTACATATCGTATTGCGGATGATCTTTATGCAATAATATATCAATGTATGCTTCCTGGATGAATGGGTGCCAATGCATCAAAGGTAAGATCCCCAAACCCCTGGGAGACCTTTGACATCTGATAATTACATGTATACGTTAACTCAAGTACTCTGTACCGATCTACCTGCTGGCGTCCATTTTATTTAAGGAATGGTATCGTGTGGGGTAGTACATCCGAATCCGGTTGCATTCTTTATGTACCCATCCCGCGTATGTTCGAGTAGTTTATTATTCATTTGCATAGTTCATTAAGACAAGAAGGCAAGGTTTCCTGTTGTTGGTCGGTGCGCCTGGGAAAGTGCAAAAGTACGAAATGGTGGCCCAGGTTTCGAAACGCAAACATAATGAGCACTTGACATTAGCCTCGATCATCGTCGCAGTTGTGTTCAGTCGTCCATGGACAATGCGGGTACTTCATGTTCCTTCCTTCCTTCTAGTTATTTCCGGCGATACAGCGCTCGATCTGCGATATATGCCTCATTATGGCAACGTATGATAGCACATGCAGAGAAATTAAAGATTTTATTGATGTGGTCTATGCTAGATTAAAGCTTCATATGTTCGTGGAGCTCTAATCCTCACGACCGATGCGTCGACTGGATTTCTTCTTAGAGTGAAGCTGTTTGTTTAACTTTCTCCTGTTGTCCCCAGCCCTTTTACTATCAAAAGATATATAAACAAGTGTGGAATATAATATTGTATTAGTACTCAGCTACCATTTATGCAGACTTGCGAGTCCATATCCGAGCTTTGTCCGCTTCGCCGGTTAATACACAAAAAATAGCGAAAAATAGCCATCTTTATCTGGGTCACTTACATCCTCTCCAGTTTCTCCAGTGACTCTGCATCGGGCAGCTTGGGTAACTCAGCCGCTTTGAGCAAAATCTCGTGTAACTTGTCCATGCAGTCGTCCAGGTTGGCCATCTGCGTGCGTTTCCGATCCGATGTTAGGACGTACTCTCCGCTCTTATTGATCCTGTTTGCTTCCTAGTAGATATTTATTGAAGTAATCGAAAGTGTTAATTGGCCAAAATTAGAACCTAGCGCATGCAAATAAATAAATAGATAAAAAAAACCTGCTGTATTTCTATCCCGCATACCTCTGACTTGAGACGATCGCGCACATATTCCGGAAGCCACATTGCCTCGTCCACGATGAACCTCATATCCACCTTGGTGTTCACTAGGTACCATATAGAGTGGAATAGACGGCGAATTGCATAAGAAACACCATTCTCGAGATGCCAGCAGCAAATCAATCAGCATAGAAATTGCGAGTGCGGGCATAACACTTGCTTACCTTTGTTAACATTCTGTCCACCAGGTCCACTGGCGCGGACGAAATTTAACGTCAAAAGTCCCTTGGGAATAGAATCCTTTGTGAAGCTGCTTGCCCATTTTTCAATCTTCTCGCGCTCTTTCATCGTCATGCCATTGCTGTCTCGGAACTCTTCCTCGTCATCAGATCCAGAGCTGATCTCCGTGCTGCTCTCACTCCGCGACGCAAAGCCCCTTTTTTGGCCATGCAAGACTAATAGCCGTGCTGTGGGGATCCTAATGTTTTTACAAGTAGCTGTGTTTGCGAGATTGCTGGCCGTATGCTGCTGATAGCACTGTTGGTGTGCCAAGGGTATACGAAGTTGAACCGTCTTAACCACGTTGGAAATAATGCTGTTCCTAGTCCCGACTGTCCATACACCAGGAATTGCTCTTGCTCGCTTCTCGGTGCATGAGCGGGCCAGTGTGCGCAGAAGGGATGTTGCCATGGTTGTTGAAGAGATCTTTGATTTCCGGAGGAGGATCAACTTCCAGTTTGCCGGGTGACTGCGGTGCTGGGGCAATATTCGTGCGCGCCACCAAAAATAAACTCATCAGTTTGCACGGATCAATTGGACTCAATCATCAGTTTACAGGCGGTATTTTTATAAAGTTGCTGTGTCCCCAAAGTGCCACTTTGAGCGACAGTTCCCATTATCGATTACTCAAGAGAAACGCTGAAAATCGCCCAACTAGCATCCAGTCCATAGAGGGAAATTGTGGGGTAGCATTGCCCTGCCCATTAAAGCGCTACAGCAAGGAGAATATTATGTTTGATGTTATGGAGAGCAGGACTACAGCATGTCCCAACAATTGCGAAATTGTGATAGCTAAGCACTGTCGATTGAGGCCTCCAGAGCAATTGCTGGACGTTTGTGCAGTTCAGGCCAGGAACATTTAAGCATAGCTTCAGCCTACCTTCGTCACGCTCTTCATCTCTTTTCTCTCCACCAACCTTGCAAGAACAGGAAAAATTATATGTCATACAGGTAAATTCTTGTTGTTTTTACAAGGCTACAAGGGGTTTGACTTTCGGCATGTTATCACAGCAAGCAGGCAGGAACAAAGCAAGAAATCCAGGAAGCATCAAAGCACACACCACAATATATACAATACTGCTACAAGAATGGGAGGATTGGAAGGACGCAGGATTCTACTTTCGGACTCTCTGTGGACTCTGCTAGCTACATGCTGATATCTCTGATCCTCTTCGCTTCCACTATTGATGAGACGTATCTTATGCTAACATTGCGCTTTTCGCACGAACAGAATGTCGATAGGTAAGTGGTCAACATTTCTTTGGGATGGTGCTACAGCATTATAAGAGATGCTGGGTGCGACAGTGCATTTCACCACTAATTTACAAGGCAGGCAAAGACTAACTAGCTGTCGCACTGTAGATCTGCTTTGCGCCGACTCTGCGCTATGCTCGATTCCAGGGAAGCTCGCCCTGGCAGTGGTTTTCTATCTTACACTGCCTAGGATTTTGGCAGTGCTTCCACAGCAGCCCCAGTTCATCGCCAAGTACCTTACCTTCATTATCGGAGCCCTGACCATGTCTGCAGTAGGATGTGTCATCGCAATCGTGTGCACTCTTACCGACAAACGCCATCTCATTAACAAACTGGCCACCGGGATGTTTTCGAAATTTGTCGCCGGCCCCTGCGGAATCACCTTCAATGTCAAAGGAGAAGAACGTCTGAAGACAGTGCCACCAGCCATTGTTGTATGCAACCATCAGAGCAACATCGACTTGATTATTGTTGGCAGGCTTTATCCTACATATTGCTCGATCATGGCAAAGAAGGAGCTGATATATGTCCCAGTCTTGGGTCTATTCAGTAAGTCCCTCTCTCGCTCAGTCAAGGAAATAAGGCCCATCCTTTGTTCTAATACGACTTACTAACGTTGCTATGTTAATAGTGAAGCTGGCTAATGTCATCTTTATCGACCGCAAGAACCACAAAAAAGCTCTGGAGTCGACAGCCAATGCTGTTGCTGAGATGAAGAAACATCATGTAAGGCACCCTTTCTTTATTTTTTGTGGCAAAATTGCTGAAAACTATCAAGCAAAGAACGCAGGCAGAGACTGATACCAAATCCCATTGATGTACACTGATCTTAGTCTGGAATGTGGATCTTCCCAGAAGGAACGCGCTCCCACTTTGACAAACCAAACCTTTTGCCGTTCAAGAAAGGCGCATTCCACCTTGCGATTCAATCGCACTTACCGATCCTCCCCATCGTCGTTGAAGGATACGGCCATATCTACAGCTCCAGGAGGCGAGCCTTCCCTGGCGGCGAGATTAAGATCCGTATTTTGGAACCCATCCCAACGAAAGGACTGACGATCGAAGACGTCGACAGCCTGATGGAGAGGACTCGCTCCGTGATGATGAAACATTTGAAAGAGATGGACCAGTCATCCAGAACTGATGTCCCTGTGGTGCAGTCGAAGGAAGAGAAGAAGCCGATAGAAGCGGCGCTGGACAAGGAAACTGAGGATGTGAGCTATGAGAGTGTGAAGAAGAGACCTCGTATCTGATCATTTCCTATCCCTTGCCCTCATTTGTATTTCAAGAGGTACGCAAAAATCCTATGTAAACTCTAAAAAATTCATACCATATATGGGATGAATTAAGAACAAGGGATACCTATACTACCTGCATATGCGAAAAAGAGGAATGAAAGAGGCAGTTTACCGAGGTTACGGGTAAAAAAAACTCTTTTGTCGGACAAATAATTTGCCCTACACCATCGTATTGCCTGGACTAAGGCTGGGTGGACATGTAGACACAGAAAGCAAAGCAACTGTATTGTTCCTCAACCAGCATCCGCAATGACCTTTTTTGTCCACTCGTACTTAGCATGGATAGACATCAATGGAGAAGATGTGGCATGCTGCGGTATTCGTGGACCACCCATAATCGGCTAGTTTATTTCTTTTTTGAATCTCGACTGTCCAAATGGATTTTTGAACCAAAGCGGATTCAGGGTTTTTGCTGGCCCGTCGGAAGTAGCATTCGCCGGGATCTCTTTTCGCCGTTGCAACTGGAACTTCCAGGAAAGTTTGCCCTATTCGGATGCACATGAACATCCACGCACTCCGCATGGCTGACAAACCTTGCACAAAGACAAAGTCGTTCTCACAGCTCTGCAAAGGGTCAGAATGGACTCTCGATCGCTCTACTGCCTAATACATGTCGCTCTTGCGCTCTCATCCCTCGCTTATGGATGTGTATATACGTTAACGAATGAGCACGGCGTTCTTGACTTTCTTAAAGCTGGCCCTACCTCTTCTCTACTTTTCGTTTTTCGTTTTTCGTTGCTTGCTTGATTTTGCTAACATGGATGTGGCAATTATGCCTTTTTCTTGCGCAGCACGTGCGCATGCGAACGCACCGGGGTCGTAAATGAGGTGCACACTGATACAGGAAGGAGATGGAAATGGAACTTGGTCTAGGGCACGGCAATAACGAATAACGAATTTGATTGAGTGAGGCGAATGAAGTCATTTTTGGCAAAGTTGGGTTTTTTTTAGGTTGTCCCACAACAAGGCAGCAAAACACTTTTCAACCTTGTCGTCGCACCTTTTCTTCACACCTTTACTTCCTTTATCCTTTTTTTTCCTACTTCCCCTTCTTCGCCCCATCCTCCTCCCCCTTGACGCCATTTCATCCTATCAACCAACTTTGCATTGCTTTTCAGTTCCAGCTTCGCTGCCACACAGCTCTCTGCCTCCCAGTCCTCAGCTGCTTTCGCCACGATGTCTTCTTTTATCGCTGTGGCCAGTACAGCCAGCACAGCGACTACAGCTGCACTCGGTCGTTTCCATACCAGCGCCAAGAGTGGCCACTCAATCCAATCCTCCACTGGACGTCAGCGATCCTCCAGTTTCACCAGCAGAGGGAACAGCACCAACTTTCCTACCTCATCCTCACCCGCTAGTTCTTACTCTCCAACGATATCTTCAAAACGACCGACCATGGGTTCAGATACTACCCTCAGCAAGGGCTTGTACCAGGAGAATCACGTCGCTCACCGCGATCTGTCTCTACCCGCCTCCTCCCAGATATCCCCGAGCTATTCTAATTACCCGATTATGGGAAGCGTCAGCCCAACCACACTGTCCGCCAACACCAGGGCTCAACAACAACGCCTGAACGATGGCCGTGATCGGATAAATCTTGTCCCCTCCGCAACAGACCATAGTTTCAACATCAGCAACACCAGCAATGGAACTAGTACCGGGAGCCAGGTATGGCAGCTGCCGCCGTCGCCCACGGATCAAAACAACGATCTCCACGGAGACCAGGAGCTGGGAAATACACCGACAATCTGCACCGGGCGGAGCCGGAGCAACACCCTCACCACCACAAACACCGATGCGGTAGAGGTCGCGGCAGCGTCCATCATGAACCAGTACGAACATGTCATGAGGCCCCGGCGATCATCCTTGGCGAACCGTTCTGCAGGACCCGGTAGCCACTCCGCCCCAGTATTGCCCACTATTGTCTTTCCAGAAACCACGCAGCCCTCAAACACAATTCACGCCCCACATTCGCACTATCCACCGGAACCGATTCTGCCTCAGTATTACGATGTAGATGAGGCCAAGGGCACTACTAGTGGAGTCTTGGGGTCTTCTTCAGCGTCGTCGTTGTTGTGGGCCAATATGCAGCTCGGATTTCTTCCGCGGATTGTGATCCTGATCGGACTCTTTGGTGCATCATTGGGGGGACTCTATCTGCTGGCCCAGGTGCTGCCACCACTGTCTCTACCGAAGTCCATCGATGATGTCAAGGTCGATGCAGCGATCTTGCAGGAGTTTGCGACTGCGACATATGAGGGCTGGATAAGGACGTTTTGGGTTTTCAGCGTTGTGTACATGTGGAAGCAGTGTTTTGGAATTCCAGGCAGCGCCTTCCTGGTAAGTGCCTACTATTTGTCCTATTCAAGGCTGCCGCAATTGGGACATAGATATTAACATTGATTGGCTGTAACGATTGTCCCCAAATGAATTCTTTAATAGAATATCCTTGCGGGTGCACTGTATGGACCCTGGTTCGGAACGGTTTTGACCTCGCTGCTGACGACTCTTGGATCGGTGCTGGCCTACTTCATGTCGTTTTTCTTGATGGAGCCGATCTTGAACCGCTACGCATCCAGCCGCTTGGACCAGATGCGCCTCCAGGTCCAGAAAAAGACGATGCGTTCCGCTGGGAAGAAAGTGTCACGGTCAGGCTCGACTGCAACCTCGACAGCTGTACAGACCTCGATCAACGTTTCGACCTCTTCGTGTTCGCCGTCTGATGCGACTGTGTCTGCTGACTCTTCTGTATCGACTCCTCAGCAAGGAGCAACTCTTCGCACGCGATCGTCTTCATTCACAGCTCGCAGGACAGAGACAGCTCAGCAGGACATGTCTTCAGGCGCATATTTCTATCCTCAGCTTACTAACGTACCATCAGCGGCAGCACCAACTCATCATTATTATCATCAACATCAGCGAGCCGACGCAGGAATTCAAGAAAGCGAAGGTCTACTTAGTGATGACAGGACTGTGGAGAGTTCCGTGCTTTCGATCGATCACCAAGAGGCAGAGGAGAACAAGGATCCAGAAGCGGACGAGGATCAAGACGAATCCGAAGAAGGAACTAGCTTGTTTATGCAACTTTTGTTGATCCGCCTGTTCCCATTGACGCCTTACTGGTTTATCAATTTGGCGAGTCCGTTGGTTGGAGTGCCTGTGGTGCCGTTTATGACTTCGATGTTTCTCGGATGTATGCCCTACAACTATATCTGCGCCCAGGCTGGGGCCATTCTTAGTGAGATCCATGAGATGCGCGACATTTATCAGCAGCCCTGGATTCTTTTCCAAGTCGTCCTGGTTTTGGTACTTTCTGGAGCTGCGGTCATTGTGAGCAAGCGTACCAAGAAGAAGCAGGTGGAGAGGGATCAGCGGAAGAGCAGGAAGAGCGAGGAGGAGGCTGTAGATGACGAGTCAACCCAGCATCTGCTCAGATCCACCTTTGAGATCATGGAACGCCACCAAAGTCAACAGGCTGTGGATGAAGAGCGACAGCGGGAGAATATCGCCATGTCGTCGCTGGATTCTCAGCATGCATCATCCCACTATGGCAACAAGCACGACTCGGCCATCGTCGACATGTCGAACTATCGTTACTAGAAGTCTATGAATCTATTCTTTTTTATTTCTTTTCGTAATTTCGTATAGACAATATTCTTTCTCTGTACTTGTAGAATCCATCTTCATAATATACCCTGCCTTTTTACTCTTTTGACGCAATGAAGCCAATCCATGTTTTGACAGCTTATAGCTTGGATACTCCGAAACCACGATTAGGCTTGAAGCCTTTGGTCTCAAGGTCCTGCATATCCATCAGCTCGCCGTGGTTATCGTCCTTGTTGTATATCTCCCAGCCGCCTACATTTCCTGCAATAGGTGCAAACAGCAGGCGCTCGTCGACACCGAGAATATCGCACAGTGCGAGACTGTTCATACCAATGGACTCAACCACATCGCGGACATGTTGTGGGACATGCAGGGCCGTCTGAATCGAAATGAGCCCTCGCGTCAGATACCAAGTCGAGTAAGATTCGACCAGGGTCAGTCCCCAGAGTCGGAGCAGGGTCTCCAGGATCGTCTTAGGTCCTCCGGACAGTGTGCTGACCAACTTGAATACCTGCTCAAAGGACATACGCTCGCCAAAGGACTTTGCGGCCGCTTGGATTGTGTCGGACTCCTCGCCCATCCACACCTCGAAGAGGGCTTTACCTTTGCTCATCTTAGATTGCATCGAAGCACCGAGCTATCACATCAACCGAGATAGGATTTCATTAGGATCAAGCAAGGCGTCCTCTTACATTGGCAAGGAATTCTGCACAAACAGATGAAGCAATGGTATTTACCTCCTGGAAAAGTCCTGCCTCGCGCAACTGGAACAGCGTCAAGAGTCCCTCCAAGGACAACACGTCCAGCGCCTGTGCACTCTTTCTCTTCTGCTCCAATCCCTTCAAGTCGATATCCACTCCAGTGCCTCCGTTTTTTAGTGCCTGCTGCAACAGCGCCAATCGCTCCTTTGCAACCTTCTGCATCAGTACGCTGTTATCACCTTCAGCCGTCATACCTGCATGCGCATACCCAATCGCCTCCCCGAACCTGTTCACAGAGAGGTATCCCTGGCCACCAGAGCGCTCACGACAGGTGGTTGCGACACGCTCGGCGTTCCAGGTGATGAGGGGCTTGATCACACAGCAGAGTCGAATGACTTCCTCAGCATCATCAGCAGCTCGCTGCTGTCGGAAGGCCTGCAGCGAAGATGCGGACCAGCGCTCCTTGCAGTAATTGAGGCCGATGTTCAGGCAGACGGTCTGGGCAAAGAGTGGCAGGAGCGCGCGCTGCTGGAGCTGGTAGGCCATGATGGGCGTGTCGCTCTTGCCGTTCGGGCCCACACAGAGACGACTGTGCGCGTACCGGAACGCGATGGTGAGGCAGACTTTTGTACCGCCCAGACAGAGCGACGAGATGGCGAGGCGGCCAGACAGAAGCTGGTCGGCAACCTTGAGAAACCGGCTATGATATAACACGGAAGCGGACGAAAAGAGGCGAAGTGTTAGCCGGGAACCGTTGAAATGGTCGACATTGACAAAAAAAAATTGCTTTCACGTTCTTACCCACGACGGCTCGCAATGGACGAGGTGAACTTGCCGGTCTGGCGCGAGACGTCCGAGTACCGGTTCAAGAGATTCTCGACGGGGACTCGGACGTGGTCAAAGAACAGTTTGCCGTTATCAACGCCCTGGCATCCAATCTTCACACCCATATCCTGGATGACCACACCCTTGGTCGGACACATGTTGTTGTCGCGAATCTGGACCAGAATTGCATGCACGCCCTCGTTCTTGTCCTGAACAAAGGTCTGTGCAAAGACAACGGCCCATTTCGCATCGACGGCTGCCTATGCATCAGAACATTCCATGTGTTGTATTTCATTGTACATGCACCCCAGAAACGAGAAAAAAAAACAAATGTCAGCACGTATGCATGGCCATGCAGCACAAGAGGGAGGAATAAACGGGTAACTTGAATGAAAAAAAAAAAAAAAAAATCACTGTTTTTCCGTACATTGCTGATCCAGTACTTTTGGCCGTTGATGGTAGGCGTATGCACATCCCATTCATGCGTCTCTGGAATCTAGAGGGTACGAACTTTATCGTTAGTCCTTCTGTGCGTGCGTACCTTCATGCATGAATAATATGAGGGGTTTGTACCACACCCATTTCTTCTTTCCCCCTCCCTTCCCCCATCCCACCGAATTAATCGCCTTCCCAGTTCCAGGTGTCCCGATTTTCCAAAGGGGTCCTTACATAGTGCGCCGTGGTTTCCATTTCGATCGCATTATTTCCGAAGCCTAGCTCCGTCAGAGCAAAGCACCCTACAGATCTCAAATCATCGACCTCCTTCAGCAGCTCACGATGCCGCTCCGTGCCCAGCTTGATGACCGTGCCTCCGAATAAGTTCCATTGGACGGTCATCTTGGTGGCCATGGACTGGTCGATGATGCCGGCCATTTCATGGGCGGCAAAGATGCGTAGGGGGTCCTTTTCGAAATCAAACACAGAGATGAAACCCTGTTGGGCGAGACGGTCGAGTCGCTGGAAGGCTAGCTCGCGCGTGGCTGCGAGGGAGATGTCGTATCGAGGGATGTAGATCGGGTCCCGGGCGGCAAAGTCTTGCATGCGACGACGCAGGTCATGATGGTCGTGCGCGAGAACCTGGGAGAGGGACGAGGTGTCGGCGGGGGTTATCTTGAGCGGCAGCATTTTATATTTCGGTGGTGAGGGATGAATGGTGAGAGGGTATGATGGGGAGAGTGAAGAATAGGAAAGAAGGGAGAAAAGGGGAAGAAGAAAGAGAGTCTATCTTACAGTATCTGTCTACCAGAAATCACCCAAATCAAGTAAAAAAGTGCCTGGTTAGAATTCAGAATGGGTTGGGTGTTCATGCACGTTATTTTTTGTATGCTGAACTTACAAATTTTGAAAGTGGGTTCCGGCCCCCTATGATTATGTTGATGGCATGAACTTGGCAGGTCGGCACTGGTTCTGAATTTGCGACAGACACACGGTGGCAATGATCTCAGAGCCGACAATATCACGATCAAAGAACGTTTGACAGCTTCGGCAGTACTTTGACCGCCTCTTGTCGGACTCTAAGAACGCCATACACTTGTCACGAGGGCACCGAGCACTGGTGTAGTACTCGTGCACCCCGACCACAGTGTGTCCCATAGCCTTTGCCTGTCAGCAGCATCAAGGAACAAATAAACAGATGAGAAAAAGTTGCAGTGCGGATGAGAGATGGTATGCCACCCTTTTTTTTTTTTTTTTTTTTTTCCTTCTTACCTTGCCGACAAATTCCTTCTCGAGTGCGCCATGCTTGCTTGGCAGGCCAGTTTGCGAATCAAAAGAGCCCAATCCTATTGCAAACACCACTTTTACACCATCCTGCGAGCTCAGCGGCTGACCAACAAAGTCCTTGCTGACGGCGAGGTCAAGCAAGGCCGCAACTGCGTAGTCATACGTTGCCTGTTGAGCCTTTTGAAGATCCCAGCGCTTCCTTAGCATCCACTGACTGTTGTAAAAGTTAAAAAGGCAGACTCTCGTGGTGGGCGCGGCAGTGCCGTCCGTACCAGGTGCCTCAAGATACGCCAGATATTCCTCGATCCTCTCCACGGTAAATGAGGGCAGTCTTGCCTCAAGAACATCAATGCGTGCCGCGGCCTTCTGCTTTTCTAGGAGACGCTTGAAAAGCATGTAAGGCCTGTAGAGGAATGCCCTGCGGATCCGTAAAGACTCTCTTTTCGTAGGTAAGGCGGGGTCGATTCTTGTCGCTGTCATTGTGTAAACCTCATCCGGGTCAATGCCGATGACCACAGTATCGTCTGGTGGACAAGTGCTAGGAGAGTTGAAGCGCACCTCCACGTTTTCTAGGATCTTTGAACTTCGCTTCCAGTTGATGGTGTTGCGTGTGACATCGATCGTATCTGCGCCTGACGTTGGAACAGATGAGGCTTCTGAGCTGGACGAGGACGAAACAGCCGCAGTAGGGTCTACGAGTGGCAGTTGGTGTATCGACAGCCTCTGCCGCTTTGAACTTTCTGGCGTCGAAAACGGGAGCGTGATGCGTTTCTCCTTGGCGAGTCCTGCTGCAGCTGCGACCGGATCTGTACCAGATTCGTCCCCTCCACTTTCAAGAAACGCGTCGTCGAGGTCATAGTCACCGTCAACATCGTGAAACAGGGTCACATCCTCGTCGCCGTCGCCATCGTCGTCGTTGTCGTGTTCTTCTTCGTCGTCATCGCCCCTGATGCTTTGGCGGGGTGCTCGGCGTCGCGTTGTCGTTGTGTCATGCGCAAGAAGATGCAACACCAGTCCATTCGTGCAGATGCTGCCCCGAAGCTTGAACCTTGTGTGGTGCTGTCTGTCACTCTGAAGCGAAACCTTCCTGTAATACCCGTCAAAGCGCGTCGCTGGGTCCAGTCTGTATAGCAGCTTCTCGATGAGGATCCCTTTCTTGCCGACGACCTTGGCTTCCGCAGCGTTGGATGTTGTATCGCTCAGCATTCGGACTATAATCGGCCGTGTCGTATTGCTTGTATAGAATAAATGGACAAGGTCCGCCTCTGACAAGAACACGAAGCCAGCTGCAAACTTTGCCTTGACAAAGTCTGCAAACATGCGCTTCTCGGTATTCTTTTCGAAGAAGTAGTCGATCGGATTGACAGCTTCGGGGCGCTCTTCGTTCTCGGAAAACTATTAAAGAATTTGAAGAACTAATGGTCAACACTAGTGCTCCGAAAAGCAAGGAACACAACGGATACATCTTGCACACTCTTTAATATACCTTTGCGCCATAGTAATGGACTCGCGCTGCATTGTAGACTGCCGCAACAGCAAGCCTCGAGACTGTCGGAGGGAACATCTCTGGTTCTCGTTGGCGAAAGGGGACAAAGCCGGTGAGCGTCGTGTACGCATCAAAGACACGTCGGGCATGGGTGGCTGTTGGTTGTGGTTGTGGTTGTGCCTGTGCCTGTACTTGCGGTTGCGGGATGCCAGGAACCAACAGCGTATTTCGAGTGCTCATTCTGCGCGCAGGGGCAGCTGATACTCGAACAGCCTGGGAACCTCGTCCTTCTTGACCACTGCACAAGAGTGTGTTGAGTGCAAAGTAGAAGGCCTTGCTGTCGAGAATGTCTGAAATATCCTCCTTCCGCTGTGTTCTTGGAACGAACAAGCCGCGCGATATCCAGTGCAATAGCCCCATACATATGCATCTGGATCGCGTTAAGGATCGCAACCGTTGAACGTAGCCTGTCTGAAAGGAACTTGCTTTCTGCAACCGAGATCTGATCCATTCGCTTTATGTTGGCCTGGATACTCCCTACAGTGAGTGTCTTGGTTATATGCAGCCTGCGGAGGCGGCGCTCCGCTGCAGTTGCAGAAGTGGGCCGTGGGTTCGATGGGTCGGCAGAGCCCACCCCTTTCCGTTTTCTCGGCAGTGCCCTCTTCTTCTTTTTCTTGTCCTTCTTCTTCACGACCGTCTTCCGAGTCTTGACGGGGGGCTTTGCTTTTGGCTGTGGGCGATCGTGAGGTACGGCAGTCGAGAAGTCAATCGATTGTCGCGGTAGGATCGATTTCTTGTCTGAAAAGATCGACCGGAACTGGTTCCGCTTTGAGTTCCTCGCAACGTAGAAGGGAACCGCGCTAGTAAATACACGCATACATCGCCATGCAAAAGGTGTTAGAGAACTTGATATCTGTACAACGCGTGCGTGAATGAAGTGGTGTCGCACTTAAATTACCTTCTACTCGCATGCTGATATGCGGCAACGGCAAATCGCTGCAGTTGGAGCACTTTCTCCTCGAGATCCAAAAAGATATCTTCTGATGACTTGAATCGGCTCTGGTCGATAACCTCGTGGGGTTTGATGGCTGCCATGAATCTGTAAGCATCGATCATATGGCTGATATCGGGCGACTAGGGTAGAGCGCGGATGATCTCCAGGTTGCGAACTATTCCAAGGCCGGGAATGTTCTCGGTATAGTCGTTCTTGGACACGATGCCCAGCAATGTCACATAGTCTGCGCTGGGGACCTGAAGTGCATTGGTAACACTCTCCTTGGTGTGCAACGCATAGGCCAAGCCGTGGAAGATCGGCCGCAAAACCTTGGTGACCGACGGATATATCAACAGATCGGAATCTGCTGACACCACGAAGCTACCGGCTGTCATGGTCAGTGTGCGTGCAATGCAGGTGTCGGCCTCGGTCCTGCAAGTGCAGACAGAAACCCCCTTTTCTCGTAAGACATCCCGGAGTGTCAGCTTGGCCGTATCAAATCTGTATACATCACGGAGGCCCTTCTTGATCTTCGCTACCACGCTCTTCGAGGTCCATTGGCCGTTCGACGACTTCGTTCTCATGACTTTCAAGTTCGCTTGCAACTTCTTGAGGTCCGCTGTCAGTCTGTTCTTTCGCCTGATGTGCTCGTTTCGCTTCTGCTGGGATGGGGCGCCATCGATGTGAATCGTACATTGCGCAGGGGTAAAGTCCTTCGCCAAACGCGCTGCCATCGTGAGACCGACAGCTCGGACCTTGCTTGGATCGTAATCATCCGTGATCTGGAGAACGAGGGATCCATAAAACGCGCCGAAGAGGTCAACCTCAACAGATTGGTTCTAGTAATCCTGAGGATCCGCGGCAACTGGATCCAAACCGCGCTTCTTCAGAGCACTGTAAAGGCCTCTTATGCCCATGCTGTGATCACTATGGTGGGTTGAAAGCTTAGCGGTGTTAGTGAAACCCTCTCGTAAGAACGCTGAAGATATGGAAGGATAGGCTTGGAGGGTACATTACCTTTTCTACAGGCGTATAGTATCTAGGGTGAAGGTGTATATGGATAGCGAACTGCGGGCAAAGGGCAATGAGGAGAAAGGATGATGAACGAAAGGTAGAAAAAGATAGGAAAAGGTACTGTTGATGGTGTCGCTTGCGCTGAAAGAGTGAAAAGGTGAAAGAAAAGTGTGGCGAAGAAAGCTGTGAAGTGTGTGGCAGAATACTTATAGGCGAGAAGCAATGTCTGCTTTCCCGCAATAAAAAAGACTTTCCGCAATAAAAAAGACTTTCCACAATAAAAAAGGCATTACCACCATAACAAAGACTTTCCACAATAAAGAAAGGCATTACCACAATAACAAAAGGCTTTGATAAAGAGCCATCACACTGATAGATGCTAGTCGCTTGACACGAAGCACGATCAGTGATATACAAGTAGCTTTGCCATGGCCTGACACAGATGTCCACCCACATCGCCATCCTCGCTGTTTCCAACGTACGTAGGTAGGCGCAAATCTAGATAGGTCGCCAGGGATGCAATGGAGGGTAGGGAAATCAGTCAAGTAGCGCGCTCAACCTTCAAAGGACTAAAGCCTATGAGAACTTTTGATATTAAATTACGGGGAAGAGCACCGCTCCCAGAATAAAAGAATAAACGGTCTGGTTCCTGAACCAGAATCTTCTTCACATATATATCTTGTATGCATTCGTCCAGATTGTCCGGATAACACCGCATCATCGACAGGTACTGACTGCCGTCGTCAACAACCCACGCAACGAGATACAACCAACAGAGAATGCCAAGCTTGATCATTCGCCACCTTTGCACTATCAAATGCAATGTTTCCCTGATCTCCGATCGTCTCATTATTGAGCATCCGTCATCGGCTTACCCTCGTGAAACGGCATTATAAAGGTACAATGGAGGCCTGATCAGCGAACATTGCCATACAACGACTCCAGAGGGGTGGACTTTATTGTCACGACTTCTCACTTCATCGGACATCATATATGTGAATATCTTGCAACTACCCCCAATCATTCTCAATGGAACATAGTCCTAGCTATATTTATTTCCTTCTATCTCTGTCTAGTCTGTTTTACCTTTGTGTCAACACATTCCGATCTTAAGGAGGACCCTGCACCGCGAACCAGTAAATGACCGAAGCACACCCTTGCCGAAGTCCTATTCGCGTGGTAATTCCTTGTTGTAATAGAACTAATGGTAGAAGTTATAGAACCCGTTAGTAGCCCCCCTACACCGCAGGTGCGCAAAGAGGTTTTCTCTTGTGCGATAGAGCGGCCAGCCATGGACTTTTGTTGCTCATAGAGATCAACAACAGCCTTCACATATGTATCAATGGTTTCAGGTGAAGGGAGGTCGCCCTCATAATCCGCCGTCGTATTAATACGTATTGGCCTGATGCTGTGGTAGTCGTCCTCATGTTGAACTATTTCATCAGCTACCAGCTCCTGTACGTAGGTTAGGAACTTTCCATGCGTAACTTTCATGTCGTCGTTATATCTCTTACGTCTACACCAAGCCTAGAGAGGACAAAGATATGAAGATATGAATAACGAGGCCGAAAGGCTTTGCGGATCAGATTATTATGTACTGTTGAATCAAGCAACGGACCATCCAATGTGCCTGGTATCGTTGGTAATGTTTTCTCGTCGATACAGCAAGAATATCTTGCCGATCCGCCACAAACAGTAGTTCGGCTCCTCTTTCAGCCAATGCGTTTGCAAGAGCATAGTCTCGCTCCCGCTGCTGGTGCGCAACGACATCTGCTGCAGTCATCATGGACTGGTTATGAGCAGTCTGTTTAGCTGCCCGCCCTGTCAGGCGTTCCGGAGCCTTTCTCTTTTGTAGAGCTGAAGATGTTTCAGGAAGTAATTGCTGTTGTCCTATTTCGGCAGCTGGATGACAGGGAGGAGGTGAGATTGCATGTAAGGGAATTGCGATAAAAGACAATGTACAAGGACGCTGCAAGTGCTGTCCATAGAGAAAGGAAGCAAACCACTTTCAGTAAAGACAGCATAGCTGCTTTCATCCTGCGCGTTGCTATTACCCTCGTAGTTGGTATAAGCAGTATTTATGCCTAGCCAATAGTAAAAGTCAAGAGTACGTACATACAAAAGAGACTAAGACTTGGAGCGCGACAATGACTAACACATTCCAGCAAATAACTGCAATACCTTGACGAGCAGCAGAGCTGCTGCTTTCTCCGTTTTGGCTTCCAAATAACCATTGGTCTTGATGATCCATTCAAGGTGTTAAGTTGTAAGGGTATAAGGGTATATAGGATGGATAGTGAAGTGCTGAAAGTGCGTTTTGAAGTCAGATAATTGATTTCGTCCTTTTTTTTGATTTTCAGAGTCGCCTCTGATTACAAATCAAAGTACAAAAAGCCACACCGATATATTTTTATAATAGCCTGGGTTGTAGTTTAATGAGAGAAAATTAAATTTGTAAGTCTTTCCTTAAAAATTACGCATACAGGATATCAAGAAGGATGTTTGAGCAGAGCATAGGAATGTCGCGCAAACATCCACATCCTGCAGCACTTTGGTGGCAAAACAAGTTGATCTTGCCAACCCGTATAGGGAAGCCTCTTGACCGAGGGTCATTGTCTGTTAATCTCTAAAGGGACAGGCTGGATGTGCGCTCCCCCATCCTGTAGTCTACTTGCAACTGCAGCGAAGGATGTTCTCGAAGCTCTGATCCTTATAATCCTGTATTTTTCCCCTGAGATCAATGGTCCATAATCCATGCTCATTAATATACCCATGAGCATGTACCTCGCTCCAGGGGCAGTCTAGGAATTACCCTCCAGTTCAATTTGTTGACAAGCACCAGCTAGTCCAACAGGTGATCGTTTCCACGTTCAAAGTTACTGCAACTGCCCTTCCTCCGTCCGACAAAGGCCCTCCGAACAAGGCGCTTGCCGCATCTATTTCTAGACCAGCAGATACCCAAATGCTGCCGCATAGAGGCCATGCCACTTACAGCATTAACCTTCTGTCGCCAATAGCATCTGCTCAACAACGCAGTAGTTATTTAAAAGGTGAGATCCTTCCCTTCCTTGCTTTTCTCATTTTTACCGGCTTGGATTCCACTTCCTTTGTTACCTAATCCTTCACATCTTCGATATACATCCTCAAAGCGATATATCTCCATGGGCAAACTGTTTCCAACTTGCGTTACCTCCAACAATGACACCATATACATGGCGGCATACGCTACCGAAATTGGAGCACTACCACCTATCATGCTACTCGTTCTCGTGAAATCTGAGCAGCTTCCCCAAGATCCCAGCAACATCTCTTGGTCTGTTGTCAGCACTGTACCCCTCACTCAACTCGATCCATTCAACCCACCCGAACCCCGGGAACTCACACCCTCAATCAGTACAGAGTGCTTTGTGGACGATAAGGGCCTTTTCATTATGACTTCACAATGTCTATCGAACCTGTGGACTGTGCAGTACAACCCTAAAGCGACCTTACTCAACAACAGCAAAACGACTCATGGGCGCAGCAACGACCACCCCGGAGAATGGTCGATGCTCGATGCCATCTCGGTCGGTATTGGACATCCATTTCCTCACGCTCAATTTCTAAACACAAAGAGTACAGTCTACGGCAATGAGACTCTTTATCAAGTACGCTATATTCCTCATAGGAATGACTCACTGCTTACACCTCCCGTTATTGATGTTGGGCCAATGGAGAAAAACAATCGCACTGCCATCGACAGCCGCCCAGTATTGCTGGTAAGAGCTCAATTGTCTTGTCCCGTGCAGAAGACTTCTAGCTCGCTGAGCATGCAACCGACTTTCCTGTTTCTTTATCGTCATATTACCAGGACCAAGTCAACGGCAGCATTTACAGCCTGAAGATCCGCGACGATAATATCTACGCGGTCTTTGATACGGCTCTAGGGAATTCGTATCCATATACCAACTCAACATCGCCCCGCTATAATAAGACGTTAGCGGTGTACCCATTCTCATCTTCGGTGATTTTTAACAGCACTGTCAGTCCGAACAGTACGCTCAATCCTGCATTCACTTTACCCTGGGATCTGGATTGCTCGTACGATTATCTAGACGGAACGGCAGTTTCTGCAATAGCAAGCGGTCGACTCTATTACCTCTGTTCGGTAAGTTGTGCTCTTTCCCATCCATATTTGCTTATTTTATATCGAGCAGCTCAAACAAATGCTCACGCAGCTTGTTGCTCTTTTTTGATTCAGCGCATCGACCCAGTATCCTCCAAAAACACTCTGCAACTTTACACTTTACACAAAGACCGGCTCCAGGGCCCCTGGATCGCTCCATCCAATACGGACGGCCCCTTCTCCCTCACAATCATCCCATCAAGCACAAACCAACAGCCTCTCTTCGGCATCATCTACGTCTTCCTTCAGCTTGTCTACGTGAATCTAAATTCCTCCACAAACTGGTCCTCACTCCCCGATATCATAGTCCAGGACGAGATCGAAACGCCCCCCTCTTTATATACTGTACCACGGGAGACACGGTGCGACGAAACATGTGATTATGGTCATGCTCTAACTATGGCGCAAGGTTGCATCGGTGCTGCGGTATTCCTGCTGGTATTATGCATATGTTTTGCGATCCGGTATTGGTATGTGTCGACATATACGGAGATGTGGCGATGTACGGCAGCAGCCAGTAGGCTCCCGACGGCCTGGCGAGAGATGATTAAAAGGAGGGAGCAGCGGATGAAGATTGGTTCGGAGGATGATCTGCAGCTCACGGAGAAGAGTCAACGAGCAAATCACAAGACGCAAGATCGATTTTAAAGTGCCATTCGGACACAATGAAATGGCACAGCACCTGGATTGAGCAGGCATAGTGTTCTTCAAGTGTACGAATACAGTTGAGATGAATAGATGGATGCCAACATGAAAGTATTGGGCAAAGACGGGATCCAATTGCAGAACATAACCATGGCCGCAGCAATGTACGACGTGGTCCGTGGAGGGGGCGCGATCCAGTCTACAACCGTATCCTGCTATGGAAGGCATATGCCACGTATCATAAACACCAAGATCCTCTCACCCGAGACTATTTTAAAAAACAACGAAATGGCTGTGAAAGGGAAGATGAGACCCAGAGTCCATGCACGGCGGTGCAGAGGGCGAGAGAGCTGCATTGCGGTAGTATCCAGTTCCGAGCATCTCAGAATGCAAAGGGATGTTTGCAGGAGAAGCTGACACGTTGCTAAACATTTTTGTGTATTACTTACTTCGTCTTTCGGGTCTGTCCCTCCTTCTTTACTCCCTTCTCCATTCCTATTCCCATTCCCATCATTCCCTTTTCCTTTTCCCTTTCCTTCCCTTCCACCCCACTTCATCCCCACCAAGAACAACACATCCAACACAGCATCACTATCCATGGGTCTGTCAATCTCAAAGCTACTCTCAGGCCTCTTCAGCAAGAAGGAAATGCGCATCCTGATGGTTGGTTTGGATGCCGCTGGTAAAACCACCATCCTCTACAAGCTCAAGCTAGGCGAGATCGTCACCACCATCCCCACCATCGGTAAGCATATGATACGCCTCCATAACTCCTTTGTACTTTGGTCGCTCCTTCTGCTGCTTTGTCTGTTTCCGTCTTATTCCTTGCGTCGCCGCATCTGGGGACGACAGCCCCCACTAGACCTGATGAACTGGCACTCCCCTCTTGCCCACGGGACACAATCTTGCTCTCCTGCGGCAGTTTGGCTGAGAGGGACTTTAGCATCTGTTCAGATGGCAACTCCACTTCGACACCTACTTCACTGACCCTCATCATCCCTTTGGTGCGGTCTGTATGGGCGTGGCGAGAGTCGTGTCCCTTGGCGCGGTATCATTGGCCTCCTATTTGAGACGCGTCATATGTCCCCTCCCCACTCCACACAGCGCTCATCCTAATGAAGGACGCAATTGCCACTTGACTGATCCCTGGCCCTCTTCTGTTGATTCACGTTCGCGTGCTTGTGCGCTCTTATTTTCTACCCTTTATTGTGATCACACGCATCTAATAATATCACTAACTGAAACTCGGTCGGCTGGCTTCCTATAGGATTCAACGTCGAGACTGTTGAGTACAAGAACATCTCCTTCACCGTCTGGGATGTCGGTGGTCAGGACAAGATCCGTCCCTTGTGGCGCCATTGTACGTGAGCTACGCTATATCATATATGAGTCGGCTTATGCGGCCGACCTTTCCACGACAACCGCACAACATACAACAAGATACACTAACAGGAGCATTTACTGGATGAAAGCCCTACCGACGACACCACCATTACTAGGAACAAACCCTTTCAATTACGATGTCTCCTTCAACCACCTGCGCCCTTCGGATGACAATTGCATCCCGACTCAATGGCTTTGACATTTAATATTAATACTGACAACCATCTGCTTTCACTCTTCGTATGATCGATAGATTTCCAAAACACCCAGGGTATCATTTTCGTTGTCGATTCCAACGATCGTGACCGTATTAGCGAAGCTCGCGATGAACTCTTGCGCATGTTGAACGAGGATGAGCTTCGTGAGGCCCTTCTTCTCGTCTTTGCCAACAAGCAGGATCTTCCCAACGCTATGAATGCTGCCGAGATCACCGATAAGCTGGGTCTTCATTCTCTTCGTCAGCGTCAGTGGTACATCCAGGCCACCTGCGCCACCTCTGGCGATGGCCTTTATGAGGGTCTGGAATGGCTGTCCAACAACTTGAAGCGCAAAGTTTAAGCATCTAACGTCGCGGTCTTCAGGACAACCAATCGACAGCAAAAAAGAAAAAGACAAAAAGCATCCAAAAAAAAGTGAAAGCCAGGAGCAATCCGACCATAAACAACGAGGCCAGGAGAGGAACTTGAAGAACCCTTATCCATCTTTTTGCCATACAAATAAACATCCAAATTCATTCTTTTACAACTCCGTATGACTATTTGTATGCAGCTGAGCGGAACTCGTCAATAGTCAAGATAGAGCTCTATAGCGTGTTTGAAGGTTAGTTGGTCCATAAAACGACAGACCAGAGCAAATGGTCCGAGATCCTTGGCCTTGCACGTGATGTGACCTGTTTCGTTTTTTTTTTGATGGGTACAAAAGACACAAACAAACACGGAAAAGACTTTTCTCTTTCCTTTTCACACATATCTCAAGATGACTACGTAAGGACAAGAACACCCCCTACCCTATCGTTTCCCCTATCAGGATTGATGCAAAAAGACGTGGACTACAGGACAAAAACAGAGCGTTGACACCGCTCTTGTTGATGCTTGTTCCCAGGGATATGACGATGGTAGCGGAAAGACATCGACATTACCCGTTTGAAGCTCATTCAATTCGGATGCGCTGATTCAATCCACCATCTACCTGGGGTGCTGAGTTCAGGGACTTGCTTCATTGCATTCCCTCTGCTTGAAATGCATTCTGTGACCCATATCGTCAGCCATTGGAGGTTTTCAGTCGCTTGGATCTCGATTCTCATTGTAAATTCTACAATGCAGATGTTAACATTCAGCCCCTCCATGGTCAAGTCGAGTATATATGGCGTCGTATTCCAGACCGTTTTTTCCTTCCAAGGAAATAAACGTGTAGGGGTTCGTTGTTGTGTGATGGGCAATTGAGTCGAGTTCTTTTTCTCGCACTTGATCTTCGACTTGCCGGTTATTGATCTCGGTTGTGCTGACACTTCGTGGCAGTGTGACAAGGGAGCAATTAACCCAGTTTACAACCAAGGCTTCAATGCCTAGGAAGTGAACTGAACAGCAGTTGAAGCCCAACTCCAATTAAAACAATTCGTCGGATGTCAATCCTTATTTCTTTCTGCATTTTATCTTTGACGTCTTGTCCCCCGGCAATGGATACTGGTTGACAAGGGTGATACTTTTGTCTTCTGGTTTCATTGCCCTTTGACGTTCTCTGTGAATCAGAAATGAGATACTGGCAGTCCGACGAGAACCTTTTGAATCCTAATGTCATTTCTTCTTGCTCATTTTCTCTCCATCTGCAGCACCACCCCCACCCTTGAGCACGTCCTCGTTCCCGAGACCCTCTTGAAGAAGAGAAAGACCCAGGATAAGGCTGCCGCTGAGAAGCGCACCGCTGATGCCGCTGCCCGCAAGGTAATTTATGCGCTCTTTATTGTCACCGAAAATTCTTTTTTCAATCCAGCACTGCATAGCAAGCAAATGATGGCAATCTTCCTTTTCAACGGAGGGCATTTAATGATGACAAGCTTCAAGCATTTGTGGCTAGCCAATGGCAATGTTGCTAACATTATACCATCTTTCGGGACTGATAACAAATGCCAACTGCCATCGTTTGCTTGCTTGCTGGCTGGTTGGAGGATTTTGACCGCTCATTAATTTATTGTGACATGGAAAACTAATGGGTCATCTTCTGTTTTTTTTTCATTTGTCAACAGGCCCGCAAGGCTCAGCGCAAGGTCATCTTCAAGCGCGCCGACCAGTACGTCCGCGAGTACCGCGCCAAGGAGCGTGATGAGATCCGTCTCCGTCGTCAGGCCAAGGCCAGCGGTAACTTCTACGTTCCTGCCCAGCCCAAGCTCGCCTTCGTTATCCGCATCAAGGGTATCAACCACATTGCCCCCAAGCCCCGCAAGGTCCTCCAGTTGTTGCGTCTTCTCCAGATCAACAACGCTGTCTTTGTCCGCTTGACCCGTGCTACCACCCAGATGCTCCAGTTGATCAACCCCTACGTTGCCTACGGTGAGCCCAACCTCAAGTCCGTCCGCGAGTTGATCTACAAGCGTGGATACGGCAAGGTCAACAAGCAGCGCATCCCCTTGACCGACAACTCGATCATCGAGAAGTCCCTTGGCAAGTTCGGCATTGTCTGCATGGAGGACTTGATCCACGAGATCTACACCGTCGGCCCCAACTTCAAGCAGGCCTCAAACTTCTTGTGGCCCTTCAAGTTGTCGAACGCCACTGGTGGTTTCTCCAACAAGAAGGCTCTCCACTTCATTGAGGGTGGTGACTCTGGTGACCGCGAGACCAAGATCAACAACTTGATCCGCCAGATGAACTAAGTTCTCCATGTTATCTTCTATGGTGGCCTTTCAAAATTCTTGTCGTTTGCTATTTTGTGAATGCATAAACCAATAAAAAAAAAAAAAAAAAATTCCCACTTGTTTACTTTTACAGCGGAGTTATCCAGATGAGTGTCACGCCTCCTGTCTGCGCAATTGCAGAGCGGTAAAAACGATTTCTAGTGCCCTCGGTAGGATGTGCGTTATTATAGCACGTCGCGTTTCATATCATATCACATCATATTATTACCCCCTTTGAACCACGCTTTTTGGCCTCTTCCCTTTTTATTTGTAATATCAATTCTCGTCCGTTGTCGAGAAATGGCCCTTCAATGTGTAAGCGAGCGTGATCTGGCCATTGGGTTCGACTTGCGATCCATTCGATCTCATCCTAGGCTCAGTAGTAACAAAAGCTGTGGACAAAAAGAAACAAAAAGGGCCAAGAAATCGTACCTCGATCCATAGTAGGTAGCCTAGGCTAGCAGGTCCTCGTATAGCTTGGGCGAGATCACAAGAGACATCAAGATCTGGATTCACGCCGGAGACAGCGGATCCATTTTTTTTTTTGAATAATGACCATGACCAGATAGGTGGTTTCTATGTTTTGAACCACTAACCCCCCCTTGTCGTCATCTCAGCCCTACTACTCTCTTTTTTTTGTTCTTTTGTGCTTTCGACCTGCCAGTGAAAGCGAAAGCACCTGGACGTGGAATAAAAAGGAAAGAGGAAAGAGGAAAGAGGAAAGAGGAAAAAAAACTTCTACATTTTCTTTCTTGTTGCTGCACACAACTTGGTTACACGCTGTCAAAGAGGTAACGTAAAGAGAGTGCCATTCAAGCTGTTCTTGCTCCTGCTCAATGGGTCCCTGATATTGCTTCTTTCCTATCACCCCTTTCTCGTAAGAGCTATATACACTGTCTACCATTCCTGTGGTTTTCTCGCGTTTACTTTGGGCAGCGCTTGCAGAGGCACGCTTGGGTAGGAGACATACATTCTTGGTGGTGCGTCATGTTAATTACGCTGAGTATCTCAGTAATAATCCCATACACTCCATATAAATTGAATTCCCCTACTTCTCCTTTCTGTCTCCTAATGCACAAGCAGATCAAATCGTCCCCCTTACGAACCACTTGCAACATTGCATTAAGTCGCACTCCCATCGGCTTACTGGGAAAAATCGTCTCCGTGTGTTCGTCCGTTCAACCCGGGTCCTCTTTTTTTTCGAGAAAGAAAAAAGAGGAGCAGCGCTCAGATTGAATTAGAATCCAAAAAAACGTTGCTTTCTACGTGGGGAACAGAAGTGCTTCAGGTCCAGGTTCAGATCGTACAAACAGAAATTACCCTACTTATTCAAACAACCAGCATTCCAATCCAACCCTTGGTTTTCTACTGTTATTCATTTGTCTCGCACTGTCTTTGCCCGAACACTATAATTTCCCCTAGTCACTCGGCTACTCCTGCGTCTTTTTTTTTTTTTTTTTTTTTTTTTGGTAACGCTGGAGAGAAACATGGGGAGCAGACTGTTCTTTTATCTTTTGGGATGCTAATCAAATGGACATCATCCCCTTCGTGAACAAATGGCCATTTTTTTTTTACGTTCCGTCTCATGTTACTCTCAGCTTTCCGCTGCCCTCCTTTGCATGCAACAGCAACAACCCTCAACCGTCTCTTTTTCTTTTCCCACCTTTTCTTTGTGTCCATCTACTCAAATGCACCATGGATAATGCAAAAAAAAAAAAAAAAAAAACCAGCAAACAGAAGGGGCTGCGCTTTCATTGGTTGTTCCCGATCACACTCCACTCCACCTGGTGTTTTGTGCCATATCATATTTCGACCCCCAGTCCTCCTTCACCTTTCCCCCTTTCGGGTTGTCTTCACGTCGTCTACTCTCCTACATCCAATAGTCCCCCTCCTTTTTAGTTGTCTTGGACAAGGCCGACAAATAAAAGTGCGAGCCAGTTGCAGGTGCTTATGGGCATATTTCATGCGCCTGCACACCTTTCCTGACGATCTGCTCTGACGTGTGCGATTCGTTACTGACAGTATCCTCCTCTTCCTTTCCTTTTTTTCCCTTCATCAGCCCTTCTTCATCTTCTTTAGCCATCCACCTCTCGCGTCTTCCCGATCCCTCCTCTCCACCCGTTCCCCTTCGTTGTTTCTCGCGATTCCCCTCACTCATGTAACATCGTGTCCGATAAATCCGTTCTGCTTCGCCCAATCCACGTTTTATTATATCAGCAGTCAGCCAATCAGACACAAGAACAATGTCCAAGAACCCCTACTTCGCCCACCTACCAACCTGGCGTAACCGACAGGATCTGGCGTATGCACTCGACAACCTACCTCAGTTTCTCGAGACCATGACCGCCTCCTCACCCCTGATCGCTACATACTCCTACCCCACTACAGCTGTACTTTCCTCGACCACAGCATCTTCAGCAACAACAACATTATCATCATCGTCGTCGTTGTCATCATCATCACCATGCAATTCTTCTTTAATAACGCCGCCTCCCTCATATGAAGCCCCATCCACACCTGTAGCTGCAACAGCCACAGTATCACCTGTATCGTCCTGCATGGCCTTGCCCTCTTCAGCACCGCCAGTGAGGGGAACCAGCCCCTCGGTATTCAGGGAACGGTTCGTGCTAGATCTTGCCGAGGAGTGCCAGAGATCTCAATTTCTTCGATCGCAGGGGGCAGCAGTGAGCTCGGCACCAAGCACGCCATGTGGATCCAGGCGCGTAAACGGATCATCCTATTTCACACCAATACCACCTTCGACAGTAACATCGGCCATTACTACTACAACTACTACCCGCTGCAATAGTATTATTAGTAACAACAACAACAATAGCAACAACAGCAGTAGCTCCGATACTAATCCTTACTATCCACTTCAGTTCTCGACGCGCGCAAAGGCCATGTCCTTTTTGATCGAGATCCTACAATCGTTTCAGAAGGAGACCTGTGGATGCGACCTCACGAAAGGATGTTATTGTGGGACGGATGGCGTGGAGGACCATGAGGGCAAGTCGCCGTGTTATGTCTGCGGAGAGTGGTTCGTGGATTGCAAGGACGGGATTTCCAGCGGGAGTGGGCGGGCGTGGCATGAGCAAGGGTCGTTAAGGCATCATGTGGCAGAGTCGAGGGTGAGGAAGTGGCTGGATTCTGTGTGGAGGCCCCCGCTGACGCCGACGACGACGCCAGAACTGGAGACGGTGAGGCAGTTTCAACAGCCGATGGCGCAGCGGCCGTGGACGTTTCATGATATTGAGGTTGAAGCAAGATGCAGGAGTCGGAGTCGGAGTCGGCAGAGTTCTTCGTCGTCGACGTGTTCAAATTTGTCGCCCTCGGTGTGTTATAGCACCTGGCAGCAGCAGCAGCAGCAGCAACAGCAACAGCAACAGCAACAACAAGCACAGCAGTTACAGGATATGTCTGGAGGGGCAAGTTCAGGGTCGTGGCGATTTACGGCGTCTCCATTGCCGTCGCCGATGCGTGCTCCAGTGCCGATGCACCAGCCGTCTCTTCACCCTTGGACGGTGAGCCCCACGATTGTAGATCCCCACCAAAATCACCATCGCCAATCCTTTTCACCACCCCTGTATGCAAACCGTGGCTCCATAGAGAAATACCAGCCTCGAACCAGGACTTTGAGCCACTCGGATTCCACAAATGATCATGATATCCAACCATTTCCGAACCCGGCTCTAGTCACTTTCACCCCGCCGGCGACACGACCGAATAGCTGCAACAGCGGCCGGATGGGGCGATTAAAACCTGTGAGGGCGTCCACGACGCCGCAGAACGGGGCGACGTTTGCAATCCCGCAGGAAATCCTGGATCCGAGTTATCGGTCACCGACGTTCCGGATCAAGAGCTGGAACCCACCTGCAACGGCGCCGGCACCGGCACCGGCACTGGAGATATTGAGACCTATAGTGGAGAGGAGTGTGACTCAACCAGTGCCAACGATGAAGAAACAGACATTGGAAGAATGGACGACAGAGGCACAGACGGAGGAGCAGAAGCTGATGGGTGTGGATGTAGTGGCGAAGAGTTCGATTTGGAGCGCGAAGGATCAAGAAGGACAGGAGGAGCAGGGTGTGCCGCAGCAGGAGCCGAACTCGAGAAGGGAGCCGTTCCGGTTCAGCTTTACGTCGCAAAGGTTCAGGGATGTCGTGCAGGCGTCTATCGAAAAGTCGTGCGCGACTGCTTCAGCTCCAGCATCAGTTCCAGCATGCTTGGAGAAGACTAAGGCTGTATCTGACGATTCTATCGTGTCCATTGTGGATAGCGCCTCCGTAGAAGAGAAGGATGAGCTCGCCACTTTGTCTTCGCCAGTAGAGTCGTCATCGCTTCCCACTGCCGAGGACGATATGCCTATCAAGATGCCATGTCCAAAGCTGAGCCCTCCTAGCTCAATCCTCATCATGGCAGTCTCGGACATCGTCTCCGACATAGACACAAGTACAGACACAGACGCAGACATCAAAAATCCCGCTACCGACCATCCAGATGCCGCTGCAGCCCTGAAGACACTAACTTCCATGTTCCCCAAGGTCTCGACCCTCCCTCGCTCGCAGAGTGCTGCTGCGCGGTATGATTTCAATATCCAAAAGTCCGCGCCGATCTCTCCATTTATGCCCCACGCGCCTCCTCCGCGCGCAGCTAGCAGCATCGATTTCGTGGACCAATGGATTCCATCGAAATCCGTGCCTGCAACCCCGTTCTCGTTGCCACTGACGACGCCGCCGACGAGCCCCAGGGGTCCGAAGAGTCCTGTAGGAAATATCGGTGCTGGGGGAGTGAGTGCGAGTAAGACAGCAAGTTGGACGTCGCTGCACAAGTTGATGCACAAATTGACGAACAATGAAGCTATGGTCGCATCGCTGTCGTTACCCCGGCGCGGGCGTATGCATCTCGATGGCTCCTAGGGTGCGTAGGAAAGTACTATATCCAAAAACTATATAATTTACTCAAGAAAACTCCATAGACAAATAGAAACCATAGACATGATAGAATAGTAACACGAATGCTCTTTGATATTTTACTGAGTGTGTGATTACAGTTACAACCATCTGTACATGTGGTGGTTCCCGAAAGTAAGGGTGGTGAGGTTGATGATTCTAACAACATGGTTCACTCCAGTTTGTCTGGTGGTTACGACTGGCGTCCTGTTTTTACTGAAGCAAGAGGTTCTGGATCCCCTCTGCAATGCTGTCGCGGGCCTTCTCGCTGATAGGGTTGTCGCTCTGGAGGTAGCCGAGGAAGAAGTTCTCGATTACCCAGCGGTTGCGAATGGTTCCGAGGTCCTCGTTCTAATGCGGTGTAGGAATCATGATTAGATTTCAGTTGTAGAATGATGATATCTGTTCGAGATAGACAGTTGTAATATGTGAGGTTTTCTTTGCTTACATCCAATTGCACCTTCATGGAGCCGTCGGGCGACTTGCGGAAGACCAGGGCCTGGTTTGTGTTGATCTTGCCCTTGGGGAACAAGTTCTTGAATTCCATGATACCCTCCATAGCCTCCTATTTAGACGTAGTAGGTAATTGATCGATACAGAGAATGTCCTCGGTTAGTTGTTATTTCCCTCTTATCAGATATGGAAAGCGTTCTCTCCGCAGTACATTCACACCACATTGACAGGAGACGCCTAGCGTCATTTACCTCATTATCGGGCTCGCTCAGCTTTTGTTCCTTAACAGCCTGCATCAAACTCTTCGTGAATCCATCACGAAGATGCGGGCCATTGGTGTTCTTGACGGGCGCGATTCTCAGGATCAACTCGATTGGAGTCTGGACCATGGCCCTGAAAGCCGTATCGGCGCTCATGTGATCCGTGCGCTGGAATTTTTGGACCTCCGGCAGAGCACGGAATCGGCTGTTGTGGTCATCGAGATCCGATTCCTTGGCGTAAAGTCCCACAGTGTAGACCTGGACCTTCAAGAAGGTGATCTTGCGCACACCCAGACCGAGCAAGCGAGCTGGAGATCCGTCCTCGGAGCGGATGTACAGAGGGAACTCGGACTTGGAATCCGGGTCTAAGGGAGAGAAAGCGCCCAGTATAAAAGATAGAGAAACGAGGTGAATGATGAGGGTATGAAGTCATTGTAGGATAGACATTTTTGGGAACCGGGATTCCAGGGGTGGAAAAAATATTAGCACCTAATTGAAAGGTGCAACCACAACACCGAATGGCGAATATCCGAAGGAGACGGACAATTGCCCAATTGGTAGAAAGCACATGTGTGGATACAGCCGTTTAACAGGTAGACTCCAGGGCAACGATAAAACAAGACGCCAGAAGTTCCAAAAAGAGGAAAGCGCAGGGACATTAAATCCTCAGATCTTCAAAATAAAAGGTGGGCGAGAGCGATGATGACATGCCGAAATCACTTTTCTTTTTTTAATAGCCTTCAATGGTGTGAAGATCGACTAAGCTTTAAAAAGAATATGTAATGACTTACCGATGACGGTGTTAAGTTTAGTAGGGCTCTCGGCCTCAACGTGCGAGTGTCCGAGTTGCCAGGAAACGACTCCAGCGGTCGCTACACTGGCAATCAACCATGGTCTCCATTGATCCTATTAGAAAGATCAAAATGATCAGTAAAAAGATAGCTTTGCAGGGTAAACATTTGAATTTCTCGGTAATTAGCTGTAAAGACATCTCCACGAATGGTGCCGCCCAGCACAGCTGATGCTGTGTATACAGCTTGTTAATGAAGCAATTGAGAGTGAGGTTCTAGTAGGGTTCCCAGAGCTGAACACATACCTGAGCATGGGCACGAGCCGTGGTGACGGCAGCGGCGCGACCGAGATGGTGGTGGATAGGGGCGCGCATGGAGACGGGGTTGAAGGTTGTACGCGTCGGCTGGTGCGCAAGAAGCGCGCGCACCCTGGTGATTCTTGTTGCTGCAGACATGGTTTATGGTGAAGTTACTGCTCGATTTTTTTTCTTGGTTTCGTTACTTGAGGTCGAGAGTGTCCTTTCTGCTGAAGAGTAAAAGGTTCGGTGATGGAGAAGGCGTGTGGGAGAAAAGAAGAGATGGCGATCAGCTTGAGTGGTCCGCGCTCTAGTTTTATTGCAGGTCTCAATTGTTCCCAAGGTTCACAGTCACATCATTTAGTACAGGGCAAGTACTGGCCCTGTTTCGGGTGCCAGAACCCAAAGGACTCTATCGCGATAACCAAGTAGTATATATGTTTGGTGGCGTCGACGCGTCGTGTTTCAGGCGCGTTCCATGCTTTCGTGTTTTTTTCGTGTTTCGTGTTTATTGCTGCTGGTTATGGAGGTCTGTAATGAGTGGTAAATGCAACACAGCAGCACCGTGGATGATGCTATGTTCTTTATTCAGCACTAAACGGCTGGGTCTTCAAGAGAAAAAAATAAGTCCAAGATGAGAAGGAATCTTTTGACCCGTTTGCAAGTCCGGTCCGTAAAATCCTGGTCTTCTCGTGCCGCATCTCGTATCCCCATTGACTCTATTGGAATGATACCTCCGTGCTTCACTTTGATTCCCGGACATGCTTGAGACCTGAATGAATAGTTGGCTTGTCGATTGGCATCTCAGATAGATAGAGCATGCTTATGTTGTTGTCGCATCTGCGTTGCCGTCATGCTCTCTGCTACTTGCTTTTGTTTGTTGATAAAGATTAGAAAGAAGGCAGAGAAGCATTGCTGAAGTACCATTTTGCATAGCGGACGTTGTGCCTTGCACTGTACTTCGCTGCGGTACTCCCCATCTACACCAATCCTGTGCATGAATTGTTGGGATGATGGCTGCAGGCAATCCCCCAGTCAATCTTCTATCGCCACATTCTCACCTCTCCGATACCTCATCGTCATCTTTACCCTACATACAGACAACCCCTTTCTCAAAAGAGTTTCTCAAAGAGTCAACCGGAGAGGAGGATATTATCCCGTCTATCCATACCTCTTGCTCTTTTCCACACTTCCCATCCTGCATCTCCTTGATCTTCCCTCACGTACTCCTCCCCCCTTGTGTCCCGTCTGTACACCCCTGTCTAACTCGGAAGCAGAGTACCGCTTTTTCCTGTTTCTAGCGTGTTGTTGTTCTATCTCGCAACGTTGCAGACAAACGAAGGCAAACGAGGCACGGAACACCTCCAGCCAGCCATTCCTGTGAGCCTTCGCCCTTTCTACTCTCTTGCCCTGCCACTCCACTGACTCATCGCCTTTCTGTGTGATTCCCAGCTTCATTTCTCCTCATTCTCATTCAGCTCTCCTTATTCGTGGTAGCTTACAGATCCAACTCTTCTTCTTTCTTCACTCTTTCAACCCCTTCAACCTCCCCCCTCCCCCCTCCCCCCTCTCCCCCCCCCCCCCCATCCACCACAGCTAATTTCATTGCGGCTCCTTCGACTCGTTAGACATAACGGTCGATGAATCCCTTCACCACGAATGATATGGCTGCGCCCAACCCTCAATTGCACAGGCTCTCACACCTCTCGACTTCCACCATGGATGAAGACGTCCTTTCAGACTTCCATCGATGCAGTCTCTCTGGAACGGACTCTCTCTTAACCGATATCACCGAATACGAGCCAATAGAGAGAGGGGATTCATGTCCAAAATGGGCTGGGCTGACCGCAAGGAATCGGTTTAGTCAGAGCTATGACAAGAACCAAGATTGCTACAGCAGCCAGGAGGGAGAGGGAGACGCCGCCTTCAATGCGAACGAGCTGATGCCTGTACGTTCCACCATGCAGGCCCCAACAAGGCCTCCTGAGAGTGCCGCCAACCGACCATGCCGCGACGTTGAACACCTGGGCGTCAAGCAAACCGTGGAGGTCCTACAATCCATTCCAGGCTCACCACATTTGCAGCGCTCCTTCACATTCGATCGCGAACAGCTCGACGAGCCAGGGACGATCGTGGAAAGAGCGATTTCTGACAAGGAAAAGAAGAGCAAGATATCAACGCTGTTTGCAAGAGCGGCATCCAATGGAGATATAAGCAGGATCATCGAAATCCTCGACAACTTTCGGGATTGGGTCGATATTAACACACATGAAGAGGACGGATCAACCCCATTGATCTATGCAGCATGCTTTGGACAGACGGCAGTCGTATTCATGCTGTTGGATGCGGGTGCCCAGGTCGATGCTCGCGACAAGTTTGGATGGACTGCCCTCGTTTGGGCTACGAACAACAAGCACGAGGACATTGTTCGTTTGCTGCTCGACCATGGTGCCTCGCCTTCGGCGCAGACAGTCAAGGGACGTACGGTTGCGGATTTTTTGAGACATGATCCTAATGACACAACCAAGATTGCCCAGATCTTTCGGGAACCGACCACCACTCGCTCCAACTTTGCGAGTAAGAGTCCTTTCATGCGAGCGAACGCTGCGCTGATGAATCAGGATCAATTTTACCAAGAGATCATGACCGAGGACGAGCGTCAGCATCGATTGAACATGGGTTCCAGCCAAAATCTGGTCGACGATATGACGGAAAACGACAGGTTCCTGTCTGATCAGGTGCGCATCGTGCATGTTGTCTTAACGTAAAAAAAATTGCATGTCTTCAGGACGTACATTCAATGGGGATGTGCATGTGCATGCGTTGTCGTTGGTTTGGGAATAATGTGAGAGAAGACATAACGAGAGATAGTCAGGCGCGAGGTTTAACGACCAAACGAGGCAATTATCCCCTTTGCTCTAATCCTCAAGCGATCTATCAAGTTGACGACACTCCTTTCTAGCCGAGAAAAAAAACCGCTCCATTGTTGTCGTTAGTTTATTTTCTAACCCGCTTTTAACATTGGTATCCCAATTTATTTCTTTTAGGCGGATGACGACAACGAGTTCAACTGGGAGCTGTGCCTTCCGGACCAGATGTTCGTGTTTTCGAGCAGGGACATCCCGCACATCATCGAAACCGTGATCACCACCATTGAACCTGCACGATCAAGATCATACAAGCCTATCCCAGCCTATGTGCTCTTTCTGTCCGCGAGATTCGCACACAACTTCAGTACACCTGAACTACTGGAGGAGCTGCTTGAGGCGACTGTTACTGCCATCCGTTCTGTCACCAAGGTGGGATGCCGAACGAGGACAATAACCAGGCAAGGTTTAAGAAACAACGGACTGAACGTTTCTTGAATAATACTGTCCTTCTAGATCAAACCGGATGATATGGCATTGACCGCATACTGGATATCGAATACGAGCTCCTTTATTCATTTCCTTCGCAAGGATGCCGGGCTGCGTCATACATCGGAAGCGTATCAGGAGAAATTGGAAATGCTGTTGCAGGACATGGTGCATACGATTATTCAGGATGCAGAACGACGAATGGAGCAGATACTAGAGCCCGCTATGCTCGAGCACGACACCATCATGGGTTTGGATGAAGTCAGGTTTCAGTCCGTCTGGGCGTTCAACTTCTGGAGAGGTATTGGAAGCGGCGGCAGGACGAACAAGCGAGCCAGTGCACCACCCGTACCCTCTTCTCAATCGCGGTCTACGGAATCATTGAGACGGACATCTCTACAGGCCCAGCGGCCATCTTCGCCAACACAGAGAAGCATTACGCCGAGAACAGTGACCACGATGATGTCCTCGTTGCTGTTTGTGATGCAGATTTACGATGTCCATCCAGAGATCATCTATTATGTAATCGCGCAGCTCTTATATTACATCTCCTGTGAGGTCTTCAACCTTATGGTCGAGAACCGAAAGTTCCTGTCGCGCAGCAAGGCTCTTCAGACCCGACTGAACCTCTCTATCCTGGAAGATTGGCTTCGTAACAACCAGTTGCCCTCCCGACTCACCGATCAACTCGCAGCTTTGGTTCAGCTATTGCAGTTGTTACAAGTGCTTTCGCAGCAGAGCGATTTGACGACCTGGATCGAGACACGAAAAAAGGTCGAGTTGTTGAATCCAGCACAGGTCAAGCATGTTGTGAGTGCGTACCGCTACGAGGTTAAGGAGCAGAGACTGCCTGCTGAAGTCACCAAATATGTGCTACAAGTCGTTGCAGATACGGAGAAGGTCCGGCGACAGGAAGCAGAGGCTGCATCCTCTGGATCGGAGTCGTCGTCCAGAAGAGCCAGCAGCCAGATATCGGGCTCCCGCGCGGCTTCGATTTTTGAGGCGGAGGAGAATCGAATGGACAAGGCGAGGAGGACAAGGTCAGGATCGCGTAGTGGTGACAGTAATACTGAGCGGGACGAGGAAGATGCGGACCAAATGTCCTTGACGATGAACAGCAAGATTTGGAACCATTTCTTGATGCCGAAGAATCTTGCGGCCCGCGATGGAGGTATCGAGAGGGTATTTGTCCCGCAGATCCCGGAGGATGTCATGTCTCTCCTGGACAGCAAAACTTATTTTTGAGAAAAAAAAGATGCCGTTCGTCTTGTGAATATATCATTGTACATGTATACCAGCGTTTGTCATATCGTTTCAACAGCAACAACTCCTCTCACATTGTCCATTAAATACTACGTGATTTACTGTCAACTTGTTAATAATGTGGTTTGGTCATCGTGAAACTTGCGGTACAGATTGGTGGATGATGCAGTAAAGCAACAGCTCATATAATGAGAGTTTGAAGATGCCCCCGTCAGCTGTATCCTCAGCACTATCCATAGCAAAATACACGCTGCACTCCATTATTCATCACTTTTGCCGTCCCTTGATGTCCAGTGGCATCCTTGGGGCGCAAAAAAACATTTCTCGTCTATTCTCGTCTCGATTCACACCAGAAGACAAACTAAATACACGCCCTTCCCTCCCCTCCAACCATCTCACATAGACGCTAGTGCTTCGAAATCCCCTTTCAAAACAAGAATACACATCGGTTCGCCATTCATTTTCATTACCAGCCGTCAGTGCCGTCCCTCCATTTTATCGGGGTATATCGGCTAGAGATGGACTTGGCGTGCAACAAGGATACGTTTTGCATATCGTCTGGTACTTCATCAGAAAAGTCAAAGAAAACAGCAGCTCGTACCACCAATTTCAACCCACATGCAGAAACAAACATCCACTTATTGCTTCATACAAGTATTCACATTATATCATATCCTTATGCTGCCATTGAAATCGCTAGCTGGAGTCCTTTTTGATGATTGATACCAACTTGCGATAGTAGTAACAGACTATCATCAGCATCGAATCCTTTCCTTGCTCAACGCGGAGTCGCCGGTTAGAATTGGACTGTGCGCGGCTTTCGATTGGCCAAATGAGCACTTGCCCATTTTGTTGCAAAAATTAAAGTTCCCAGTGTTGGAATTATTCAGCCAATAGGAGCGTCGATGGCGTGATCGCGACAAAGATCTACGAATCGCGACCATATGCTACTGTATCCAGGGTGTTTGACACTTCTTTTACCTCTCTCTTTTGAATGCATCCTTCCCCCTCTTCCACTTTTCATTCACTCTCATCCTCTCTCCATCTTCTTCGGCCATGCAACATAACCGACCATGTTGTCTGATATCGTTCCCTTCCTTTTACTTTATACTTTATGCTTCACTTCACGCTGGTTAAAGACCTTCACCTTCAATACACTCCTCTTTCTTTTCATATCAAGATATACACTCACTCAACGTCTCCACATCTTATCCAAATCACCAATTCATCTTTGGACACGCAATTACGATTTTACCTTCAGTGGATACTGGATACTCATCGCAGGCTTGCCAGCGAGGCAAGTCGGATATTGGCTGGTCTAACTATGCACGGATTTATCGATTTTTATTTCCTTCCTCACGTGCAATATCTCACCTCACTCAATCCACATCACGTATGGCGTCTGGACACACAGAGATTTACAGTTTTCTTTGGAATATGGACTGGGGTAACACAACTTGCGTTTATTAGCTAATGTTTATCTATATTAGAGGAGGGATGGCAAGACTGGATAGGGGAGAGGAAGAAAAAAGTGAACAGGATGTACACTCTCATTGGTATACGAAAAGAGTTTGCAAAAAATGGGCGTAGAGAAGTGAGCAGAGAACAGAAAAGACCCACAGGAAGAGATAGTCCAGTCTGGAATTACAGGAAAATCTGCAGGGGAGATCAAGGAAACACACGAAGCTCAGCTGACACATTGACTTGGGCTTTTTTTTTGGTACGCAGTACGTGTGTACGTGGTCGCGGATCCCTCAACCCCAGCCCTACAATTATCCACAATTCCCACACCCGACCCGTCAACAAACACAGAGAAAAGAAAACAGTGCAGAGCCGGCGCAATTATGACAACAGGGAGCACCCTATTGAGTGTTTGTCAGGGAGCATTTCAAATACTCTGCAGATGGACAGGATTCGATCTTTTGGCCTTTTGAAGAGTAGAAGACACATTTTCCAGAGGAGCGGGCTTTAGAGGAGCGTTCATTGAAGGTCTTGCAGGTCTCATACGGAGGGGTGTAGAGGTGCAGCGAGACCGAACCCTGGGTCTTGAGTGGGTTGGCAACGGCATGGAGACCCAACTTGTCATGCATATACGCAACAGTGTCACGCTCGAGGAATGTCTCCTTCTTGACGTTCATGGCCATAGCCTTGGCCTTGCCTTCATCGTCGCTGTGGTCACTACCAACACCAGAATCGGCATTATCGGACTCGTTGATAACTTTCTCGGGCCAGTGATAGAGCGTTTCCTTGAGTTCGCCATCAAGGATCTTCATCAGGCAGTGGGAACCAGAATGATCATGGATGGCACTGGATGAGTCAAGGGGACGTGGACACAAATAAATGGACACATGCAGTAGGAGAGTGCATATGTTAGTTTGGGTCGGAATGCTGAGAGCTTTTTTTTTCTTTGTTATGAGCAAACACATGGTATGACCATGTACGATGCCGTGGGATGGTTTGATATTCTCTTAATGATTTACCTTCCGATAGTCTCTGGCCAGGCGAGGATCATCAGGTTGAACTTGCCATTGCCGTCGTCGACGAGGTTGCGGGTGTAGCGACCCTTATCAAAGAGGGCATACTTGGCCCAATCGTTCTTGTTCGAGGTGTAGTTGGCCATCAGCTTCTGGACTCGCTCAACATCGACGCCATCGCTATCAAGGCCATTGGCGCCCAATTCGATGTGCAGGAGACGGACGAGGTCGTCGAGGTCAGTGGGAACAGGCACAGGATCCTTCTGGAGGGCACTCACAGGAGTATCGACGGTAACATTATCACTCTTGGACAGGGCAGGACTCATAAGAGGAGCCAGCAGGGGACTAGTACAAGACATGGTGGAGCAGGTGTTGAGGAAGGTCATTGTGTAATGAGTTGATGCAGAATGAGTACAAGATGAGTTTGAAGTGAGATGGGGTGAGATGAGGTCAAGGTTAGGGGTGGGAGGAATGAATCCAGTGTCAATTGGTTTTTGTTGGGTAGAAGAGTATTGCAGCAGGGGAATGGAAGAGGAGTGCAGGAGGTGGAGCCGCGACAGATCTTTTATATCGTTTGGCAATGAGGAGGCCCCATGGAACTGTGCCGTATTAGGAGGGGAAGCGAAGGTAAGTGGACCTCATGCATGAAAGGACAATTCAACCAACCACGCAACAGTCAGTCATCAGTCCAAAAGACTTTCTATGCAGCAACCCAATAAAGAAAGCTGTTCAATTGAGTCAACCATTCTTTTAAAGTCCCATGGGAAAAACCAGAAGGAATCGCGCGTCTTTATTTCTTTAGTTCTTTAGCGCAGGTAACAGCATACAATAATTATAGTCATCATCACCTTTACGCCAAATGATGAGAGCTGAAATAGCATTAAAGGGCGCACAGAAACATGTAGAGGGAAAGGCAATGAAACTAGCCCTTCAAAGGTACTCATGGCCAGGAGTATTTCGGCAAGGTTATTTTCGATCCAAAGGAGTGAAATGAAGGACTAACGCCAGATCCATAAAAAAAAATCGCTACCGATCACCTGACTGTAGCACCGCATAGATCCCGATCAACCGCTGAATCTGAATCACACACATGAAACAAGCATGGCAACGAATACAGCATCAAGTAAAAACGGCCTCAAGCCGAATCAGGGGGCAGCGGCGCCAGCAGGCTCAGGAGGCTCGAAGCTAATGGAATCTAATCCACCCAGCACCCAGTTCACCAATGGGCTTTTGGTCGCCTCAGGAGCCGCCTTCCTGACTGGCATCTTTGGATCACTTTGGTATCAGGGTCGACAGGAGAGACGCAAGGGCATTAGTATGTGCCTGTTCCGCAACCTTCTCGTAGCAAAGAAGACATGCATTGGAACATTTATACGAAGGACGGTATCAACTCACAACCTATATCAACCATTTTGATGTTTTAAAATAGATCGAGTAGCGGTAGGAGCACCTGTGAATCCGGGCCTTCAATCACTAAGCGACCTCAAGAAAGCCGAGGCGCTTTTGAAGGAAGGAAGGATGCTTGGGGTAAAAGCATTTGCAATTGCAACGACGATGTGTCTTTCGGGAGCGGTGCTAGTCGTAGGGGCCACCCGGTGGGCGTTGGATGTTGAAACGGTATGGCGTCTTACCTCGCTCTATGTCAACGGCCATTTGTATTGCTGTTGTTACGGGCCCCACGCTGACTTTTTATTAATTCTGCAATTGTAGATACCCGAGTTTTCGTCAAAGATGCGAGAGCTGTTTCCGAAGCAAAAGACCAAGTTTGTGGATGCCGTCGTCGGTGCAGATCGATCAGTATTTGGAAACCCTTCTGGATCTAGATCTGGATCTGGACCGTCCACAGAAGGGCCATCATCAGCGTCAGATGCAGCATTAGGATTAGAGGAGAAGGACTTGGACCATGAAGATGATAGCAACATTCTGGGACGTCTGGAGCGAGAATTGCGGAGGCTGGAGCAGGATGAGGAGAGCACAGCACCCCGGACATCACCATCATCAACAACAGTAACAACAGCGTCTACATTGAAATAAAGAAAGAGAGGTCATTCATGTTATCCAGCGCAGCGAGATGTGTGTCGACAGCAAAGTACAGAGATCTTGTGCTTTGCCCTGGATCTCCAGGAAACTCAAAAGTGGTGACCCACTTTGATTTCGGTCCGAATCAAGCCACTCTCCGAGAAAAACGGTTTCAAAGTGCGGGGGAACTGCATCGCACTCTGGCATCAACCTCAGCTCCGTTTCTTTCATTCCTTCCTTCCTCTTCTTCTTCTTCTTCTTCTCCTTCTTCGATTCTGTCATTCTCCCTCAACTTTTCACTCTCTACAACAAATACAATTCGAAACAATGGCTTTCTCCGGAGCATTGACCCTTTCAGACCTGAACGATTTCATTTCACCCTCGCAGGCATGCATCAAGCCAGTCGAGGTCGCCAAGACCTCGGACACTCAGGTGCGCCAACGGCTCTTGCTCTTTTCTTCAGCTCTCCCTCGTATGCGCAGCAGTATCATTGACGACGGCTGTTTTTTTTACGTTTGCTATCTATGGCCACCTTGTCCGCCTTATTTTATAGTTATGACTAATCAACCCAAATGCCATTTGAACTATAGGGATCAATCAAGGTTGACAACAGTGGATCTTACTACGAGGTTTCGCAAGATGGCTCAGAGACCAAGCTGGAAACAGCCACTATCAGCCTGAACGACTGTCTCGCCTGCAGGTACGCTGTTGCTGATGTACTCGCTTGATCTGCTAAAGCAGGGATTGATCACCTTGGAGAGCACAAAAGCTTCATTGACTAATCCTTCATGTGCGTTATTTACAACTTTAGTGGATGCATTACCTCGGCAGAGAGTGTTTTGGTGACATTACAGTCGCAGGAAGAATTGTATAGTATCCTGAAGCAGAATAAGATCGCCGTTGAGGTACGGAGAACGACAGGGATGACTCTTGGAAATGGGTATCAATGGCTACGCCCGAGATCCACCGGTATCTAACATTTCCCCGAATTTCCTTTTGTACAACCCGAAAATGTTTTTACAGACAAACGACCCAAGCACACATCGTACGGTTGTCATCTCCATTTCTCCGCAGACACGAGCCTCGTTTGCGGCCAAATACAACCAAACCCCACTGCAGGTCGCTCGGAAACTGACCTGGTTCTTCAAAAACCTGGGTGTGCATTCGGTCTTTGACACCTCATTCTCCAGAGACCTCTCCTTGCTTGAAACTGGGCGGGAATTTGTGGAGAGGTACAAAAAGGCAATCGAGAAGGGCGTTATCAAGGCACCAAACATGGACGGATCTGCTCCATCAGGGGGCGGCATGGATGTTGATACTCAGGAGCCAGCAGCCACCACTAAAGCGCCAAGAAAGAGGATTGTGAAGCGCGGAGCAGCAGGAGCAGCAGATGAGCCAGCCGTGGCAGTGGAAACAGAGAGCGCTATACCCATGCTTGCGTCTGCCTGTCCAGGTATGCCACGCTACTGCCATATTTTATCACTCGGATTTTGAAAGACAGTGAATGTGCTGAATCGAGCACTGACAATGCGGTGATTTGATCTCTTCCGTAGGTTGGATTTGTTATGCAGAAAAGACACATGGATACATGCTTCCATACATCAGCGAAACTAAATCTCCTCAACAGATCATGGGCTCCATGGTGAAGGACCATTTCGGATCACAGCTCGGATTGAAGTATGTACCAGCAGGAGCCATCGGCATTCAAAATATTGATAGATGTCTTTGTCGTGAAGGTTGTTTACTCATTCTTGGTTATTTATCATTTTCTTCAGACCTGATCAGATATACCATGTCTGCGTGATGCCCTGCTACGACAAAAAACTGGAGGCGTCCCGCTCAGATTTCTACTCTGATCTCTACAAGACTCGTGATGTCGACTGCGTGATTACCTCAACAGAGGTTGAAAAAATGTTTGCAGAGCAAGGACAGACGGACATGGGTGCCTTTGGAGAAATGAGCCTGGATATCGGCTACAACTCTGTGATCAAAGATCCTACCACAGGCGTGGATCAGGTATTGATTGGTGCCAGTGGAAATGCCTCAGGAGGATTCCTCGAGTACGTGATGCAGTTCGCCGCACGGGAGCTGTTTGGAGTTAACGGCATCGATGTCGACAGTGGCGTGGGTGTGGAGGTCAAGACTGTGAGGAACGCGGATTTCAGAGAGGTAACTCTTGAGATACCTGGGACGGGTGAGGTACTGCTCAAGTTTGCGGCAGCCTATGGATTCAGAAACATTCAGAATCTGGTCCGTAAGGTCAAGACTGGCAAATCGCCGTACCATTTTGTGGAGGTCATGGCATGTCCATCAGGATGTATCAATGGCGGTGGGCAGCTGAAGCCTCATGGAGACAATTATGCAACTGTTCCGTTGAAGGACTGGATTGTGCAGGTCGATCAGCAATACCGCAATGGCGTTCTGGCCAGGAAACCAGAAGAGAACCCTCTGTTGGGGCAGCTTTATGTGGAATGGCTTGGGGGCGTCGGTACGTCTAAGGCCAAGCAGCAGCTTCGGACAGGGTACCATGCGGTCGAACAGAATCTTGTTAATCCCTTGGCTGTCAAGTGGTAGTTTGATCTTTTTTGTGTTCTCGCTATACATGTATTTTACGTATTTTACCATTCATCATAGACCAAGCCAATAATAAAAGCTGATTGACATTCATAGATGAAGAAGTGTTTCGGAATGCTGTGTTTGGGCTGTCATCTACTTTTCAAGGGCCCGTCCCTGACATGCACAGTACCCATGAGCCGGGTCATCTTAGGCCAACGCGACCGTTGATCGTGCGGTCATTGGTTGGCAGATCACCCTGTTTCACTCTAATACCCCCCTGAGTTTTATTCTTTTTTTTTTTTTTCATTGTTCAGCACACCCCTTCGCGGTCAGGCTCCAGGAAGGACAGCATTGGCCTCCCATCTCGACACTTTTACACGTCGCTTCTGAAGGTACTTTCTAGCAATTAGAGACGCGTAGCCCAAGTACAGCGAATCTTGTCGAGGTATTCATGTTGTTTCTTTTTTCTTTCTTTCTTTTTTTTTTTTTTTTTTTTTTTTTTTTCATTGCGAGCTCAACATCTTGGTCGATCTGAGGACACACGAATCTCATGGGGAGATTGAGACTGGGTCTCGAGAACATGGGCCATAAGGAGTGTGCTGGCACGGAAACAGAGCTGTTTAAAGCCCATAGAGAGAGGGCACTGCATATCGATGTTGATATTCGTTTGTGTTGATCTCCAGATACTCGATAGCTTTGACACATCATTTAACGATATCGTATTCTGAAGGCACATGCGGCGCGTTGACTAGATGCCTGTTCAATACTTCTGCGTATTATGATATTGTCCGCGTGAGGGTAGATTGGGAAGTATTCTGTTCGCCCTCTGTTCATGGACCATGGGCATCGACTACGATCTGAAATGGAATACTAGCATGGGCTACTCTTTCATTCATGCATCCTTTCCTTATTGATTAATTTAACTATGAAAAAAAATTGATCCAGGTACTCCGAGAACTCGGGATCCTTATCCGAAGCCTTTAGCTCCTCCTGCACCGCCTCAACCACCATTGGCTCGTCCATGATCAAGTGAATGCCGTCAGGATGTGGTCGTAGTCTGCACAAGGCCTTGTCCACAAAGTCGGACTGCTGGTGGCTCGAGAACGATATTTTGACATCTTGGAGATGATAGGCCAAGACCATTCGACAGAGAAGCCGAGCTGCCTCGCCTGTTTTGTCGCTCTCGAGAATAGTGTGTATCCCATTCCGAAGCCCACTCATCACATGCTCAATCGTGTAGTTAATGGCGTTATCCAGAGTAGCTTGTTTGGAGTCCTGGATAAAGCCGGTAGCGACGAGGCGGTTGACGATATTAATGGAAAAGCGGGCTCGTCCTGATAGCTTGCGACACTTGGCAGACGGGATATCACAGCCCGACATGTCGACCAGATCCGAGAGCACCTTGTTCACATCATCTTCATCGAACCGGGGGAAATCCGTTATTTTTGTGAAGTTGGTGAGTTTGCCAACAGCGGAGTACACATGGTCGGCATCCTGTAAGGAGAGAGCTGTGCCAAGTATCACCAGCGTACGAGGCTTGTTCGAATGGGGAGACTGAGGATGACAATGGGGAAGAGGAGGAGGATAGCGATGAGGAGGAGGATAGCGATGAGGAGTGGCTGTACGTTTCCTCATCAAACTGCGTTTTCGACGAAACCCTTGGTAGCTCTCCTATGGACCCTGCCTCTTCAGCCTTTTACTCTTCGACTCTAACAGACTAGGTGGTGAGTGTGGCAAATTTGAGGGTGTTTTTCGTCCACGAAGGACTATAAAAGGTCATGTAGTACTGTGCAGTACGAAAGGATGGTACCATGGTCAAAGGTGAATTCTTCTTTGGAGCTCACAGCTCATTTGTTCGGGCGATGCAACAGCAAGCTTCCCAAAAGCGGAAGAATGTCTCCTCGTGGACCAAACCTGCACCCCCCTGGACCCTGGTATGGGCCGGTCCTTTGGAAATAGAAAGCGGACCCGCACTCCCCTTGTACCATGTTTGGGCAAAATAAAACGGTCCGTTCCAACTTTGTTCGAGAAAAATGATCCGTTCCCCGATTCCTTTTGTCCGGAGTAGAAAGAAAAATAGAAAAAAAAGCCCATGTCTGCTTTGCACCTTTTTGCAACTCCCTCATCTGCTGACCTGCTCTAGACTACTTATCATGCGCGACAAGTATGTGTGGTCTACAGCCTCGGCGAAAGGATTAATGGCGCAACGAACTACCAGCGCGCCAAGAAAGGATATATTTAGCGGATACCTCTCGTCATAGATATCGACCTTGCGATCCCGATGCCCTTGTGTATGTATGCGTGTATGCATGACCCCCCTATTTTTGTTTTTTTTTTGGAGATGATGGAGAACCAAATGTTGCTTCGCTAACCTGCAATGTCCTTGTCATTCATGTTCATTTTCGGACTCCTTCCTGTGCGCAAGGATTCTTTTGTCTGGTCTATTGAACAAGGAAGATCTTGCGTTGCTATTTTTGGGATGAAGGGTCCATGAACGAAAAAAAAAAAAAAAAAAAAAAAAAAAAAAAAGACGAAGGAGATGGACAGAGTTACCCGGAAAGGCTTGAGATCTAGGTCCCAAGGTCCATGTCCGATCGAGGGTGCGAAACTCTGAAAAAAATGTGCTCACTGACTTGGATCGTCATTTATCGACGCTCGTGCCGCCTGGCCTGCTTTTACCAGGTAGAGAACTTTAGAGAGCCCGTTTACGAGATAGACATAGTTGAAATTCCACTGAAAGATTATCATCTCCCAACTCTCAATAGACTCTATGTTGGATCCATTCAACATACCATTGTTTGTGAGAGAAAGCTTCACATTGCAATGACAAGAAAGCATTGTGTGACGATACTGCGTTTGATTATTATGATGGTACTATGCGTAGTGGGAGACGACCGTTCGATGTAGATGCTTAGTCGTTTGGATAGAACAAGAAACATCGCATAAAAGAGGTTCTGGAACCGTCAGGTACCCGTTCAGCGCCCTCGTCCTATTTATTTTGTCCTAGCGGCTATGCTCGATGGAAGTGGATCTGTTTCTTATTTTTTTTTTTTTTTGCATCGCCATGAATCATGCATGGGCAGTTTGAATGCCTGTGCATATCCTGCATGGACTTTATTTTTGTCGACACAGGGTCCTATGTCGTTCCCTTTTCATTCCATGATTACATTCTTTGTTCATAAGAACCGGAGTGCGAGCGAGACCGCTCAGCTGAGGTGAGAAATCATTTGATCCCCTCCCCCTTCTACTACTCTCGGATAACGGCTGTTGGGGGGGGAAGATGGGCCCACTCGAGGCCGGTCCTGCTGCACGCACGCTGGGTACGGAATACACCTCATAAGTCTGGTGTAGACTATCACCTGGGCCGAGGTGCCTGATCGATGCAGGGCACGAAAAAGAGTGCATAAGCACATTGTTTACTAGCACCTTGGCGCAGAGCGATAGCGCAAAGAAGTAAAACAAATTAGGGCATCATGTCATATCTTCTCATCATGATTGCCGACAGCCAACGACCTACCAGCGGACAAAAAAAGTACATGAACAGTACATTGGAGTTTAAACCCGCCAACAAAATAAAAAAGGGAAGTTGCAATCTAATTTTAATTTAGTCGTTGACGAATAGTGTAAAACAAATCAGGCGGCTAGAAGGGAAGGACTCGGAGTCCGACGTATGGGTGAAGTTCTTCCCTTTTTTGTGTATTCATCGATTGAATACAAAAAAAAAAAAAAAATTACCTAGTTTCGCCCCTGGATGATGAGGATGTTTGAGATGGAGCTAGTTCCCTGGTCCTCTTCTTGAGTATAAATATGTCGGTAGAAAACGCTCCTCCCCCCCCCACTCCTCTTCCTATCTCGTTTCCGTATTTCTCTGCCTCATCCTCATCCGCTACCTCTCTTTTCTCTCCACTCACAAATACATCACACTCACACTCACACTTACACACACACACACACATAGCAATAATGCATTGGAACACTGCCCTCTTCCTTGTCGCTGCCATCGCAGCCCCAGCTCTGGCCCTTGAGGAGCCCAGCAACTGCGTTGTTCCCGCAACACGCAACAACTGGACCTCGATCACGGACGAAAACAACTTCTGCACGATGCTCTCGCCCAAGGGTTCCCAGAACGTTGCCCCCGATGAGGCCTGTGCGACCTCCTACTGTTTCGGCAAGGGTACCACCAACCCCCTGAAGCAGGAGGAATCAAGCGTTAATAATCCAGCCATGCCCGAGGGCCTCATCCTTTCCTCACACCTGTCCACAGGCCGTAATGAGAGCGGCACCGCTGGTTCTGGATGGGTTCAGATTACGGGATGCATGAACGGAGCCGTCTGGGGTCTGAATGCGACGGATGACGGTGGTCAGATGGATTCACATGGATGGCGTTATAGCTGTATTGGGTATAACAAGTTTGTCTCGTTGCTCGAGCCATCATCCAATACTTACTGCATCCGGTGCTGCAAAGGAACCAAAGATGATACCGAACGCGATTGCATTACCAGTAGGTGATCATGGATTGTTTGCATTGGTACACTCATTCAACCTTTTCTACTCCGTCCCCCTCCCCCTGAATTCAGCTAACATATTTTTTTTAAACCCATCTGCCCTATCAACAGACAAGTCCGATAAAGGCTGCTGGAATCTTATTCCTGGTGATTACAGCATGAAGGACGGTAGCGTTTGCCCACTTCCCAATAGCACCTCCCTCCCTACCGTGTCCGGCACTGTCTCAGCTACTGCTACTGGTTCCCCCACCGTGTCTGCTCCTAGCAGTGGATCTACCAGTACCGGTGCTGTTACCTCTCCCACCAACAAGCCCAGCGCTGCTGCCCATTCGTACATCTCCTGGGAGATCATGGCCACGGTCGTCGCCGGTGCCATCGGTATTGTCGCCGCCTTCTAAATAGATACTTGCATCCAACCAACTTGTAAAGTCCACCACTATTCTAATAAACTATTGATTAAAGTAAAAAAAAAAAAAAGTGCATATGTAATAATGAGAAGAAAAGAGCGTGCTTCAGTAGGTAGCCTTTACTAGCACAACATCGGAAATTGACATATTACCGGGGATTGGATGCGAAAAGACTTTTCGGCCCTTTTTTACGTGCATTAGCTCACTTTTTTTTTTTACCCCTGGTGGGAACGGTGGAGGGTGGGCTCAGAGGAGTGAGTTTCCACCGTTTCAGACAAATCTTGTTGAGATGACCTTTGCTTATGTCCGCTTGAGGAACGTGGGGCGTGCGGACAAAATTGTACCAATAACGGTGGGGTCGCAATGTATGTGCTCGTGCAGGACACGGAGACTGAAAATGAAATGGGTCCCCGAGGAACCGTGGCGCTCAAATACAATGTGTATGTCTACAAACACTTTATTTGATGAGAGAAAGCGAAGGGTGCAAATGCAAAACTGATAATGACAGAAAGATCAATGAAATACAATGTAGTAAGGATGAATAAAACAAATGAAAATAATCAATAAAAAAGGTGTCTAATAGAAGGAGGATATATATCGTCTTTCTGGAAGATTCTACTTCAATGACATTTACAATGGCTTGCCAAGGACCTGTGGGTGCAAGAGAGAAAGACACGAACGAAAATTAGCAACAGTACTGCGCTTGCGGTACATGTACCTTGTCTTTAAGGATTCAAAAGAGCGCGACAAAAAAAAACTTACCAAAGCGAGGAGAGCCATGCGGACATAGAGACCATACCGCATTTGACGGAAGTACGCCGCGCGCTGGTCAAAGTCGACCTCGGGCTCAATCTCCGTAACACGGGGCAGGGGGTGCATCACCACCATCTGGGTCTTGGCCTTGCTCATCATCTTATTGTTGATCACATACGCGCTCTTCACCCGCTCATACTCCTCCAGATCCGCAAACCGCTCCTTCTGCACACGCGTCACATATACCACATCGGACTCTGCAATCACCTCGTTCAGATCCGTGTACTCGTTGAACGCAATGCCGGCCTTCATCAACTCGGCCTTCACCTCCTCGGGCATCCGGAGCGATGTGGGCGACACAAAGTTCAGCGTAACATGATAGTACGCCAGCAACTTGACAAGCGAGTGCACCGTGCGGCCGTTCTTGAGATCTCCGACCAGCGTGATGGTCAGACCGTTCACAGTTCCGAGCTCCTCACGGATCGTGTACACATCCAAGAACGCCTGCGTAGGGTGCTCACCAATACCGTCCCCGGCATTGATGACCGGCACCTTCGAGAACTTGGCTGCTGTGGCGGCACTGCCGGGATCAGGGTGACGGAGGACAATCAGGTCTCCGTAGCAGGCAAGAGTGCGGACTGTGTCCGCCAAAGTCTCGCCCTTGACAACCGACGACGATGATCCGTCCGCGCTCACGACCGTACCACCGAGCCGGGACATCGCTGCTGCGAACGAACACGACGTGCGCGTCGAGGGCTCGTAGAACATCGAGCACATCACCTTGCCGTGGAGCAAATCAATCGATCCGTTGCGCTCAACTTGCGTGCGCATCTCGTGTGCGAGACTGAACAACATGTGGAGCTCGTTGCGGTCAAACTGCTTCGATGACAAGATGTGACGATGCGAGAAAGGCGAGTTGTTCAGGATCCGCGAGATCGACGAGGGCAGTGTCTCCTTGTGGGCATGAGCAGGTGTCAAACCAGACCCACTCTCCATCTGAATGCTGCCTCGACGACCATCAATGGCGCGAGTCGTGGGTGTGCCGGGGACTGGGATCTCCACAGAGGGTCCGAGACGGGGCGAGTGCATCGAACCCTGGCCAGCGACAGCAGCAGCCGTCGGAATCGTGATCTTCTTGATCGCCTTGGTGATCGTCTGAGTCATGATTGACAGATCCTCGCCCTCAGAGCCGGTCGTGTACCAGGCACCGTCCAGGTAGGCAGTCTCGCCGTGGAGGACCACGCGATGGACTGTGCCTGAGAGCGCCTTGCCGGCAAAAGGTCCCGAGCCCGCCGGAAGGATGCAGGCACGGTCAGTCTCAATCTCCACATACGAGTCCTTCTGCTCAGGGAGAGAGAAGATCTTGCGGGGGTTCGTGTACAGCTTCGCCACAATGTCCTCCATCGTCAAACGGCCCTTGTTGGCAGCATCCACCAGCAGGGAAAGCGTCTCCTGGACACCAGCAGACGCAACAGCGGTGCCCTTCTCCGCGGCAAGGCGGTAGGGCAAAGTTCCAACAGTGAAACAGTCAAAGACGTGGAGGCTGCTCCAGAACGCGGCCTGGTCAGCCTTGGAAGGAAGCAGCTTCGACCCAGTCTCCTCGCTGTTCAAGAACAGAGAATACACCTCAATGTCGCACGTCACCTGCAGCTCCTTGTCCTTGCTCATCGCAATCAGCGCCATGTCGTCGCGGCTCGACACCCCAGTGATATGGACAGACCGGTTGTGCAGGCTGGCCAAAAGAAGGATCGAAGCAAGATCTGTGCCCTTGGCATCCGTCACAATAGGGCTGATGCCCGGCCATGTGCTAAAGTACTTGGCCGCCTCAGACACGTTGGCCATCGCACGGCCAGCAATCGGAGAGAATGGAATGAACAGGGCCGCAGTCTCCTTCAGCAGACTGTTGGCGTTCTCCGCATTGGCGTTCATCGACAGGAAGTAGTCGCAGTGCGCGTGGTTGCGCGTGTTGGTCAGCGCAATCGCCAAGCTCGCGTTATCCTCCACACCCTTGGGCGAACCCGTCGCCATGGCTCCAATGACCGTGAATCCGGACGCAATCGATGCCTTGGACACCACCTCAAAGTCCTTGCTGGCTGCTGTCGAAATACCTGGGACAATGGTCTGGATGTTGACAAGACCAGGCAGCGTCACCGTGCGGTTGCTGGCCTTAAAGTCCACCGACTCGATCTCAAACCCCTTGTGGCGCGCAAGGGCCTCAACAAACAGCTTCGCACACTTGACGTTCGTAATCAGTGGAACCGAGAAATCAACGGCCATACGACGGGTGCGGTAACCCTTCGACACATAGCTGGCTGGCCGGCGGTAGCGGTTCTTGGACGGCAGGTTGATGTAAAGATCAATCAAGTTGTTGGCCAAGTGCTGGTTCAGCGAGTACTCGGACTTTTGGCTGTCGTTGTCGTCCTCAAGTGCCTCCAGGTACTTGATCGGCACACCGTGCTCGTTCATGAAATCCGCTGTACCAGATGTCGCAAACAGATTGTAGCCGAGCGAACGCAGTTTCTTGACCGCAGGGAGCATCTCCAGCTTCTCCTTGAACGAACCAATCGACAACAGCACGTTCTTCTTGGGGAGAGTAAAGCCCGTCGACACCAACGCCTTGATATACGCTTCGTACTTGTCCTTGCCAAAGCACGCAACCTCTCCAGTCGACGCCATCTCAACACCGAGAATCGGATCTGCTCCTGAAAGACGCGAGAACGAAAACTGTGGGACCTTGATTCCGACATAACCACTCTTGGGAATCGGCGACTCGGGGTAGGCCTCCACTGGGAAACCCAGCATGGCGTTGGTCGCCATCTCGATCAGATCCACCTCCATAACCTTGGACACAAATGGCATCGACCGCGACGCACGCAGGTTGCACTCAATCACCTTGATCTCGTTGTCCTTGGCAATGAACTGGATATTGTAACATCCTGTGACATCCAGCGCCTGCCCAATCTTGGCTGTCGCAACCTCAATCTTTCGGATCGTCTCCGGATCCAAGTCCTGAGGAGGGAGGATCAGAGTGGCATCTCCAGAGTGCACACCGGCGTTCTCGACGTGCTCAGAGATCACGTGCATCACCATCTTTCCGTTGACCGCAATAGCATCCATCTCGATCTCCTTGGCGTCCTCAATGTACTTGGAAATCACAACGGGGTGGTCGCGAGAGACTGCAGTCGCCTGTCCGAGGTAGTTGGCAAGATCGTCGGGAGAGTACACAACGTTCATGGCTGCTCCAGAGAGCACATACGACGGACGGACAAGCACAGGGTAGCCGACCTTCTCACAGAACTCGCCTGCCTCCCCAAATGACGTCAGCTCCTTCCACAGGGGCTGGTCAACATCGATCTGGTCTAGCATGCGTGAGAACTTGTAGCGGTTCTCCGCAGTGTCGATCATCTCGGGCGAAGTACCCAGAATCTTGACATCCTGTCGGTGCAGAGGCAGAGCAATGTTGTTGGGCGTCTGTCCACCCATGGCAATCACCACTCCAGACGACGACTCAACCTCGTAAATGTCCAGGATGCGCTCCAGGTTGATGTTCTCAAAGTACAGACGATCTGCCTCGTCGTAATCCGTCGAGACTGTCTCCGGGTTGTAGTTGACCATCACAGTCTTGACACCACGGCTGCGGAGAGTGCGGATAGCTCGGACTGCGCACCAGTCAAACTCCACAGACGAACCAATGCGGTAGACTCCCGACCCAAGAACCATCACACCCTTGTCCTCAAACGTAACGTCGTGCTCCACTGCGTTGTACGTCATGTACAGGTAGTTGGTAAAGGCCGGGAACTCGGCTGCCACAGTGTCGATCTGCTTCACAAACGGCGTGATGCCTGCGTCGCTTCTCATCCGGCGCACAGAGAGCTCGTTGCTCGAGATCGCCGTGGCAATCTGCCGATCCGAGAAGCCGAGCTGCTTGGCAGAGCGCACCAGGTTGATCGGGACATCGGTGGCGCTATATTTGGTCAGAGTCTTGTCCAGTCGGACAATGTTCTGCAGCTTGTTCAAGAACCACTTGTCGATATTGGTCAGCTCCCAGATGCGATCCACAGAGTATCCGTGGTTCAGGGCGTTGGCAATCGCAAACACGCGCTGGTCGCTGGGGTTGGTCAGCTCGTCCTCAATCACATCGTACGACTCCTTGGCTGCAAATCCAACCAGAGAGGGGTCAATGGCTCGGATCGCCTTCTGGATCGTCTCCTCAAACGTACGACCAATAGCCATCACCTCTCCCACAGACTTCATCGACGACGACAGCGACTTGGACACCCGGTCAAACTTGTTCAGGTCCCAGCGTGGCATCTTGACAACAACATAGTCGAGCGAGGGCTCAAAGCACGCGCAGGTGACCTTCGTGACAGAGTTGGAGATCTCGTTCAACGGAATGTTCAGACCAAGCTTGGCCGCAACAAACGCCAGGGGATAACCCGTCGCCTTACTCGCAAGAGCGGACGAACGCGACAGGCGGGCGTTGACCTCGATAATGCAGTACTCCTTCGAGAACGGGTTGAGCGCATACTGGATGTTGCACTCTCCCACCACTCCCAGGTGCCGAATGACATTCACAGCTGTCGTCCGGAGCATGTTGTAGTCCTCGTCCGACAGCGTCTGCGAGGGTGCAACAACGATCGAGTCGCCAGTATGGATACCGAGGGGGTCAAAGTTCTCCATGTTGCACACAGTGATGCAGTTGTCGCGGCAATCGCGCACAACCTCGTACTCAATCTCCTTCCAGCCCTTCATCGACCGCTCAATCAACACCTGGGGCGACGTGGCAAACGCGCGCGACGTAAGCTCCACCAGCTCCTCGTCGTTGTTGGCAAATCCGGATCCAAGACCTCCAAGAGCGTAGGCTGCACGGCAAATGACGGGATACCCGATCTGGTTCGCTGCTGCGACCGCCTCCTGCACAGTGACAGCCGTCTGTGCCTGAGCAATCTTCTCGCCGATCGACAGCATGCGCTGAGCAAACTCTTCACGATCCTCTGTGGCAATGATCGTCTCAATAGGTGTTCCGAGCACACGCACACCGAGTCCTGCAAACTCGTCCTTCATCTTGATACCCACGCTGAGGGCTGTCTGACCACCAAAGGTCACATAGATGCCATCGGGCTTCTCCCGAAGAATCACCTTGCGCACAAACTCAGGCGTAACAGGCAAGAAGTACACCTTGTCGGCAAGGCCCTTGGATGTCTGGATCGTGGCAATGTTGGGGTTGATCAAGACCGTGTAGATCCCCTCCTCCTTCAACGCCTTGATCGCCTGGGACCCAGAGTAGTCGAATTCACCAGCCTGGCCGATAGACAGACCACCAGAGCCCAGAACAAGGACCTTGCGCACGCTGACCCGAGGGTTGAGCGCCGCCGCCGCCTCCTTGGTGCCTCCGGGCATCGTGATGGCCTTCAATGTGCCCGTCTTTCTAAACTCGCTCACAGAGCTGATAAAGACGTCGAACAAGAACTCCGTGTCGCGGGGGCCGGGCGTCGACTCGGGGTGGAACTGGACCGAGAAAATCGGCAGAGTCTTGTGCATAATACCCTCGTTGGATCCGTCGTTGGCGTTCACAAATAGCTCCATGAACGTCTCTGGAAGCGAGTTGGCATCAACAGCATATCCGTGGTTCTATTATTGTTGTTATATTTTTTTTGTCAAAAGCAAGTGCTGCTGTCAATAACTTTGTTTCCTTTTCCATCCTTGCACCATCGTCATCATTCGATCATGCTGCTGCTCTGTGTCCTCTTAGTTTACCTGCGATGAGATATAGCAGCGTCCAGAGATCATGTCTGTGCAGGGAATGTTGTGTCCACGGTTACCAAACTTCATCTTCTTGGTCGTGGCCCCCGACGCAAGAGCCAAGAGCTGGTGGCCCAAGCAGATACCAAAGATGGGGGTCCGTGCGATCTGAATAGCCTTGGCCAGGTTGGCAATGGTGACCGTGTTCATGATGGGATCACCAGGGCCGTTGGAAATGAAGAGACCGTCATAGTCCGTATCGCCATTGAAGTCGTAGTCCCAGGGAACGACCTTGACCTCGACACCGCGAGTAACAAAGCAGCGGATCTGGTTGTATTTCTGTTGTTGTTGTTGTTTTCGACAAAGCAATACCAAAACACACGCTGGTTAGATACCGCATCCCAGAGTCCCTTCACAGCGTTGAGCAGTCCAGTGTCAGATCAAAGAACCCATACCATTCCCACATCGACAGCGACAATGCGCAGCGCCTTTCCATCGGGTCCCAACAGCGCTGTAGAGGGCTCGGGTGCGTAGATCTTGGGTTCCTTCAGGGAAACTACCGAGACAAAAAGAACACATCATATGTAGCGGTCAGCATTGCTGATGCAGCTGCGCCCAGAGAGCATTGAACAATCAATCCAAGCCCTGAATAACAAAACACACCTTCAACAACGAGATTGCGTGCATTGGGATCGATCCAATCCACATTCTGGTACTCGTTCATCCACTGGGCTTCAGCAGGGACAACTGTGGGTCCGACGACAGAGGTAGGGAACAGGATCTTTCCAAGCATCACTCCCTGGGACCGGATCTTCTTGGTCATGGCCCTGGTATCGATGCCGTAGATGGCAGGGATGTTGTACTCCTTGAGCCAGGCTCCGAGCGAGGACGCGGCCAGGTAGTGGGAATAGTCCTGCGAGTACTGGCCAACGATCAGACCAGCAATGTGGATCTCGTTCGACTCAAAGTACTTGGGCAGGTCCTTGAGGAGGGGATCCATGGTCTCGCGCGAGGGCACACCATAGTTACCGACCAGGGGGAAGGTGATCACCAAGATCTGGCCTCTGTACGAAGGATCGGTCAAGGACTCGGGGTATCCGACCATGCCTAAATGGACATCAGTTTCCATCGTCAATTATGCAATTTGAATCGTGAGAATGTGAGGATGTGAGGATGTTGACGTCCAGTCGATCAAACAACAAAGACGAAGGAAAGCTTACCTGTCTGGAAGACGCACTCTCCGGCAATGCTCTTGGTCTCTGCACCGAAGGAGATACCCTGGTAGGAAGTGCCATCTTGGAGCACAAGTGTTGCTACTGTGGAAACCTCGGCCTGGTCACAAGGAGAAGCAGTGACAGGAGGGTGAGGCAGGGGGCTGACAACTGGAGTCTGAGCAGCGAAACGAACTTGGGAAGGCATTTTTTTTTGCCAAATATAGTAGAATGCGGGGTAGGGAATGAACAATGCAGCACAAAAAAATACAAAATACAATGAAAGATATGCAATGAAAAAAAAAGAGTGAGCGAGATTCGAGCGGGAAACTCAAAAGAGAATGGATCAGGAGTGAAGCAACCAATGAAGGATGCTAATAAATCTGCTCGTTAAAGACGTGAGAGATGGAGAGATACTGTTGGGTGGAGGGGTACAGAAACAGAAAAACAAAACAGAAAAAAAAAAAGAAGAGAAAAAGAAAAAGATCTCCTGTGGAAGAAGGACGCCCTTTTAGAGGTCCCATTGATGAAAGTCAAAAAAAAAAATGCTTCGCCGGACAAGCCACAATAACAGTCTACTCTGCCAGAAACTAATAACTTTATTTTATGGCAAAGAAGAGGTTCGGTCAATTTTTTAAGATTAGCAATAGAGCCTGTAAATGCGACATAAAACTGCCCACGAGAGTCTTTTCTCGACTCTCTCTTTCTTTTTTTTTTCCTGCAGAAAAAGATATCGCTATATCGAAAGTGCCCGCGATCTGATCAAACCCGCAACATATGAAAAGGAAAAACTTATTGGAGCATATTATTAAACTGTTTAATGGTGTTTGGGATAAAATGAACGGGGGTCGGCGATTCAAGACTGCTGAAAATAGCCTTCAAGAACCTGAATAGAACTCTGGGAATCGAAATATTTCCCTTGGACTCCTGCCACGTCCTGTAGCACTACGATTTTCGATTGGGCAACTTCGAAGCCAAAAGCAGAGCCGCGAGCTCTCACCGGCATCATCATCTCTCTTGCTCCATTATACATCTTGATTCCCCGGCCTCAGGGCCATCCAGCATAATCCAGTTCTTCATTTTGATCTTCTGCCAGCCTTGTTTTCAGCTCTCTCCACGATTCTTCACTGTCATCAGTGTTCATCCCTCCTCACCCCCATTACGACATAGTGCCATTAGTATTCATACCTCAGACTGCACACTACCAACTGCTGCAATCGCTTTTAAATCCCCATTCCCATATCCATCAAACGCCTCAAGCACATCATATACCCTCCTTCTCGATAAGAGAATATCGACAGATCACAAGTTGAGACCCCAATGGATATTGGCAACATTTTTGAGGAGTGGGACTTTTCAGGAACGGTTCCGCTCCCATACAGAGTTCTGTTGATGGGCTGTATCGGCATGTTTGCCTGGGCGAGCAACCTTCACCTTCTCTCACAATTGCGAGTTGATGTATCCAACCTCCTTTTCTCCAGCCCGCCTCTGTCAGGCGTCTACACCAACCATCCGAGGCACTCGCGCGACAAATTTGTTAACAAGTCAACACCGCTCTCAGCACTCTGTAGATCTATTTATTCCCTCGGCATGTTATTTCTCGTTGTGGTCCTGATCAACATGTGGATGTACAAGTGGGTGGTGGCTGGATCGGAAGGCAAGGACCAGAGAAGCAACGGTGGCAAAGTACCTACCGCAACGGACATCAAGGGGGGCATGGGATCGATGGGAAATCCACGCGTGGGCATTATGGTGCCGATTTTCGGTTACTTGACGATCTTTGTCTTAGTGTTTTTACCGTTGAATGTTATGTTCAAGAAAGAGCGCTATCGGTTCTTGAGGTAAGCAATAATGATTGCAAAGGATCCGCTGAAAATGATTCTGTTCGGTGGCTCCTATGCTTATTGCGTTCAATCTGGGTTGATTACAATAGATCGATGAAGAAGGCATTGTTCTCAGGACTCAAGTCTGACGTTTCTTTTGCGGATGTAATTCTCGCCGATATTTTAACATCGTTTGCGAGAGTGTTTGGCGATCTCACAGTTGCTCTGTGCCTCATGTTTCTGGACCGGGACGGATCGAACGCCGATGCATGTTATGGCAGTATCATGGTACCCATTATGACCAGGTAATTGTAGAGGAGGATATTTGGAAAAAGATCTTGATCGATTAGAACGTTGCCATTCATTTCCGATTGTTTGTATTGCTAGTATCCCGTATTGTATCCGACTTCGTCAGTGTCTGTCAGAGTACATCGAGTCGAATTATACCACGGAACGACACCTAATGAACGCGCTCAAGTACGCCACTGCCTTCCCTGTCATTATTGTGTCGGCCATGCAGAAGACCTCGAAGGCAGCTTCACTGAAGGGATTGCCATACGATGGATATCTCTCGGACAACTCGCTCTTCCGACTCTGGTATGTGCGCCGTTGCATTTATGTTACCAGATATTGATGCATACCGAACACACAGCAACGATGATACCATGCGACTAACATTGCACCCCCATTTTTTCCTCGCTAGGCTGTTTTTTGTCGCACTCAACTCGTTTTATTCGTTCTATTGGGACATCTACCACGACTGGAGTCTGATCCAGACCAATCCTGCAGGACGCATCCCTACGCTGACCATCAGCACATCCCCTTTTGCTACAACCTCCGACGCTATGAGTCCCCATGCTCGGCCATCGTCAGGACCTCTATCGCCAGCAACGCCAAAAAGTGGATCCTTTGCCATGAATGACCTCTCCAGGGCATCCAATGATAGTGCAGGCGCGAACAACAGCAACAGCAATAGTAATAACATCAGCGGCAATGGAAAGGCGCTTCTTGGGTCACCTCCGAACAGTGGCAATAATACTTCGCTGGCTAATGGTAGCATTAACAACAGCAGTAACAACAACAGCATCAACAACATCAGCAATATTTTTGGAATTTTTAAGAAACCACGTCGATTTGGTATGCGATCCTTCCTACATTATGAAGATCCGTTATTTTACATCATGGCCGTTGTCCTGGACTTCTTGTTAAGGACGACCTGGATGCTGAAATTGGTATCAAACATCCAGATCGAGGAATACGAGGGCGGTGTCTTCACGATGGAGTGTCTGGAGGTTCTGAGGAGATGGATTTGGGTGCTCTTCCGACTCGAGTCTGAGATGGTTAAGCGCGCGGGATATATGGATACGAATTCGGCACCTCTCTCCGCCGCTGGTCCCGCAGGGGGAGCCGCAGGAGAGTTATCCATGGCCGAGGATAGCAGCAATGCAATCATGATGGAGAACATAGAATCGTGGCAAACATAAAAAAGACATAGTCTCCTATTATCAAAAAGGGGTCCCATAAAAGATTGCATGGATAATGCGGTCACAGCTGTTCATAAGAATTTTTGGCCTCTGCGAGATCTTTGTCCTTTGTGTTGACACGAGTTGAGAGCTAGTTAGCAATCCTCCGGGTAGGAATGGACGTTTTTTCTTTCGGGAAAAAATAACTACCAGACACCAACTCTGTTCCTTTTTCGGGGACAGACCGTGTTAAGGCATCCGTCAATGCTTGCTGGCGACAGCACTTTGACATCTTAACCCCACTTTTTTCTTCGTTGTAAAAATAAAAAATGGTTACTGGTGACCCTTGGTGCCCCCTTTTATTTTATTTTTTTATTGACGCCAGATCCCCCCAGGCGTGCCTTGGTGCCCCTTTTTAACAGCTTGCGCCCAGGCTTGGATATAGATCATGTGCCAGCACAAGGGGTGGTGCCTGAATTGACCCATGGGCCATGAATTATAGTTGCATCATTCTACCTTCTCTCTCGTTCTCTTTTCTCTTTCCTTTGTCCCAGCATTTCGCTTCCCGCTTCCCCCCTTTCTCACCTTTCATCTCGTTCAAGTATTACTGTGTGCAAAGGAATTATGCCATGGATACCAACACGACAGCACCATCGACATCTGTCCCAACGTCCCGGCCCATTGTAAATACTCGTCTCACTGGCCCACTCCTACAAGTTCTACGGGGAACATTTGTTTGATGTATTTCAGCTGACAATCGGGTTCTGGCTGCTCATATAGGCAACAGTGACAGCAGTATTCATCATCTTGGGTGTAACTGCGGGCGCAATTTGTCTCCATCTAGTTCTCACGTTCATTTTCAAGCGAATCGCGAAGAAGACGATATGGCAATTTGACGATGACCTTGTTAAACATTGGTAACGTACACGATTCTGCTTCATCCTCTTTTCTGTCAATTCTGTCATGCATTCGCTCCCCAATTAACACTATTGTTTATCGCATCCAATGGATAGCAAAAAGCCGACATTTGTCATGTTCCCAACGGTCGCTCTGTTAATCACTATTCAACTCGTCACCCTTCCCGTGGGTGTTTACAGCGCTTTGAACCATGTGCTCATCATCATCTTAATCTTTGCAATCTCGTATCTGGTGGTCATGCTGATCAAGTGCACATCCATGGCTGTGAGCCGGAGTAACTCACATCTGAAGGGCTCGGAACCCAAGAGGGCGAGAGAGGTCGAAACACAGATCATAGTCATGACCAGGATTGTCCAAGGAGTGGTTTGGATGCTGGGTCTGGCAGGTATTGCCATGACGTTCCCGAATGCGTGGCAAGTTGGCGTTTCACTGTTGGCGAGTGCAAGTGTCTCCGCATTACTACTCGGATTCGCGGCCAAGTCCTCAATCGAGGTACACACAGTAGACGAGGGGGGAAATGAGACCAGGATATGTCGCCAGAGTGCCTTAAGCATGTGCTAACTCCTTCTTTACAACACAACGGACTTGATAGAATGCCCTGGCCTCTTTGACGATCGCATTGACTCAGCCATTTTTGATTGAGGATCAGGTCTGCGTCAATGGCGAGGTCGGACACATTGAAGAGATTCAGTCACAATACGTCATTGTGAGAACCTTGGACGAGCGTCGGATAGTCGTTCCTCTGACGTGGTTTCTGGCGAATGTAGGTCTTTATTGTAAATTACGACGCGACATCTCATTGCAGGACGTTCTCATATTTAAAATTGATATTCTCTAACATCTTCGAACCAACAGATATTCCAAAACTGGTCCAGGAACTCTCCACAGCAGATTGCGGAATGCAAGGTTTATATCGATTACAGTGCCTATGTGCCACGAGTACGACAGGCGTTTCTCAAGTTTGCACGGGCGCACCCTTTGTTTGATGGCCGACATTGCGCCTTGCTCGTGACCGACTGCACCGCAGGGACCATTGAGCTCACTTGTCAGATCAGTGTGGCGAATGCAATGCAGGTCATGCAAGTGACCTCCGATGTCCGAGAAGCAATGGTCGAGTTCATCGCCAAAGGACCCAAGCAAGGCTTTGGGACTGTCACTTCTACTCCAATAGGTGGCCTGGGTAAAGGGGACGGCGACGGATCATGTTCGCTATCACTACCACCACTGACAAAGGAGGATGAGAAGATGGGAGGCGGCAGCAAAATGTATCAGACAAATTTCTGTGTGAGTGTTAGAGAGACCTTCGACTCTGCAGAGAAGCCTGTGTCAGCGACCACGAACGCCCGCGATATGCAATCGGATCATGTACAGGTGAATGTTGACGGTTCGATCTTTAGTGGCGACGGTTTGACGAGAAGAAGTGTCCGAGATACAGATCCTAGTGCGCATAATTCAGCAGCGCCCATGGTCGCTGTTTCCAATGCCAGTCTATCGGAAAAGTAATAAAAGTTCGCGACAGCTATTCGATCAGGAACAAAGAAGAGATGTTGAGCGCTCCCTTTGGGATTTGACACGGTATTTTTCTGTTTGTCCACATCAATCCGATTGCTGATTCTGCTTGAGATGCCATAGTCTATACTCTAATTTACTTTTGCGTGCCACCAACCAGGGCAAACCTTGTTTCGAGCATTTCGCGCTATTAACAGCATGCTGCCCTCTGCCAAGCTGTCCATATTTGTCACCTCTCTGACATACTTCTTTCCTCTAATCCTCTTTCTCGCTCTCTGCCCTCCAAGCCATGCTCAGACATTCACGCCAAAGACTACATATGAGTCCTCTTCAAACTTCATTGAAGGAAAAGGCCTCTACGTCTACGCTGGATATCTACTCGGCCTTATTTCATCCGATTCCCAGACATTTATGATCGATCTCTCAACTTCCTGGAATACAACCAGTCCAGCATTCAAGCAACTAGCTCAGGGGCCACTTAATCAACTATCAACAAGCATCCTCACAGCGGATAACCAGAGCTGGGTGCACCTGTCCGATACTGTCGTTTACGCCTACAACATCACCGCTGGCGCCTGGGATCAAACGTTCTTGATGAATGACTTCGATACCTACGTCAGATGCGCTGGAACAACAGACCCCGGCACTGGCCTCATCTACATTCCAACCGGATATCGCATCGATACCAAAAGCAGCTCGTTTGGCGGAGCTACCATGATGCTGCTGAACATGACCGACAAAACTGGCCACAGCCTTCCAACGTACCAGCAGTTGGATCATGTAGAGGCCTATTCTGTCGCGTGGAGCAAACCATTGCGTGGTCTGCTGTTTTTTGGCGGCACTGGACGAACTCTATCGGGACTGTACAGCTACAATCCGGAGGCCAACGTATGGAGTGATATTGCGCACACTACAACTGGCATTGCGTCTTCCCGACGCACCTTTTCTTGCTTTATCCCGGTCTACAGAGGTTCGAAAATGATCGTTTTTGGAGGAAAAGCTATCGACGGAGGGGGAACGCCGCTTAGCGATATCAAAATCCTGGATGTCGCGACGATGACCTGGACTCAAGGTCAGGATGCAGGAGCTGCAAATGCCAGGGCTGGAGCCGCGTGCGCCTTTTTGAATGACCAACTCATCGTATGGGGCGGAATCAACGAGACCAGAACCGACAGCAGCTTTCCCCAGAATACAACGATTGTCTACAATTTCAAGACCGGAACCTGGACATCCAGTTACGTAGCCCTAGTTGCACATCCAGACATATCAGCACCTACGCCATCGCCATCGGCTTCTACCTCATCACCATCGGCCTCCACCCCATCGCCGTTGGCCTCCACTTCCCCATCATTCAAACCACCGGAAGGCACGTTAACTAATAACGACCACATCCTTGCGATACTTGTAGCCGTTTTCGTGGTCTTTGTTGTCTTAGTTGCTATTGCAGCTGGATTTACGTTTCGCGCTTGGAAAAAGCGAGCGGTTGCATCAAGCACTAGTCCTAGCCGCTCTGATGGCGAAAAAGGTGCGTACGGGACTTCCGGCTACTATGTTCCACCGCCGCCTTCTACAGCTAGCTCTTACCCAATGAGTTACCAGCTCTCAAACATGCCATGTCGAGATCCTGCTGTCATTCAAGAACGTGAAGCATATGACCAACGCCATGGCCGACCTTTACATGCTGAATTTGGGCAAGGGCGACATTCTTCGAAACAGTGGAGCGGATCACGGTACTCATAGATTGATTAGGCCAAGACGGAATTGAATAGCTCGGTGCTCTTCTCGCTGGGTTATTATAAAGAAGAATACCGATGATGAACGACGCGCAGCTCACGATGTAACAGCCTTCCCCTTGATCGCAAATATAAAAATATAATCATGCACATATTCCTAACGATGCAATAAAGGGAAACTTCTTACTCTGTCTTCAGGACGTTTGCCTCTCTTTCAGTTTAAAGATGGAGCCAATTTATACTGTACTACCAAAACTATGTCAGGGTGTTTCAAATGGGAGCGGATTTGCAAATCCACCCGCTCCTGGGCTGACGCGTTTGGGGTACGGAATTTGGGGGCAAATGTGTAACGCGTACACTTAACTGAAACCCCCTACTCTGCTGTGAACCAGGGGCCCTCGCTTGTCCCCTGCCACCACCCATTCATATCACCTTTTTGCCATTTTGACATTTCATGTTCTCTTGTTTTTGCACCACCTTCAAGTCATCGTCCACGATATGCCCTCTTCTGCTACCCATTACATCCTTCCCATAGCCCCACTCGTATACATTCCCCCCTACTACTCTACACCGCCTTATGCCCTTCAGCCAGAGGTTAACCATACCAGCCAGCTGTCGCACATGAGCCGTCCACTACTTTCATCGAAGGTCAAGGCCTCTACGTCTTTGGGGGATACCAATGGGGCTTTCCTACATTTATCACGCAGACATTTATGATCGATCTTTCGACCTCATGGAGCATCTCCAGCCCGGCTTTCAGACTACTTGACTCGGGTCCAACCAATGCAGCAACAGCCAGCGCTCTTTCATTTGATAACAAAACCTAGATTCATCTTTACAGCAGTGCCGTCTACACCTATACCTTTCAATCCGGCTCATGGGATCAAAAGTTCTCGTTCAACGCGTTCAACTACGCCTCTAGACAGGCGGCAACAACAGATCCGGAAAACAACCTCATCTACATCCCGAACGGATTCGCCAATACGCAAAATGGAACTACACTTGGTGTGGCTATGTCACGGCTGAATACTATTGCACAAGTGGCTGACAACATTCCAATGTACCCGGGTTTGAACGTTACGGCCGGATACTCTGTTGCTTGGAGCAAGCGTTTGCGGAGCATGTTTCTGTTTGGTGGAACGGTTCCAGGGATGTTCGCCTATAGTCCAATTACTGGATGGAAGAATATCACAGATACTATGAAAGGCACAGTGCCCTCCGCGCGAACGAACGCCTGCTTTATTTCTGTCCAGGAAGGATCGAAAATGGTTGCATTTGGAGGAGCAACCCCGACAGGAGCGCCACTAAGCGACATATACACCCTAGATGTTGCCACCACGACTTGGACACAGGGTCAGGATGCAGGAGCAGCGAATGCAAGGAGAGGACCTGCATGCGCTGTTTCGAACGATTACTTTATTGTCTGGGGTGGTGTCAATACCACCAGTAGCAATTACACCTATCCTACGGCAATGACTCTGGTTTACAGTTTGAGGACTGGAGGCTGGATATCCGATTACATCGCCCCAGTCGTTGTGCAACCTAATACAACCGGTACACCTAATTCAACTGGCACATCTAATTCCTCTAATTCCACAAATTCACCTACACCTGGAGCAATGGACCCAGCATCCCATACCACGCGCCTATTCATTATTGTCGGATCAACTTTTGCGGCGTTTATTCTAGTATGCAGTATCGGAGCTGCTATCATCTACCGCATTTGGAAGAAGCGAGCGAGCACATCAAGTGTTAATCCTGGGCCTTTTGATAGAGAGAAGGACCTGCAATCTTGGTCTCTCTATCCTGGCTATCCTCTACCCCCTCCTGTGAAGGCTGTATGCGGGACGAGGCTTTCATCCTCGGAATTGCCGCCTCGGGGTTCTGCTGCTGCCATGATGTACAATGCTAATGGTGATCAGCCCTCATACGTTGGGTTGGAGCAGTGGCCACAGCCTCCGAGACGGCGAGGCCGCTTGCAGAAAGGTATTGAGGGCACTCGAGGTTTGTCACAACATCCGCATACCGAGGCTGAAGGAACCTTTTACTCAAAGCAGGAAGACAAATACGAAGTTCAGCTCCCCTTGAGGCATCCACATCTACAAACGGACGCACATGGTTCATTGCAGCAGGACGATGGGCGGTTTTATTTTTTCCAGAATCCTCCGCATACTGTCCAAGATCCTCCACAACACCTGCAGGCTGACACGGACACTCCAGCGATAGAAGACGATTTTTTGGACGCATACATTTGCCAATATTCCATACCGTAGCATTTTAGCCTTATACCAACACAGCATTCGACTGAATATTTATCATCGATCTATCATGTCTAATAACCAGAGATATCAGCGGATTGATTTTTTTGGTGAGACATTGTCAACTACAGGAGTTTTGCTTAACAAAATAGCCATAATTGACAATATCTCACCAAAAAAATCAATCCGCTGATATCTCTGCTAATAACTATCAAATGTTCCATGTTTGAATGCTACGCACGTTCTCCACGTGATACTGTTGCCACTATTTTTTTTTTTTTTTTGGTGGAGGAAGCAAAAACAGAAAACTTGCACCTCAGGACGATCAGCTCATTCAGTGAAGGAGGGACGACATTATAGCAATGACAGAGGAAGCACAGCAAAAGATTCGCAATTTGATTGAGATGGTCATGGGGTATGTGGTCGAACCGCAGCCGCTTTCGGTCCCCGCTGTCCCAGAGACGTTGGACGCCTTGGTCGAACAGTTGAACTCGAGCTTGACCCTGAATGGTACCGATAATGTACCTTCACAAGAGCAGCAGGAACAGCATGACGAAGAAAACTGGGATGGGGAAGCATTTGGCGTTCGTCTTGGTAAGTTGTAACTGGGTCTGCTTGGTCTTTATTCATCGGATCGATCATCAAAGGTACAATCAGCTAACCTCGACTCTCTTATCTTCTATCGTACTCAAAGCCGGCCTCGGAAAGCTCCTCTCGAACGATGTGACCAAGGCAACACTAGCATGTAAACCTCCAGCAGAGACAAAGACTGTCATTGGCATGGTGGATGCCCTTGGAGAGACATGCTTCCGTCTTGCGGGATTCGTGGATTCGATCCCTGTAAAGATCGCAGGACAGACATATAAGCGTGAGATCCAAACATTGGCGAACGACATCTTCCTAGCGACTGCAGGACTCATGAACGAATTTTTGGACAACAAGATCGAGAGGGTGGCTCAGATCCAGCAACGAAAACTGAGCACTCAGGGCGCAGTTCATGGCTTGAGTAAAGGCACCAAAGATGAGGTATCATCTTCAGAAAGCGGATCGTCAAAGAATGACGGATACTTGGTCAAAACAGGAATTGTGTGGGAGGCATGTGAAATCTTTGAGCAGGCAAGCCGATCGAATAGACAAGCAGTGGCTAAGAAGTGGGGCGATATGATGTTGACAATGGAGGATGCGATCGCAGAGGTCAAGGAGATGATCGAATCCAACGACGACAGGAAGGATCGGAATATTGAGAACGATGAGGACGAGGATGATAGTGGGAACGAGAGCGACGATAGTTGGAATGGCGACGAAAAGATGACGGAAGAGGAGAAGCAATTGAGCATTCGCGCAAACACCTTGTTGAAGTTGACAAGGCTGTTGTTCAAGAAACTGCAGCAGCGGTGCCTCGACACACAGCCATCCTTCACTGTTGCCACCTCTTCGTCATCGTCAGATTCTACAATAGCAACAGCATCTGTCGCAACACCCTCAACAAATGCGCTCAAGCCATCAGATCTTGCTAGGATGTGGGACCAGCTGTATGACCGCACTGGAGGGATTGTGGCCCTGGCAGATGAGATTGCGACCTCGCTTTACAGTCCACAGGACCAGTCTGCTATCACTGCGCTGTTGCAGGAGCTGAACCGCAAGAATCACGATTGCATCCTTGTTGGACGATTGTTTGTTCGTGGTCAGGCGGAGCATGAGAAATGGCTGGATATGTGCGAGGCTCAAGCAAAGAAAATCCTGGACACTCTTCATTAGAAATAAAATTAATAAGATATTCGCCCTATTACGGTGGTGTGGTATGACAAAACTGCAGCGATGGTGCGCGAGTACGAGAGACGAAGTGAGCGCGGTTACCATGAAGAGTATGAAGAGGAGGTCAACTCGAATCGATTGTCCGCCTTGTTGACATATGATAATCGGATAGTTGAACGGATCCTTGCATCGCTTTCCAATGGGATCCATACAAGGCCGCGAAAGGACACTGCTCCCCGAACTCACACCACTGAATGCATAGTTTCATTTTATTCCGATGCCATATGGCACAACAAGAAAGTGCCGCCTACACATGCATGCTGCTTTCTGATGGTGCTATTTTTTTCTTTTCTTCCTGTGTCTATTGGTTTCTCCTTCGACGTCCACCCCGTGGGGAAGGAACGGCTGAGGTCTGTCGGTGAAGGTGGCCTGATTTTTTTTTCTGCAGTGACTGTGCGTTAGAGTTTGGCGAAACTTGGGCAGATTCAACTACAGCTGTTTGCAGCAATGAAAAGTCAATAGCTACGAGGTCAGGTCAACCGGTTCGGGCAGCAGCCAGACTAAGATAAGGATTAAAACCGCCTCTTACTGAATCTTCGAAGGTCCAGTCCGAAGATTCTCTCATCACTTGCATCTCTCATCTCTTTCCTCCTCATCTCCTCGTCTTGCCTTCCCTCCCTTCCTTCACTCTTTCATCTTTCTTCTCCTCAAGCACCCTCGCATCATATCCGACATACATTATTACACATGCCCGGAAACGTAAGTGAGCCACCGCTGCCACCTTTTATGAGCACCACGGTCTCGCAGTCTTCGCTGTAATCGCATGGCCCCCTTTTCAGTGCTTTCCCGCTAATTCTCCCCTCAACTGATCCGACCACTAGGCCCTCGTTCCATCCTTGGCGACTGTGCCTATTCCTAAAAACGGATCCACATTCGACATCATTGTCGTTGGTGCTGGTGTCCTTGGATCTGCTTTTGCTACGGCATTTGCAAAGCAAAACAAGCGGATCTTGTTGCTCGGTACGCTTTCAATTGCCTTGGCATCACATTCCGATCTACGTTTGTGGACTACAAAAAAAAAGTGGCCTGATCTGCCTTCGCCCATCCTGAATTATTTTTTCGTGGTATCCCCTGAAACGCTAACATTCTGATTCGTGGCCTATCACTGTAGAGAGAGACTTGAGCGAACCCGACCGCATCGTTGGAGAATTGCTACAGCCAGGAGGATACAGGGCATTGAAAGAGTTGGGATTAGCGGACTGTCTGGAGGGAATTGATGCGGTCCCCACATATGGATATGGTGTCATTCGTGGATCGGAACATGTGCACATCCCGTACCTGACGGACGCCGAGACCGGTAAACAGGACCAGGGACGGTCTTTCCACCATGGTCGCTTTATTCAGAAACTTCGAGCTGCTGCCTCGCAAACACCAAAGTAAGAAAACAGATTATATAACTACTCACCTTCGTAGTATGGGAGAGGTTCAAAAACAGCGTCTGACCCATCTACTTACATTTAGTGTCACAACTGTGGAGGCTACCGTTAACGAGATGGTGCACGACGATGATGGTGTCCGTGTGATTGGTATTACATGTACGCAAAAGAAGGACACAGAATCGACAGCCGCCTCAGTCACCGCACAATACTTTGCACCACTGACCGTTGTTGCCGATGGATGCTTCTCAAAGTTCCGCAAGCAGTTCATCCAGAAGCCCGTCGAGACCACATCGCACTTCGTAGGGTAAGCATATGCTCACAGGATGGATAGAGGAACGAATGCCTATCGCACATTGTCTTTCTACCTTTTCAAGTCCATTCTAACCGACTATGAATACATATGTTTTAGATTCGTCATGAAGGATGTTCAACTTCCTTTCCCTAACCACGGTCACGTTATCCTCGCCACACCCTCACCCATTCTTATGTATCAGATCTCGAGCAGGGACACTCGCATTTTAGTCGATGTTCCTGGCAAGCTGCCCTCGGCCAGTTCGGGCGCATTACGGTCTTATTTGGAAACCACGGTTCATCCACAACTACCAGCGACGGTTCAGAAGCAGTTTATGGTTGCACTTGAGACAGAGCGTTTGCGATCGATGCCCAACAGCTTCTTGCCGCCCTCAACCAGCTCAGAACTCGGAGTAATTCTTTTAGGAGATGCCATGAATATGCGACACCCACTCACAGGAGGCGGCATGACGGTGGCGCTGAACGACGTGGTATACCTGAGGGATATGCTGAAGGGCGATGTGACCAAGGATCAGGAGGAGACCATGGTGCAAATGGAGCTGTTCTTCTGGAAGAGAAAGGAGCTGAGCGGCGTAATCAATGTACTTGCTCAGGCTCTGTATGCCCTTTTCTCGGGCGCAGGTAAAGGACCAGAAACATGCTACCTTAGGATCAGCTCTGTACATGTATACTCAATGAGTCAAATCTAACAATATTGTGTTCTATTTAATGATAATGTCTGACTTGACAATAGACGAAAACCTGATTGTGCTTCGAGACGGCTGCTTCAGCTACTTTAAAATGGGTGGTGAATGTGTTGCAGGGCCCGTGGGACTTTTGTCAGGAATTACACGTCGCCGGATGGTACTCGTATACCACTTTTATGCGGTTGCGCTGCACTCGATCTGGTTGATGTTCCACAAGGTAACGTGGGCAGAGGTCCCGGCCACGTTCTTCAGGGCCTTCAGCGTCATGTGGACAGCGTGCGTGGTTCTGCTGCCGGTGATGTGGAGCGAGTGCAAGGCTTAACGAGGCACCGGACATATATTTATTAGAAGTTCGACAGAGAAGAGGACGCTTTTGCATCATGTACTTATATCCCAAATATCCCCAAATATCCCCAAATAATAAACGTTTACATAAATCAAGAAATGAAGGCGTTTTGCCACTAAATTTCATGTCGGGCGCGCACATTTTCTGATCCTTCAGTTGGATCTGCCACTGCGTCTCATTAACGTCCATTCTGCCATCTGAAACGCTCCGTTGATCTATACACGCCTAACGATGGATGTCTCTTCGCAATGGATTGGAGATGGAATATGAAAGCCGTGTTTGTACCCAGTCGTTTGTGTCCGTGAGACGATTCGGTTGTTGTACAGTACATGGACGGGTACTGGCGAGCGGGAAGATCGCTCCAAAAAACAAAAACAAAAAAAGAGTTTGGGCGGAGTCGACGATGATTCGACTTGGATTTCACATGGGAGGATATGGGAACACAAGGGGTCGACGCTACCGCATTCAAAGAGACCGGGGGGAAGAAAAAAAAGAAAAGAAAAGAAAAGAAAAGAAAAGAAAAGATGCCCTTGGCTATAGCTAATGCCCTGATGGGATTTAGGTGCGTTGTTCTCTTGACGGCGATGGAGCATAACGGTGCAGTAACCTCCCCAGCGTTTAATGGATCAGCCCTTGAAAGACATAGTCCGTAATCTCCTCGAATTGGCCACTCTAGCCGAGACGACAGAAATGCACTTTCGGCAATACAATGCTCCTTATCTCAGGCACAGAAAAGAACAACAATGCGGCAGAGATGGAACGTCATCTCTTAGCATCTGACACGCGCCAGTAGGAGAAAGTGGACTTATCCATGACAGCATTGCATTGTCAAGGCTGACGGGGTACTTCTCGATGGGATGCGATGGGATGCGCGCCGGTGTGTTGTAACCTCTCCCCTCTCCCGCAAAACGTGGATCGAAGGAGACAACACAGTGGGAAACGCAGGTTTCATAACAAAGCGCATGGACTATACGTGCACATATGCATGAACAGTATTGCATTAAAAACTACCACTCCTCGTTTCTGAATTCTGATCTCTTAGCTCACCTCTCATTCCTCATTTCCTTTTTCTCTCTCCTCTCCTTCCAGTCCTTCCTCATTCCTCTTCCCCTCACTCACCCCCCCCCCCCCCCCCCCCCCCCGACAACTGATCTGACCTATTCACTATGTGGCGCCGAATCCCCGCAACCGGTGCCCGACACACAAGCTCGTTTGGCAGGAGAGCCGCCTATGCCACCGCGGGTGCAACCACCCTGGCCCTTACAGGATACTACTACAATCTTCAACAGCGCCGATCTTTCGATGACGATCATTTCGAGTATCCTCCTCATTCTTCAATGATCTACCTGGAGCCTCAGCAGGCACCCAGGGACCCCACTCGTCCTCACGCATTTTGGGCACCACCCTCGCGCGAAGAGATGATCCGCATGCTGCAGGAGGGTCCTGGTGCGATCAAGAACATCGTCAGCGCCAAGGAAAGGCTCTCTTTGCTAGCAAGTGTTCCAGGAGGGTCAGGCTCAGGATCGGCACCAGCGACGACAGCAGCTGCCTCTGACACGAAATCATCAGCAGACGACGAATCGGACGTGTTCGATCTGCTGATTATTGGAGGTGGTGCTACAGGCGCTGGGTGTGCAGTCGATGCTGCTACTCGTGGACTGAAGGTCGCCATGGTCGAGCGCGATGACTTTTCTGCTGGTAAGCTACTACTCTGTTTGCTTAAAGATCAAGGAGGCATTTCTGAATGCCATACGCCAAAAGGACCGACAACGATCAACGGCGAGAAAACACACATCTTTAGTCCAACCCAACGTAGCCGCCAAATATACTCTCAAAGCAACACCAGGGTGACTACAGAAGGCTGCCGGGATGAGGGCATTCGACCAATTGGGGCTGGATATGCTGGAGTTACAGAATCTAAATGAGCGAATCTTGGAAATAGAGAAGGGACCCAGGAGGAGATAAAAAGAGCACACATCTGCTATTTTGGTATCAGGACATGTGTATCGTTCGCTCGCTCGCTCTGCAGGTCTATTTAATTAGCCCTGTTTACGAGAGTCCATCCTTGAGTCATAGCTAGGGAGAGCGATGCATGGTGAGCAGAGCAGTAGGGAGTACAGGACGCATCTACAGAAGGGTCACCATCTTTATTCATGGGTCATCGTTAGCGGGCGGGCATGTAAAAAATTCTACTGCTCCTTGCGTCCCACTCATCTGCAAAGCCGAGATGCACGTGCCTTTTCTAGTGCGGCCCTAGAAAGACAACGAGATCAAAGTCACTGTCCTCACATATATTTGCATTTGTTGCTCGTTCTTGAATACTATAGGAACATCCTCAAGATCGACGAAGCTTGTTCATGGAGGTGTCCGTTACCTGGAGAAGGCCGTGCGTGAGCTGGATATTGAGCAGTACAATCTTGTCAAGGAGGCATTGAACGAACGCGCCAACTTCTTAAAGATTGCCCCCTATCTCAGCTATCAGTTGCCGATCATGCTGCCCATCTACAAGTATATGCCTTTTCTATTTCTTTTTTCGATTTCTAAGAACAAAGGTCAAGGCGCATTGGAAGAAACAAACTCTGGACTCATAGTGTATTTTATTGCGTACCTTGACAACTAGATGGTGGCAAGTTCCATACTACTGGGCTGGATCTAAGGCATACGATCTGCTGGCGGGTCATCAAGGCATGGAGAGTAGTTACTTCTTGAGCAGGGGCAAGGCTTTGGAGGCGTTCCCTATGCTCAAGAACGACATGCTGGTCGGAGCCATGGTCTACTACGATGGTCAGCACAACGATTCGCGCATGAATGTCGCTCTCGGATTGACTGCAGTTCAGTATGGTGCAGTCATCGCAAACCACGTCGAGGTCGTCGAGTTGCACAAAGATGCCAACAAGCGACTGTGTGGAGCACGCGTCAGAGACAACATGACGGGCAAGGAGTTCAACGTCAAGGCTAAGGGTATCATCAACGCTACGGGACCCTTCACTGATGGTATTCGTCAACTGGATGATCCCTCGATCCAGACAATTGTCTCACCCTCTGCAGGAGTTCACATCATTCTGCCAAACTACTACAGTCCTGGAAACATGGGTCTCTTGGACCCCGCCACCAGCGACGGAAGAGTCATCTTTTTCTTGCCATGGCAGGGAAACACCATCGCAGGAACCACCGATTCTGCGACCCAGGTCACCCAGAATCCCATGGCGACTGAGGATGAGATCAACTGGATTTTGGGCGAAGTCAAGAACTATCTGAATCCAGATGTCAAGGTCCGCCGTGGAGATGTCTTAGCTGCCTGGTCTGGAATCCGTCCCTTGGTCCGTGATCCATCTGCCAAGAGCACTGAGGGCCTGGTTCGCAACCATATGATCAATGTCAGTGCAAGCGGATTGTTGACGATTGCCGGAGGCAAGTGGACGACCTACCGTGCAATGGCCGCTGAAACTATCGACAAGGCTATCAAAGAGTTCAACCTGCAACCTACCCGCGGATGCTCGACAGACCGCGTCAAGCTCATTGGATCACATGGATACAGCAAAACGATGTTCATTCGCCTCATTCAGCAGTTTGGACTAGAGACCGAAATTGCCCAGCACCTTGCCAACAGCTACGGCGACCGTGCTTGGGCTGTTGCCTCACTTGCACAAACAACTGGCAGACGCTGGCCTGTCTTCGGAAGAAGGGTTTCGCCTCTTTACCCTTACATCGAAGCGGAGGTCCGTTATGCCGTGAGACGCGAGTACGCCTGCACAGCCGTGGATGTTTTGGCCCGTCGTCTCCGCTTGGCATTCTTGAACGTCCACGCAGCGTTGGATGCCCTGCCAAGAGTCGTTGAGATCATGGCCGAGGAACTAAACTGGGATCAGGCGCGTCAATTGAAGGAGACTGAGGATGCAAAGGCGTTCTTGAGGACGATGGGGTTACCTGTCAGCCCTATCGCATACCCGACCATCACGCCCGATGCTGTTGTTGGACATCCCGTCATTGAAGGCGACAAGCATGAGCAGAAGAGTTTCTGGGGCCGCTTGGGAGGCAAATCCTCAACAGGAGCGAGTGTTCCTGATTCGTTTTACTCAAGAGCACAGTTCGACCCTGAGGAGCTGGCAGAGTTCCACAAAGTCTTTGGAGCTTTGGATCACGACGGCGATGGTCATATTAATGGTCAAGATCTCGGCGAGGTTTTGAAGAATCTCGACATGGATGTTGACACTCAAGTCCTGAAGAACATTATCGATGAGGTAAGTTGGCGCCTTTTTGAACTCGTTTGTATTTGCGGTTTCGTGTCACCAGTAATTGATATATTCCGTTCATGCTGATTTGTCATGGTAGGTTGATCTGGACAACTCGGGCACAATCGAGTTCAATGAGTTCTTGGAGGTGATGGGTGGATTGAAGGAGCATGCCAGCCGATCGGCCTTTTCCAACATTGTGGTTCAAGTCGAGAACCAAAGGGATATCGACTATGGTATCCAGGCCAAGAAGATCGACCGCAGTGGTGGCGGTGCTTAAGCCCTTGCCGATATTTCCTCTGCAGCTTTGAGTCGTACTTTTTGGTTTTTGTTATTTTTTTATGCAAATCTCATCTTCAGTAGCTACTACTCTTCACTCCTTTACTCGCTCACTATCTCGTTACCCACGCTTCATTCTAATAAACAAACGATATATCATGCATTTCATCTTTACAAGTGTATTTTCAAGCTGTGCCCGTGGCGTCTCTTTGTGCTGCCAGCACTTAATGTCCAAAACAAGGGAGAAATCCAACATCTCTCGTTCCAGTCTCGCACTCGTAGATTAATATTCACCGTATTTGAAGCGATGGCACTGGAAGTCCTGAGAATGAATAAGAGCAATTATTTCTTTTTTTCATAGAAAAGTGAAATACGTAGCGCAAATGCGGAGTGGATTTGAACTCTGAACGCTACGCATTTTGGGGACGGATTTGCTTTCCATTTGAAGCCCCCCTAATTGGTTGCCACCAATTTCATGGTTTTGGTGGGATATATGGACTGCTGGGGTCTTCTTAAGCCACAGAGGTAAACACGCTTTCTTTTTTTTCTGTGGGGCCATGGGTCAACGCTTCTGCTGTCATTCGCCAACCTGTTCATTCGAGAGAGGAGCATCAGCATGTTTAATATCAAGCGATACGACGCCGAGGAGGAGACGTCCAAGGGGGCCCATACCCAGCATTCAACTCCATCAGCGTCTGCACAGGACCGGCTCGCAAAACTCAACGCCCGTTTGAACAAGAACAAGAGTAAAGGTCAGGATACGACTGTTACGCAAGACCGGCAGGGCGAATCTTTACAAAAACAGAACCAACATGTCCGATATGATGGCACAAAGCAGCCGTCAATACCAGATACCAAGAAATCCGGCGCCAGTGTTATAGAGATTTCGTATAAGCGCGGCAGGGACCAGGAGGAGGAACCGCGGAAGAATGGAAAGAAATGGGAGAAGAGAGCCAAAGAATTGAACGATAGGGATCTGATTCCGAACGACGTCCGCTTAGTCATGAAGGCAGAGGCAGAGGCGGCTGTAGCAGCAGCAAAAGGAATTCTCAGGCCTGTCACAACCACGCCATTACCGTCACTAGCACCGGCATCTGCAGATCAGGATCAGGACCAGGACGAGGATATGGAGGCCGAGATTCAAGAAAAGGAGGACAGGCCATCAAACGAAATTGAACATGCAGAACAAGAAATCGACGGCGTTAAACAATTTGTGGACGATGCAGCCGCTGATGCCGCCCTCGCAGATCTCGCCCTCGTACCTCTTCCTACCTTTGAGGCCAAAGAAATCTCTGCCACAGAACGAGAGCGCGCCAAATCCATGGGTATTCCGGACTGGCTGGCACATCCGACAAAGATTGAACCAGAAACAAACACACCGATCGAGGCGCCTATGTTCAGATTCTCACAGAGGCTGATCAAGCAGTGCAAGAAGGCTGGAATCGAAGAGTGCTTTGCGGTCCAGACGGCTGTGATTCCCGTGTTGATGAGGGCGAGGCATTTGGGAGACGTTCGCAAAGCGCCAGGCGATCTCTGTGTGTCAGCGCCGACTGGAAGTGGAAAGACGCTGGCCTATGTTCTTCCTATCATCGAGGTAAGAAATGGAAACTCATGGGACATTCCGTCATGTGGACAAATATAAGACAGGCGGATGAAAATGTACTCAAATGTGCGTATGGTGTTTATTGTTCTTGTGCTAGATTCTCTCGCAGCGCGTGGTAACGCGACTCCGTGCTCTTGTGGTCCTTCCAACGCGCGACCTTTGCATTCAGGTCAAGGAGACATTCGAGACATTTGTCAAGGGCACAGATCTCAAAATCGCAACCTCAACCGGACAAAATTCGTTCGCACACGAGCAAAGCATTCTCGTTGGCGAAGCACATGCTACAGGATCTCAGGTCTTGGGTGGCCACAGTCGAGTCGATATCTTGATTACAACACCTGGACGACTGATCGATCATATCAAGTCGACGCCTAACTTTACATTGCAGCACTTGAGGTTCTTGGTGATCGATGAGGCGGATCGGCTGTTGAACCAGAGTTTCCAGGACTGGCTGTACCATATCTTGACGGCGATTCATCCTTCACCGGAGAGACGATTGTTGGGAGTAAACGGATCGGAGACGATCCAGGTCAAACAGGATCAATATGGGTAAGGACACCAAATGTCGCTTTGGTGACTGTGAGGACGAACGCTGAGTAAGGGGTCTGTAGCTGACATACAACGTCGCTCTGCGATATAGGTTCCCAATCCACGATGCCATTGCCCCAGGATTCTTGTCTTCGTTTTTCCAGTTGCCTGAGTCAGATGTCGAGGATCCAAAGGCGCTCTCGGTACAAAAGCTGCTCTTCTCTGCAACGCTGACCAGGAATCCCGCCAAGATTGCAAGTCTCCAGCTCTCAGACCCTCAATACGTGGCGGTTCAGGAGGGAGGACAGGACGGAGATGATAAGCAAAAGTATACTACTCCTGCTGGTCTTACGGTAAGTCCTTTTCTTTTTCTTTTTTCTGTTATCTCAAGTGCAGGGCGTGGGATTGATGTTGAGGCATCAGAGTTCTCATCCAGAGCGTTTTATGTTTATTCACCATAGGAAAACATGGTTGTGTGCGAGACATCCGAGAAGCCATTAATGGTGTTGCATTTGCTGCACCATTTGAACGTTCGTTCCGCCTTGTGTTTCACAAAATCCGTGGAATCTGCGCATCGCTTGTACAAACTGGTGCAGCTCTATGAAAAGATCAGGACCACGACATCAGCTCCGACCGCCACCACTGCATCAGAAACGAATGACATCAAAGAAATCCAGGAAGATAAGAAATCTGAAAACGGCGACGAGGACGACGAGAGCAGCTCAAGTAGTGACAGCAACGATTCGAGCGACTCTAGTAGCGATACCAGCAGTGACGACTCGGAAGCCGAAGATGAAGACGAAGACGAGGAAGAGATGGAAGATATCAAAACGTCCACGAAACCAGCGTTGAGCTCAGCACCCACAGACATGGAAGTCGACAACGATCTAACATCAGCATCCACAGAGCCCTCATCTGCGGTCCCAGAAAGCACCATCGTCGTTGCAGAATACTCTTCCGACCTGCCGAAATCTAAACGCCAAGCGATCCTGCGGGCCTTCAATAAGGGCGAGATCCATCTTTTGATCTGCTCAGATCTCATCTCTCGCGGTATGGATCTAGCTCCAGTCTCAGTGGTGATCAATTATGATACTCCAGTGTACATGAAGAAGTATATCCATCGTGTCGGTCGTACAGCTCGTGCGGGCAAGTCGGGTACGGCTTATTCGCTCGTGGAGATGCAGGAGGTACGACACTTCAAAGAGATGCTTTCCAAGGCTGGCCATTGGGAGAAGATCTCAAGGATCAAGGTCAAGGAGCGGGAGGTGAAGGACTTGATACCCGTGTATACAAAGGCTTTGGGAGGGCTCAAGGAGGCACTGGTGGCGTCTGCAAGGGTTGGGAAGATTGGTGGGCGGAGAGTGCACAAGTGAACGCAGGACAACCTGACAACTGTAATATAATAATAAAATCGTTGACCAAGGCACACATACAACTGCTTTAGAGCAATGCTGGAAAGATGTTTATTCATTACTATTTTAGATAAAGATGTAGAAAGGACGGCATGCCAAAGACGCGCTGTTACTTTGAGCGCACAAGGGGAGTTCTCTCATCCGCCTCCTCGTTTTCCTGGTTCCCACTCTGCTTGTCCTTACTCTTGTTATCCTTGTTATCCTTTTTACTATTGCTGGGGTTGCTGCTGTTGTTGTCGCTATCCTTGTTGCTACTGTCCCTCTTGTTGTTCTGGTCACCCTTACCGTTCTGGCGAGGGCTCCGACCACCCTGTTCCAAGGAAGGAGACGACGATGGACTGGAGCCGTTGCGGGGCTTGTACCAGCAGCAGCAGAAGGTCCGCTGGAAAGCGTCCAACGTACGGCTGAAGAAATTGCCCACGCTCTTGGGGAGAATTGATTTAGTCTTGATAATACGTTCTGGGCGCAATCTGTCCGAGGAATCAAAGCAGACGCGAAGACAGATCTAATAAGGAAGGCAGGTGACGAAAATAAAGACAGACATGTTTTTAGCATTACCATATATGCAAAGCGAGGTAAAAAAGTCGTGATAATAATTCATCATTACCAAAACAGAGGAAAGCGTTCCGAACGCGGCAGCACCAGAGATCATGAACATGATGATCTGCTGGGACTTGGCGGCGTTCATGACTGAGGCACCAGCAATGAGCTGACCGGTCATCATTCCTGGGATCGAAATAAGTCCAATAATGCTATCATGCGCGTATTATCCAAGCGGAGCAAAAAGAGAGAAGACAAGTCAGATAAAGTGCGCCTGCGACCTCAATGGTCGGCTGTCGTCGATTCTCTCCATGATACTGTGGGTTGACTGAAGCGTTCTGGCATACCTCATCTGGTTAATCGTGGGCAACATGGCGCGACGCATGGCTTCGACGGCGATGGGACGACATGCCTCCCAGCGGCTCGCTCCCATCGACAAGTACAGCTCAATCTTTTCCTTGTTCTCGCTAATTGGACGGAGAGGATTAAAATATCAGTTCCATGTCCTTCCTGTCTCTTATCGTGATGGTTAATATTTCGACGCTCAACACGCACCTGAATTGACTAAGACACTGATCCAGACCCAGCGAGATACCCGTCATTGTGTTTCCGAGCAACATTCCCAAGACTAACGCAGAAAGAAGCATTCAACCGTTAGTGCTTTAGTAACACAGTGTAGCACAATGAGCTGGACTATACGACAACGGAATGGAAATACCCTTACCTGGGATGAACTCCTTTGGCGAGTGCAATGGGTCGACACCCATAGCCAACCTCGTTCCTGTTGATGTCGTAGCATGAAAAAAAAGTGGGCTAGTTAACAAGGGGATTTCAAACAACGACAACTTCTGCTGTTTGCCCTAGGCGCATCGAATGACTGCATCATGATAGAGCCATGATCGCCCAGACAGGAAAAGGATGTGGATAGGACTCTTACCAAACGTTGCAATGATTAAGCAACTGCATCCCATCGAGAGTAGAACCGAGGGAAACTATAGATTCAATAGACACATTGATAAACGTTAAAGGTCTCTCAAAATAATGACATAATGTTAAATGTAGTGAATCATGATGGGGGCGTCAAAGAGAAGGACGACCAACGCTTTACCATGTAGATGTGCCGACGCTTGCTAACGTTGAACACAGCCTCATAGGTACCGAGGAAAATCAGTAACACTAGACCGTTCAGTTGAAAGAGATGGTTGTTTGCATTATCAGATCTTTGCTTAATCTTTTTTTTTCAGGCGGGTGGGGATACAATTCGTATTTCGAAAATTGTAACCATCATCAGAAAGACTTACAGGCCAGGAGAAAATTCAAGATTGGGTTATTGGAGCTGAAGATGTTCTCCAGGACCAGACCCTATAAATTATAGATAGATGGACATGTAGATTTTCAAGGACACAAGCATGGGAAAAACACTAGATGAGCCATTTTTTTTTCTTCCCGAATCTTTCTCTTTGTCAAGAGACATCTTTTCTTGTCTAAGCAGCATCGTCTTTCACAGAGGTGGCGCATGCTATTGAGCTCTGCTTACCATGATAGACAATTGCACAATACAGCGGATGGCACTGATGAAGAGGCGTTTTTCCAGACCGAGACCCAACACGATCGAGAGAATGCCTACAAAAGAACAAAAAATAAACAAGGATGTGAGTTGATCCTGAAGTTTCATAGATGAAAAAGAGCGTGGCGATCAGGGAATGCACCCATCCATACCGTTGACGAGGATAAGGGACGAAGCAATGGCGACGTGATACCACTGCAATTCGACCATGGGCTTCTGTCCTCCACCACTGTCGCAGCCATCCTTGTCTTTAACAAATGTCGTGATAAAATCCATTGTGTATGCCTGTGAGGGGAAGGAAATCGTTTGTCGGCGCAATGGAAGAAGCTCAAAGGAACGGTTCAAATGGAATGGTGGCGGAAGGTGTAAGGAAGACAAGGAAGTGAAGAGAAGAGTGAAGCGCAGTGAAGGGGAGGGAAAACAAAACTTTATGTCATTGGTCTCGGAGTGGTCCTTCCTTTTGGGAAATTATGGAAATTATAAACACGTCTCCTGTCTCCTACTTAGTCCCTTCTCTCACCTTTGAACCTTCATCGCTCTATCAACTGAGGACCATGGATGGAATGCTATGCTCACCATTTGCTTTCTTTATTCAAGAAGAAGCACGCTCCATCCTGTTGCCCAGGACAGGAATCATTAAACTGTACAATTATTAAGTGTAATAACGGATCTACTTTGCCCACTCTCCCACAAGTTCGACCCCCCCATTGACATGTCCGTTGCCTTGCTCCTGGCTATCAGCGACATCGACTGCTTTCCCTTCCTCCTGACTTTTTGCGTTTTGGGCGCTAGCAGATTCGGAGCCATTTGCTCTATCTGCAGTTTCTGCGACCTTCCCTCCATTATAATGGCTCAGTCGCTCTTGCTCCCTTTTAGCCTTACGCACGACTCCATAGCCCTTCTTGGCATGGCCCCACACATTCCGCATGATGATGATCACGATCGTCACACCCTCCACAAGGTAGAACAGGCCTCGGATAAACCACGACAGCATGATAAGAAGCATATCCATCCAGGGGTTCTCGATCCTCTTGAGGTTCATCATCTGGATCTGGTCCTCGACCTCCTTTAACTTCACAAAGTACGATTCGTTCCACTCCACCGTGAACTTGTCCACAACATCCTTGAAGAATTGCTCCTTCTCGTAAAGCTGTGCGCCCGAGGCGGCCTTGAGTATCTCCAGCCGCTGGCGACACTCTCTCACATATACACGCATCTCCTCGACAGCTTCCCGTGTTATCTGCACACTGGCTTGGAAGGAATAGGTCGCCGAGGTGTGGAGAGAGGACATGGAACCACTCAGATCTCGCACAGAGGACACAGACAATCCCCGACGTGTTCTCCTGTCCTTGATCGCATCCAGAGGTGAAAGTTGGTTATGCTTGAACCTGGCGCCGCCGCTAGCTTCCAAGGAGGTTGAAGGAATGGATTCATCAGGAGCTTCCTCGGCTTCTGGTTCCTCGGACAAGGGCGTATTCTCATCCAGATTCCACGCTCCGCTATTGGCTATCTCAGCTTGCTGATGTCTCTCGATAGCGCTAGCCTTGCCTCTAGACCAGCTCATGGCTTCTTTAATCCATTTCTCGCCATTATCCAACTCCTGCTCGACCCTCAACTCCAACAGATCCCACTTGCGTGCCCGGCTCTTTGCATCATGGTCCTTTGGTTCCTCAACACCCAGCGTCAAGCGGATTTCCAGAACGTCAATTTCGTCAAGATGACTCGGGTATAGGCTGGAAGATTTCATCATATCAGAGATACCGATGTGCTCTTCGTATGTTGGAGGTGGTTCAGATGCTGTCCAAAGTGCACTCAAGTCCACTATTCACCATTCAATGACAAATATTGAATGATTTTGTTAAGATTTGATGAGATATTCAAGGCTGAAGCAGAGCAAAGGAAAACGCCTTACCTGTATCTGCAGTCCAGTCAATCGACGCCAACTCCGGTCGAGTCTTCAGGCGCTGGAGAAGCCTCTTGGGGATCCGCTCCACGTCTATCAGCAACTGCGACGCCACACATGCGGCCTGCTTAGAGATATCTGTGTGAACTAGAACTGCATTGCCAGCAATATCCTCTCCTGCGAACGTCGAAGCCGGCAACAGTGGCGACTTTTCGGTCCTGGAGGGGTTCAATAATGGCGATCTTTCCATCCGCGACGCAGGATTGACCCTGGGAGACTTGTCTGTACGATTGACTACATCAGAGAGACCGGAACTTGGAACAACTCGTGGTGAATTGACCATGACACCGTCTGGACTCTTGACTGGGTCCAGCCCAGGCGAAGAGCTACTGCTCAGGACCCTGATATTCAACTATCAAAAGCACCATGTCAAATGCGTGTCAGCAATGTCATATCAAAATATGAACGCAAGAAAATATAGCGCACAATTCAAACAGTACCTTAGGTCGAACAGAATTATCCATCGAGTTTCTGCTAGAGGAGGGTTCGCTAGTAGATGTACGGGTAAAATTTTGCCCCTGTAGATAGGCCAAGGAAGGATCGACCTTCTTTCCTACTGATTTGCTGATGTCGAACAAGGAAGCTCTTCCTTGGACAGGGATTGTCGGAGTAGTATTCTGATACGGCTCGCCCTGCTGGATGGCCGAAAGAGCCTTCTGTCCGCGCTTCCATGTCATCTTGTCCTTGAGTCGAAGCAAGGATGACCGCTATGTGAATTTCAGAGCAAGCATTAAGCAATTAGCATGTGTCTCCATGAAATGTGGATATCTCTCTGGTAATACTGAAAATAGAATATAACTTCCAGAATAACCGTTGAACATACCTTGTAGGTAGCTGCTGCTTGGTTATCGCTTTCATCCTGACTGTCATCAATGCGTTCTCCTTGTGGCCATTGAGACGGTGGCGTCCAACATCCACTATTTTCGTCATCCGTCAATGCGATACCACCTCCTTCCCCATACTCAACACGGGCAACTTCATCTAGCGATGCTCTCTGCTTTGTTTGCGTGTCAGATATTACGTTGCCCTGTGCCATTCCTGAATGCGGTGTAGCAATTGATGATGAAGCTGTTTCTGTTATCGCTTGGCTCCGTTGGCCCTGAGTAGATGTATGCGCCGACTGGACGTAAGGGCTGTGCTGACTGTCGAGCGACCGGCGCTCCTGTGTCGATGCTGTAGCCGTTATCCGTGGGCTACCGTAGCCGGAAGATTGTGGCGAATCGCCATGGATCGAGTGATCGATATCTGGTCCGACCTTCTTGCCGCGTACGCCAAAGATTCCCAGGAACGAGTTTCGCTTCGACGGCGATGTCTCCATGGTTGAAAACTCAATACCGTTTGCGTTGTATATATCATGGCTCAATGGTGACATAGCAGCAGGTACGTTGGATCCACCTCCGACTGTAGTTGGATTATGATACGGCGGGTTCGGAGTGGTTGCTGACAGTTCCTTAGATTCCATCACTAATGACGATTCGATAGCCAGACTCTCTGAAGACGTCGATGACAGATATGATTGACTAGGATTGCGCAAAATCGATGGTGCTGTTTGGACAAGATTGCTCTGTGATCCATGCCTCGAACTCGCTATGGCGGGTCGCCTTGCAAGAGCTGCCGCTTCGGCTGCAGCTTGAGCAGCGGCCTTTGCCTCCATGTGATCCACGTCCCATATGCAACTCGACTCCTCGACCTTATCCACAAAGCGATACTTATCGCTCTTCAGTTTGCGGGGTCGTTGCTGGCCCGCATCCATTGAAGTCTTGCTATCGGATGCAGGCTTTGATATCGATGTTGTTTTGAGCTGTGGTAAAATCTCATGTAGTTTCCGCAAACGATTGATCGAGTGCCCGCCATCGATAGACTGGTATAATTGTGTGTACTTTGATTCCAGATAGGCCTTACACGAGCTGGAGAACTGGAGTGTCTTTTCAGAAGGCTGAAAATTGGCGGCTATGGGATATCAATTGAAGAGAGCGCAACAAAATAATAAGTACTAATGTCATCACGAACAACCGAAGGGCACATGAGAAAGCGCATACGGAATGCGCGAGGGGGTTGTGTGTCTGTCAGCCTGACAATGGTCCTCATTGTCATTGTCAACAGTAACCCTTTTTTGTTGTTTGCATCTGTCCTTACCTAATGAGGCCTCAGTGGCGGGCAAGGAGACGACGCGCTGTCGTTTTTGTGTTGGATTGTTGTGCTCGACCCGCTTCTTAGTCATCTCTGTCAGCTTAAAGACATGATCGTCGTCAATGGACTCTACCAAGCTCTGAAGACTGTTTGAGGGCTCCATCGACGGCCTTGTAAGCTCTGCATCATTCGATATGAGATCTAGCTCTCCTCTTCCGTCAGCAACCTCTGCAGTATTGATACTACTGCCGCTGCTATATCCGCCGTCCTTCTGCCAATTTCCTAGCGCCCTGTGCGTGTCTAGTATCCTGTCATGTCCTTCGATAGATAGCGTCGATCCATTGCCGACACCCGCGGTCTCGCGCTCTAATGCTGTTGATGAATGCTGACTGCCTGTAATCCGTGGCCTGCGTGGCGACCTGCCTCTCGAAATAGGCGAGGGCTGCTCATTGTACGGACCAAGCCAACCAGAAGAGGAGGCGTGCGTATGCTGGGGACGGGATGAGGGTTCTGTCCGGACTCTCTGACGTCCGACGACAGGCGAGTCCTCTAGGTGGGGAGCATGAGATGAGTGTGGGGTCTTGTGTGAGGAGTGCTGGTGCTGGTGCTGGTGGTGCTGATGGTGCTGATGTGGTGTTCGCTGTGAATTGAGTGTGGATGAAGGGCCGCTTTCCAAGGACGGGTTCATGTTCCCCTCCTACGTCTCGGTTGGTCAGAGTTGGATGCAGTCGCTGGTAGGGTAGGAGCAAGAGCAAAGGGCGGGGTGTGATGCTTCTTTGGTTGAATGAGGGCAGAGAAATGTAAGTATTGAATGTTGAGTCTGCGTAGTGTGCGGGAGAGGGCAAAGCAAAAGGAACGCATGCATCCCCATCGCCCAAAGTAGTCTATTCATAGTCACCGCCAATCAAACGGCCAAGCACAGTCCTTTTCCCCGTCAATTCCTACTCTCGCTCATTTTCCCCGCAAGTCAAGGGATTGAAAGAAAATATATTTTTTGATTGGTTAGGACACAGTGATAGAAAACGTATTATTCAATGTCCTGCTGGTCAAGTTGGCTTATGGCCAATTGCCGAGCTCAATTCCTCATGGTTTCTGATAAATCCTAGGTTTGGATTCTGAATGACGAACAATTTGCTGGATGCTGACGGCTCACCCATACACATTGGCGACAAATACTTGTATACACCAACACACCAGTCACCGAGCAGACAATCTATGCATCATCGCCTTGTGCAACATGCCTCTTCTTTCATGGTGTCGTTATTGATAGTCTCGGCTAAGACCTTTGCTCGAACGTGAAAATGGAAGGTGAAAAATCATCTTTCAGCAGTAGTTGACCTTTGACTAACATAGTGCCAAGACAAGCATATGTTTCCTAGGCCTATAACCCCTTTTATGTCCCGAACCAACAATTGTAGATCCGGCAGGCAGTGTTTTTATTGTCTTGGCCATTTTGCCATCGACGGCCACACAATATATCGCATATACCTCTTGAGGTATCTTTATTATGCTGTGTACTCAAAGCACACCCTCAATTGCTCGTGCAAGGGCATTTTTGCATGATGAACGCGCGCTGTAGTACGGTTTCCGGATGGTCTATCCAGTGGTCCAGCGTGCGTCGCTTCCCTACCAGCCTTTTTGCAGCCCAAAAATTACATGCTTGCCGTACTGCCGCCCAATTGCCTCGCACAATAAATAGGAATTGCTAAGCTATCCTTTGAACGGCTCACCCACATGGCGAATAACGGATCAAGCTCAGATGTGGAGCACACTCTACTGTTGCGCCGAACGCCAAATGGGAACTGAACCACATAAAAGGGATCCCCACCCCCGACCGAGCGTGCAAAGGCCAGGCGCTCCTTCGTTCCCCATCCCTCTTCAACACAGTCGTCCACTTTCTTATCTCACACCAGCAACCTCATCGCCTTGTCCTTGTAAAGTCATCGCTTCTCTCTTGTCATCCTCACTCTGCGTTTTATTGACCGGCGACTTTGCCGATCTCACATTCGCCAAAGACTTTCGCACTTCTGATTCAACCAGTTTGACAGGATGAACGAATTACCATCGAGCAAAGTTCTGGAGATTCCAGAGATCCTCTGCATGGTCATAGACGTTCTGGACGGGCCGAGCCTCAAGACAGCCTCGCTTGTCTGCAAGGCCTGGCACCGACAAACGCGTTTGATCCTTTGGCGACAACTTGTCATCCCAAAGGACTGGTATAACCACGACCTGACCCCACTCTGGTCCACTCTAGACCGACAGGGCGATGTGATCAGGGTATTGAGTCTCGAACTGTCCACGTCTGCTAAGATGAAGCAAGAGGTAGACATGGAATTAATCAGGAACCAGCTCGCAAGTCTACTCTCCAGAGCACCCAATCTCGAGTCCCTCAACATGCAATTGCCCCGTGATATCAAAAGTAACATCGCCAGAACCATCGCAGCGCACTCCAAACAGCTCAAGCAACTTGAGACCGACATCCTGAACTGGGAATCCGACGACATGGCTGATCTTCTCACTGCCTGTCCGAACCTCCGCCAAATTGCAGGACACAATTTCTCTGGCGACATTCTCAAGGCTATCGCAAGGACACAACCAACCCTCGACAGGCTCGATTGCACACATCCACGGTTCGATGATGAGGAGCTAATCGCATTTGTAAAGCAGTTCCCGGACCTGTTACAGCTCTCTGTCTCGCTACACCAGTTCCTGACGACAAAGGCCCTTATCGGAATCGCACAACATTGCCAGAAGATTGAGCACTTGGGCTTTCATTTCTGTCTGGGTCTACAGTCCGTGGGATTTCAGGCCATCTTTCAGGTGTCCACCAATTTGAGAGTCCTCGATCTAGGCCCTTCAGAAGTCCGGAATCCCGACATCGCTTTGGTAGCGGCACAGTGTCCAAGTCTCGAAACTCTCAAGTTGCCCTTCTGTGCCAATATCACCCATGAAAGCATCATTGCCATCGTACATTCGTGTCAGCATCTCCGACATCTGGATCTCTCATGGTGTGACAAGGTTCTGCTCTCGATCTTTGACATGGAGGCTCCATGGGTTTGTGAAAAACTCCAGTATCTCGACATCTCTGGGATCCACGCCTTATATTCAGTCGAAGCATCAATGGCCTCTGCATTACTTCCGAGCATGTACCACCAGCTCTCGCTCCTGACTCAGCTCCAGCATCTCAAGATCTCGGGGCATGGATTTTCGTTACGCCTGCTAGACTTGGGCCGACCGGCCTTGTCCAATCTGCGACACCTGGAGACACTCGACGTTTCGAAACTAAAGAACCCGATACCATGGAGGGGCATGATTGAGATTGGTAATTTGTTCCCCGGGTTGAAGGAATTCCAGTTCCGAAGCAGTGATGTAATCCCACCAATCTCGGCCGAAGAAAAAGCAGCGATCAGGAACGCGACTGAGAGACACGCCAGAGGGGGTCCATTCACGGCCACACAACCAATGCCTGGAGAGGCATCAGACGAAGCAGGGCCTTCGACGTTAGCCGGAATCTCGTCAGTAGCATCATCAGCAGAAGTAGAAGCAACAACAACAGAAGCTAACATAACACAACCTGCGCCCAAACGCAGGCGATCAAGGTCACCCATACCCTCTCCATCTGGAATGACCCCATCCAACGCAATATCTCCCGCCGCAAATGTTACGCGGGACGATACAGAACCTGTAGTAGAGCAAACGACCGACAGCAGCGATATAGCTGATGAGGATGAGGACCAGCCGATGTCCGGAGTTATGAGGGCGACGCTGCGTTCAGGTCTTGAGATATCATTCCGCATGAACGGCGAGGACGAGGAAGAAGGACCCGATGGTGGCGAAGACATGTGGGGGTTCCCAAACGTTGTGTCGTACTATGGCTAAAGCCAAGATGCATCCCCTTCCCCCCCTCATCCCTGTAAATAAAGCCTATAATTCACCATCCACTTCACCGAGCCTCTCTATCCTTGATATCTTTGAACATGGACTATGGTTTGCACTACCTGTTGGGACTATAACTTGAATCAAACCAGACTGGCATCTAACCTGACGCCATCCGATCCTACAATAGGAGAGCCTTGACCGAGCTCTATCTAACGCCATTATTCCCATCACTCCCACAACCCTGTAAGCCAAGCAATTAGTCCATGAGGGTTCTGCATGGGCGGAAACGAACTGTTCGTTTTCAGGTTTGAACGCGTGCGGTTCGTTTCGCCTTACATGGAAAGTGTTTGCCTTAACGGGAAGGTGTTCGATTTACAGATAGCTTAGTCCAACTCCCCCCCCCCCTAAATCGAACCGTCTGGTTTGACCCAGGCTAATGAACCACATTCTTCAAACCCCCCCCCCGGGACCTGAAATTATGATAAAATACGAATACTCTTTTTTTTTTCTTTATTCTCTTGCTACAGAAAACTCAGAAGGAAACGACCCGCAGACTAAGGAATATTACAGAGCTCATGATAAAAAGGTATACAAAAGCAGTGGTAGATGGTTTATAGATAAAATGAGAAGCGCCTCCTGCTTCCTGTTTTACTCGGCAGGGAGAGGGAAGTAAGGCTCACCCTCGAGAGGGCACAAGTCGTCACGGGTACCCCACCATTGGGGCATGCCAGCATCTCGAATGGTGAAGAGGAAGAACGACAACAGCACCATGAAGGCCGTACCGGAATCGAAGGCAGCCGAGAGAATGTAGGTGAAGCGCAGATGCCAGTCGGGATGGTAGCGACGGGCAAAGAACTGGAAGGCGAAACCAACAGCCAACCAGTTGGTGTAGTGGTAAGCTTGAGCTGGGGGCATCATACCGGTGGCGGCCAACAGCACAGGGATGTGGACATAGTCCAACCAGGTATTGGGGAAGGCCTTCTTGAGGTAGTAGAAGGGGATGGGGAGGACGAAACCGATCAAGAAGAAGTAGTTGATGGCATTGTAGATCGACGAGGGTCCGAACATGCGGTTAGGAGCAATGACACCCCAGATGACTGAGGCAGAGTAGAAGGTGTTGGCCGAGGGGCAGCGGAAATCCTTGGAGGCCTTCGTGCAAACGTTGGGCTGGGAGCTCAAGAGCCAGTTGGCGGTCAACAAGTTGGTCAAACCGGCGATGAAGGTACCGAGGAGCTGAGCCCAAAACATGGCACGAGGAGGAACCTTCATGTAGTGGCCCAACTTCAAGTCAGAGGTGAAGGTCATAGCCTGGGCCATGGAAATGTAACCAAGAGTCTTAAAGGTAACGTTGGCAATAGCACGACCAGGAAGAATATAACCGATAACATACTCAGTGATGATGTTGAGACCAGGCTGCTGGTTGGTGATGGCCTGAATGAGACCAACGGGAAGAGCGAAAATGGCAGCAAGAGCAATGGCCAAGAGAACGCCCCACCAAGGAAGCTTGTAGTCCCAGACCTCACAGGTGATGATGGCAACGGCGGTCATGATGACGAAGAGAGCGGCATACCACCAGTCAGGAACCTCAGGGTAGGCCTGCATGAGCTTGTGATGGATATCCTCAGAGTGATCGCGAGATTGCTTCCACTGGGCAACCAACTTGTGGCGGTGGTACAACCAAGTGTGGGTCATCATGGAGGAGAGACCGGCGAAACCGATACCATAGGTCAAGGCGAAGAAGGTCGAGATACGGAGGGGACCATAGGCCGCGTACTTCTCCTCGTCCAAGACGTTATCGGTCATGATATCCTTAGTGACATATGGAGTACCATCGAGGCGGAAGAGAGAAGGGGTGAGAATAGGGAACCTCTTGGCATCCCACAAGTTGGTATAGTAAGCGATGGGAACCATGATCCAGGCGATCAAGAGGAAACCAAGACCAATGTTGACCTGAGCCCACCAGGGGATAATAAGAGGGGAACCCAAGAAAGAGACGATGTTGTTCCAGTCGAGAGAGATGGCACCGAATCCAAGACCACCAGCACCAGTGAGCTGAGACAGCACCAGGTTGTCAGGCTTGATCCAGCAGATCCAGGCAATGGAGCTGAGGACGGGGAAGAGGAAGCCTGGGATCCAGGCATACAAGAACATGCCGAAGGTGGCAACCAAGAAGAACTTGAAGCGAGACCACTGGCCAGGAGCGAGGTCCTCATCCTTGTGAAGGGTGTTGAACAAAGCGACTTGGACCAAGTTGGCAGGCCAGATCATGGCAGCGGGATAGACAAGGTAGCGACGGAGGACACCAGCCATACCGTAACCCAACATCTGTGTGCAGAGAATGAGAAGGAAGTTGGCGAGGAAACCGAAATCCTCGTTGTAGAAGACCTTCTGGATGACAGTGATATCGACGGCATAGGCGGTACCACCGGCACAGTTAGCAGTCAAGGCAACCAAGACGTGCTCCTTGATGGAGAAAGGACCAGGGTTGAGACGGCCAGCGGGGAGGATGCGCGCCATGAATTTACCGAAGGGGTAGGACAGCAGCTGGATGACCAGGGTGGAAATGGTCATGGGATGGGAACGGAACCAGCTATAAAGTATTCACAGAAGACATAAAATAAACGTCAGTGTCAAACACTGCAAGGGTGCACTCTGCTGCATCGTGAGCGGGAGATGGGCGTTGAGAGAGAGCAGGAGCGGCAAACTTACAAGAACTGGTTGAAGAAGGAGAGGATGAGGGAGAAGATGACAGCCATCACATAGTAACGGAAGGTCATGACGGGGAGGGAGGGATCATCCTTGTTGGAGACGATGGCAGCAACCTCGGGGATGGGGGAGTTTTCTTCTTCTTCGAGGACGACGGACGAGCGCTCGATATCGAGCTTCTCGTCGATGAACTCCTTGTCAGCGGGGTAATCGTGTTTCTGCTCGGACATGGCGGGCAGGGTTGTGGTCACTCAGACGGAGGACAGGGGATGGGAGGAGCGGGGGAGGAGGAAGAGAGGGTCAAGGAGAGCAGGGGGGATGGGGGGTCGGTGGCGATCTGCAGTCAAAGACAAGGGAATGAAAGGAGTCCGGGGAGGGCGTCCTTTTATAGGAAAGGGAGGGGTTCAAGAAAGGGCTGTTGCTCGGTGTTGGTGCGAAATGCAGGTGGAATCTTATTCGACTGTACGCATGGGTGTGCAGGCGGGGGGAGAGGAGGGGGGAGAGGAGGGGACGGAATCCGGTCGTTGTGGGAAAGGGGCAACCAATTCGGGAGTGTCTGGCCTTGACCATCGCCCACTTTGACGACTTCGATATGCGAGGACCCTAGTGGAAAGTACTTTAAACAGCTCTGTGAGTTCTGGTCATTAGGGTAATCTACAGTCCGCTATGACTGAATCGAACTTAATTCTCTCCCCTCTGCTCAAGACTGTAAGCTTATTTTCTTTTTTGGTCCCTCCCTCGGTAACGGATGTTGATTGGTGTGTGTGTGTCCAGTATGTGAGCGGCAGCACCGCAGCACACGCGCATAATAATATCCCTCCCTGTAAACAAACAATACACTCCATGACAAACCCAACCCGTAAACTGTAAAACAGTAAAACACCGAAGTAAAAGCAATAAAATGGAAGGTTCGATCAAATCTGTAATCAACACGGAAATAGTCTTCGTTGTGAATGAATAAACGGCTAGGGGTTTATAGTCTGAGCTACTGCAATGCGCTGCACTGCACACACAATCCTGGGTAACGTACAACAGTACGTCAACACCCGTCTTCTTTCCATTTACCTTATTTTCTTGCTACATGTGTTTCTTGGGTGCGTGCACCATCCTGAAAGCCCTTCGCCCCTTTCCCTGGGCCATCATCGCCGGGGTTTAATGTCATGCAAAAGCACTGCGAACGGTACCTTTTTCATTTTTCACTAACATTCGTTTTAACCGAAACTTTACCTCTTCACTCTATCGAACGCAATCCCCCTTTCATCTCTCCATCTTTCTTTAACTTCCTTCATCGAGACCTGTCTCTGGGTGCCCCCTCTGAGCATTCCCTTTCATCTTCCCATGCTTCTTCTTCCTGGGAAAGTAAAATAGACGGGTAAAAGAGTAGCGTCGATCCTATAGCCCTTCCAATAAGAGCGGCACAGAAACCGGTTGGTGTCTCTCGCAAGGTCCCTCCTTCTTTTTTTTTTAATATTATCTTAAGTAATATACTTGTGTAGCTATACCTTCGCTCACTTCTAACGTAACGCCGCAAAACTACATCAGTTGGCAATACTCTTCGTGCCTAAGCAGCTCTAGAAAATAAAAAAGATAATAGTGCTTGAATTCGAACTGCTTAACAAATTCTCGATCAATATCGTGCCCTGTGCAAGTGCATCGTCAGAAAACATTGTCAAGATGAATTGGCGAATTAAGCGTGCCATTGCATGGGTGTAATCGACGCTGCCGTCTCAACTGCCTTTCATATTTATAAAAAAAAGGCATCCTCACCCGCTTTAGTGCGCCTTCCAAAAGCAGATTTGGATCGTCCAAATTAGGATTTTAAGGTTAGATCTGGCGATCATTTTTGGAAGCATGGACCCTCTGGACACCATCTCGATTTAACAGAGTAAATCCAAATCGGGACAGATGTCGTATGCCTCAATTGTGGACATTAGGACAGAGAACAGCCTCAAAAAATATTGCGTACGACAAAGATCAACAATTTTCTTTATTTAAAGTATTTTTTTTATATTAATAAAGAATTAAAAGCAACGACTACCCGTTAGTAGGCAGGGGCAACTGGCGTAGCTGGGTAGTAGGACTTGCTCTCGAGAGGGCACAAGTCGCCACGGGTACCCCACCACTCGACCATCTCAGCGTCACGGATGGTGAAGATGAAGAACGACAACAGCACCATGAAGGCAACACCAGAGTCAAACGCAGCCGACAACACATACGTGAAACGCAAGTGCCACTCGGGATGGTAGCGACGGGCAAAGAACTGGAAGGCGAAACCAACAGCCAACCAGTTGGTGTACTGGTAAGCTTGAGCTGGGGGCATCATACCGGTGGAGGACAGCAACACAGGGATG